AACTTTCTCATGACTTTAATTTCTTGTTGAGTGTCAGAGCATTTTAGCAATAACGGTAACTGTGATAATTTTACTCTGATCTTGATGAAAATATAAATGAATGAAGGGAAACATCAAAACATTTAAATACACTAGTTCCTGCTTGAATTAATTTGTTAAATGTTTGATTCATAAATGCTTTTAAGAATACAATAATAAGAAAATCACGCTTCAGCATTTAATTCATTAGCCAATTTCAAAATAAAATATTTGAAATTCTTTTTTAGCGTATGTCCTCCACAACGGTGTACTATTTATTTCGATAGCACTGTATTACGTGCGTTAGAAAATCGTTGAAATGTACAAATCATTGAATTACTGCTTCGTTCTAATCTGGGACTTCTCAAAAGTAAGCACCTATGCGTTTAGCAGGAACCGAACTCAAGAGTTTTGAGGCCCACAATAGATCGATTAATCATTGAACTGAGTTAGTCGTTTTCCAGTTTTGCCATAAAACATTCTGTTAAAATTCACATATACCTAAGATACATGGACGGCACATTAGTTGTTTGTGACGATAAAAATTAATCAGAGGATATCTTACACAACTTCAACTCATGCTATCCTCCCATAGACTTCGCGTTTGAAAGTAAAAGAGACCAATCAGTCTCTTTTCTCGGTGTGCATCTGATGAGAAGGAGTAATTGTTCCTTAGAGAGATTACTTACTTACTTAGAGAGATACATCTTTAGAAAAAAAACATGGAATGGCTAGCTAACCAATTTCTATAGCTGGGTTCCTTTAAGTAGAAAGAGAAATCTCATTCATTCTTTATGTCACCGAATACATCGGATATGCAGTAGCCAATGCATTGACGAAGAACTCACATTCCTCAGGAAAACTTCGATGAAAAATGGCTATCAAGATCGTTTCATAGAAAGGAATATGAAAAGAAGTAGTTGCGACAGGAAATCTGGTTGTTCCATCCCAAGGAAAAACTTCTATATAAGTTCGGAATTTAAAGGTGATCGAACATCTGGCTTAGTCAAAAATAGTTTGACGACAACGATTAAAAGAACATTTAATGTGGCACTAGTAGGAACTTATTTTCTCTATCCATAAAAGATAAGCTTCCGAGTCTGGTCGCCTCCATCTGCATTAACCAGTTCATCTGCACTTTTGGAACAAGGCACAATGGTCGAAGCCAGTGCTCGCTTTCAACTCGGATACAGGAACACGTCCCAGTTTGGTTTTACAAAGGTGAGAGGAAAGCAGTTAGGAGTTCTATACTTGAACACCTAATCGACTATAATCGTTCTACTGATCCACAGTTTGATTTTAAGGCTGTATATATGATTCGTTCAAATCTACCCAGATTTCTTCGTATCCAACTCCTAAAACTAGCCGAAGCTCTTGCCAACCATGAGCAGAAGACAGAACTATGCGTACAAAAGGAGTAGGTCATATCGTTATGGTTATCTCGGCCTTAATTTATTATTATTATCACTGCATTTCTCCCTTTACTTGTGTTTCATATTCTCGTTATTTTATTCATAATTGCTCATGATATCACTTTATTTATGTTTTACACCTCTATGACCTTTAATCACCTATTATTACTGTAACAAAAACATTTTAGTCATCTTACTACATTCACGTTAGAATTTATTAAGGCCGCTGTTATTATTCGTATTATGTAATCTAGTATTATTATGTTTCTATTGCGTTAGCTTGGTTAATACCTGTCCACATTTCCTCAAGAAACTAGTAGTTTAACAAAACGTTTTCATATATATATTTGTACAGCTTCATAATAAATTCGTTGAAAAGAGATCCCTTCGCTGAACTTCGTCTTTTTTAAGTGTTAAATTTTAATATACTTTCACACATCCTGATTTCCAAATTTTATAATTGAATACCATTGGTAACATTAGTCCATTTGTTCTATAGTTTCTATCTTATCAAACATTGTTCATTTGTCGATATGAAATTATACGACTTGAATTTCTAAAGTTCTACCCTATCAATATATGAATAACCCATGGTTTCAACTTTATTACTTTAGTAACCTTTCATTGATAATGATGTAAAAATATGAGTAACAATTTTGTTTCGATATATAATTATTAATATTTGAATTCATGAGCCAATTAAAGCTAGACCGCCATGGAAAACCCGGAAACACTAGACGGCCGTCCTGCAATAGTATGGGATTAATAAGCAGTGTGCATCGACGACACCAATCGTCTGGCGCACAAACGCTCAAATTATAGACCACTGAGCCGGCCGGTATCCAACGCTGTTAATGTCTTACTTCAACTAACCCACGAAATTCACCCACCATACAATATTGTCCTCAGTGAGTTACTATCTCACAACTGACCCGGTTGAACTCCACTGATCACGGCTTCTCTCTAGATCTCTATGAAATACGTTTTGGATACACACTGCTGAGGAGTCCCATACTAAGACGAGACGGCCATCCAATGTTTCCAGGTTTTCCATGTTTGTCTATGTTTAATTGACTCATGAACTCTACTATTAAATTACTAAAATCTCCGCAGAACTTCCTTCTGATAATATAATTATTATATTTATAACAATGATAAATGCTACAATGTAGGTTGAGACTTCGTAAAACTGTGCTTCTAGATAACAGTTATGTAACTCAAAGACTAGTAGACTTCATTTTTCATTATTCATTTCTTATTCTGTCAGATAAATCAAAGTTGAAATTGTAGATTATTGGAAGTATCAGAACTAATCATTGGTTTGAAAGCTGTGAATATACTCTACTGTTCAATCTTAAAAGAGAATGAATTATCTCTTTTCAACGAATTTATTATCAAGCTGTGCAATCGGGAACATATCCCAGCTTGAAAATTTTGTTTTTTGTAAAAGTACTAATTCCGTGAGGAAATGTGAACACAGTTAATAAAAAGGGGTTATAATACAAGATTACGTAATATGAATAATAACAATAACAATAGATTTGGTGAATATAATAAGATGATTAAAATATTTTGGTTACAATAATCAAAGGTCATAGAGGTGTAAAAAATAAATATGGTGATATGATGAGTATTTACCAATAAAACAATGGGAATATAAGACATAAGTAAAGGGGGAATTCAGTAATAATAACAATAATAATATTAATAATAATAATTGGATAATCAAAACAATTAAGGCCAAAGTAACCATAACGATATGACGTACTCCTTTTGTACGCATAGTTCTGGTTTATGCTCCTGGATGGTAAGAGCTTCGGCTATTTTCAAGAGTTGGATAAGAAAGAAATCTGGGTAGATTTGAATGAATCATATAAACAACCTTAAAATCAATTTGTGGATCTGTATAATGGTTATGGTCGATTAGGTGTTCAAGTATAGAACTCCTAACTGCTTTCCTTTCACCCTTGTAGAACCAAGCTGGGATATGTTCCCGATTGCACAGCTTGATAATAAATTCGTTGAAAAGAGATAATTCATTCTCTTTTAAGATTGAACAGTAGAGTATATTCACAGCTTTCAAACCAATGATTAGTTCTGATACTTCCAATAATCTACAATTTCAACTTTGATTTATCTGACAGAATAAGAAATGAATAATGAAAAATGAAGTCTACTAGTCTTTGAGTTACATAACGATTATATTTATCTCACAGATTGAAATCATGAGTCAGTTGAAGCTAGACCACCATTGAAAACCTGGAAGCACTGGACGGCCGTTTCGTCCTAGTATGGGACTCCTCAGCAGTGCGCATCCACGATCAACTGACTCATGATTTCAATCTGTGAAATTTCTAAAATCTCCACAAAACCCATTCTGATAATAATAATCAACTGCTCACTAGTGACTGACTTCAGGAAAAACTCCCGAAGTTCTAGTGAGAAGCCGTTACCAGTGGAGTTCAACCAGGTCTGTTGTGAGATAGGAACTCACTGAAGACAATGGTGTACGGTGGCGCAACTTCGTGGATGGGTTGAAGTTAGACATTAACACCGTTGGATGCCGGCTCAGTGGTCTAATGGTTAAGTGCTCACGCGCGAAGCCAGTAGGTCCTGGGTTCGAGCCGCGCATGGTGCGGGATCGTGAATGCGCACTGCTGGGGAGTCCCATACTAGGACGAAACGGCCGTCCAGTGCTTCCAGGTTTTCAATGGTGGTCTAGCTTTAACTGACTCATGATTTCAATTTGTGAAATTTCTAAAATCTCCACAAAGCCCATTCTGATATTATATTTATCCCCTTACTAGATATTAAATTTTATTCGGAATGTTGATTTCAATTAATTCTATCATATCTATAATGAAAAAGATAAGCTTAATTCTTTATTCTTAATGTGGGAAAATGAACTAATTTCCTTATTATCATTTTAAGAAGAAAAAATCACAAAATCCTTGCCAAATAGATCAATAAAATTTAATTGATTTTGTTTAACTTCTATTTTGGGAAATATTTCATTATATAATGATACACAAAAATGTATACATGTATACACCAATATAACACCGATGGTTATATGAATTTAGTAATTCATATATACATAAGGGTCCAAATGCAAATGTGTAATATAAGAATAAGCATCAATGTGAATGTACTGTCACAACATAATTGTGGGCGGATTTCTTTATTTAACCAATTATTTTGTTTTAACAATCTAAATAATATGCACATATTGATATATTTCAATAGTTTATAGGATATGTATTAAACAACAGAATGGGAATTAAGGTAATATTATATGAGTGTTATTTCAACCAATAAAATTCAAGTGTTTAGGAAATGATCGTAAGGTTTATAGAATTGATGTTTATGTAAATGGGTAAAAAGTGGTGTGTATTGGAAACCAAAGTGTACATACTTACTTGTATATATATATGTATATGTGTGTATATGTTTATGTGTACGCTAAAGTCTGTACATATTTGACTAGTTACAAAAAAAAATATCACTTAAGGGTAGGATAGACAATAGGTACCGATCATTATAAAACATGATGATTGTTTATATTTAATTAGTAAACTCGGTAAAAATCTGTTGAATAGTACGTATTCTTACTTTTTAGGAAGAAATAATTAATTCAACATTTCTGTATGATATAAAATTTTCGAAGAATCCTATTCAACAAGATTTCTTTGAAGAATATCAAAGAACAGTGGAAAACAAATAATAATAATACCAACCTTATATATATATTAATACAAATATACATATACATACGTGAACTAGTCTATTCTCCAATATTTACATTTATCCATCGATATAATTGATATTCATTTAGTGTATGTACTATTAGTTATTATAATAGCCGAGTGTTTTTACAAAGTACTCCCCTTTACTTTTTCTTTCCTTAAATATCTCTCCTATCATATGTATATGTAAGTGTATATGTATACGTTGGTATTTTATTTAAACTAAACGTTAACATCATTTGAGCACATTATGTACAATAGAATACATCAAGTTTATTTTCGTTTAATTCAATCTATCTAGAAGCAGTATTTATAATAATTAAATTATAGTTGATTTGATTCCATTAATTCAATAAATATATTAATACAAAAAAAATTATGTCAGATAAAGCAAGTTCCTGTGATTCATCTGATTTCTCTGATGGTTATCCAACAACAACAACAATTAGTACAGTTGCATTACAAGCTGGTAATGCACGTATTGTACTTGCTGTATTACGTGTAAGTTTTCTATTGTTATTCATGTTGATTGTAATTATATTAGTTTTTTCTAAATTTTTTTTTATTATTTATTTATTTAAACACATAAATATTGGTACAAGGATGCACCATATAGATATGCGCCACATAAATCAGTCGATTTGTGTGAGGACTGGGATACTGTCCGATTGCCCAAACCGAGACATGTGGTTTTCTTTTGAAGCCATATTCGGAGCCTTCGATCTAAAGATCTAATCCACAAGGCAGTGGAGCAACGTCAGGAGATGCAGTCTCGTGGTAGCCAGTGACCAACGATTAGTTCGTACACCATTTGTTCCCTCAGGATATTGGAGCCCATGTGCACCATTGGTTTGGGATCAGAGTTTTTCAACTCCCCTAGGTGAACTCTTCGTATCCACCAAACCGGTTAAAGTGCTGAACATTCGTTTTTCGTGCTTTCAATCTCGCAAACAACACTCCCGCCGTGACATACTATAGCTCAAATAATATTTCTTCTAATTACACAACTGTTTTGAAATTTTGACAAATTATGGGAATAAATCGATATATATAATTAAGTGTGTGATTAAAATATAAAACTATCATTCTTTATATACTAAGATGTATACTGGCTAACAATGGAATCCAGGATGCAATACGCACAGTATGCCCATATGCCAATAAATAAGAGGCTGCACTCTTAAGAGATTGCACTCTTAAATATCAATAAGTAGATTCAAACAAACAATACCAAGTGAATTTATCACTAAGTATTACGTTAGTTTACGGATATTTTATAATGTTTGTGACAAATTTCGTCTTGACAATTACTGAATTCACAAATGACATTGGTTAAGAAATTTGTCTGATTATAAAGTGAATGGATTGTAACCCAGTCGTCTACGAATAATGATGTTTGTTGTATAATTTGAAGGTTGTAATTTTCATTGTAAGAGCGACTGTGTTGTGTATAGGACTGAGAAATGTATGATAAGTATTCATATATTACAACAAGAAGGAACAAAATGTAATACTGTGGTGTGCGCTACTGATCTCGACAGATATAAGCAATATGTATCATCAATCGAAAGTGAAATGTTTGGAGGCAGAAGGTTAATATTATTATTATTATTATTATTATTATTATTATTATTATTATTATTATTATTATTATTAGAAGCTTTATTCAACATTATATTTTTGGTACAACATAGAATTCTCAGCATAAAGTATTTCTACAAGTTTCCTTTCCTTATACCTTGATCGATTGTGACGATAAATTTTGAATGATGACCAGTTAGATGTTAGAAGTTCGGTAATCCACATTTGATTACTGATCATTTGTTTGAATGCATAATGCCAGCAACCATGATGTCGCTGATTGTACCTTTTTGTATCCCGTATCGCGAAAGGTTGTAAACTTTTCATAAACGCGCCTGAATAGGTTGTGCGCACAATGGACATAGTGATGTGGTAAAACAAACAACAAAACAGATAACTTGATGAAATATCTAGATCGGTGGAACAGGTAGCCCAGATATTCAAGCAGGCCGCCGGTGCTGTTGCAATTAAACGAAGAAAAGAGAACGAGAACAGAGTGATTGGTGTGGAAAGGAAGAGTCGGTCAAGTCTGAGACAATTGATTAACGTTTTGCAAATGAATTATTCACTGTATGCTTCTCAGATTTCACTAAGATGTTCTATCATTTTATATTAGATTACATTAGATTGTCCCTTGTGTTCTCATTCACTACAATACATATAACTAACGAGATTGTAGAGGGGTAGATGTGTACCTGATTCTTTAAGTCATTACTTTGAACTTAAATATGTGAAAATAGTTGAAAACTCATTGCAGAGTATATTTATTGGTTACCCGTGTGGTTTATATTTTTGCTAGAATTTTGATCTACAATGGTGAACAGTGGTGGGACTATAATTTATGAACGACTTTTGAGCGAGATCAAAGTGGCATTGAGAATGTCCACCTACTTACTAGGGCTAAATGAGAGTTACAAACCTGTATAAAGAATAAGGATTATGATTTATAATTGATGGTTAGAGTTAGGAATTAGATTTAGGGTTTTCATCATGAATCGATATCACCTAAAATGTCAAAATGCTCTATAACCTATTGGATGAGTGAATTTCGCGTCAAAATCCAAGACATGTTATCGTAAATCTGATTGTTTCTTCCATAAATTATAGTTTCACCTAAACAATTAGTCATGAATAGTGAGAAAGTAATAAATGTTTAATTAGTTTGGCATTCAAACTACTGAGGGTGTTTTTTTGAAACCTTTTTATCATAGTTACATTTTAATCAGAGAAAGGTTTTGTGGAGATTTTAGTAATTTAATAGTAGAATTCATGAGTCAATTAAACATAGACAAACATGGAAAACCTGGAAACATTAGAAGGCCGTCTCGTCTTAGTACGGGACTCCTCAGCAGTGTGTATCCAAAACGTATTTCCTAGAGATCTAGAGAGAAGCCGTGACCAGTGGAGTTCAACCGGGTCAGTTGTGAGATAGTAACTCACTGAGGACAATATTATATGGTGGGTGAATTTCATGGGTTAGTTGAAGTTAGACATTAACAGCGTTGGATACCGGCCGGCTCAGTGGTCTATAATTTGAGCGTTTGTGCGCCAGACGATCGATGTCGTCGGTGCACACTGCTTATTAGTCCCATACTATTGCAGGACGGCCGTCCAGTATTTCCAGGTTTTTCATGATGGTCTAGCCTTAATTAACTGATGATTTCAACCATTAAAATAGCTACATCCATTTGAAATATTTTAGTGCTTAAATGAAGAGAATTTTAAAAAACTCTTTGAAGACGGTTGTCAAGATGCAATGAATTAAATCTCAATAATCTATACAAGTCCATACTGATAATATCATGTTTGTTTGGTTTCAATTTTGGTGCAATTTGGAAGTTACATTGTCGTAAATCCCAGTTAGGCCTTCGGAATTGATTGTTTAAAGTCACGAACTATAACGGTTTAACGACATCAAGTGTTCATTTAAATCAGTTGTCCCTAATTTATTGAACCGTACCAAGATGAGATAGTTTAGTTTGTAGTTCAAGCGAATTCCGATTTCATTTCAATCTCTTGACAACATATGAGATATCCAAAACTTGATCTCAATTATAGAGTAAAACATTGTGATTGCTCATCCTAACATTATGATGATTTTAGTTTAGAATGAAAAATCTTCTTACTCAAACTAGTAGTCCAGGATTAGTTATCTCAAATGATTCAGTATCTGCCATTGTAATAGTCAAAAGTAAGTTTGAAAGCACACACAGAGAAGAGTACATGTTCACATTTCCGAACAAGTTACAAGGAATCTCAGGCTGAGAAATAAAATAGCTCTAAATAATTCAATGGCTTTGTATTTAATAGATACCGGGCATATCATGTACATTCCTTAAAACTCAGATGTGTCTATTAAATACAATATAAACGAAACATTTTTCAACATACTAATCTAAACAATTTATAATCTACAGATTACATGATTTCATAGTCTGTGTGTAACTCACTGGTTGAAACTGAATGTTCGAGCCCAATAATACTGCTCGAAATACTAAGAAAGGATTAGTTTCTTCAAAATTACAGACAAGTCTTCCTGATGTGTAAAAGATAATGGAAATACGTCTCAGTCTCACCTAATTGGTTGCAAATACATATATTTTATATTTGTTATTATTATTATTATTATTATTAGCCTTATTCAGTATGATACTTTTGGTATAATACAGAATTTTCAGCACAAAGTATTTCAACAAGTTTCCCATTTCTTATTTCTTGATTGATCCTGACGATAAATATTGAGTGATCGCCAACTAGATGTTAACAGTTCAGGAATTGACATCTGAATAATGTACATTCTTTTCGAGGTATATTGCCAGCAACCATAATGTCTCTGATTGAGTTCTTTTGTAACTTGTACAGAGAAATGTCGTAAACGTTTCACAAACGCACCTGAATAGGTTGTGAGACAAATAGGCATAATGATGTGTTAGAACAAACAAACAAACCCCAGATAACTTGTTGAAATATCGAGATTGCAGAAACAAGTAGCTCAAATATTCAAGCAGGCCGTCCAACGTTGTTAGCTTTATTAATGTTGTAAGTAATTAACAAAAGGTTGATGAAGATATAGTTCAAGGTTTATGTAAGATTTTCAATAGTTTCTTGTCAACTGACCCCAAATGATATGTTTTGTAGCATAGATAACAACAAAATGCAGATGGAATCTTAAATAAACATAATGTAATCGTTACCAAAACACTTAAAGGATAGTGTTGGTGACCGATACTGAAGCCATTTTCTGACACTTTTTAGTGAAATACTCATTCAGTCATAGGCTATCACTATCCTTTGTTACATTTTAAAATAAACTTAATATAATTAAGTCGATTAATTTTTTATAATATTGTTCATTTCTTTAAACTCCTATAAGCAAGAAAATATAACCTATTATCACGAATGTTTTTGTACAGCGTACGGTCGAAATTTATTATGTCAACAACCTGAAATGTCATCCTCTAATGAATGGTACTTATTTTACAAACATTACTTTCTAAAAGTAGAAGAATCCATTGATAATAATCCTGGTTATCCATTGGTCATCATATATCCACCTCAATATTTAAGGAACTGAACATAAAATTAGATCACGTTGTTTATACTAATATCATCAGTATGGGTATTTGCAGAGATTGTAGTAGTTTTATATAGTTGAAATCATGAGTCATTCTAAGCCAGATCACCATTGAAATTCTAGAAGCACTAGACTTGAATCGACTTGCAATTTCAACCTTGAAAATACTACAATCACCATAAATCTCCTTGCTGATTACAATCATGTTCTCACTAGTGACTAACTTAAAGGGTAACTCCTGAAGTTCTAATGAGAAGCCGTGATCAGTAGAGTTCAATACACATCGGATATGAGACAGATATCTACCTCAAGCAGTGGATGAACGGTTGCTCACCATCATAAATTGATTAAAGTTAGAATTGAACTCCTTTTGGAACCGGATCCATGATGTAGAGGCTGGGCGTTTGCGCGCAAAGTAGAAGGCATTGAGTTCAAGTACCACCCACATGAGCGTGAATGAGCACTGCTGAGGAGTCCTGTGATAGGATAAAACGGCCGTCTAGCGCCCCCAGGTTTTAAATAGTAGTCTAGCTTCTTAAGTATTACACTTTGCAAAACAGATCAGTGAGAATAACATCAGTTTATTACGATTTTTCCCTGGGTCTTTTTTTTTACTAAGAATGATGGTACACTATTCTGTAAGATTCAAGTCAAGATATTTATGTACTGTGAAAAAAATGATTCAATGAAACATCATTACTAAATTTATGACTAAATTATTTCATTTTCTTTGTCTTTGTTAAAGTGTGGAAGTTGGATACGTGTTCGAATTCAACGTATGGAGCCAGATCTTTATGATATTGGTGCAAATGCTGATGAAGCCCGTTCATTACATGAAATACATCAACATTTATGTACTAAATTAGCGGTAAGTTATTTTTAGAAATAAGGAATAAAATTCTATTTTGTTGATCTTATTCTCATTGGAATAGACATATATATACATTCTCAACCCAGATAAGATATTGGTGTGGAAGAGTAGACAGTTTCTTATAAAATTGACAGTTGGTTTCTAATATAATAAATGGCGATAATTTACTTGTTGTCATTACTTCATTTTTGTATTGGTTGTTTGATTTTTCCAATTGATGGTTAGGACTGTAAATGATCACTCTGTTATTGGCATATATGCATCCTGTTCCTTTTGCTTCGATATTGTCTTAAGTCATATCCGCTAATAATGCAAAAACTAATGGCTATCTACATTCAGTAGCTAAGGGAATTATGTGATGGTGTTTGAAGCAAACGATAATGGACTGGAGTCCCAAATTAATCATCAACACATCTCAGATGCACGTTCATTTAACTGACGAGTCATGAATAGGATGAAACATGCATTCTGGATTCCAATGTTGGCCATCACTCATATCTGCTTAAAATGATTTGTTTTTAGTTGTGATTTAAATTCCTTGAAATATCTTAAGCATTTGGCTGCGGTCAAGCAACTCATGAAAATGATCATTAATAGTGATATTGTATATATATATGTTGACGTACAACTTATAGGAGTCAGACTTGAAAGAAAAGGATGCATCAAACTAACTAGAGAAGAAAGCATAAGTGTTACAATGCTACTTATTTCATAAATGCTCTAGTTTGATTGTTGTTGCCCTTAACTATTATTACCCATAACTTTATTCAATATTATATGTTTAGTACAATATGGAATTCTCAGCACAAAGTACATGAAATATGTAAATAAACTATCTGAAATGAACTGAAACTCTTCTCTAATAGGATAAGTACAAGTTTTTAACTAGGCCAGTTCTTACAACCTATTCTCCACAATGCATATTCATTAGATAAGATATTGTAGAGCTTTTATACCTTTGCATATATTCGTAAATTCTAATGTATTGTCATTTCATTCTATCAGAAGATAAACCAGGAGAAAAATCTGAATGAATTGAGTGATTAATATCTAATAAAACAACACTTATCAGAAGTCTGTAAGATTTTAAATGTCTAAACCACAGCCATATTCATAATGACCTCAAAAGATCCACTACACATATACACTGTTGACTGCCTTTAACTCTTTTCGCAACATGGCAAAATCTTTTCTCAAATTCCCGAGAAAGAATAATAAGGAACAGTAGGGAATAATAGATAAAATTAAAATACAATTGTATGAACGAAGAATATTCTTTTCAATAATTTCTCATCAGGTTCTACAATTATCTCATGACCAAATTAATAATCCATAAGATTGGCGAGATTTAAGGCAGAGAGTACATCATTTGGTTATTGTAATATATGAATTGAGAATTGTTGTTTGTTATATAAAATCAATTCAGATCGTTAATATTTGGGCTGTTTAATAAAAAGTGTTAACTTGAATCAGTTTATAAGCGAAGTGAAATTGTGCGATAAATGAACAGAATAAATATGGTCAACATGGGGTAAGAGAGAGAGAGAATATTGTGATTAAAAATTGGAAATTACGTAATATGTAGAATACTATGAATTAGGTCAGATATAGTAGATTTAGGGGTAGATATTGAGCAAATTCCTCAAAAAGGTTAACAAGTGTAGTCATAATAATAATAACAATGATAGAGGTGGTAAGCACAGTGGTAAAGATCATAGTAATAGTAATAAGATAAGTTTGGGACATAAAATGAACATTAATCAGATTACGTCACCATATTATAAAATTAATTATTGACTAGTTGGCCCCAAAGTTGGCCAGGGTAAAAGGAGTGGCTGAACATACTTCTTTTGGATACAAAGCCATGGCTTTTTGATCCGAATAGCAATTGCTTCAGCCGTCTGTAGGATTCGCAGTCTGACGGAATTAGATAGACTGCTGTTAACACGATAGATTATTGCAATATACAAAAATTTATGAATCATTAAAGTAAATGTAGAATAATGCCAAAAGCATATAGTCTCCTTATATAATAAGTCAAATGGAAAACTTTCTTTGATATCAATAAAACATGAAAAGGCTAAGAGAGGTCGGTAGATCGATTATTATCATTATTATTACTATTATTATTATTATTATTTAAACACATAAACATAGGTACAAGGAGACACCAATAAGATATGCGCCACACGAATCATTCGATTTATGTGAGGGCTGGGATACTGCCCGGGTTCCCAAACAGAAGAGAGATCGATGGAAAAATGTATACAAAAATAAATGACTTTAGACATGCTACTTTTTTAATTATAGAACTTCTAGTAGTATACATTTTACGGGCTTCTGATAGGATATTCTAATGAACTTGATGTCTCAAGCTAAAATTAAGAGTTTGGTACTTAGAAGGATTAAATATAAGGCCATTAATAATAGACTATCGTTTAATGAATCTAGATCTCAGTTACAAATTGATATCTATTTTGGTGAATAACTCAATAGAGACATCCAGTTTTCATGCAATTGGTTCCCTTTATGAATTTAAATAGAGCAAGAACAAACATTGATGCAGAATAGTATGAATTCATACTATTCTGCATCAATGTTTGTTCTTGCTCTATTTACATCCAGTTTTATTATGATTATTTATAAACTTACTCATTTAAGTAATGTATTCAATGATCTTAGGATATAGATAAATAGGTGACTTCAGAATTAAATCAAAAATACCTATCATTTGCGAATGAAATTACAATACAGATAAGATCAATGAGAATCATTTTGTTATAACTTGTGCCCCACGTCCTTATTAATGTATAACTTAATGACACCGTCAATTAGAGAACATTGAATTTTCGACTGGACTAATCACGTATAAAACCCGTACGATCAGTCTAGAGTTTTTACCGGTCCTGTTTACCGCCTAGCACTGCCTGTTGAGTCCAGAACACTAATCTCAGCCTCCGTGATACTGGGTTTATATACCAACCAAATAGACTACATCGTACTATAAAATAGGAAACAACATTTGTACAAGATTTAGCCAAATGTGGCTGTGAATATGGAAGATAGTAATTGATAGACTGGGAATAACTCAAGAATGGTAAATCGTATAACAATAGTTTATGGGTCAAAATAAAGCTTATGATAAGAGGAACATAAATATGCATAGTTTAGTTATTTAACAATTATATGATAAAGATATACGTCTAGTATTAGTCCAGAAATAGATTCCAACAGTTACCACTCATTATTCTCATCAGGATATAACAGATTTCCATAACATTTATTTTGTTGAGTATCCAATTATGCTACGAGAAAAAATATATACATCCATTTCCAACATAGATAGCCTTGTACAATAGTTTTAAGAGCTATAACTAGAATTAGTAACCAGAAACAAACTGTTATTGAAATCCTCATTATATAGAGGATCAGTGTTTTGTTGAAGAACAATTACATTTTATATTTCATTATTACTAAGTAAAAAATAACCAGTCATTGGTGAACTAATCTCCATGGTCACATTTTTAATTTTCATAGCTAAACCATATGATAACAAAAATAAATACACTTTAATAATTTGAGTAGATGATCATGATATATTATGGATTAATCGACATGCGGAAACACTTGTAATAACCATTTCGTATCAACCAACAGATCTAAAGGGGGAATATTTTTACACAATTGTTACAAATCAGTTTTAAAAAACTATTTACTACTTTATATACAGGGGGGTTTATGAATATTATAGTAATTTTAATAGTTAAGTCAATTGAAGCTAGACCACCGCCCAGTACTTCCAGGTTTTCCATGGTGGTTTAGCTTCAGTTGACTCATGATCTTAACTATTAAAATTAACCTATACAGCTTAAAAACCTTTCATTCACTTGATCTACTATCTAAAAACAATCAAATCAAAACGTAGAGTAATAAAAGTTCTTTACAAAGCCTAACAGATTACTCACTTACTTATGCCTGTTACACTCAATTGGAGCATAGACCGCCGATTAACATTCTCCAACTCACTCTGTACTGGACCTTCCTTTTTATTTCTATCCAATCGTTGCTCATTTTTCTCATATCTATCTCCGCCTGAAGCCCCTTTGTGGCCACTGTCGGTCCCAAGCCCAGAAGGGTTGGGCATGAGGTTGGCGACCTCATCCCATAGAAAACTAACTCGCTAAAAACGTTAACCAGAAAAAATAATCCAAAAGCTAAACAGATAACTCACTATAAAATAGAAGCTTAATATTTTGGACGTTAATCACCAATTTTTTTAGATCAAATTTGTTGATAATGTCAAATAAAGTCATCATTAAATTAATTATTGATTATTGCTATAAAATCTAATCTGATCTATCATAATGGAATTAATAAGACATTCATGATATCAATCTAAACTTAACGATCTTCATAACCCCATACTGATTAATAAAACAATTTTACATATGTATAATAATAGAATCTATGCTGAGACTATAATTTATGGATGACATTCGAGCGACATTAGATTGACTTTGAGAGTGTCCAAATAATAACTAGAACCAAATGAGGGTTATAAACCTGTATGAGGAATTATAATTATAATTTTACAGTTGATGGTTATAGTTATGAATTAGGTTTAGGGTTTTCATCACGAACTGATATCAGTTATAATACCATGAATCTATATAGCCAAATAGATGAGTGAATTTTGTGCCAAAATCCGAGACCTGTTATCTTATACCTGATTGGTTCATCCATAAATTATAATCTCGTCTAATCTATCAATATCTACACTATACATTTGATACCCTATCTTATTTAATCAACATTTTGAATGTTTCTTTATAATAATCAAATAAAACAACACATGAAATGAATTACTAGAATGACTTATGATTCATTCTATAATAAATACCAACATAGTTTAAGTTTCAAATAAATTTTCTTCTTAATGTTAGTAGTTATAATAGTAGTATTTATAGTGATTTAGTTTCTTTTTTGTACCAGTTAACCATTCATTCAATTTTTTCATGTATACATTCATTCATGTATACAACAGGTATAGTTAAGACAATAATGAAAATGGTATATATTCTGTCAATTATAACTAAGAAAATAGGAAAAAAAATAAAGAAAACAACAACAACAACTGTTTTCTTCCAAAATTCTGATTATTGGAAGAAAAAAACCCAACTGAAACGATGTATTGATCAAGATAAGCCGATTAAGAATGTTCCAAGGAAAATAATCGATATTTTTTCTTGTAATAGATAGATGGTGACTAGTTGTAGAAAGCAGTTTGATGCGCGTTTCCTCCTATTTGGGACTCGTAAACTGGATGTACCTGCATCTTAGTGTTGATGTTCACTCTAGGACACGAACCTAGTACAATTCGCTTCAAACTCTATCTCGCTATCCACTTAGCTACTGAGTTTTGATAACTACTCGCTTGTGCAATGGCGTGAAGTTTAACTCTACTTGGTATTGTTTATTTGAATCATCCCGTCTGCAATTGATCAGTCTGTTATTGGCATATGTGTATACTGAGCAAATTGCCTCGATATTGCCTTACTTCACAAGCTTTTTAAGCAAAGATCGATAGTGGCTAGTAGTGGAATTCAGGAAGCGCATTTTGATCTACTTGGGACTCATCCACAAATTCCCATTCTGAAAAAAATATTGAACATAGGTTTTGTCACAAGTACAATATATATTTCTAGTTTCATATCTGTAAATTCAGCCAATTCCTCGATACTGAGCAATATTCATGAAGTTTCTTACATTAGAAACAAATAGTTTTTATTAGTAAGTTATCAGTAGTATCTTCTATAGAAAAAAATGAAATAATCACTCAACGTGATCTGGTTTTCTATTAAAGCTTAAAACCAGAAAAACTAGAAATTGTTTACAAAGTTTACATTTAATATTAAACTAAATATTCTTACTTGACTAAAAATTTTGGATAACCATGATAGGAATTTAGAGATAGGATTATATTCATTTAAAGTTGTCGTGCTTCATTAAATTTATTCAGTACAGTATCGACCTGTACAGAATTATTTGTTTAACTAATAAAATTATGGACATTATTGGTTGAAGTTAGATATTAACACCGTTGGATGCCGGTCGGCTCAGTAGTGTAGAAGTTAAGCGTTTGTGCACGAGATTGATAGATCCTGCGTTTGAATCTCGCGTAGCGGGACCGTGGATGCGCACTGCTGAGGAGTCCAACAATAGGACAAAACGTCTGTCCAGTGCTTTCAGGTTTTCCATGGTGGTCTACCTTCAATGGACTCATCAATTCAACTATAAAACATGAATAATAGTTTTATGAACGCTAATAATTAAGTTTTTGTTGTTATACTACTGAACTAACTTTCTTGGAAATTAGAGTATATTAATGAGCATCGTTTATTTCAGTGATTGATAAAACTTTATTAAAACTCAAGTTATCTTTTAAATAAAAAGCCTTATATCTTTGGTTATAATCAATACCTCTATCATGAGCAAATAAACTATTTATTATTTAGTTTATAATTGACAGCTAATAACGCTTGACTTTTAGTTTGTATAGGCTAGTTGACTGAATGTCATATCAACAAAACCACATACTCCAGAAGGCCTCTGAACTGCAATTGACTGACCATTTGGTAGTGTCTAATGTCATGTTTGTTTAGTCCTTTGTAATACTAGTTGAATTCCCTCGATTAAGTTACAATGTGACCACTAGTCTATGTGACTCGACATTGTATGTATCATGTTGTAATGTTAGGAGGTTGAAGTTAGTCAGTACGTTTGTTACAAGTGCCAAATAGCATGAAATCTGGGTTAGAGCTTCTTGAAGACCATCTTGAATCACCCAACATGTCGCTAAGTTAACAAAACAGGTAAATTAACGATGTTAGTATTTATGCTATTTCTTCATTTCATAAATTCTATATGAGTATTGTATTGTTCTTTTACAGTCGAAACAAGAACAAATATCAGAACTTTTATCAAAAGCTGATGATTTAGTTACACAACAAACTTCAGATAACCAAAGTCAAGTGTATGCAGCAATGGCTGAATCATTAAATCGTGCTTGGCGTGATTTACTCGGTATATTAACTCAACGTGGAAGATTATTAGATTTAGCTATGGAATGCTTTAATTCAGCTGACAATGTAATTCAACAAGCTGAAAGAGTTGAACATTTATGCATTACTGGTAGTTGGGGTCATGATATCAGTTCAGTTCGTCGTTTAATTGAAGTAAGTTGATGCATTATCACTATCCTTGCTTCTTTGGTTCGTAGTAGTATTGTTGTATACGACAACATCGGTGGGAACGATCACATGTATTTTAATACAGTATTATAGAATATCTTGGTAAAATCCGAGAACAAAACAGTAAATACTTCATTTGCAAAATATCCATCAATTGTCTCAGACTTTGTTATTCCTCCATTTCCATATATGTTTATATGGCAAGACTATAATATATGGACGAACCAATCAGATATGGGATAGCAGGTCTTGGATTTTGGCGCGAAATTCATTCACTCATTTGGCTGAATATCATTTCAGCATTATAGCTGATGTCAGTTCATGATGAAAGCATTAAATTTAATTCCTAAGCCTAACATTCAATTATAAATCGTAATCCTAATTCGTCGAACTAATATATAATCCTGGTAAGTAGGTGGAAAAGTGATAGTTTGAAGAACACACTGTGTCATGAATTCGAAGCAGACATGAAAAGGATGAATAGCAACTGGGAAAGATTGGCCAGAACAGAGTTGGATGGAGAATGCTGGTGGCCGGCCTTTGCTCGTCCACGAGGAGTTACAGGTGGTAGACATTCCAAGGTCACTTTTGCGTTGCTCAAAGGTCGTCCATAAATTAAAGTCATACTGTAATAATAATAATAACTATGGTGTCAATGAATAACAACCCATAGTTTACTACTTATTTCGAGAATATAAACAAATTATGGTTATTCTTCTTGTGTTTGTTAACAACTAAAAGGAAGAATCTGTAAACAAATTTACCTTACGAAAAGAAAACAAAATAACTAGAATTGTGTACACTGTTACTGTGTATGCGTTACCAACAATACTATTCAATTACCTTTTTGGATTGTAAATAAAAAAAAATGTTATTTTACAAATAGAACATGATGTTACCGTGATGATTCACAATTTTCTTCATTTTTTTTCCTTTGAAACACCAATGTTGACATATTTTTGGGTTCTTCATTAGTGATTCATCTGTTCTTTTTTCTTGCTTGAAAAGTGATGTTGGTTTAAAGAGGTCGTTTTTGAAATAAACTTTAATTCCTAAATCTGAATATGGAAATTTCTCTTTATTTCCTAACTTTGGTTAATCTGGAAAATAAACCGGTAAAGATTTATTTTGTAGAGATCTAAAAGAAAAAGATTATGAAATATATCTATGATCACTATCACTGCATAAAGATACACTTACTCACTTATTTACGCCTGTTACTCCCAATGGAGCATAGGCAGCCGATCAACATTCTCCAACCCACTCTGTTCTGGGCCTTCCTTTATAGATCGATCCAATTTTTGTTCATTCTTCTAGTGTCTATCTCCCTTACTCGGCTTAATGTGTCTTTTGATCTTCCTCTTCTCTTTTGATCTTGAGGAGTATAAGTGAGGGCTTGTCTTGTTCCTCAATGTCTTTTCTATCCACTTCCAGCGTTTCTTTCTGATTTCTTCCTACGCTGGAATCTTCCATAGTAGGTTGTTGCTGATAGTGTCTGGCCAACGGATCCGAAGTATTTTACGTGCACAACTGTTATTAAACAGTTCAGGATGATGGATTTCGTAGTTCTCCAAGTTTCTGCCCCCCATCTGTGTTGAAAATGGTGACTTAGGTGTTGGTTGACAGTTGTTTTGAGTTAAGGGTGTTCTAATTACAGGCACTTCCGGGATGTATCTTTTCATTTTTACAGTAACTTGGATGATTCTCCCGGTATCCCACATTGTAAAAACACTAAATATACCTAAATTAATTGTTGTTCTGGTTGTCAGAAGAGGCATCACCTCGTGTCTTCCGAAGGAAGTCGGCTTTCACCATGAGAGGTCATAACTCTTCTAAATAAAGACCTTCTAACTGCCAGGGCAGAGTTTAAATGGTTTGAATTATTTTTGTCTAGTTTGCGTTTTTTTAGCGAGTTAGTTTTCTACAGGATTGGGTCGCTAACCCTATGGTCAATTCTCATCTTTCATCTGGGCGTGAGACCAGCAGTAGTCCTAGATAGGCTTCAGGCGAAATCATAAAGATCCACTGAACAACAAAAATACCATCTTAAATCACACTTACGTTAAAAGGACGTCTTCTGCAATGAGCAAACAGACCTGAAAACACCAAGATTCAAATTTCTAAAAATCTAAAAACCACAAGCAAGTTAATGGTTTTACTTGAGGACTAAAACATTACAAACAGATTTAGATGATTGTTTCATATTAATCTGATAAACTATGATCCTTTACTCTCATGACTGACGGGATATAAAACAGGACCTTCAGTTTTTTCTATTATTTAAACTAATTTCATTCCATAATGAAAATTATGTTTAAATTGAGCAAAAGAGTACAGATAGAAAAATCTATAAGTGGTGTGTGCTACTGATATCGACAGATATATGTAGTATGTATCATCAATCGAAAGTGAAGTACCTGGTGGTAGAAAGTTAAGAAGATCGAAGAAAAGAAAACGAGAACGGAGAATGATTGGCGTGGAAACGAAAGAGTAATAAAGCCTGAGACGATTGATAGAAAGTTTGCAAATGAAGTACTTACGGTACGGTGCTCAGATTTTACTAAGAAGTTCTGAAATTTTGTATTCAATTACATTCGTTCACTACACATACATATCCGTTGTATATGACAATATAATAGAACATCTTTTGTCATTTAAATTTGTTATTAAATTTTCAATTTATCACTGATAATAGGAACATGAAAATCTAAAACGTACTGGTTTGTTAGAACCATCTCATAATCTCCTGAATTCAGCTAATAATTTATTAGAACTACTTGGTCGTATGTCAAGCCAAACTGGCAGTTCAACTTCTACATCAAACACTGGTCCTAGACATGCAAGTGTTGTAGCACGTGAACACGTAGCTGCAATTACTTCAAAAGCTGGAATGACTAGAAGACATGCAGAAGATATTTGGAACCGTCGTGATCATCTACTTCAATTAAGATTAACTGTTGTTTCTATGGAAGCAGAATTAGAACGTATTGTTGATTGGTTTGTAAAGGTAAATATTTTAAATTAATTCTCTAAGATCTTATATACCTATAAAAGTATATACTTTCACTAGGTATTCACTACTTATCTTAACAAAGATGACTATAAGAATGGATTGTATAACGGGCATTACTGTTTTATCAGTATAGGGTTGTGGGGTTCATGAAGTTTTTGGTTGAGATCATGAACCAATCGATGTTAGACCACTATTGAAAACCTGGAAGCACTGGACGGCCGTTTCGTCCGATTGTGGGACTCCTCACCAGTACGCATCCACGATCCCGCTCGCGAGATTCGAACCCAGATTCTCCAATCTCGCACGCGAATGCTTAACACCTCAACCACTGAGTCGTCATCCAACCGTCTTAATGCCTAACCTCAACAAATCCTCGAAATTTTGCGACCATCTTCCATTGTTCCGAGGTAGATACGTGTTTCTACTCGACATGGATTAGCTCCACTGGTCACGGCTTCTTACCAGAACTCCGAGAATTGTTTTAAATAATCACTTTCTGCAACAATGTTTTTTACATGACTACTTATCTGATGAGTATGCTCTTATTGAATAAAACAGTAGCTATAAATGAGAGCATACATCATTTCACACATATGAATTAATTCGGCTATCGTAATAATAAGATATTAGTCAGCAATTACACAGTGTATAGTTACTTATAACAATATACAAATGGTTTTTAACAACAAATAGATCATTTACAATACAAGTAATCAATTTTTATTATCTTTTCTATTATAGACTGGTGAACCACGTTTTTCAGACTTACAAGTTGGAACAAGTTTATCTGAATGTCAAACTAATTTAGATAGACTGATGACATTAGCAGACGAAGTACGTGATTTACAAAGTGCTCATTCACATTTAACTCAAGATCTTCATCAAGCAACAACTACCGATTCTTGGCGTAGAAAACGTGAAAAAAGTGTTTCTGAAATATTACGTGCACAAGAACAAGAATTAGGAATTCATTCTACATCATTAAGTATGGATGTAGATAATGAAAATGAATTGAAAAGTATTCATGATTCCGATACATGGCGTGTTACACATGGTGCATATTCTGAATTAATTACACGATTAAGAACTACTGAATCTTATATTTGGGAATTTTTAGATCGAATTGAAAATCGAAGACGTCAATTGCATACTAGTGTGATTTATTATAGTGAAGCCAATGTGGTGAGTTTGAAATGATTAGCTTATTATTATTATTATTATTATTATTATTATTATTATTATTATTATTATTATTATTATTATTATTATTTCAATAGTTGAGATCATGAGTCAGTTGAAGCTAGACCACCATGGAAAACCTGGAAGCACTGGAACTTATTATTATTATTATTATTATTAAATCAGTTAATTTTATGGACGTTTATAGAGGATAATTTACAAATATTTTCACTTTAACTAAAGTTTATCGTTGGAACTTACAGCATTGAATGAAAGCTCCTGTCGGGTGATAAATTAGAACTTAAAAGAGAAATAATGCATGTTTAACTTTTTAAATCCCCCCAACATTTTATAAGTTGCCCATATAAGATTGTCTCTTCTCAATTTTTTTCCCTTCAGTTACTTAGCCAAATCTATCAGCTGGAATCCGATATGAAAAGGACACGAGATCTTCAGCAAACTGGATTAGAGGAAATTTATTATAATAAATTAACTGATCTAGAAGTACGAGTACCTGGATTAAAACAAACAATGAATGAGTTAAGAACAAGTTATAATGAAAAAATTAGGCCATCTAATTTAAGATCACAACTTGGTGTGACAACCCAATCTTACGTTGATGAATTGGATCTCACTACAATAGCATCAGCTTCAGTTACTGGAAAAATGCGTGAAGTTGAAGAAGGTATTACTAGATGCCGAGATCTGCTGAACCAACATAAAGAATTAACTATTAAAGTACAGAAACGTGAAGAAACAGAATTTCGGTTAAATGAAGTAGGTTATGATACGTATTTCTTTTTAGCTAGTCACTTTTTTATTGTTACGACGACATTAACAATTGTCTTTACATTAAGATGGAATTCTACCGAGCCCATATTAATGTAATGATTGTTTAACTACTTATAAGTAGTATAAAAATACAATGCATTAGTTCGACATCACAATACCAACGTATGAATCAAATTTTTTTCTGTTCATTTTTGTTTTAGCTGAGCATGTGGTTAAGTCAAAGGATTCACCGTTCGCTCGTGGAATATGGAAAGTATGGCACAACAGTCGAACAAGTAGCAGATTTTGAAGATGTACATCGGCGTCTTCAACGTGAGCTGCAATCTAGAGAACCTGAGTTAGAAGAATTAAGAATTGCGATTAGTCGACTATCTCCACCTGCTGGTAGATCGAGCTCACAGGTAATCTCCAGTTCATTATCACTGGGACACTTTTTAATTGATTGTGTCGTTATTTGTTCAGAAGTGATTACGAAGTGATGGTACATTCTAGTTACTTAAATAAAGCCTATCTAACAAAATACCATATTCAGTTAACAGATTGAGACGTAATGCGTGTGAAATAATCCTATCAGCATAACTGAACAGAAAATTGAATTATCTGACCTTGTGTTCAGCTATCGTGAAATCCTATGAGAATTCTGATTCTTCCCTTGTACTTAACAGCGAAGGGATATAGTGTCACAAAAATATTTGTAATGCTTATAGGATTCTGAGATGTTGCTGTTGGTGTCGTTGCTGTTGATGATGATGATGATGATATTTTAAACCAAAGATAAAGGTGTTATTAACGTTATATTGAGTGAGTTGGACAATTCTATTGTGAAACTTTTATGACCGTTCTAGTTAACGCTATCAGCCTAAACATGAAAACTAGTCCATTTACTTTTTGTACAGATCCGTAGAAAAAGATATCCCAAACAGATCTTTTGCTGCGGCTGTTAAGACCTATTCCAGTCATCTACAGTCTTTTCAAAGTCTAGTATATTTTAGTAATCGACATTATTCATATAATTACTGAATATAAAAGTTCTATTCTTTCAAATAAAATACCAGTTAAGAACACCAATTTCACCAAGTTTAGCGAAGGAATCTCTTTTCAAGACTGATAAGTCCTGGGTTTCAATCTCGCGCGGCGGGACCGTGGATTCTCACTGTTGAGGAGTCCCACAATAGGATGAAACGGTCGTTCAGTGTTTCCAGGATTTCATGGTGGTCTAGCTTAAACTGACTCATGATCTCAACTATTGAAATTACTACAATCCCCACAAAACCCCTTCTGGTAAATATGTATGAGAACGTTTTGTTAAACTACTAGTTCCGTGAGGAAATGTGAACAGGGATTAACCAAGATTATGTAATATGAGACATAAGTAAAGGGAGAAGTGCAGTGATAATAATAATTAACAATAACGATATGACGTACTCCTTTTGTACGCATAGTTCTGTCTTCAGCTCATGGTTGGCAAGTGCTTCGGCTATTTTTAGGAGTTGGATACGAAGAAACCTAGGAAGATTTCAACGAATCATATATACAGCCTTAAAATCAAACTGTGGATCAGTAGAATGATTATAGTCGATTAGGTGTTCAAGTATAGAGCTCCTAACTGCTTTCCTCTCACCCTTGTAAAACCAAACTGGGTTGTGTTCTTGTATCCGAGTTGAAAGCGAGCACTGGCTTCGACCATTGTGCCTTGTTCCAAAAGTGCAGATGAACTGGTAAATGTAGATGGGGGCGATCAGACTTAGAAGCTTATCTTTTATGGATAGAGAAAATAAGTTCCTACTAGTAAAGGTTATTTTATTTTATTATCACAAACGACTAATGTGCTCCCGTAAAAATCGATTGATTTTCCTCCATATAATATAAAACCGTCAAACGCCATTTAAACATCACCCGGTTTATTCTTTTTTTAAATTTCTTTCTGCAGGATCGTTTAAATGAACTGTCATCTTGTTGGACACGTTATAGGCAAATAATTCAATTACGATTGGAATTAGCTAGTCAATTCTCTTCTTTACTAAAGGGTATACGTGAGAATGATGCTCATTTTAATTCGACAATTCAAAAAATGAATGAAACTGATAAAATAAAATTAACAACAACTAATTTAGATTTTCATCCAAGTTGGGTAATTGGTACTGCCGATACACAACAAATAGCTGAACGAATTCGACGTGAATTAAATATGACTACAAGTAGTTTAGAAGAAGAACAAATAATCATTCGTCAATTTATCAATCACGTAAGTATAACAAAACAATCATTTGGATCAAACCAGAGTTTTTTTCCTTAATTTTGTAGTGTCTTTTCTAAAACAAAAACAATAAGAAAATACGGAACCCACATAGAATATTCCTAGGAGTATTTGAGTAAAATATGTATTCAGACAGAAGGGTAAATGAGGTAATGATTATAATAATGTAACTTAGCACCAAGATGTGTGTAGTTTATCGAGTCCTGGGTTCAAGTTGGGCGTGTGAGATCGTGGGTGTGGATTGCTGAGAAGTTTCATACTAGGACGAAACACCCGTCCAGTGTTTCCAGGTTTTCAATGATGGTTTAGCTTAGATCGACTCATGAATTCAACTGTTAAAATTATTAGCATTTTATAAATGCATGATACATACCTCGGAAGAATCTTGAAATAATGATGCCGTCTGGCAGTGAAACGATTTCATTCATACTGATGGTTGCTTTTCGGTGTTCTAAAGCGCCATTGTCGTTGGGACATTGTAAGGCGTGTCACCATTGGTAACATAAATGAATTTGACTGTCATGCGAGCGGAATAGATCAACTTTACCCTGTTTATGCTGTGTATAATTGATTCACGTGATCATCGATAGGAATAACTATACATGTGACGTGAATGTGTATATGAACGGTGCGAATGGTCCACCAGAGTGCTTTGTACCTGTATGGTTGCGCCACAGGATTGAGTTGTACTATTCACATTGTAGCGTTAAAGCCTATATGGTGTCTGGTTCTCCTGAAAACCAATGTGAAATTACTCTGGCCCACAAAGGTATATTATATTGTGGTGTGTGCCACTTATATTGACATAAGTAGAGTATGATGTTAGTCGTGAACAGAAGGTCTGGCAGTAGAGAGACAAAAGGATCGAACAGTAAAGAATGGATACAGTATGCAATTTGTATGAAAATGCAAGAACAATGAAGTCTGAGTCATTTTGAGACAATAGGGGGCATTTTGCAGATTAAGTATTTACTTTAAGATTGTTAGATTTTATCAACAAGTCCTGTAATTTTATATTATATACATTCGATTGTCCCCACCCATGTTCTGTTCGCTACAATATAACTAACTATAACAGTGAACAACCTAGTAATATTTTTACGAAACTTTTCTAGCGAATATTTGTTCTTTCGATCTTTTTCTTGTACAGATTACTCAAAGAGCTGATCAAGATTTGCAAATAACCGAAACAGTTCATTTTTGTCAAGTTCAATTAGAACTAAATAATAAACGTTTAAATCAATTACGTGATTCTTGGGATAACTGTCAACAATTATGGGATCAATATAAACTTGCTCAAGAACAATGGACTATATTTACAGAAACAGCTCATCGTGTAAGTTATATCATATTATTAAATGAATATCACTATATGGTAATAACTGAAGAACTGTCAGTTAGCCAGTTACAACGTAGGACCAGGCACATACATGCATCGGTCCAAGTTGCCACACCCCATTAGCACAGCAAGACGAACACCAGATTCATAGGAGAACTGTAGATTAATACTTCACAGTGGTATCTATGGAAAACTGAACTCAGAAGATCAGTCTCATAACGTAAAGTTTAATTTAAGGCTTTTGATTCAGAGTTAAACAGTTCATAAATTAAACTACAGTTAATTTGTGATAAATATTAATAACCATTTATAACTTTATTTCAATCCCAACATGACTAGATATTGTTAGTTAAGATTTTGCACTGAAACTTCAGAAGTTCAGGTGAGACTATAATTTATGGATGACCTTTAAGAGACGCTAGACTGACCCTGAGATTGTTCACTTAATAACCAGGACCAAATGAGGGTTATAAACCTGTGTGAGGAATTAGGATCTTGATTTACAGTTGACGATTAAGGTTAGAGATTAGATTTCAGGTTTTTATTACGAAATGACATTAATTTTAATGCCAAAACTCTATTTATCCAAATGGATGAGTGAATTTCGCGCCGAAATCTGAGACCTATTATCTTATATGTGATTGGTTCGTCCATTTCAAAGTTAGTTATAACTGAACATTTAAAACAACTTTTCAAAGATTTCTAACCGTTACTACTACTGTAAAGAATATCAGCCTTTAATGAAAACTATCTTCAATCCAAATCTATTTCTACTAACCAGATAATTAAATAATAACCAATATGTGTTTTCTGTTTCATCATTTATCATAACTTTCTAAGCATTTGTGAATACTTTGAAGAATTTAGTCAAGAGTCTGTTAATTATGAGTTGATTTTTAATGTTGTCAAGTAATTTATTTATTCATTAAAAATGTATAACCATTTGTATAGACATTATGTCTATTATATATTTTTGTGATAATATAGTTGGATGAATCGATAACATCATCACTTTCACGTATGTCCAGAACACCATTGCCGAATCAACCATATGAACTTGCAGAAGCTTTAAGGGTTCATCATAATGAGCGCAATGAAATAGATCATTTAACATTGAATTTAAAAACAGAAGCTCAACAATTAGGCTCCATGATTGGTGCACAACCGGATGATCATGACTATAATAGTCAAAGTTGGAGATTTATTGAAGTTCCGAATAAATTCACTTCTGGTCTACCATTATCAACTATGGGAAAACGTTTACGTTCAGAAATGTGTTTACAATTAGCTGGTTTAGAAACAAGGTGGAACGCATGGGATAAAGCATGGACATCAAGAAGTATACAACTGGAACGACGTGGTACACATTTTGGACAGTTAACAACTATTGAGGTAAAATTATTTCGATTTAAGTTGTTTATTTGGTGTTTTTATTGGAGAACTTTCGAAAAGTATTCTCATCGTTCTCGTTACTTAACATTATATATATATACGCTACATTGGTTAAAGTGGACGTCCATTTCATCTTTGCCTGCATGAGGATCAATTAACCGTCAAACGCCGTGATTTATCCTCGATTACATTCATGTTTGTGAACAACTGTGTACACACATTCGACTGGTAAAATGTTGAGATCTTGGGCAGAAGGAATTTTTAGAAGCTTGGCACTCCAGTCAATCATCAGTCAACAAACACATTGAAATCGACCCAAACAATTAACCAATCAGAATAATCGTGGACAGATATAGGACCAATAATCAAATCAATAGTATTGTTCAGAAGAACGATGAAAGGTCCATGACCAAACCATACAGCTCCAAGAACTTAACGCCACATGAATTATCCATCTGTGCTACAAATCTTCTTCATCATCTCACAGTGGTTTAAATAATGTTATAAGCTATTACTTTCGCAAACGTAACCATGTTTCGAATAATTAATAAAATTAACTTATGATTTAAGAGCAAAGTTCTGTTGTTATTATTCAAGTGTGAAATAGTAAAGATTCGCCAATAAACGATTCGTCAACATTTATAATTGAATGGTTACTGAATGATGATCAATGTCATGTATATCAGGTCCTTGTTAGTGCAGATCGAATCCTACCAACCAAGTTGCATTGTGGCCACAAGTCAAGGTGGCTTGTTTTATTTTGAAAGCTTCACTGAATTATACTGATACATACATACTGAAAGCCATTGTCTCTTGTGTCCAGTCCATTATTCGTCATTGAAAACTGTTATCTTTAGAAATATGTATAATTTATTTTTATTTTATTTATTTTATTTGAACACATAAATATTGATAAAAGAGGGCACCAACTATATATGCGCCACACAAAACAATCAGAATTGGAAGAGAAAAAAAGAACAACAACGAACAGATTAGTGTAAGGTAGTGTAATGGTAATAAAAAAATAATAATAGTAACGGAAAGGTACAATCAGAAGAAATCCTTCAGTTAAGGAAGAAACAACCGCTTTTTATGAAGAAAGTAAAAGAAGGTTTTAGCAGGATCGCCACTGGCTTCTATTCTGAGCCATATCTGATAACTTCTCTAGCCACTGTGTAGCACCATCTCTCGGACCCCAACCAGAAAGTCGTGAAGGACCGACAGAAGTCAGTCCTTTGTAGCTTTCTTTAATGCCACGACACTATGTCATACACCGACCACCTCTTCGCTTTTTCCAACCAGTCCCAGAGTCGGCAAATGATGCACTACGTGGAATTCTCTGGGACGACATTTGTGGAACTTGTCCAAGCCACCGAAGTCGATGTTTCAAGATGGTGACACCAACTGCATTATCGTCCCTGCGCCCGAACACACGATGCCGAACCTCTGCATTACTGACATGGTGTTGCCACTGGATGTCAGCAATCCTTCGGAGACAACGATGATCGAACACAGAGAGTCGTCTAACATCCTCAACTCGAGGGTCCAGGTTTCACAAGCATAGAGGAGAACTGCTCTCACTGATGCGCTGTGGATCCGACCTTTTACAGCCAGACTAACATCACGAAGGCACCAAAAATGGCCCACATTGGCATAAGCCGCTCTGGCTTTCACTATACGTGCATTGATCTAATCACTCACGCCACCACCAGCACTTATGCAGCTACCTAGATACACGAACTTCTCGACTACTTCTATCTGCTCACCATCCAGGGTGAGTACAGGATTAGAATCCTGCCTGTCTTGTAGAAGTGCTTTGTACTTCGAAGGTGCAAAGCACATACCATACCTAAGGACGCTAATTGCCAACTGATTAATTGTGGATTGCATGGCTTGAGCGTTATCACACAGTAAGAAAATATCATCCGCATACTCAAGGTCAAGAAGCCTTTCTCCAGGCAACATATCTACACCGCCGTTACTTACATCCATCAGAGCTGTTTCCAGAACGTCATCGATGGCAAAGTTGAAGAGGAATGGTGAGATTGGGCAACCTTGCCTAACCCCACTGCTTGAATGAAACAATGGAGAGAAGTGGTTGTATGCCCTCACTCTACCTGAGGTGTTTGTATATAGTATAGGGCCTTTAGGATGTCAACAAACTTCTCAGGCACACCCTTCTTCAATAGACAATCCCAGAGAACAGTCCTATCCAACGAATCGAAGACAGCCCTAATGTCAAGAAACGCTACGAAAAAAAATGTTTTAAAGATAGAAAAGCACTTTTCTCTTTAAACTATGCGTTATAATCAGTATGTCACTGACAACTTAAGACCTGATAAAATTGTATACTGTTGGAATTCTCAGAGTTTATGGAAAAGTAAAAATGATTTTGGGTAATAGGGTAAAACTAAGAGTGAGTACTATGAAAGTGCATTACAAAACGTATAATTTAAATAAAATAAAACAAACAATGAAACTTCAACAATCTCCACAACCTCATACTGATAATTATCATATACTCACTAGTGACAATCCTTGAGAGGTAATTTTTGGAGTTCTAGTAAGGAGCCGTGACCAGTGGAGTCCAGTCGGTGTCGAGTGTAAAGCAGTTACCCACTGAAGATAGTCACGCAATATCGCGAATTAGTTGGAGCTAGATATTAACAACGTTGGATGCCGTCTCAGTGGTCTACAGGTTAAGAGTTGACTCACGAGACTGAAGGTCCTGGGTTCGAGTTGAATGTGTGAAATTGTGGGTGCGCACTGCTGAAGAGTTTCACATTATGACGAAAGAGCCGTCGGTTGAACAGTGTTTCCAGGTTTTCACTAGCGGTCTAGCTTAGATCGACTCGTAAATTCAACTGTGAAAATATTTTAAACATATTTTTCATTCATGTATTTGTGCACTTTACTCAGTATATAGTAATACTAGAATCCTCTTCTATACGATAATCTATTTTGTAATTAGTTGTATAACAAAACTTAAATGTTTTATGATGTATATATTATATATTTTCAAGGAGATAGAAGCAGAAATTATTTCAGCTGAAAGAAAATTACAACAGATTATGGGAATGGTTTCATTAACTGCACCATTATCACAAGTTCAAATTGCTGATAGAGATCTTAGTCAAATTGAGGCTACGATACCAGTAAGTATATATGATTAGATAATAAATAATATTTTCAGTATAGAGTTGTGGAAATCATTAAGTTTTTGATTGAGATCATGAACCGATTGATGTTACAACATGTGCTCACTAGTGAATAGCTTCATGAGGGAATTCTCGGAGTTCTAGTGAGAAGCCGTGACCAGTGGAGCTAATCCATGTCGAGTAGAAACACGTATCTACCTCAGTACAATTGAAGATGGTCGCGAAATTTCGTGGATTGGTTGAGGTTAGACATTAACACGGTTGGATGACGACTCAGTGGTCTAGGTTTTAAGCGTTCACACTCGAGACTGAAGGCCCTGGGTTGGAAGCCATCGCGCAGGATCGTGGATGCGTAGGGCTGAGGAGTCCCACAATCGGACGAAACGACCGTCCAGTGCTTCCAGGTTTTCAATAGTGGTCTAACATCAGTTGGTTCATGACCTCAATCAAAAACAACATTTTGTTAGTTTTTAATAGTGTATTATCCTTTAAATTAAATGATTGAATTTTTAAACATTTTATTATGTTTCTATGCTTACTTTAAATAGAAGTGAATCTACTCATCTTAGAGCAAAATTCAACTTTGATATACGATTAATTAATACTAGAATAAGTCATTGAAAAGTAAACAATATTATTCACTTGATGTTGTTTACTTGTATCTTCCTATTTTTATTTAGAACTGCAATTGACCAGTCTCTTGTTGGCATATGTGCATCCTGTGCGGACTGCCTCGATATTGCCTGAAGTTATAAACTTTATAGGATGAAATGCGCGTCCTGTATTCCACTGCTAGCCACTATCCATCTTTGCTTATAAACAATATTATGTTGTTTTGAGAATAAGGTTAACAGTTTTCAATATATATTAATATATGCTTTACTCACTGTGAATGATATTGCATTTATTAAAGGTTAGCTAAAAATAAGTTACATAAACTCATGTACGACCTGAAGTTTGTAAATCATGGTACAAATCTAGGCTACTATTAATCTTTGGTGTGGCTGGAGACGTTAGAATGCAGTTAAATAATCTATCAAATGACTTTGATGGCATTTTGTTCTCTGAGCTGGATGGTTTGGTCGTGGAGTTTTCATCGTTCCTCTGAACGACATCATCAGCACAAAACTTCATCTAAAGAGCTCCACGATCAAACCATCCAGCTCAGAGAGCAAAACTCCATCAAAATCATTCACCTGAACTACAAATTTTCTCCATTATCAAACAACGCTATACTATAAATAAAATCCCCATTAACTTGATATGAAAAGCTGGATTTAATAATAAATAACTGATATAAGTATCCATATATTTTTTATCACTTTCAGGTTTTACACAGTCGAATACGTTCTAGTGCTCCTGATATGAAATTACAGTTAATTCAAGGTGAACCATCACCAACGGAATATACTGGAACAAATATTGATTTGTTAAATGTTTCAAAACGTCATGAACATCTTGAAACACGTTTAACAACATTCACACAAGAAACTGTACGATGTCGTACTGAAATTAATTTAACTCTGCGCTTATTAAATGCAGTAGATACAGCACAGAAAGCCTTATCACAGATAACATTTAATTTAGATCGTGTTAAAAATCAACTACCAGAAATTTCTTCAGAAAATCGTTATCAGATTGAAGAGATACGTTTTGATATATCAGAACAAATTAATAGAGGACGAGTACTAGCTGATACACATATACCAGTCTTGGAACAATTATCTATTCAATATCCACGCCGTAAGTTTACTCAATTTTTGTTAATGAAAGTATATCAGCTAGATTATGTACTTATTTAAAGGATAATTCTCTATTCTAACTTACATTCTTTAAAGAATAGCTGAATATCCTGATGAATATGACAACTGTTTCATTCTAAAGAAGGAATAACCAAAACAAACACAGAAATGATACACTAGTTAAAGCCAAACAGAAGAAATGAGGTTGAAGATCAATGAAATTACTTTGGGGTGTTTTTTATTGTTAAGATAACTGAATAACAGATTATCAATGTTTTAATATAATGAGATTGTAGTGAACGAGAACACAAATAGGCAAAATCAAATGTATTTCAACACAAAATTACAGAATATCTTAGTAAAATCTGAGAACCATACTGTAAATTCTTCATTTGCAAAATGTCAATCAGTTGCGATTACAATTGATTGACGTTACCACTGAGCTATCCGATCCATCTAGACTGGTGGCCACATTGCAACATAGTCGATAGCATTCGATCTGCACTAATAAGGACTTGACACACATGACATTGATCAACGCACAGTGATCAATCAATTGTGATTACATCTCAGTCCTACAGGAGGTCGGTCGCGGCCCGGATAGCTCAGTGGTAATGTCTCTGACTGTGAAGTTGGGTGATACGGGATCAAGTTCGTCAGGGAGCACCAGTTCCCTCAAGATTTCAGATACACGTTGCTGACAGTTGCCAAGTAGCACGAAACCCGGGTCCAGGGTTTATTGTCGACTACCTCCAACCACCATCTAATGTCAATCAATTGTCTTAAACTTAACTGTTCCTTTTGTAAAATATCCGTCAATCGTCTCACACTTCATTGTTCTTTTAATTCCATATCAATCAATCTCTGTTCTCATTCTCCTTTCTTCAATCTTCTTAACTTTCTGCCATCAGACATAACGTTTTCGATTGATGATACATACTACTAATATCTGTCAACATCAGTAGCACACCACAAGATAATTATTCAATAAAATGGTCATAAATGTCAGTCAGTCAGACACAACGTAGGACCAGACACATATGCATATCGGTCCAAGTTACCATGCCTCATCAGCACAACAAGATGAACACCAAATTCATAGATGTAGTGGCAATATATAAAAGAAAGATTGTATATAAGGATATAATACATGAAGAAAGAATTAATTCATAGAAAGAAAGATATAAAATAATTTTAACCTCACGGTTTAAAGGAAGACAAAGAGTGTATACACCCAAGCCTTTGTGATAGATTCTGAGCCATATCACTCAGAGCCTCTAACCACTGGTTACGATAGTAGCGCAGACCTCAGCCAAGTAGTCTGCATCTACCAACATGGCTCAGACTAGAAGTTAATAACTTCATGGACTGATGCCGTGTTTTGGTTTGGCCACGCTTAACTTTCTTCCTACCATCCCCTACACTAGTGAGCATTGAGCGTCGTGGTAATCAGTGTTCAGGCATACGCAACATGTGGCCCAACCATCTCAGTCGATGAAGATTCACAACCTCATCAACTGATTTACCATCATGATTCCCTGATACCCTGAGTCTAACCTCACTATTACTAACCCTATGATCCCAGAAGATGCGAGCAATATTTCAAAGACATTCGTGGTCAACTATTTGTAACTTACGAGTATCTTCTACTCTTAATGGCCACGTTTCGCAGGCGTAAAGTAGAACAGAACGAACCGCCGCGCAGTATACTCTCCTTTATTCCATAGACCAATATCTCGCTTTCGCCATAGGTGACGTAAGTTAGCAAAAGCCAAACGAGCTTTTCGAATCCGTGCTGAGATTTCATCAGACACCAATCCATTAGGGCTGATCAGACTTTCAAGATAAGTGAAGTTGTCAACGCGTGCGACTACTTCACTCCCTATCCTTAGTTCAGGTGTTGACGCAGACCAGTCGTGAATCAACAACTTGCGTTTAGAGGAGGAGAAACGCATCCCAAACATTCTGGCATTGTTGCTCAGTGCTATCAAAAAACTCTGCATTTTATCAGCGTCCTCACCAAACACGACTATGTCATCCGCGTATTCTAAGTCGATAAATGGACCTCCTGGAAGGAGATCAACGCCCGAAAATTCAGTCGACGAGAACGTTGTTTCCATCAGCAGGTCCATGATGAAATTAAACAAAAATGGAGAAAGTGGACAGCCTTGACGGATAGCACTTGAGTTTGAAAAAGTAGATGACAGTTCGTCATAAGCTCTGACTCGACTAGTAGTGTACTACACTACTGTAAACTGATAGTTGAAGAATAAATTACTAAGAAACTTTCATACAATACAATACATTAATGATTAGTTATATTCCAGTTATCATACATCATGTATCATTCAAGCATCCTTTCAACAATAATATTCATGCATTCATCTTGAAATATTCATATATTTCTTTTTACTATGAATTATGAAAGTTGTTCATTTCCTACCGTATTACTTTACTATCCCATATTGATAATCCTAATCTGATTCTTTTCCTTCTGTTCTTCTTTTTGACTTATTCTTTAAGCTATGGAAGCAAAACAATTTATCCAGCCTATTGTAAATGAGTTTCAATCATCTATTAATAATTTAAATCAATTATCAGATGAAATTCGTATAAGAACAGAACAATCCATTAATTTACAACGTTTACAACCTACACATGTATATGATGATCAAATGAAAGCCACTACACTTACAATGCCAATAAAAGCTAAACCACCAATAATTATTAAACCATTAGAAAATATAACTATAGAAGAAGGTAAAAAAATTATTATGGAAACAATATTTGATTCTGGTCTTCCACCAGGTAAGCAGTCATTTCAAAACAAACTATTTTTTTAATAGCTGAATTCATAAGTCAATGTAAGCTAGAACACCATGGAAAACCTGGAAGCATTGGATGTTTGTTTCGTCCTAGTATTAAATTACCGAAATTTCAACAAAACCCCGCTTATTAGTAGCTGGCTTCAAGAAGTTTTTCCTGGAGTTCTAGTGAGAAGCAGTGACCAGTGGGGTTCAGCCGGGTTTGTTGAGACAGTAACTCACTGAATACATTGGAAGATGGTCGCGCAAATTCATGGGTTGGTTAGAGTTAGACAACAACATTTGATGCCAGCCGGCCCAGTGGCCTAGACATTCGTTCACATGACTGATCGATCCTCGGTTTGAATCCCGCGTACGGTATCGTGGATGCGTACTGCTGAGGAGTCCCATACCAGAACGAAACGGCCTTCCAGTGTCTCCAAGTTTCCCATAATGGTCTAGCTTTAACTGAATTATGAATCCAACCGTCATATTACTAAAATCTCCACAAAACCCCCCTTCAGATAACTATATTTTGTTAAATCTTCATTCAAAGCAAAATAACAATCTCGTATTTCTGATGTTTATTGGATTAATGTAAGTCACTTCTTCAGAGAAGTAGTTCAATTTATTTGAAACTATCAATTCAAACCTTAGCATTGATACCTTTAAAAGATAACAATCGTTTATTTATTTATGGCATAATTTGTCCTTAACTACTTATAGTCTAATAATAGTAAAAATAAGAGTTAAAATGATAACATACTTTGTATTTGAAACATTTGGAATATAGTTGGCTATAATATCATGATTTATATGAATGCAATATCAAAACTGTGAATAAAATAAATATTCACACTTTAGAATAACATCATGAATGGATCAATGTTAGACTACTATTGAAAACTAGGAAACACTGTACGGCCTATGGTTGTTTCGTTGTAGTATGAGACTCTCCAGCAGTGCGCGTCCACGATCCCACACACCCGATTCAAACCCATAACCTTCAGTTTTGTGTGCAAACTTTTCACCTGTAGACCACTGAGCCAACATTTTCATCGTTGAGTAACATCTACTGGAGAATAATTATTGACCAGAAATTGTTAGCTAATTGTCTTATTTTAATGTAAGATTATAGGATAGTGAGGATTTTAATGTTTACCCCATCAATGGCCTTCATGTCTACAAAGAATGAAATGAATTCCGTAAAGCTTTAATTAAACATTAATAATCAAAGAATAAAATCTTAAAAATAATTCCTAACTTTGGTAATTAATAAGTCATCAGTACTTTGACACGAGAAAATTAATAATCACCAATAACACTAAATAAATAAAGGGTTATAAAATAATCAAGGAAAGATTAAGGAAGATAGCTGATTCAGTCTGTTGAATGTCACTTCGGTATCCCGAGTTATCGTTTAACATAATTAACGGATATAATTTTGTCTTTACTATAAAAAGAATAAACAACCGAGAAGATAGTATGCGTTACATAACCCATTCTTTATCTTTCATCAAATGGCATAATATTTATGGATAATTATAATACTTCATTTCAGATATTAATATAAGCCTTAAATAAGCATAAAAGATCATAAGCTTGGTAACAAATCTTTAGATACAGTTGTCATAAATACTCATTTAATGAATGATTAAGATTTAAATCTTTAGCAGGATAAAATAAAAATTAAATACATTATTCATGATTAAATCACTGTTTAAGTTCTTCAATTTTTCTAGACGCTAACCCGTATGATACTAATCAATTACAAGTAACTTGGTACAAAGATGGAATACCTGTAGTTACTCCAGACTATGAAGTTAATTTAACAGAGAACACAGCAAGTTTGAAAATATCTGAAACTTTAAATGAAGATAATGCTATATTCACATGTTATATTAGTACACCATATGGTAAAGCTGAGACAAAATGTACGTTAACAATAATAGATACAATTAGTCCAGTACCAGTCAATGAAAGTTTAGTTCAACCTACTAGGAATGTAAGAGAACAAAAACCTATTCCTGAACTTGGTGATCCGCCTGAATTTACCAAGTAAGATCATTTGTTTTTTATTTTGTTTAACTGAAAACATGACAGTTAGGATATTATTTTTCAACTAATAATCAATAATAACATTGGGTTCTTATAAGCTATAATATGTGTTTTAAGTAACCTATGTAATGAATGGGAAGACAGGTGAGGATCTCTTGCTAAGAAATGAGAACCATACATTGAATAAATCACTTGTGAATTTCCATCATTTGTTCTTCACTGTTATAAATTGTCGTTTGAATGCTTACCAACTGTTAGTCATGTACAATCATGAACAATCATAACACGATCTCTTGTTATAACTGTAAACATTTACAACCTACCGTAATGTATATTATTAAAACATTTTTAAAAACAATCAAATCAGTATGGTGTATGCTACCGACGTCGACAAATAGAATTAGTATGTGCTAATAATCGAAAGTGAAGGTTACGAAGATCGAAGAGAAGAGAACGAGAACCGAGACCACTCACCACCATTCTCCATCCAACTCTGTCCCGAGCATTCCTTTCAAGCTGTTTCCAGTTGCTATTCATTCTTTTTAGGTCTGCTTTTAATTCTCATTGCGATGGGTTCCCTGGTCTTCCTCCTTTCCGTTTTTATTCAGACTTCCAAGTTATCGCTTGCTTCGTGATACAGTTTGATAATTTCCTCAATATATGTCCTAATTATTTCTAACTTCTTTTTCTAGTCTCCTATTCAACTGGAAATTGGTTTGTTTCCTCCTACAGTAGGATGTTTTCTGATGGTATCCAATCAACGGACAGTGAGAAAGTTCTCTGATACTCTTTTTTAAACAAAATATCTTAACAATCTAGTTAACTACACAATTTAATATCTAAACATTCATGAACTTCCATTCTGAAATACGAAGTAGTAGTAGTAGTAGTAGTAGTAGTAGAAGAAGAAGACAAAGAAAAAGAAGAAGAATGATAACTCTAGATATTTTGCTACTCGCTTGGTATTATCTAAAATATGAAATTTTATTCAGTTCTATTGATGTTCCTCACTAACTAATTGTCACTTTCATTAGAGTAAATGTATTTAGAATATGCTCATCATATTGTCCACATTGACAGTAGAAATTTTACCGATAAATACTTTGTATATAATCAAGAACTAATTATAATATTAATGTTTATTTTACTTATAGACATCTTAAATCTATGTGTATAGATGAAACTAGTGAATTGGTTTTAGATTGTCAAGCAGTTGGTTTACCTGTACCAATTTTATCATGGTATAGAAATGGTCAATTAATTGATCAAAATCCTGATTTTAAAATTACTCAATTAGCTGGATCAGGAATATTGAGGGTAAGGATACACATATTAAGTTTTTTGTTTGTTTTAATATTGTAGTTGATCGATTGATGTTAACTCGTATTTCGAAATCAAAGTAGATTGATTTAAATGGATAGTCTACCATCCCTTCAGTCAGTTATCAATGAACTTGGAGGTTAAACGGTGTTTATCCCTTCTCTGTTGCGCAAACAACCGATAGATACTTGTTCCTAAGATGATGGAGAATATTTGTAGCTTAATATAGTGTGGTTGATGTAATCTCTTAGTCGAATAGAGTGATTTCTCCTTGAAGTGTTTCATGATAATATTGTTTGGAAGAAAAATAAAAACTTCACAACAAAGTGATCCAAATCAAAGATTAAAACAACTTCTAACTGGGTTGATATCGATCATGAAGGCCTGAAATTATGACTACAGAACCCAAAAAAACAACTCTCTGAGGTCGTTTGCACGTGACCACTTTGTGATGAGTTTTTAATATTTCTGCTCCATACTCCTCAGACCGTACGGCCGAAACTTTTCAGGGCAAGGTCTGGTAAGCTTTCTTAGAGCCGACCTTCTCTGTCATCCTTTTCCCATTGAAGGAATAAGCTATAGCAAAAGGTGCTGATTACCTGAAGGAAGTGCTTTACCGCTTCTATATCCTTTGAAAGTAGTAGTAATACAACGAACATTCTGCAACATAACAATAACATGGTAATCCCTTATATTTCATTATGAATGGAATACTACAAAGTTTAAATACATTTTCTAAAATACCAACTTGATACGATTGATCCAATGTTAACTAATACTGTAATACATTTTTAATTTAAACAGTCACTTGTTCTAATTTATACATCCTAATTTTTTGATAACAGATTCCACAATGTCGAATAATGAATCATTCTGGATTATATTTATGTCGTGCTACTAATCCTTACGGTGAATGTTCAACCACTTGTCAAGTGGATATAAATCCAGCTAAGCCACCAATAATTATTCAACCATTACAAAATGTTAATCTTAAAGTTGGTGATAGATGTAAATTAACTGTTCAGTATAAGGTGAGAAATATGAATAATTATTACTATTGAGATAAAGATATATTTTGAAAGAATAAATTGTCACTTATAATTTAATATACGTAGAACATTGCTAAGTATTTATCTAATTTAGTCGATATTCAAACTGATATCATGCACTGAACTATTAGGAATGAAGAGATATTGGACATCTGTTTCTTCCTAGTATGAGGCTTCTATGATTCAGATAAGGATTGAAACTATGTATTTCAGGTTACCTGACGAACACATTATACTTAGGCTGCTTAGTTAGCTTTTACAGGTCTATATTTCAACAATAATCAATTTACAATGCGCTCCAATCACCAAACTGTCTTTAGTGAGTTATTATTTCATTCTCCACTGTATTTGGGCAATTAATACTTCTCATTAACAACACAGAATTAAAGTATATTACAAAACAACGAACACAATTTGAAATACTTTAGTTCGCTTAAAAGAAAAACTTTCCCTATATGTCAACACAGAACTGTGTCTACAAATTAAGATGTGCCGATTGTGATGCCTTCTATATTAGAGAATCATCTTGCGAAAACCAAAGAACATATTAAGTACATAAAGAAACCACATAATAATACCGGCAAATAGCATTTCACGCCATTTTAAAAAACCACCAAATCGATTTCAAAAACATCAAAATATTACAAAAAGCAAAGATGAATAGTGGTTAGCAGTGGAATCCAGGACAAAGCACGTTTCGTCCTATTTGGGACTCGTAAGCTGGATGTACCTGCATCTGAGTTGATGTTCACTCTGGGACTCGAACCCAGTACCGTTAGCTTCAAACGTCATTGCGTTATTAATGGGAAAATTCAAGTAAAACAATGCCAAGTGAATTATTAGGAAAAGATTTTTCCGATAACAATGAAAGGAGAGTAGCTGAAGCTTTCCATATAATGCTTAATCCTATTGCTCTCAATAGAAAAGAAGGCCTCACTACACATCCGACTTGTACTATCTATCCAAAATACCATATCTGATATTATTCATATTTCACAGTATTATTATACATACAAATGAAGCTCTATCCTTACTCACCATGAAGGTCACATTTCTTCATCCCTGACCTTGTACACCTACACACACACACACACACACACAAATTTACATACATATCGCTTATAAATCACCTTGACCGAAATGACATGACACTGATTTGTTCAGACCTGTTTTTTTATTGATCGCACATAATATTCTTGTGTTGTTTCTTTATATTAATTAAACCTGGATTAATTTTGATCTGATTATTTATCTACTCCGAAGAAATGGCTTACACTGAGCCACTCATTGGGATATTACAATCTACCCAATGCTCAATTCATTCGAAATGATCAAGTCAAACTTTGGTAATGATACCTACATTCTCATCAGAACGTTCTGTTAGTTTGACATTCCCGAAACTGACTAATCCAGATACATACGGATTATTTTGAATCTCATATGAGAAAAACGACTGCACCGTGTTTAGAGTAACTGAATTTGGCAATCAACACCTAACGAATCAAATAAGTTATTTTTAACAGATCATATGAAATAAATTGTAAAGAACAAAATGCACTAATCACAAATGTATTAAACAGATTGTGATTTCGAGACTGGAATCCATTAGTCGACATCAATTCAAGTCAATCAATGTGAGATTTTAATCCTGACATAGAGGTGGACAGTCTTCTTTAATTCTAATGTATTTAAGCTTAATGACTATTTACTAGTAAATAGACCAAATGTTTTTATATTCAGTAAAGAATTAATTGGTCATATTCCCATCTTTGTAATCTAGGATACGTGACCTAATCAACATAAATTCTATGTTAATTGTCATTCTTTTAATCGAAATGATATATAGCGAAAATTACAATTAAGTCTGTCAATTGAGATCATGAAACTATCAGTGTTAGACCACCATTGAAAACCTGGAAGCATTGGACGACCGTTTCGTCCTAGTATGGGACTCCTCAGTGATGCACATCCACAATCCTCCACACCCAACTCAAACCCAGAAGCCTTGGTCTCGTACGCGAACCTTTGACCTATAGACCACTGAACCGACATCCGAAGTTGTTCATGTCTGACTTCAACCAATCCATAATATTGTGTGACTATCTTCCATTGACACGGCTGAACTTTTCTGATCACGAACTCTTACTAGAACTCCTAGTACTATCTGTTGAAGCTAATCACTAGTGAGCACAATATAATTATCAATATAGGGTGGTAAAGATTTTTGAGTTTTACTGGTCTAACAATGATCGGTTCATGATATCAACTAAAACGCAACACTTTCTACAACCCTATACTGAAATCTATCAATCTTTTAAGAAATATACACATTTACATTTATGCAAATAATTTTCGATTTTGTTCGGATTTTAATATTGGCTGATAATCCCCGTCAGCATGTTGGGTGCTAAATCATTTCAAAGCAAGAATCTGGTATATAAAAACAACTATCCTAAATGATCAGCATTATTTATTATTCACTGAACAATTATTCTCTTAGAAATATGTATCTTTTTTGTAAAACAGTTGTAACCAGCAAATAAATAATTTACTGTTCTATCCAAAATGTTGAATAATTGAATTTGCACAGATACATCCAGCTGATCAGTCCCAAATAGGACGACACATGTGTCATGGATTCTATTGCTAACCACTATCCATCTTTGCTTATACATTAATTAATATAAACTAACCTTTAGGTAGTGTTATTCGGTTTATTATTATTGATTATATACAGATAGTAGTTAATATATGATTTAAAAAAGTGAATTATTCATTCGGTATTCCCATGATCAGTGACAGTGTGTCCAAATAAACTCCCCTTATTCTACCAGATATTAGTATTTTCGAGGAGCTTCATATCTTATATATGTTTGTATAGATCTAAAGACTTCTATAGAATAATTAGAATATTCTGTTTCTCGCACCATTAAATGCACAAATATTTAAGTGAAGAATATTCGGTGAAACCATAATTTATGGACGGCCTTTGAGCGACGTTAAGTGGCCTTGAGAATGTCCACCAACTGACCAGGGCTAAACGGGGGTTTTAAACCTGTGTGACGGATAAGGATTATGACTTACAATTGATTGTTAGAAATAGGGATTAGATTTAGGGTTTTCATCACGAACCGACATAAGCTAAAATGCCAAAACGCTATTTAACCGTATGGATAAAGAATTCCTCGCCGAAATCCAAGACATGTTATCGTAAATCTGATTGGTTCGTCCATAAATTGTAATCTCGCCGAATATTCTTTCCAGTAATTTTTCATTACATTCTATAATCATATATCCAAATCATTATCTTAAAATTATACCTAAGTTTATATGCAAAGATAGATGGTGAGTGGCCGTGGAATCCAGAACGCGCGCTCCGTCCTATTTGGGACTCGTCAGCTGGGTGTACCTGCATCCCAAGTTCGATGTTCACTTTGGGACTTGATATCTAAGTTTAACAAAAAATACACCTTTTTTTGAAATGAAGATACTTTAATCTGGAATCTCGGGTAAAATCGAAACAAAATAGTTTACGTTTAAATGATCAGTGTGTAATGTTAATTGAGTTACAGTAAAAAAAACAACAACATTTAATTGAAGTCATTTTTCACAATGTTTATCTACATTAAAGAGTGAACTTCCAGTTGAAGTAGATTGGTATCATAATGATTTGCCAATTCAAGGAGAAGTGGGTCGTCGACGTATTACAATGGAATTAAATAATATGATCAGTTTACATCTTCTTATGGTAAGTTTTAATCATAATTAAACAAAGTCTGAATTACTATTCTCTCATTTTTTAATGAAATAATCTTCAAATATTGTTGGAAAGGTGAACTAAGCAGATTTCATTTTAGTCAGAGATATACATCTTGCAAAATTTACTTTGGGATGGTTTATAAACTCTTAGTTATTCAACATTACAGCACGTAACCTTGCTTAGTTTTATTTGGTAACTATAGGCATACTTAGTGACATATCTCGCACAGTCAGAAGTCCGATGCTTCCTGAAATATTGCTAGTCTTATGATTCACTGTTACTGTTTGAAAGATCTTACAGATTAAACTGATTGATCTTTACATGGCTACATTGAATACGTTTTCTAGTGTCTACATCATGGCATACACTGAAATAATCTCAAGTTTTTATTATAATCAGCACTATGTACCATAATCTTTCTGGTTAATAAAAGACCTCATCTTTCACGTAACACTAAAGTTATAGTTCAGTGAACAAAAACACAAGTGGGGACAGTCGAACATATTTGAACACAAAATTACAGAAAAACTTAGTAAAATCTAATATTCATACGGTAGATACTTCACTTGCAAAATGTCAATTAACTGTATTAAACTTAACTGTTCCTTCATTTCCATAGGACTCATTTACTGTTCTTGTTCTCTTTTCTTCTATCTTCTTAACCTTATGCTACCAAGTATTTCACTTTTGATTGATAAGACATACTACTCATAGATATCAACATCAGTAGCACATACCACAATAGTAATTTTTTCAAGAAAACTATTAGCAAAACATTCACCTTAATTTCATTGAAAGATTATATATATATCATTATTACATTACTTTTAATTAAATAATACTTGTCTAATTAGATGAATTGGCTGATGAATGGTGGCCAACAAAATGTTCAGTTTATATATGATTACAGTAATCTGCCTATTCAGGGATGCTCTATATCTTTTGTGATAAATGACATAATTTACAATGTGTTTTATCTAAAAGGCATAGGTTTTACTTTAATACATTCTAATGTTCATTTAAAAATGCATAGGCAAAAATAAGATACCTCTTTTCACTTTTGTAATCATTGTCAATCAATAGTACTTTTACAAAAAGAATTGGTGCGACGTACACCAAAACCTTCAGGAGGAATGACTTCTTTCACGGATTAGAGTATATCTTATTTAAGAAAGATAGAAAAAGATGAGAATCAAGTTCAGGGCTAGTTTCACTTGTTATTTATTAACGTGGTATATATCTCAGCGGTTATCGTTAACATTAGTCTAACTACATTGTCCAATTTGAATTAAGAGAACAAATTTGTAACTATTTTCATATCTTTCATGAACTAAGTGCTTATTAATGAATATTCCTTTGTCTTGTGATTGAATGGTAACATATTTATATTTAAATGATTTTATGTCTTCATTCAAAGAATTCAAAAGTAGATTATTAAAATTTTGTGTTGAATTAAACATGTTCAGATCCTGAAGGGATTTTTTCTTATGATCGTTATTTCGTGCTTCATTTATTTAGGTTTCTGATTTAGAAGACGGAAAGTATACTTGTACAGTTCGTAATGCAGCAGGCTCAGCTACTACATATTGCAATGTTACTGTTCAACCAACAGATACAAGAGAATCATTATTACCGTCACAAGTGACACTACGACCAACAGCTCCACGTCGTAGAAGGGATTTACAGTCTGATTTAGATGAAGTATTTGAACCAGTTAAAATGCCACGAATAGTTCAATCACCTACCGGAGTCACAGAAGAACAAGTGATTCCAGTTAGTGCAGTTAAAGGAGCCTATCCAAAATATACTCAAAGAGCTGTTTCAGTACCACCTACAACAACAGCCTCTGTACCTTTAAGGTGAGTGAACTTTGTTACTATAACTTAAAATTTCACTACTGATATGAAAGATTGAATGGATAACATCCTAATGGTTAATAAGATGCCTTTACTGATGCTTTTTTCAAAAGTCTGCGACTTATTATACGTTCTTAGCTCATGACTAAATAATGTGATAGCGTTTCGTCTAAAACCAAATAACCGTCAATTGGGTCAACGTACTATGTTAGTATAATAAACTTTGTGGTATGTTTATGCGAACTGATGATACTACCAGGTTAACCAGATTTTATTAGGTAAGGTTGATCACAAATATTTAGCGTACTGACTAAGTATCAAGTATCCTGATCAAATGATACGTTTTGAAGTACTTACACATTACACACTATTTATTTTATGTTTGCTTTCATGACTGATCTAACAACAATCATGTCTGATTTTTAAAAAAATTTTAATAAAAATATCTGAAGAATACAAACAAATGCCACGGGAGGACGTCCAGTATCAGATTATGGCAGACCCCCACAGTTTATTCTACCACTGCAAAATTCTGGAGTGAATGAAGCCGAAAAAATCAAATTAGAATGTCAAATTACTGGGATTCCTGCACCACAGGTAAAATATTCATTTCTTCTTTGCATCGTTTACTTTGAATTTTTTAAACAAGTGAATAACGTGATGGTGTTTGAAGCCAACGGTACTGGGTTCGAGTCCCAGAGTGAATATGAACTTCGAGATGGTGGTACATCCAACTGATTAGTGCCAAATAGGACGAAATGCACTTTGTCCCGGATTCCGCTGCTAGTCACTATCTATCTTTGCTTAAAAAGCTTGTGACTTAAGGCTATATCAGGGCAATCCTCACAGTATGCACATATGCCAACAAGCGACTGATCAATTTCAGTCCTTAATAACAATTGGAAGATTCAAGTAAAACAACACCAAGTGAATCTAAAATTTAATTTTCTTATAAATTAAATCATTAACTTACCAAATAATTTCATGGTATTAATGTTTATATGGAAAATGTTTTCATTGAAAAGTAAATCGACATGAACGATCTATAACCAAAGAATTTAAGAAGTTAGATAATATTCAGGTTTATATTAGCAGTCTAAAATTGACTGTCTAGTCACGCAACCTAAAGGTTCTGAGTTTGACTCCTTGCTGACGAGGTGACTCATATAAGAACGAAATTAAACGTACTATGCTTCTGGATTCCCAGTGGTTGTCCAGTAGATGTCAATCCATTGTCTATACTACCTTTAAAATAATCTAGCCATTGATTTCAACAGCCTCATAGTATCAGCTATAGTCTTGTTTTTAAATTGACTCGGTGTTTAATTGATATGGGATGGACTAACTTCTTAAGAAAATCACACATGTATTTCGATCACTCCTTATCGATAATCGCTGCTATTTCGCTACTGGTAAAACGTCTAAGTTAAATATAGAAGGAAGGAAACATCTTGTTTTTAATATTTGGTACAATATTTTGAACCTTTTACTCATGAGAATAAGAATCAATCTGACAAGTTGATTATCAGAAATTAACTTGATGGACTTTCAGTTTGGAGTTGTAGAGATTTTCGAAATTTCACTTAAATCATGAACCGATCCGTCGTTCAACTCTTTCAGATTTTTAGTGATGGTCTAACTTACATCATTTCTTAATTTTAATTAAATACTGGTTCGTTAAACCCGATTCCTCTTTAAGGAACTTTTTTAAGCTACTGTTAAAGATTCAGTAGTATGTTTGTAAATGGTTAGATTTCAAGAATGTGAGCAAAAAGAAGAGTATTCAGAAAAGAAAATTTTCTTTTCGATGAAATCATTTACTTCATATTTATAGTTGTTTGGTATTCATATATATGCTACAGAAAGATATAAAAGTTTGCATCATAAAGTGATTCGGAATTTTAGATATCAAACGAGGATGCACAATAATCAGGGAGTTCGAGAAGAGTAAGGTCAGAATTATGACAGATAATTGTCCACATGACAGATATGAAGGAAAAAAAGGGTGAAAGTTAAAGGTCATAATAACAATTGGATTATAATCATTGATTGGTTAATGGTTAGCTGAAAAGTTTAAAACCCATCAGAAATCACATCAATTGATACAGCTCTCTTGATCCATTCAAAATATCAGCATAAGTTGTAGAAAAAAAATGCTTCATTGAGATCTTGACTCATGTCAAGTTACACAGAAAGATCTAATAATCTTGTGGAATTGATTGATCGAGTTATTAAAAGTTTCTGTTAGAAGGGAAATAAAAATAGTTTAATTATAAATGACATTTTGGATTTTGGATCGAAATAAAGTACATTTTTATTTGCTCTTTGTTTCATACAGAGTATATGGTTATGAATAATGAAGCGCTGGAAGTCCTAGATATGACGCATTTAGGAAACATAGTAAGGTTGAGAATGCCTTCAACCAAATATTCCATTTATGGAAAAAGGCATCTTAACGTTGTAGAGAGTTTATTTACGGGATTTAACGATCTTGGTTGAAATAAAATGAGCAGTGTAACACTTTTGATATTAGTCTTTTAAGTTAGACTGATTTGTAGCGAAATTTATGTACGCTACCCTCCAAGATTATTACTACCATTTACATCCTAATTCTACTAACTCTAAGATCAATCTTCATTAACCTTCTGTGACTCTCACAGTACCCAGTACCAAAGATTGATGCCTTATATTGATAGAAGACTTTATTTAAAATTAATTATACAAAGTAATTCACAACAGTATGTTAACAATAAAATCTGTAGAAACATTCAGAAAATGAAACTGTTACTGACATTTACATTTAATACAAACTCTCTATCTTGTTAGATCCTTGGCAGATCAATTAACCCGATTTTGTGTTGATTTTTACTCTGACACACAATATCGACACTTATCTTATCATACAATGTAATGTTGTCTACAATGTTATCATTTTCATTTGTATTTTAAAGATTGCTGATTATTATTGAACAATGTAAGTTCATTAAGGATACAGAGTTATTCAGAACTATCGTGATTAGTCATGTCAATTAGGAACATTCATCTATAATCACATACTATTCTTATATCTCATCATAATTTAGAACAAACATTCAATTCTATCGAAAAAATTTATGATTGCTGTATTACCACATTGATAATTATACTCCACCATCTCATAATTATACTCATACCGTGATCTTATTATGACAGCTCGATTAAGTTCATTTAAATACTGTTAATTTTACTTTCCGGAAAAATCTTTACATTTTGACAGGGTTGATCACCTTTCGATAGAATATATAAATATATTGTTCCTTACATTATAAAACATATGGTCGAAATATGATGAGAGCGATTCACTTGTTTGTGAATAGATGAATAATTACTGATGAAAATCAAGGTTACGAAACAGCAGATGTCACACAACACTATAGAGAACGAGAACACAAAGGCGGACCGACCAAATGTGGAGTTACAGAATCTCTTGGTAAAATCTAAGAACCATACAGTAAATACTTCATTTCTAAGATGTCTATTAATGGTCTCAGACTTTATTATTCGTTCATTTCCATAGCAATCACTCTCTGTTCTTGTACTCTTCTCGTTGATCTTCACAACCTTCTATCACCAGGCATTACACTTTCGATTAATGATACATGCTAATTATATCTGTCGATATCAGTAGCATACACCACAGTACATTCATATTTTATTAAAATATTTATCTAATGAATTAATACACTTATTTTTATAAATTAACACCATAGAATCGTTAGCATTTTTCTGCATAATATTATTGAATTGAATTCATTTTTAAATATTACATTATCTTTACTATTTTCTACTTTTAAAGGTTACTTGGCTTAAAAATGGTATCCCATTAGCTAGATCTAATTCATATGTAACTAAAGAGATTGGACAATATCACTGTCTAATCTTTTATGATGTGTTTCTTGACGATCAAGGTGAATATACATGTGTAGCTGAAAATCCTTATGGAAAAGCATTTAGTTCATGTAGAATGGATGTTGAACGTGAGTTGAATATTTTTAAGAGTCAAAGTTTAGTTTAGTATTCAGACTACTTCATTTAACCGATAAAAGGGTGAAACTATAATTTATAGACGAACCAATTAGATTTAGGATAACAGATCTTGGATTTTGGCGCAAAATTTATTCACCCATTCGACCAAATAGCGTTTCGACATTTTAGCTGATGTCAGTTCGTGATGAAAACCATAAATCTAAATCCTAATCCTTACAATCAACTGTAAATCATTGTCTTTATTGTTCAAACTGCTTTATAACCTTCATTTAGACCTATTAAGTAGGTAGATGCTCTCAAGGTCACTTTGGCGTCGCTGAAAGGTCGTCCATAAATTATAGTTTCACTGATAAAAGTTTAATTCTACTTTCAATATTAAGTCTCATACTACCTAAACGGAATGAACATTAAATAAACAGGAATTTGTTTACCTAGAAATAGAATATTTTTGAATGAATAGCTGACTTCGTGCTTACATTTACACACACATTATACGATCACGTTTTAATATTCACAATTGAAGTAAAAGATGAAGTTAAACTCATCTTGGATATAGTTATAAGACGACTATACTGAAATTTCTCAAATTACTATCATAAATTGTTCCTAGTTACCCTACAAAGAATAACCGATGAAAAATATCAATAGACTCACAGTCGGTGTTACGTACCTAGGTACATACATCCATTATTTTCAGGAGAAACTATATCTATCAGTGTAGGGTTGTAGAGATTGTTAATTTTTAATTGTGATTATGAATCGAGTAATGCTGAACCACCACTGAAAACCTAGGTGGGTAAATGTCTCACATCAAACACGGATCAGCTACACGGGCAACGGCTTCCAACTAGAACTCTGAGAGTTACCTCTCGAAGCCAATCATTAGCGAGCACATGATGCCGGCTAGGTGGTTTAGGGGTTAAGGGTTCGTGTGCGAGACCGATGGTCGTGAACTGTGGATGCGCACTGGTGAGGAGTCCCGTACTTGGACGAAACGGCTATTCAGTGCTTCCAGGTTTTCAATGTTGAACTAGCATTGATCGATTCATGATCTCAATCAAAACTATATCCATTAATACAATGTGATTTAATTAGTACTATTTACTTTTCGATTGATGATAGGGTTATTTGTTAAGTAAAGTGAGTTGTGGAGATTACTCCCATTTGAATCCCTTAGATATTACGAACTACCATCAGCTAGAGAAGTGATTCTGATGAATAATGAATAGAAAACTGCTATCCAGAGCTCCAACTGACTTCAATTCAAAGCGAGCAATCTTTTAAAAAATAGCGTATTATTTTTACTAACAAGTTGTATTTAAACCGTTTATAACGAAGAAAAAAATCCCATGATACCACCGACTTTCACATAGTGCAATAGCCTTAATCTGGACTTCACATAGATAATAACGGAAACAAGTTTAATCGAAAGAAGTATGTATGTTATATAAACACATACCTCTAAAAAGAATGCATATAGCTTTACATTTATTTCTATGCTTACATTTTAGCGATTTGTAAAGATGAACAACCAAATGATAGTGAACCGACGTTGGTAAAACCATTACCGCCAAGTTTATCTGTTGCAGAAGGTGGATCAGTTGAATTAACATGTCAGTTCACTGGAAGGCCAATACCTTCCATAGTATGGCTTAAAGATGGTAAACAACCACAATCTTCAACTAATTTTCAGGTTAGAACAGTCAGTCTTTTTTTAAGTATAAGACACATTACTTTTCTAATTCCCCCTCTAATAGTCAGGTCGAAATAGAAAACTCTAGAATTGACAAGGAATGGACAGAAACTACTTTAGGCAGATAAGATGAAAGACGACCAATGCTTTAAAAATACCCGTGATAAAAAAATCTGTAATTTACGCATGTTTTATACTCTCAAAGACCAAGTATCACTACCACAACTAAGACCATAGTGGATTAATATACAGTATGAACTCCTTTTGGTTGATAGACGAACATCCCGTACACTCTACAGGTGACATAAGTTGGTAAAGGCCACCCAAGCTTACGAAATCTTTACTAAGATTTCGTCACACACTAACGCACCAGGATTGATGAGACTCCTAAGATAAGTTAAGTGATCAAACAATTTGACTAGTTTATTCCTTATCACTAGTTCAGGCATTGACGTAGACCGGTAAAACTTTACATGTTTGTCGATATCGCCAACAATCAGAACTATGTCAACTGCGTATTCTAAGTCTTTAAGCGAACCTCCTAAAGAAAGATTAACCCCTAAAAGCTTAGTTGAAGAAGATGTTATCTCATTAACTATATTAAACAACTTACTGCTCAATATACTGAAACTAAATAATATATCTGACCAGAAGATATCATACTCATTGTCATTACTCAAATTCACTACAAATGTAGATAATCTGTGTAAAATATTATTAACGAATTAATCATATGTATTTGGAAAATCTAACTTTTCGCCTGGCAATCTGACTCCAAGCTATTTCAAGAAATTATAATCAATCATCAAAATTACTCATTATAAATAAGTACATGGTCCTCTCGTTCACTGTATACTGAATAGATCATCCAATCAACGTTAAAAATGTTTAAAGTAGATATTTGCTTTAGCGTATAAGAGATATATAATGTGAAACAAAAGCGTGTTCAGATAACAGATTAAGTGTATCCATAGTTTGAGTGAGAAGAAGGCTTGAACCAGATTGACAGGCTAAATGTTAGATTTACTTCAAATTCATTCACTGAGATTTTAAAAATACATTCTTCCTGCTTAATGTCTCACAACAACTCGGTGTCCAAATACTGTGAACCTATTCAATCAAATTTAGACAAAAGTTCTTATATAATGAATCATATATATGTATATTAAGTTGTAAACACAGACTTGAAACTTTGTATCCAATGTACTGAACAAGATGATTAGAATGATGTTATAACGCCACTTATCGATAATTCTTATCCACGTATATACAAATAGCTATTATTATTTTTTTGATGAAGTTTTGTTCTCTTAACTGGATGGTTCGGTCGTGGAGCTTTCACCGTTCTTCTGAACGACATCATCAGCAAAAACTTCTACCTGAGCTACAAATCTTCTCCATCATCTCAGTTATTATCATTGTTTTATTGGTAAATTAACAGATTGATTTATTTTATTCTAAAAGTATTCATGCATTAACTTTTAGACATTTCAAGATTCTGGTTTTGCACGTCTTTATATACCGAAAGTTGAAAAAGATAAAACTGGTCTATATGAAGCTGTAGCAACAAATCCATTAGGTAGTTGTTCTACTACTGTATATATGGAAATACTTCCATCTATACGAACATCTATTGATTTATTGCCAACAATTTCACCAGTGATGAGTGGAAGTTCACCGGAATTTACGCGAATATTTAAGTAAGTTTGATACATAAATATTTTATCAGTATGGGGGGTTTGTGGAGATTGTATTAATTTAATAGTTCAATTCATGAGTCGATTTAAGCTAGACCAACATAGAAAACCATTTGATGCTAGCTCAGTCGTCTAAACCTTAAGTGTTTGCTTGAAAGACCAAAGGTCCTGGGTTCAAGTTTCTTGTGCAGGATCATGTATGCGTACTGCTGACGAGTCTCATACTGGGACAAAAGGGTCGTGCAATGCTCTCAGGTTTCCATTGATGAACTAGTTTAAATCGACTCATGGATTCAAATATTAAATTATATAGATATTTAATGGAAAAAAGTTGATAATTAATAAATTTATCTATTTTTATTCATACATTATATCCTTTATTTGTTTCAAATACTTACAGAGATGTTTATATTGAATCAGAACGTTTAGAAGAAGTGGTACTTGAATGTTCAGTAGTTGGTGTTCCAACACCAATAGTGTATTGGACCCATAATGGAATAATTATCAGACCAGATGACCAACGTTATACTATTGGTCAAGGACCTGGTCCAAATGATCATTGTTTAATTATCCGACGACCAGGACCAGAATCAGCAGGTAATTCTACATTCTAATTATTATTTATTATAAAAGTTTTTTCTTTTCTATTTCTATAAAACTATGATTTTATCTCGGTTTAAAGTGTAGTCATTCTTAATGGATTTCAGTCATATATAAACGTATTTCTAAAATACTAGTATACTTTTACTGTTTATTCGCCATAGGTTGCTAGTTAATCCAACTAAGATAGAATGACATAGTTACTTGATAAATCAAGATAAATATAGACGAAATCGTTGAAGTACCCAATCCATCAAATGAAGATTTAGAGCCTAGCTTTAATAGTGAACATTTTCTGTTAGATTTACCTAATAATAAGTATTAGATTGATTTGTCTTAACTTAGTGAAAGGTGATTTATCAGACTAACCGTATGAAATAATCATTTTTATCTACCAGATATCAAATATATCGAAATACTTTTAGTTTCTTATAAAAGTTCACTAGAAATAAGTTTTATGAAAAGGGCTACCGGAAATATACATATTCTGACTTATTTTATTAACAGTAGTACTCTTTATGGAGATGAGATTATAATTTATGAACAACCTTGGAGCAACATTAAAATGACCTTTAGAATGTCCACCTACCTATTAGGGTTAAATAAGGGTTATGAAGCAGTTTGAAGAAGGATTATGATGTACAATTAATGGATTGGGCTAGGGATTAGATTTATGATTTTTCACCACGAATCGACCTTAGCTAAAATGCCAAAACACTATTTAGACAAATGGATGGATGAATTTCGCGCCAAAATCCAAGACGTGTTATCCTAAATCTGATTGGTTCGTTTATAAATTCTAATCTCACACTTCTAAATGCAAGATAGCTTTCATGCCAAGACTTTTCTGAAATTAAATTTTTAGTTGGTGGAATTTTCAATACTATTATATCAATACCATATACTTTTCAAAGGCCAATGAAACCTAATATGATCATCTCATGAACAATATTGTATAACATGTTCTAATTTACTTCTGCATTGATAAAAATAAAGGTTAGAGGATATGTTACTTGTTTCTATTATCGCCATCGAATAGTTTTAATCTAAGTTCACTGAATTCTGGGATTCATAAAGTAAGATATAAATGTATCTACTTCATTATCGTGAAGCTTTCATCCTGCATTTCACTAAAAAGCGTTGTCAAATTCTTCACTTATAAGCTTATATGAACATCATTAAAATATGAGTTAAGATATTGTATTCTGAGGAAAAAAACTAACACAATGTGTAATACATAAAGTACGAAGATAATTATATGAACCAAAATATTATGCTACTTGCTTTCTCTAAAAAGTACTCATTTTCTATTAAATATTTTATGAGATTCTTGGTTAGTTATTTCATTAAGTTTAATTAAGAATAAAAAGTACTGTGTTAGGTAAGTGATCGAAACTTCTAAGCCAAACTGTTAGAAGTTCCCCAATAACTTTTCATCTTGAAGAAATCGAAATAAACTAAACATTATGTAAGGAGTCACTGTGATTCGGAAATTTTGGGCATAATAAAATCATGAATTACTTGAATAGTGAAGATAGTTTACTATTTATCATTCATAATTTGTGCTCAATTAGATAGATAATATCCAAAGTTTTTATAAAGAAAAGTTATTACATGTTATGTAAATGTCAGTTCCTACACCCAGATTCCATAATAAGTGTAGCGAGGTTGACAGTTGCCAAGTAAGAAAAGTAGAACATAAAATAGTATGCTGACTTAAATTAGTCGCTGAATCATATTCTTCTTCTTCTGTTTCTGTTAATTTTAAAGTTATTTTCCTAAAATACTTTATTGATCAATAGGTCGTTATCAAGCTATAGCTGAAAATCTCCATGGAAGAGTTACTTGTTCAGCATTTATAAGTCCTATTGGTTATAGTCAAACAATAATTAAAAGACCTCCATCTACGATGAGTTTAACAAGGCATACAGTTACACGACAAATATGTCCACGTGAAACATCATTACCTCCATCACCAGCAAGTACTGCTCCAATCATTTCACCACAATCATTTGCTACAGTTCAATTACCTTTATCACCAGTACGATTTCAAAGAGAAACATCAGCTCCACCATCACAATACTATTTGACAAGACATCATTTACAAATAAGACCAAGACAGCCAACACCACCGATTCAACTTACCTTTGCATTACCACGCAAAGAACAATCATTAACTCGAACAGAGGTAAAATAAATTGTTTAGAGATAGTTTAAAATTAGTAGTTAAATATGTTAAATACCTCTTTGTACGTTGAAATTTCTTAGTATGCATAAATTCTTAACTCTATGATTCCAGTAACATAATAATTGATCTAACATGGATCCATTCATGATCTCAATCAAAACCCAACAATCTTCACAACCCTATACTGATAAATGTAAATTAAACATTGTTAAATTCATTTCATTTTGCTCAGATCACTTTTGGATATCAATATATAAGTTGATCACATTTCAAATGTCAATTAATTAAGTGAACTTAAACGATACAGTAATAGTCTAGGGAACTATTTCAGTCTTATTTCTTTTAGATTTTAATGTTTAACTGATTAATATTGACTACTATCTGATGGTTCTCATGTGTTTTGACAAATCGGATATTATTTTGAAAATGAAACAATGTGACGGAATCCAAATATATAGTTTTACTATTGTTTACACTGTTGGATGACATCAGAACTCTATTGGGGATATGTATTATGAGCATTGAAATGCATTATAGCAGTTTGAATGTGTTTAGTACCCATTAAGGTGAATAAATCTTTATGGAGCTTGAAAACTTTTTTTTTGTCACCAAATGATATTTTATACAAAGCTTCTTGTGAATTAGTATCTGTACTTTATCACTGTATTGGTTTACGTAATATGTATGTCAGTACTAAACCAACATCTACGATGTTAATACAGTAGACCTTAGAGAACTCTATATTATACTAAACATAGATTGAACGAAGTGAATATTATCAATATGGGGTTGTGGAGATTATTAAATTTTTTATTGAGATCATAAACCGATTGATGCTAGATCAACATTGAAAAGATGGAAGCATTAGACGACCATTTCGTCCTATTGTGAGACACCTCACCAGTTCACATCTACGACCCCGCCGGAGGGATTCGAACTCATGGCCTTCAGTATAAAGTAAGAACACTTAACCTCCAGACCACTGAGCCGGATTCAACGGTGTTAATGTCTAACCCCAACCAATCCTCGAAATTGAGAGAACATTGTACTGAAGTACATACCTGTTTCTACTCAAAATGGTTTAGACTCCACTGGTCACGGCTTTTCACTAGAACTCCGAGAATTCCCTCATGAAGCTAGTCACTAGTAAGCACATGGTAATTATTAGTATGGAGTTGTGGACATTATTAAGTAAACATCATTATCATACATACAACAAACGTCGTTTAAGCTAAAATGGAAACCTGTTCAATATGATTATATCAGTTAATTTATACAGTAGTTGGTGAGTCCTTCAATTCTTTTCGGATTTTCTTAACTGAATACGTAGTTTAGCCAGTTTTCGAGATCGAATCTGAAAATTTCGACTTCCTGCACTAGTGTGTAATAGATAACTATAAACAAGGAAAGATTCTCTGTTTTATAACAAACAATCCAAGGTTTGAAGCATTAGTGAATTTAGGATATAAAAGTTAATATATCATTTCTAAACAACAAAAAACTACAATGTTCTTAGGTAGATGGACACCTTCCAAATTAATTTATTTTACCTTACTACCTGGAGATCTTCCCAAGAAAGAAACTACAAAACACAACACTAACAGAAACAATAATTCTATAGAGAACAACATCTAAGGTTAATAATCTTTATGTCATAGTTCCTTAACTAATATTACTTTCATTTTTAATTCTTTAGATAATACGACCTATTGATAGTCAATTAAAATTACAAGGCCAAGTAAAACATTATAGTAGTACACAACATTTATATAAAAAACAAATTACACCAATTGTACCAAATATTGAAACACGTTATTCACGACGTGTTGCTAGTCAACCACGTCTTTCACCAGGTTATTCATCAGAAGAAGAACATGAACATAGTATGTCCGTCGTACCAATGGTACGTCATTATAAAACACGTATGAAAAGAAATCTAGTAAGTAGACCATATATCATGTCTGGTTATAGTTCAGTAAAAGAGCATAAACGTACATTACATATTACACCAATGAGACGTGAATATCAAACATCATTAGAACATAATTTACCAGCTAGGCCAATATTAGAAAAAGGTTATGCAGCTGAAGAAGAACGTGAATATGAAATGAATGTTGTACCTATTGTACCTCATACTGATTATAAAACTGAATTAACAACTGATATTTATAGTAAACCAGAGCTGACACCAGGCTATACTACAGAAACTGAACATATTCGATCATTTGAAATTACTCCAATAGTACCGGAATATCATACAAAAATGGAACGAAAAATAGCAAGTCATCCAATACTTGAAGCTGGTTATTCATCAGAAGAAGAACATGAACATAAATTGGATATTATTCCCATGACTACTTCATATAAAACTGAACTAAACACTGACGTATCCTCTAAACCAGAATTGATGCCTGGATATGCTGTTGAAACTAAACATCCTATCAAACTTGAAGTCACACCAATAGTTCCAGAATATCGTACTGAATTAGATACAAAAGTTGCTAGTCATCCACATTTAGAGGAAGGTTATACATCAGAAGGTGAACATGAGCACCAAATGGAACTGATACCGCTAGTGCCTGAATACAAAACACAACTGTCAACAGATTTATCAGCAAAGACTGAAGTGATCAGTGGTTATGAAAGTCGATTACATTATGAAAAAACCTATCTTATGGAAACTCAATTAAAACAAGTAAGATACTGATGTTTAACACTAGGAATAATATATATCAGTTACAGAGTTAATCTTGGTCAAAATTATTATGATATGGATTACATTGCAAGTTTGTATCAGTATACTTTGTAACCCGACACAATTAAAATGTAGCGAATAATTGTATAAAAGGTTTAGTTATCTCTCATATTAGAAAAAGAAACTCAACTAATTGTCCGATCTCCATATTTACTTACAGAATTCTAACATTTCATCACAAATCTTCGGAAAAAGATCACATGAAGCAGTGAAACTATAATTTATGAACGACCTTTGAGCGACACTGAAGTTACCTTGAGACTGGACACCTACTGATTAAGAATAAATGAGGGTTATAAAGCAGTTAAAATTCTCATTTACAGCTGATGGTTGGGGTTAAAAATAAGTTTTAGGGTTTTCATCACCAATTAACATCAGCTATAATGTCAAAACTCTCTTTAGCCAAATGTATAGATGAATTTCGAGTCGTGACTCATTATTTTATATCTGATTGGTTCGTCCATAAATTGGACTTCATTAAATCGTTTTAACCCAATAGTTGTTCCTGATATTCTATTCATTTTTAAAGAAGTTTATTTAGAGAATTAGATGAAAACAATCATGGTAGTAATTCCTACACTAGTTCATATGGGATTTATCGTAATTCATTAGGATATGTAACATTATCTGATACAGGAACATGATCAAGTTATCAAATATATTTTGAGAAGTGAAATGAATAAAACAAGAACATCTAGTTGATGAAAGGGAAAAAAATATAAATTATGATTTACTAAGAACGTTTGTGCCAAGTTCTATTTTCATCAAGACTAATTCACAAAGATTTTTTAAACTGGAATGACATACAGTATTTCATTCATAAAATTAAATAAGGTAACTGTCATTTTACTGAGGTTGTATAAAATAGTGTAATCTGGTCAGTATTTCCATGATGATGAAATTGTTCTATTCAGAAAATCTAGATTCATTCTCCTAAGTTATTTTCGTTATCGTTAGTTTGATAGAATATTGACATTGTTTTGAGATGTGGAATGGTTCTTATTATATCCTTGTTATCTCGCTTATTAATTATACTTGAAAAAAACAAACGAGGAACCACTGCAATACATATGAAGCGAAGAGAGAACACAAAGACCGGTACAAATGAAGATTCATTAACTCCAAAAATACGAAGGCGACCCTAGCCGTATATACACTCATTTGTACACCGATTGGTCACCCATTTAGGATGAAATCACGTGTATGAAAAAATACCTAGAATGAGAACAAACCACAAACCGTAAGCATAGATGAACGGTGGCTAGCAGTGGGAACCCACCCCAATTACACAACCAGGTCCTTATCAGAACTCAGTAGTTAAGTTGATAACGCGATGGCGTTTAAAGCGAACGGTAATGGGTTCGAGTTCTGGAATGAACATCAATTCTGGAATGCAAGTACATCCAAATAACGAGTCCCAATTAGGATGAAACGTGGGTCCTGAATTACACTATTAGTCAGTATCCATCGTTACTTAGAATGCTTGTGACTTAAAGCATTGAGTAATCATCGCATTGAATTAAAAAAAACGGACGTAATGTAGAACAAAAGCCACAATGAGTACGATTTTGCCTATTTTTCCCCATCCTATCAGTCTCACTTCTTCCACTCTTATCTAGGGTAAATATTTGGCGTTTCTGTTTTTTTTTTACTATCGTTATTGGTAGAAAATGAAGCAATACTCAGTTAGTTAATTAAACAATGTACTATGAACAGTAGTTTACACATCATGTGTCCCTTTTACACATAATATTTCTGCATAATATTTATTCCAGCTTTACAAATTGATAATATACAATCGATATGTTTTGAGAAAATTCCTATTATATTGTCTATCTCTTTTATTTTAATAGTATGAAACTGCTATTTCAACTCATCTACCAAGTAGGCCATCTTTAACATCAATATTTGAGTCGACTTTTGAACATGAAACAAATATGAATGTCGTTCCAGTTGTACCACAGATTGAACGTCATAAAAGTCAATTGATTACTGATTTCTACGCTAGAGTAGGTTAAATATTCTTAAAAATGTTCTGATGTTATTATGTGTGCTTAGAGAGCGACTACTTGAAGTATAGATGTTTAACAGTCAAAAATAATATTCAAATTAATGAAAACTATCAAAATGAGGATTTGTGGAGATCGTAGTAGCTTTTATAGTTGAATTCATGAGTTAATCTGAGCTAGAATACTATTGAGAACCTGGAGGTACTGAACTGCCGTTTTGTCCTAGTATGGGACTCCTCAATGGTGCGCATCTACGATCCATCACACGCAACTCGAGCTCAAGACCTTCAGTCTCGTGAGTGAACACTTAACCTCTAGACCACTGAGGGAATATCCAATGGTATTAATGTCTAAATTCAATAGATCAACCCATCATCAATTTTTGGGTGGAGACAGTCGCGGATGCGTACCACTGAGGAGTCCCATACTAGACTAAACGGTCGTCCATAACTTCCGGTGGTCTAGCTAAGATCGACTGATGAATTTAACTGTTAATAAAGACTAGTTGGTCATCACAAATAACAGTCTGAAAAAAACTAATATCAACTAAGAAGTGATAAACCGTTGTCATATCCTTCTGCTTAATTGTGTTTAAACTGGACTGGTATATTTAAAGTTTCAATGAGTACCTTAAAATAAAATCATATGGTTGGAATTCAGTATTAAATAGTTTAGTGATTTCAACCAATCCTTTTTATTATGCGATACCACGTGACTGGAAACTAATAGTTTTTCCCTTTTTGACCCAGAACACTTTTCTGTTAAATACTCATCACTTTCTACAGCTTTCACACACTAATTTAACTTACTCATTTTGGAGAAATTGTTTATCGAATTTATTTAAATCGAATAATTTAGAAAGTCTACTTTTGTAGTAACACCTGATGACTGAAAACCAGAGCTTACAACTCATCTAAATCTATAAGTAGAAACACAGATTTTTTAATCAGAATAAGGGTTTGTGGACAGATGTTTGTCCCGGGATGAGACTCCTCAGTAACTCAAATCCACGACCTCACATGTGGCAATCGGACCCATGACCGGCCTCGCACACGAACCCTTATACTATGAACCACTGAGCCGGCATCTAACCATTTTAGTGTCTAACTTCAATCAACTCGAGGTATTGCGTAACCCTTATCTATTGCCTGTGGCAGAAAACTGTCTCACACCTGACATAGATAGACTCTACTGGTTACAGCTTCTCGCTCAGACTTTAGGAGTTACATCTTGAAGCTAGTCACTGTTGAGTGCGAACACGTGGTCATTGTTTGTCCAATCCTGAACCCAAATAAAATGGTACTAAAATCGTAATGAACCGCAATACAATCATCAATAAGTTTTTGTTAAACTTAATTCTCTAAAAAATCGAATACATGTACCGTTTTGAAAAAATAGTTAAGAAGCTCCTCTACTTTTTAACTCACTAGCTCTTGAAAAATATTTTCTCCATCTTGATTTTACATTCATTCCCTAATGTTCTCATATTTTTTGAATAAAAATATTCTTCTTCTATACGGATAAACTGAAGATATTATTTTATTGTTTATCATTCGTACTCTTCCAGTACCGTCCAGTAGATGTAATTGTTGAAGTACCTATTCCACCAGAATTTGTAAAACCTCTAGCAAATGTTGTAGCTGATGAAGGAGCATGTGTTGTTATAGAAGGTCTTGTAAATGGAACACCACAACCCAAAATATCATGGTATCGTTCCGGACGTCAATTATCTGATGGTCCTGATTTCCGTTTAGATTATACAAATAATCGTGTACGATTAACACTCAGTGAAGTAAGTTATTTTTCATTATTATCAAAAATAAGTTAATTGTAATTAGTGAATTTTTTTTAGTTTTTTAAATATGTTACATAATATTCAATTAATTGATTGGGTTCAACATTTTAAACAAAGTCATCAAATATTTCGAAAGATCTAAGTAAATATTTCTATGCTAAAAGATTTTATATGAATAAAAAATCCAAATGGTACTTTGGTTTGTGAAGAGTGTTGAATATCATCGTCTATTTAACTGACTGACTTTAGACAATCAATAATAGCCAAGTAGTATTAATCCAATTTGGATTATGCTAAGATTTGATGAGTTCATCTATTCTATATCAAACTGTGTTATAATGACAATATCGAGTCAATCTGTAAAGGATGTACCTATGTCAACCAAAACTGATCAAATTTCAGTCAAAGATATTAATAACGGAATAATCAAAACCATTTCAAACTGAATTAATTTTCACAAATATTGTACAAGTGAATGGTTAGTTGCACTCAGTAGCAAAGTGGCACGGCACTGGGTTCGAGTCCTGGAGTAAACATCAACGGACACCCTGGATTTCACTTTTAGTCACACTCCGTTCATTGTGTATCAACAAGTAGTGTTGTGGTGTATGCTACTTATGTTGGTGAATATAAATAGCGTGTAACACCAATCAGAAGTGGAATGTCTGTCAAAAACAGGATTGAGAAGATTGAACAAAAAAGAACCGAAAAGGAAAAAAGAAGGAATAAAACTAAAAACAGAATTAGAAGAATTATGAAGGATGCGCACTGCCGAATCATCCCATACTAGGACGAAACAGCCATCCAGCACGTCCAGGTTTTCAATGGTCGTCTAACATTTATCGATTCATAATGTCAATCAAAAACTTAACAATCTCCACAACTCTACACAGATAATATGTTTCAATTTTTTTTCTTAAAAATTAAAGGCATTTCCTGACGATGCAGGTGAATATACTTGTGAAGCTGAAAATATTGCAGGTCGTGCACAAAGTACTGCAAATTTAGTAGTACGTGGTCGTTTAATGACACCAAGATTTATTAAAGGACTTGAAAATCAAATAATATATGAAAGAGAATCAGTTCGATTAGTTGTTAAAGTAGATGGACATCCACCACCAACAGTTACATGGTAAGATTATTTACATTATTTAAAATGTGTATTGGTAATTAATTTGGTTATTTTGTTAAATAATTGTTCATTTTCATTTAAGATGTACTTTTTTCTCTTACTTACTTACGCCTGTTAATCCCAATGAAGCACAGGCCACCAACCAGCATTCTCCAACCCACTCTGTCCTGAGCCTCCCTTAATAGTTCTATCCAATTCGCGTTCATTCTTTTCATGTCTGTCTGCATTTCTCGGCGTAATGTGTTTGTTGGTCATCCACTTTTCCTTTGGCCTTGAGGATTCCATGTGTGGGCGCGCCTTGTGGCGTAGATGGGTGAATTCTTCAATGTGTGTCCTATTCACTTCCAGCGTTCCTTCCTGATTTCTCCCTCTGCTGGGATCTGGTTTGTTCTCTCCCACAGTACGTTGTTGCTAATAGTGTCCGTCCAACGGATCCGAAGTATTTTGCGTAGACAACTGTTAATAAACACCTGTATTTTCTGGATGATGGCTTTTGTAGTCCTCCAGGTTTCTGCCCCATACAGTAGAACTGTCTTGACATTTGTATTGAAAATCCTGACCTTGGTGTTGGTTGACAGTTGCTTTGAGTTCCAGATGTTCTTCAATTGTAAATATGCTGCTCTCGCTTTGCCAATCCGCACCTTCATATCTGCATCAGATCCACCGTGTTCATCGATGATGCTGCTCAGATATGTAAAGATTTTTACATCTTCCAAAGCTTCTCCGTCAAGTGTGATTCGATTGGTGCATGTTGCATTGTATCGGAGAATCTTCCTTTTCCCTTTGTGTGTGTTGAGACCTACTGCTGCTGAGGCTGCTGCTACATTAATCGTCTTATCCTGCATTTGTTGTTGCGTGTGCGATAGAAGATCCAGATCATGTGCGAAGTCTATGTCGTCCAGCCGCATCCTGGATGTCCACTGTATCCTATGCTTCCCTCCCAGACGTCGACATTTTTTCTCACTGACTGAAAAACAGTTTTAACTTAATTTTTTATATCAAATATAACTTGGATACAACAATAATGATTACATTAATTGAATTTTATAAGTGATTAATAAGTTGAATTTCATTTATTTAATTCAAAAACAATGTTTAGTTTTTTCAAAAATGATTTGGTCTGTGAAATTTCCGGGTAAAACGTTTCTAAATTAATCAAATTTTCATTATAAATGAACAATAATGAAATATCAGAAGGGATTTTTGTGGATATTGTAGTAATTTCAATGGTTGAGATCATAAGTCAATTGAAGCTGGACTATCATGGAAAACCTGGAAGCACTGGACAGCCGTTTCGTTCTATTGTGGGACTCCTCAGCAGTGCTCGTCATCAGCTTCAATTGACGCATGATCTCAACTATTGAAATTACTACAATATCCACAAAAACCCCTTCTGATATTAATCAACATATGTTCAGTAGTGACTGGCTTCAATAAGTATTTCCTGGAGTTCTAGTGAGAAGCAGTGACGAGTGGAGTTCGACCGGGTCTGTCGTGAGATAGTAACTCATTGATGACAATGGTAGATCTGTCACTCAGTTTCGTGAATTGGTTAAAATTAAACATTAACAACGTTGGACATTTGCTGGCTCAATGGTGTAGAGGTTAAGCGTTCGCACACGAGACTGCTATGTCCTGGGTTCGAATCTCTGGTTACGAAGAAGAGGTATAATCTGATTAATGAGAAATAATTTTCTGGAAAATTTAATAAAAATATATCACTTAGTTGTATGCTGTACCCTCTCGATGAACAGAATGATCAAATCCATATGTCACATAGTACATTATTTACAAAATTAATTCTTTTAAATATTTCAGGACTCGTGATGGTCATGAAATTACAAGTTCTCCAAACTATATACTTGAATGTGAAGGTAATGGTATTTATGCACTAAATATACCTGAAGCATTCTTTGAAAATTCTGGTCGTTATGCTGTAATTGCTGAGAATCCAGCTGGAAAATGTATTTCTTCTGGTTTGTTAACTGTTTTAGGTAAGTTGTTCTGTAATAATCTGAATAAAAATTAAGTAAATAATATGATGTTGAAATGATGATAATTTGCATCTCATTTATATGCTCTTAAGTAATATTGTACTTTATAAAATAGCTGTCACATAGCGGCTTAGTAAATTATGAAAATCATACATTAAATACATTCTTTGAAATTCTTATTTGCTCTGTCCTTTACATACTCCATTATTCCTCTAATTCTGTAATAATTTTGATTACTCTCATATGTGGTCTTGAGTGCTGTTAGAGGTATGAGGGCGGTTATCACTTTCCGGTTGCCCACACCGTGGAAGGGTTCTTCTGGAGGTGCCTGAAAAGGAAATTGGATAAGAGGTGGTCTTAATGGCCTGAGAGCGTGACCGCAGTGCCCAGGGGACAACTGCTTGAGGTCGGTCACACAAGACCTTTTTATGGGTAATTTTTGTGTTAGCTCCGTACTTGTTGAAACCTTACCGCCGGAGACGGATATCCGTGGGATAAGGCGAGGTGTGCATTTTTAGGGTCGACCTTTTCTAACCTCACCCCTCCTTGTGGGAAGGTAGCATCGCTGTCATGCTGGTTGTCGGAAGGAAACACCTTACTGCTGTCACACCTCTTTACAGTCAGCAGTACGACTTCGCCTTCGGACCTTAAGGTTTGTTGCTTTTAGTCTTACCGCTCTTCAACCGACATGTCTGACATGGTAGGACCTTGACGGACGGTTGTTCCAGTCAGTATAGCTCGGTTGCTTCATCACGATAGGCAAGCCCGACCACCATCTCAAGGTAGCAATCTTTTGCCACCAGGCATTGAACTTCCATTTGGTGCTACATACTACTTGTATCTGTCAGCATAAGTAGTATGCACTACAGAAATAATTGATTTAATACATTTTTCAATATCGATTTGTATATTGTACACTACTAAACTAACGATTTTATTTAAATAGTCATCAATAATTTGAATAAGTTTAACTTCTGATCATTGGGTTTAGTATAGATGACAAGTCTATATGGGTATGTATTGCATTAAGTCAACTAGTACACCAATATCATGCATACCTTGAAATATCCAAAACATGAATAACCCAACACACCAACTATCGTTCAAAGGTCTATGGTTATAACTTAAAGACAATTTTCCTTTTTTTAAAACTTAAAATCTTTTATTTCTAATTCTTTTACAGAACGAGAAAGACCTTATCCTCGTGAATTAGATAAGTTATGTCTAAGCCAGTTGACAGTGCAAGTAGAAGGTCTAAAACAAGTTCAAATACCATCTCCAGAACCTCGACCGTACCCAGAGAAGCCATATTTCACAAAAGTACGTCAATTATGAATATTTGTTTATTGATTAGATATTTGTGATTCACTTCAGTTGTGACTGAAGTGAAAATGGTTATTATTATTTATTATGTATTGAAATGTATATATTACTGACACTTGCCGTACTGCAATTGATAAAACTTGTCCAATTTACTTCACTGAATGAGTTAAATTCTGGATATTTTTTGCCTAACCCTAATTCGTACTTTTATTACAGAAAAAAACTTAGTTTCACTATCAAGATTAATCCATTCATAATATAAATCAGTAATCGATTGGTTTTTCTGATTACCCATACATAATAGTATTAAATGAATGGGGATATTTACTGTTTTACTACATCCCAAGGTAAATTTTGTCTTGGCTAAAAAACCTTTTGACGAATAGATCGACATATTGATTAACGTGAAGTCTAGTATACTCTCGAACAACCCTAAGGTTTAGGCAATCTTACGCTTAATTCAGTCAATATGACATAGTGAGCAGTAATTCTCTTCGTATTACTTGATGATTGTTTATTATGACCTATGAAGTTAACAGACAAGTTTATTTCACTAGCATCTGATTATACATGTTTCTTGTGCACTCTGAAATCACAGGATGTTAATACATTTCCGAATGCAAGATGATTTTAACACGGCTAACATGAAGATATCAAAATTGTCATCAAACCTACACCAAAACTGGGCTATTTTTTCACTTCGGTCGTAGTTATTGCTACTTTAATTTTGTTCAACTAACGTTTCTCAGACTAATGTAACGTGACAGAACACTCAATGTGTTCAAATAAAACGTCTAAACCCATTCCCATTACGTAGAAAAGTGCAGCCTGCTTGAGCATCTGGGCTACCTGTTCCTGCCATCTAGATATTTCAACAAGTTATCTATTTTTGTTTGTTTTAATATATCATTATGTTTAATAATTGCATAACCTATTCTGCCGCGTTTCTGAAAAGTGTACAACCTTTCGTTGTCAAAGTTACAAGAAACTCAATAAGAGACAATGTGGTTGCTGGCAATATACAACGAAAAGAATGCACATTATTCAAATGTTCATTTACTGGACTGCTGACATCTAACTGGTGATCACTCAATATTTATCGCCAGGACCGACCAAGAAGAAAGAAACGGAAACTTGTTGAAATACTTTGCGCTGAGAATTCTATATTGTACCAAAAATATAATATTGAATAAAGCTGATAATAATAATAATCATTTCATATGTGAGAAACTAAGATGAATTTCAGCTAGAAGTAAACACCTAAAATGCATTTGTATCAAACATTAATTTTAATCTTATTAGAACTTTTGACGTACTTTAGTGAATTCTTCAAGAAATCATGTTGAATATCTAGAAAAAAACTGTAATTAAACTCAATGTTATCTTAATTTATCTCGTATATTACCATGACATTTACACTAATTATTGTCTTTTCTAACATACATCTTTTTCATATTAGACCTTCAGTCCAGAAATAGAATTATATGAAGGTGAACGATTAATTTTAACAGCTGAAGCTTGTGGCAATCCAATACCATTCATTAAATGGTACCTAAATGGACAACCTTTAGTTGATAGTCCAGATCATCAACAAACTCAGGTTGGACCACCAGTGTCTGATGTGAATGAATTACAGCCTCATCCAGTAATAATGACAGGACATTTAATTATGAATGAACTATTCCCAGAAGATTCTGGTCTTTACACATGTATAGCAGAAAATATAGCGGGTCAAGCAGAAGTTATGTCTAATATAAGCGTTATAACGAAAAGTAAATCATTAAGTTTCCACATTTAAATTTTTACACTTTGTGAATTGTTAATCTGATAGCCAAATTTTTCAAAGATCATTATGAATTAAAACTAACAAAAGTGACAAGAAGCTTTGTTTTTAATATTAATTATAAGAATCCAAGTAATCATTTATATATTGCACTGCTCATTCAATGTATGAGCTTCAGTTTAGTCGAATAACAAACCATTACCTCTTTTTCTACGTCCTATGATTTGAGGACATAATTAAGGTTTAGAAAATAACTGTTAACATACTACTAGTGTGTTTAATTGATGGAAAGTAGAAATTCAAATGATTTCAAATAGTTTGATTGGAATAGTTTTCACTATATAATGGTCAGGATGAGTTTCTTCAGAAAGGTGTTTAACGTTTTTGGAAAGACACAACAAATTTATTTTTATGGATTTTGGTAGAATTTCATCTACTTAGGTGGATGATGGTAAATCAGTTGGTGAGGTTGTGAATCTTCGTCGACTGTGATGGTTGGGCTACGTGTTGCGTATGCCTGAACACCGATTACCACGATGTGCAATGCTCACTAGTGTTGGGGATGGTTGGAAGAAAGTTAGGCGTGGCCAAACCAAAACGTGGCATCAGTGCTTCAAGTCATTAACTTCTAGTGTGATCCATGTTGGCAGATGTAAACTACTTGGTTGGGGTCCGCGTGACTATCGGAACCATTAGTTAGAGACTCCTGGGGACATGGCTCAGAATCGATCACAATGGCATAGGTGTATACACTCTCTGTCTTCCCTTAAACTATGAGATTAGAATTACTTCATGTCTTTCTTCCTATGAACTGATTCTTCCTTCATGTACTATATTCCTATATGCAATTTTTCTTTTATACATTACCACCACTGAATGAACTACTTCTATGAATTTGTTGTTCATCTTGTTGTGCTAATGAGGTATGGTAACTTGGAACGATACACATACGTTCCTGGTCCTACGTTGGAGCTGACTGACTGACTGACCAAGATGGTTTGTCTACTCGTAAAGCTTTTCGAGTCCTTCTGAACAGTACAGTCAGAACAAGCTTCAGATAGATATGATCTACTTGAATATCTTTACATATAATTGACAGCCTGTTCTGTCGATCTTAAGCCCGATTTGTTTTTAACAGAATAGCTACTTATTTTGTTACTTATTTAATGAAAAAAGTGTATAATTTTCTTACAATCTTCTTTGCTATATAGATTTATGCTTAGTAATGATTTAATTTTGTTTAAAACTAGCTATAAGCGATACAAAAAAGCCAACTGTTCAACCACCGGAGTTTATTAAATTCCCAGAATCTCCAATAAGAGTTCAACTTGATCAAGAATTGATATTAGAAGTAGAAGTTAAAGGATTACCATTGAATTCATTGAATTGGTATCATAATGGCATGATTGTATATAGTAATCCGAATCAATTCATTCAAAATATACCAAATACAGGGATTACAAGATTAATTGTTCAACAAATTCAACCAGATGATCAAGGAGAATGGTTAGTGACAGCTACAAATCCAGCTGGTTCATGTTCAAAATGTCTTCAAATAATTTGTGAAGAACCTATGTGAGTTTTTATGAGAGTTTTAAACACACCAAATTTTATATTATGCATTTATTTCGATCTCTTCATTGAATAGAAAACTATGAGAAATGAAAAAGCAATTATATCAATCAGTAGGTTCCGCTTAAAATATCTGAGTTACCTATTCACTGAACAATTCATTTACATCTTTGTTAAGGTGTATTTCATCATTGGTAACCATAGGAGGTTTTATAACGATTTTTTTTTAAATAACTCAATCAAAGACCTAATAATCTCCACAACCCCATACTGATAATTACCATGTGCTTACTAGTGACTAGCTTCATGAGGGAATTCTCGGAGTCCTAGTGAGAAGCTGTGACCAGTGAAGTCTAATCCGTATCAAGTAGAGACAGGTGTCTACCTCAGTACAATGGAAAACAGTCGCGAAATTACGTGGATAGGTTGGGGTTAGACATTAACACTGTCGGATGTCGGCCCAATGGTCAGGAATTAAGCGTTCGCGTGCGAGACTGAAAGCCCTGGGTTCGAAACGCGTGAGCGGGATCGTGGATGTGCGCTGGCGAGGAGTCCCACAATAGGACGAAACGGCCGTCTAATGCTCCCAGATTTTCAATGTTGAACTAACATCATTCGGTTTATGATCTCAATTAAAAACCTAATAATCTCCACAACCCCATACTGAATCTAACTACTTGGTACAGTCCTTTCCCCTAATTATGATTCAGAGATAGTTGATATTCATAATTTTTGTCACACAATCAATTTTACTCAGGATTTTATTAGGTCATTTTTTCTTTAAGCTTTGATTAAAAAACCAGTCTCAGCTTACTTATCTTCAGCTGAATCATCTTAAAAATGTGTTTACTTAAAAATTAACGACTTATCTGTAGGTGCTGACTAGACCTCCAAAGTGTTTTAGTATTTTTCTTATTATTCCACTGATAAACATAGCATACCTTAAAAATTGTATTAATTAAAATTATTCAAAAGATCAAAATTGTTGAAATTAGTTAGATATTGACATCGTTAGACCTTGGACCAGTGGTTCGACTCCCGTATGTGCGATCGTGAATGCGCATCATTGAGTCATCCTATACTAGGAAGAAACGCCCGTTCTTTGCTTCCAGGTTTTCAATGATGGTCTATCATTGATAAATTCATAAGCTCAATATATATGAATTAATTTTCAGATCTGTTCTACCAGAGCCAGTTGTTCATACTGAATATGAATTGAAATTAAGTCACCCATCAATGGATATCACTGATTTATCTCATACATATCAACAACAAACAATATTTATACAACCAGAAATGATTCCACCAAATTTCATTGAACGATTTCCTAGTGAACTTAAAATAAATGAAAAGATCCCGTTACATATACATGGCAGAGTTTATGGTCAGCCCAAACCAAGCGTACAATGGCTTAAAAATGGGAAACCAATGTATTCAGATGAAAGGATACATTATCATGTATTGGTAAGTATCAATTGCTTTTATTTTCTTTTTCATGGAATTCAATGTTATTCTGTACTCAGGTTAATTAACAGTTTATTGATTACTTCCAGTATGCTTATCAACTTTAAAAGCAGTCCATTAGCATTATTCACTTTATACTTAGTGATTTCCACCTACTGATATATTCAACTTAAGGGTGGAAGCGAATAACTGTTAATAACATTGAAAGACAGGATAACAAATTTTTTCTAATTTGATCATGAAACCTTTCACTATTCTGTACCAACTTCTCATCCAAAGTCACAGCATTTTAACCTTCACAGATTGGACTAATTTCTAAGAGGTAATGTTCAACTAGTAGGTTACTGGCTCATACTTTACTTCATCAACTTAGCATGAGACTCTTCAGAAATGTGTATGCACAACCCCGTCTTCAGGAGTTAGATACTTGAACCAGCGGTCTAAAAGATAAGCGTTCGCGCATGAAGCCGAATGCCCTTGATCTGATCTCTGGTGGAGTGGTTGTGGGCGCTCACTGCTAAGGAGTTCCATACAAGAACAAGGCATCCGTCCAATAGTTCCTGGATTTTAATGGTCGCTTAATTAAAATCATTCTATAATCTTAACTAAGAAATTCGAAATATCCCTATAGATCCCTTATAGTAAAAGTTTGTAAAAGTAGAGTTCAGCTAGAAGATGATATTCGTATAATTTCTATATATTCTACTGCATAAATAATATAGTAATCTTTTCATATATTTATTTTATTTTAACCCTTTTCATTTGTACCTAATTATTTGTAAAACGATTGAAAGACTCTACATTATAATAGTTATCTTTTTAAAACTAAAGTTTCGCATCCTAGTAACTCTGACGAACAAACTGGGAAGATTGGTATCATCATTTGTATGGTGTAATAGTAGATAATGTTGCTCAGTAACTAATGTATAGTCTTACCATTGAAATAGCAAGTTCATTAACTATGAAACGGTACTATAGGATTTAGAAATTTTAGTGTTCATTCCATTTTGTTTGAATTTCAAATTTACCTTGTTGATAAATGCTAACTGATACAATTAATTAATTTGATGAATTACCATCGAAATCCTGTTATAATACAATGACATATTTTCAATACTGATGTACGTACGTACGAAGTTCTACGTTGTTACTAACTGACTGACTGACATATTTCCAATAACCTATATCTTAGTGATAAATACATTGTATGTGAAATACTTATGAAACAATAACTAGTCGTAAGTTAGAGGATAGCACTACATTCCACTCGTTGTTTGCTTTCAGACAGTAATTAAAATACCCGAGGTACAGACATTGACATTAAAATTGATTATTTATGTATTTTTATGAGATATTGAGACCAATATAATTATAAACAACTGTGTTTATCAGGACAATGGTGAAGTGGGATTGGAAATTACAGAACCAACTGAAGCTGATTCTGGGATTTATGTAGCATCAGCGAAAAATCCTGCTGGAGAAGATCATTGTATTGTTAACGTAAGTAAATTTGTTGATGATTATTGATTTCATTCATGATAATTAGAAAACATTCATTCATCTCTTTTAAGCAATGTGATATCCTCACGTATACCTTAACATTCAAGAAGTGTCACAATCTTTTACTTGTAGCTATCCGTTGTACCGCTGTCAAGCGTTGCCCCAACTGGTCAACCACCAGTATTCTGTCGAGGTCCTCTCCCTTGGTCTCCGACAGAAGCTGGTCCGGTAATCACATGTCCAGGTGTGTTAAACCTACAAGAAGGTCAGCCTGTTCGCTTAGAAGCTGAAGTAATCGGGAAACCAGTCCCAACAGTATCATGGTTTATTAATGGTCGTCCGATTACCATGGATAAAACGCACAAGGTAAATACTCCCATATGTTATAAGTACTTCTGACATGAAATAACTAGTTATATTTTAAAACTCATTTCCATCAAAACCTAATATCTACTTGAAAGTCATTGGACAACTGTTTTGTTTTTACCAGTTATATCTCAGTGATAGGTACATATGCAATAAAATGGATTATTTTCCGAGAATCCATGAACGCAAACGAAGCGTCTTGTCAGTACCTATATTCCATGGATTTTCCAGCTTATATCGGTTTATTGGAGAATTATCTTGATATCTTTTAAATGTTTGTAAAGCAAATAATTATATCTTCTTTTCTATTTTCTAAATCCTTACCATTTCAGATCGTCCCCATGCGTGCAAACGTATGTTCACTAATTCTAGACACACCCGTACCTAATATTGATTCTGGTGTCTGTAGTTGTATTGCTACTAATCAATTTGGTCAAGCGGAACTTCGATTTAATATACATGTCGAAGGTAAACCACAAACAATTTTACAGGCTCCTCGGTTCATACAAAAGCCACCTACTCAACTAACAGCAACCCTTAATGAAGAAGTTACATTGCATGCAGTTGCAGAAGGAATACCACAACCAGTACTATCATGGCATAAAGATGGAAAGTAAGTTTATTGGCCTATATTAAATACATTGGTTAGATGAAACATATAAGCTTGTTATGTTAGGAGATAGAAAGCTTTTCTTTACTTTGGAAATGTTCATTAGTACTGATGTAAAAATGATTTCGATCATAAAATACAAATTTAACCAAATCAACCAATCAAAATTTAGAAAAAGCAATAGTAATTACAGTTATGCATCCTAGTGACTCCGACGAACAAATTGGGAAGATTGGTATCATCATTTGTATGATGTAATAGTAGATAATGTTGCTCAGCAACTAATAGTGTATAATCTTTCTATTGAAGTAGCAAGTTCATTAACCTTTGTTGTCAGAATGATCTCAACAAGAGAAGTGGCCAAACTTTGATTTGTAATTATTAAGTTTGTTCGAGAAAAGTTTACATCCCTATCAAATTGAATTCAATCCAACAGACACAAGAAAATGTTCCTTGGTAATCTCTAGTTCAAAAAACCAAGTAAGTGTTACTGTTAAATCTAGATTCATATTGTTGTACGAAAAGATTAGATAACTAGGTAGATACTGACTTAGGTTCTTTGTAAACTGTTTCTTGAAGTACGTTATTGTTTATTATTTAAATACTTAAACATTGGTACAAGGAGGCATCAAATAGATATGTGCCACATAAATCATTCGATTTATGTGAGGGCTGGGGATACTACCCGGGTGAAAAAACCAACACAAGTGGTTTTCTCAGGGGGCCACACCCAGAGCCCTCGACCTAAAAGTCTGATCCACAAGGCAGTGGAGCAACGTGAGGAGATGCAGTCTCATGGTAGCCGGTGACCAGCGATTGGTTCATACACCATTTGTTCCTTCAGGATCATGGAGCCAGCCCATGTACACCATTGGTTTGGAATCAAGGTTTTCCAACTCACTTAGGTGGACTCTCTGTGTCCACCAACCCGATTAAAGCGCCGGACATTCGCCTTTCGTCCTCTTTATTTCGTAAACAACAGTAATGCTGCGAGAAGGCAGTTAGTAGGAGTTCCCTGTCAGTAGTTGTATGTACGTGGCCATGTGAGAGCATTTGGAGAAGGAGGGCTGACTCTCGGTCGTACCAGAGCATTTGGAGGTAATGTATATAGCTTTCCCCGAATTAGCATTTACTAGTTCATCAATTATAAAAGACATAATCAAATTTATCAAGTAATAATTCAAGGAAATAAATCTATTCAATAATTATATTTTAGGTTATTCACTGGAACATCAGATGGTCGTATTCAAATTTCAATAAATGAACTAGAGACAACACTGCATTTTGCAGCTTTACAATCTGAAGATTTATGTACATGGCAGTGTTTAGCAGCAAATATAGCTGGAACTGCTTCAGCAAGAACAAAAATTTTAGCACCAAGTAGGTCCAGCTTTTTTTGTTGAGAGATAATAAATAACTGTTACATAATTTTTATTGAAGGGATTATATTCATTCAGTAGTTCTTTTTAAAATATATTCCTCGTAAATGTATTCGATATAAATTATTCTTAGTATAGACTTGTTGTCAAGTCAAATTCATAATGGTTCTGTAGAGTATATGTCATTTTATTACCGTATGTACATTAAGCGAATGAGTTTTGATATAAATTTTGTTTTACATTACTATTTAACGAAAAGCGAATTTACACTACATGGACCTTCAATTAATATTATTTACCTATAAATCCAAGGATATTATATCTACAACAAATCGACTACTGGACTCCACATTAAAATAATACATACAGTGATGACTAGAAAATAACTTAGCTCCAAAGTCTAGGACTTCTTCTTGATCACCTTTCACACGTTAATATAAGTTGTAGTACAAAATTATAGGGTACGAATCATTACCGATTATTGTTTGGCAAAGATGAATCTAGGATGCCTGTTTTGGCCTAATTGGGACTCATCAGCTGGAAATACCTGCATCTTAGAGTTGATATTCACTCTAGGTCTCGAACCCAATATCGTTCGCTTTAATACACACATTATGCACATATGCCAATAAGAGACTGATCAACTGCAGTCCTAAACGTCAATTGGAAGAATCAAGTAAACAATACCAAGTGAGTTTATTGGTCGGATTTTTCAGTACAAAAGGAAGAATAACATGAAACTAATTACTTCTGCAAATTTAATTAACTTAAGAATAAATATAGTATTTAAAGTGATGTATAGTAGTGGAAATAAATTATGATTTGTCGTTGAGTGTGGACAAATAGCCAAAGCCTACGGACTGTTAAATATGTGACTGTCTTTCTTATTATTGATTTCTACTCTGGACTCACTGTGTTTGAATACTTGTAGTCATATTGAGTAATGTGTTCTGTAGTATTAATCTGGTTTTGTTGTATCCTAGTGAAGATTAAATTACGAGCAACTTCTGAGATCCATTAATGGACTTATATGCTTCATTTTGACCTATAGATTATTATTATACGATTTGCTGTTTTCAAATTATGTTCAGTTTATTGATTACAGTCTGCCATATTCACAGTCACGTTTCGGTTTGATTTTGCAAAAAATGTTGTTTCCTATTTCATGGTCTGTCTAGCTGGTATATAAACCAAGTATGTTTGAAATAAATGATCCGCATAGGAGAAGCTGTTACTGGCGTTCTGGACTCAACTGGATGTGCTAAGCGAACAAAGGACCGATAAGGACGCTAAGCTGCTCATACCGGTCGAACGTCATTGGTTTAGCACAAAACTAAGATTGCGATTATGCGAATAAATCACATGGTAAAAAGCCGGACTTAAAGTCACAAAAGGTTCCCTATTTAGGATCGCGAATCCCGGTTCTGATATAACATGATTAGTCTTATTAACATATTAACGTATCATTGTAATATAAGTGTAACAAAAGAAAAATATCGTAAACCATCCGTTATATCAGATGACTTTTCTAGTTTAATGATCTTTTTTATTTATTTCATATTTAGTTGAAGAGAAACCTAAAGAAATAATTCGAAAGTTTAGTATACCAAAGAAACAACCAGAAGGGTAAGAAATAATTAGTTTCTTTTTTTCCCATTAATTATTACAAACGATTATAAGTAGTTTTCTTTAATAATCACCACTCTGTGTATGTAGTCATATAATCAGAACCACTCATTTGTCATCCTAATATATAGTCATCATCACAGTAGTCGTGATGAAGGTCGATCGGCTGTTACGGTGTGAAACTGATTAACAAATATGTTATTTAAACTCTCACTACATTAATCGAATATAACCGACATGAAAGAATCCCTTATTTTATATGGCCTGATGCATTGAATTTCACTTATACGTAAAGTATTTATGGTTGGTTGGTGATTATTCTAGAATAGATTATGCAATACATTTATATACTTTCTGGAAGGACGGAGTATGTTTTACAATAGTGGAGGACAAAAGTATCTAAAGCATTCGAGAATTAAATTCCCCTTATCTTCAAGTTAAGATAACAGTACTAAACTTTACATGTGAGACCTGATCTCAAATCATACCAGAGAGTCGTTCAATGTTTTCTGAATTCTAGTAACTCTTCATTTAATCCTAACCCATGATTGTTTATTATCATATACAGTTAGTCAACTCTGACAAGCATTGAAACGTGGATAAAATAAATTAATTAGTAAACTCCGATAAGTAGAATGCATAATTTTAATATCCTCTTCAGCAATACTGATGTCCTAATCTGGCCATTTTCTTTAAAAACTAAGCCATGACTTTATCTATAGCGGTTAATGAATGTTTTTAATCATAATCACACTTAAAAAATACTTTTCAAGTAAAAATAATTTGAATACATTATACTACTTACAAAATGTGAGTACTATAATCTACAACAGTTAGAAAGATATGTCACTTGAAGGGAGAATGTTTGTGTTATGTTCTCTCATATGATCAATTTCTTATTGGATTACAATATCGATGAAAATATCAGACTGAAGTGAACTGTTAAGATGTCTACAAGATTTCGACACTTTTTTCAATCAAATTCTTACTTTCAAATGATCACTTTCTCCAATACAATCAATGATACACTTTATATGTCAATATCCTTTAAACACCAATTTGTAGGCGTAGATTGTATACTGAAAACATGATTTATCTCAGTATAAAACTGAACATGTTATAATGTTATACATTCAAAAATGTCCCCGGTTCTAAAAATTCCCTCTTTCCTGATTAGAACAAGAAATATAAACAAACGATATCGTTTTTCAATTAGATTTCCCTTTGAATTTACTGCAATATACAGTAATATTCACATATATGTATATGGAAAATAGTAAACCAATCAAAACATCTTGTTTTTCAGACTACAAGAAATAACCTCCCCTTGTCCAATAATAATGTCACCACCTCAGTCAGTATGTATAAATGAAGGTGAAAATGCTCGTTTTACAGCTCATGTTGTTGCAAATCCATCACCAATTGTAACATGGTACGTCAATGGCCAACCTGTACCTTCCTATGGAATTATGCAAGCACAACAACCGGAAAGTGAAGAAATACGATACATCAGTAGATTTGATGGTTTGATTTATTATCTAGATATGCAGAAATGTAAACCTGAAGATGCAGGTGAAATATATATTGTAGCTCAACGAAGTGATATTTCACCGGAATTAGTAAACATTGAACCAAATGCTGTTGTAAGTGCATCTGCTAAACTGGAGGTGATACCAGTAATTGATTTACGTGCACAACTCAAACCAATACCAAGTAAGTTAGGAACTAAATAAAAATTTAAAATTAATCGTTTTGCACAATTATGAAGCAGGCTTTATACAATAAAAGTGGAAGACATCAGGTCAGGCTTTCTAGCCTATCTAATAATTGGACACATACTCTGTCTTAATTAAATACATCAATTGATTTGATTAAAACATTACGAAAGACAATAAATTTCAGAAAGTCACTGATTTGACACCCAATAAGTAGACTTAATATTTCCATATAAAGCTTTTTGACAAATGATTCCATCATATTAAAATTCATTTACCAAGTCTTTGTTTCAGTAAATCCAAAATTTTATAAACAACCAGAACCTGAAGGCAATGGATGGCCGTTTCGTCCCAGTATGGGAAGATTCAGAAGTGTGCATCCACTACCATGCACACTAGACTTAGACCCAGGACTTTTGGTTTTGTGCGCGAACTCTCAACCTCTAGACCGCTGAGCCGGCATCCAGCGGTGTTAATGTTTAACTTCAATCGATCCATCATCTTGATCAACCTTCCATCCATTGTCTGAAGTGAATAACTGTCTCCACTCGAAGTGGATTGGACTCCATTTGTCATATTAATTAAAATCCAGAAATTTTATTTATGATGACAAAGAGAATTGTTGCAATGCATTAACACTTTATAAACTAACTTTGTCACACAGTTTTAAGGTTTAGTCAGAAGGAGTCAACAGGTGAAGTATGCATACTTGGTGCTGGAATAAAATCACAAGACTCTATTATATTTGTCCTGCACCTGTTTTACAATTTAATTCAGTACTTTCTACAACATAGGCGTCAATTATACGAGAAGATGTGGCTTTTTCATAAAACATTACTCATATTTATTTTTAAAGTTGAAATCACCAGTCAATCTAAGCTAGACCACCATTGTAAACCTGGAAACATTTGACGACCGTTTCGTCCTAGTATGGGACTCCTCAGCAGTGCCCGTCCACAATCGCGCACTTGTAACATGAACCTCAGTCAGTCAGACAACCACAACGTAGGACCAAGCAAATATATTCATCTGTTCAACTTCCCACACCTCATTAGCACGACAAGATGAACAACAAATTCATAGAAGTAGTTCATTCAGAGGTGGTAATGTATAAAAGAAAAATTGCATATAAGAATATAGTACATGAAGGAAGAATCAGTTCATAGGAAGAAAGATATGAAGCAATTCTAATCTCATAGTTTAAGGGAAGACAGAGAGTGTATACACCTATGCCATTGTGATCGATTCTGAGCCATGTCCTCAGGAGTCTCTAACTAATGGTTCCGATAGTGACGCGGACCCCAACCAAGTAGTTTACATCTGCCAACATGGATCACACTAGAAGACTAGGACCTTCGGTCTCTTGCGCGAATGCTTTACCTATAGACCTCTGAGCCGAGACGCAAGTGTGGTAATATCTAACTCCGATCGATCTATATTTACGCACTAATGCTACAATACCGTGATGAATAGTTTAAGTAAATTTATTACTGACTAGCTCTAACCTATGGTATTCGAAGAAAAATTTTCGTAACCAAACTTAAGTAGGAACTTGGTAGGTAACGTCACGGTATCACGTTCAATCCTAAGTAGTATATATCTAAATTTCGATTGGGATTTCAATCCATGTTTAACATGTAAATAAAAAATATGTACATTTTTTTCTTTCTTCCAGAACCGTCTATTGAAGTAATAGCTGAAAAAGTTATGCCAACACAAGAAGGTCCTGCAATGCGTGCACCACGGTTCTTGAAATTTTTAGAACCACAAACTGTTCCTGAATCTTCAGAAATAACGTAAGACAATGTTTAATTTGAAGGTTTTTTAAACCTTGAGTACAATAACTATCCGACACTAAATAAACATTAGTGCAGAAATACGTCTGTAATGAATAGACTCTCAAATGATGACAACCAATTCATTGTAATATAAAATTACAGACTTCTTTCCTTAAATATGTAAACCATACGTTCAATACATCATTTGAAATTTTCCATCATTTGTCTTAAACTTTATCGTTCCTTCATTGCTATAACAATTACTCTCTATTCCCTTTCTCTTCGATCCGTCCTTCCCAACCTTTTGCTACCAGGCATTTTACTTCTGATTGGTGTAATATACTACTTATGTCGATATAAGTAGCACACACCACACATCAAGTTCTTATACAATAAAAATAAAACTGTTATATATGGTAAAAATTAAAGAGTATTATGATTATAAACTGTTTGTGAAGCTGGGTTTTATCGACATTGTAGTAATTTCAATGGTTGCGATCATGAATCAATTGAAGCTAGACCTCCATGGAAAACCTGTAAGCACTGCATGACCGTTTCCTCCTATTTTCGGACTCCTCATCAGTGCGCATCCACGATTCCGCCTCGCGAGATTCCAACCTAGAACCTACCAGTCTCGCGCGCAGGCGCTTAACCACAAGACCACTTGAAATTCATGAATATTGTAATTGAGATAACTTCTCAAATGTCCAAGTCGTTGTAAATAATCCATTTCACTCACAGTTACACCAAATCTCCTCATTTTGGAAACAAAATAAAATTGACCTCCAAGGTATTATGTTGTTATGTTAACTGTAAATCTCCTCATTATATTTTATTCCACTATATATAGGTTTTCAGTTGAATTTGATGGGGAACCAGCACCTGAAGTTACCTGGGCACGTGAACAAGTCTATATAAATAATAGAGAAAACTATAAGGTATGCAAAATATTTACATTTTACAGTAATTTTTACGATTTGGTATAGAATAGATGGACTGTGGATAATAATGAAATCCAAGAAACATGTATCATGTTATTCGAGACTGATTAGCTAGATATATCTGAATCTTAGTGTTGTTTACATTGAGAATTCGACTCAACAGCCTACTCTTCTAAAGCTATAGAGTTATCCACTGAGCTACAGAATTCAAATAATCATTCACCAGTACAATGGGTGTAATATTTATATCATTATTATTAGAAAGAGTTTGAATGATCTATAGAATGTCACTTAGTTTAATTTTAAGTGATGTAATTGTGAAATATTCTAAATACCAAATAATATTAGATAATGTTACTGAGTTTCCATGTACTAATTTATCTTGTTGTTATAACTATTTAAAACATGTAAAATTTGTAACCCACTAACCCATAGTTAAGGAGTACCAATTTGATGATAAGATTGATTAACAGCAATAGCTTGCTGTGGGAGTGAATAAACCAGCCTTCAGCAGAAGATGAAATTAGGAAAAGACGATGGGATTGGATAGGATATACATTATGGAAATCCTCACACTGTATCACAAAGCAGGTACTAAATTGGAATCCCGAAGTGAAACGGAAAAGTGATTATAGAGCACACTAACTCAAGAATTCAAAGTAGACATGAAAAGGATGAATAGCAAGTAGAAACGGCTAGAAATAATTACTTATGATAGAGTTGAATAGACAATGCTGGCGAGTAACTTATGCTCCTTCAAGAGGGTTAAGAGGTGTATGAAACTAAGTAGGTAAGCTGAAATATATTATTTCCAATAAGTTATTCAAAAATTCTATCCTGAAGGTGTAGTATTGTGTACCATATATACCATGTGACCCTTAATATACTTTAAGTTAGAATTAAAAATACGTCTTCATATAAAACTACAATCATTTTAGACTGAATTTAACAGTTACTTCAATTGGTATTATCTGAAAAGCCATTAGAATGAGATACATCGGTTATCTCATTGTTAAGGTTTAGATGAATTGTATAAACTGCTTTGTTCAATACATCCCAAACCTACTTACAAATACTTTTTTTTTCTTTCACAAATAGATAACAACAACTTCTACAACTAGTCAACTTGTTATTTCAAAAGTTCTCTTAGAAGATACAGGGAATTTCTCAGTTACATTGCGTAATCCAGCTGGACAAGCTTGTAGTAAATCAAGGCTTACAGTGACACAAATTAAAGTATCAGGAAAAGCTCCTGAATTCATACCACCATTAATAGAATCACAGATTGTAGAAGCTGGAGAACCAATTACATTTGAATGCAAGGTTAGTATATATTTTCAATTTATTTCTTGATTTACTGTGATGAATTTCAATTATATTGAAGAGTTAATTAACTCTCACTTAATAAAATTTTATAACGGAAAATAAAGTGAATAAATGTATCAATTGACGAAGTTCATGTGAACCGTTTAAGTGATGACCACCTTGACTTCTTTCAAACTTCATAATCTCAACTTGGCCGTCCAGTACTTTCAGGTTTTCCATTGATGGTCTAGATTCAATTGACTCGTGAACTCAACTATTAAATTATTATAATATCCACAAAAACCCCTTTTTGATAATATTCATAATTGCTATTAATTCATGTTCAGCCTCTTGATTGCATAATCAATCGATTATTTTAGCTCTATAATTTCTTATTAATATGTTTGGTGATTTAAAATCTTCTCTTGCTTATGATATTTATTTACATTAATATTTATATGTTTTTCGTCTTATTGTGGGACTCCTCAGCAGTGCACATCTACGATCCCGCCTTGCGAGATTCCAATCCAGGACATATCAGTTTCACACGCAAATGTTTAACCTCTACCCTAGTGAGCCGGTATCCAACGTTGTTAATGTCTAACTTTAACCAATTCATGATATTGCGTGACCATCAACGATTGTGTTTAAGTCTTTCTCATGCAAAAAAGTCAAACTCTTCTTTTTTGTTTAAAATCAGTTTACATTTTCTTTTAACTTACTTACTTGGTGATTTTGATTTTGTTTTCAATGTTTTCTCTTTTCTGCCCCTGTTGTTCATATTACCAGAGATGACCCATTTGGCTCGACAATTAACCAGTTAATGTATAATCAAATAGTCTGAAATGTTTCAGATACATATATATCACATCTAATAAAACTATCTAAATTTATAAATTTTTAACAATGGTGTTTTGTATAAAGAATAATTATTGATTTTAATTTTCTATTTGATTGAAATATAGGTTACTGGTGAACCAACTCCACAAGTTCATTGGGAACGAAATGGAGAGCGGTTACCTCTAAAAGATCTTGAATATATACGCGTATTTGATGCGCCACCGTTTCATACTCTTGTATTATGTGAAACTGTACCAGATGATTCTGCTGAGTATCGTTGTGTAGCAATAAATGCTCATGGACAGTCAATTTGTAAAGCAAATGTTACTATACAAGGTAATTTCAAACGGAGTCATTGTATATCAATTATAAAGTACTGAAATTTCATAACAGCTTTTCTACGTCCCGTTTTATCAGATATATATCTTTTAGTCAGACAGTTTAATTAATAACTCTGGAATGTGAAGATATAGACTGTTGATTCCAATCTCGATGGGGATCTGAATGCTAAAGCGCAGAAACACTTAGTTGATAAATCCTAAACACAGCAATCCATGCCCTTTAAATATAATTTCTGTTCATTCCTTGATAGATAAAACAAGATCGTTGAGGGTTTACAAATACTAGAAACAGCAATGTTAGCTACAAAGAGATTTCACTGTTGCTGAAATCCGAGAGTTCTTATCATATTTTATTAGAAATTCAACATTTAAGTATAAAAAATAGTGTGACATTTGTGGTCTACAAGAGAATACAATTCAGTGAACAGAAACAGTTAATCGATTATCACAAGGCATAAAAGACTACTGTTTAATCAGTAGCAGCGTCCTATGTGCTCATTATTGAGTAAATCCATACTATGAGGAAACAGCTGTCCAGTCTGTTATAACTCTTGGTCTTGTGTCTTATTAGTATACAACATAATGATACCGCTAATTAGAGAACGAGCAGTCTCCGCGATACAAATAATGTATTTTAGACATACTGGGTTTATATACAAACCAAACAGACCACATCGCACCACAAAATAGAAAACAACATTTATACAAAATCTAACCAGAAGTGACTGTGAGTGTGTGCTATCGGATATTAATAATTTAGTTTGAATAATTTATTTCCTGATTAAACATTTTTGATTTTTTCCCCATACAATAATAATGAGTAAAACGTTAATGGTTTTGCTCAAATGAAAACCTAACACATGATTTTATTTCTATTTTCGCCTCAAAAAGCTAAACCAGCTGCCATTGTCCCACCAAGAATTATTCAAGAACCAAAAAGTGTAACTGTCATGGAATCTCAACCAGTTCAACTAATTGCACTAATAGAAGGTACACCGAGTAAGTAGAAATATACAATTCACTAATATTGATGATTTATACTTTCATATACACAACATGCCAACTCAATTATACAGTTACTTTGAGGATTTTATCATTAGTTCATCTTTCATGTACCCATTTAATAGAATTAATAACTCATCAAGTCCACCAATGATTAGTTTATGTCAATAATAGAAATAACCTTCACCAAATACGCTGCCAATGTATACCCATGCAAATTCTATCTATCCTAAACTCACTCAATCACAGAACACGAGCAAAGTTACCTGATTTACATTGTATTGTTGCAACTCCAAAACTCACGTGATTATAAAATCAGTCATATTATTTTATGCTCTATAAATAACTAGGTCATCTGTAGTACAATTAACGAGCACAAATTATTCAGTACTAATTTGTGAATGATAGGTATATCAATCGGCAGTGTAATTATTATAAACTAACAATTGGAGGAATATAGGAATATTTGAGATGAAATATTCAGTCCATATACACAATTTAGCAAATCTTTCAAAATTCCACATTTAACACTTATTTATTCATACTTAATAGATTTGCATAAATGTTATACACTTTCTAATTACTCACACAATTAATCACATAAATCATTCGATTTGTGTGAGGGCTGGGATACTACCCGGGTGAAAAAACCAACACAAGTGGTTTTCTCAGGGGGCCACACCCAGAGCCCTCGACCTAAAAGTCTGATCCACAAGGCAGTGGAGCAACGTGAGGAGATGCAGTCTCATGGTAGCCGGTGACCAACGATTGGTTCATACACCATTTGTTCCTTCAGGATCATGGAGCCAGCCCATGTACACCATTGGTTTGTAATCAAGGTTTTCCAACTCACTTAGGTGGACTCTCTGTGTCCACCAACCCGATTAAAGCGCCGGACATTCGCCTTTCGTCCTCTTTATTTCGTAAACAACAGTAATGCTGCGGGAAGGCAGTTAGTAGGAGTTCCCTGTCAGTAGTTGTATGTACGTGGCCATGTGAGAGGATTTGGAGAGGGAGAGTTGACTCTCTTGACTCTCGGTCTATCAGGACATTTGGGGGCAGGAAGTATTAGATCATAGATCAACCAACCTATTATATGAGTTAATAAAAACGTATAACATAAAGACAATTCAAAATAAAATAAATATATTCTATTTACATAGATAATCATAATTCATTTCTCTTGTTTGTTTTTTATATTCAGTGCCAGAAATTACTTGGTTACTAAATAATGAAATTATTAAACCATCACGTTACTTTCTTCCTGAAATTCGATCAGATGGTTATACAATACTTAATATTTCTAGTGTTTATCCAGAAGATACTGGAATTTATACAGTACGTGCTGTGAACTCTGGTGGAGAAGCTCAAGCATCAGCGGAAATCTTAATTTCTGGTTAGTTTATACTTTTACTATCATGTAACCTCTACGGTATGTATGTATGTTGAGTCTTCTGTAAGCAATCTCTCTCTTATGACCAAGAATATTTTGATATCAAGTTACTGTTTCTGTCGATCAATCTAGAATAAGTACTGATTTATTCTTGTGTTTCTTTAGTAAATTAGTTATGTGAAGAGTATAATATGAACAATGTTTATTTCTTACCAGTATTCTTTGCATTTCAAAATGATGAACCGGTTAAATGTATATTGATTTAAAGAAAAAAAACAAATGTCCCTTCAGAATGAAGATAAGCTAATTTAAACTTGCAAACATAGTTTGGTAATAAAAACTAACAATCAAAATACCATGATTTAAATATGATTAAGAAAATATAACACTTAAACTTACTTTTGTAAAACGTGCACTATTCTAAGTATGATGAATGTTTGTCTCTTGATTTTATCACTTGAATCATTAATTGATTTTATGTTACAATACACTTATATACTTACGCTTGTTACTCCTCATGGGCGAGCATAGGCCACACACAAGAATTCTTCAACCAACTCTATCCTCGACAAACCTTTAAACTTGTTTTTAGTTGCTATTCATCCTTTACATGTCTGCTTCTAATTTCCGACGCAGTGTATACTTCGACCTCCGTATTGTTCGTTTCCCTTCAGGATTCCAAGTTAGCGCTTGCTTCGTGATGCAGTTTGGTGACTTCCCCAATGTGTGTCCTATCCACCTACAACATCCTTTTCTAATTTCCTGTTCAGCTGGAAGTTGGTTTGTTCTCTCCCACAGTAGACTATTGCTGATAGTATCCGGTCAACGAATATTGAGTATCTTAAGTAGACAAATGTTTAGAAATACTTGTACCCTTTAATGATGTTTGTAGTAGTTCTCGAAGTTTCAGCTCCGTACAGTAGATCTGTCTTGACGTTCGCATTGAAGATTGTGACTTTGATATTGGTTGACTGGTTTTTGAATTTCCATGTGTCCTGCATCTGTAGGAATACTGTCCTTGCTTTGCCAATCCTCTCCTTTACGTTTGTATCAGATCCTCCTTGTTCATCAATGATGCTACCCAGATATGTGAAGGATTCCACCTCTTGCAGAGTTTCTCCATCAAGTGAGATTGGTTTGATGTTCTCCGTGTTGTATTTGAGGATATTGCTTTTTCCCTTGTGTATTTTGAATGTTCTAATACAAGTTCTGTAAAAAATTAAGGAATTTCCTCATTTGTATTATATTTTAGCTCCATTACAAACTGCTCCACAATTTGTGAAACCTTTACCTACTGGGACACTAGAAGTAAAAGAAGGTGGAGGATTATTCTTAGAAGTTCAAGTTTCAGGCGAACCTATACCTCAAATTGATTGGTATCATAATGGTCAATCTTTACAATCTGGACCAATTTGGAAAGTAAGTGAGCCATTTATGTTAAGATTATTTAGATTCATCAAAAAACTAATTCCTACTTGTTCTACGTCATTGTACTGATGACCAGTCCCTACACATCATTATCAAACCTACTTCAATATTTCTTCTATTACGTAAAAGATTTAAAATGAAAGATTTTCAGTCTGACAAAATTTCAATATTCAATGTTTACATAATCTCCATCAGAAGGGGTTTTGTGGATATTATAGTAATTTCAATAGTTGAGATCACGAGTCAGTTGAAGCTAGACCACCATGGAAAACCTGGAAGCACTGGACGGCCTTTTCTTATTATTATGGGACTCCTCAGTAGTGAGCATCCACGATTCCGCCTCGCGAGATTCGAACCCAGGACCTAGTGAGAAGCAGTGACCAGTGGAGTTCAACCAGATCTGTTGTGAGATAGTAACTCACTGAAGATATTGGCGGATGTGTCGCCCAATTTCATGAATCGGTTGAAGTTAGACATTAACACCGTTGGACACCGGCCGGCTCAGTGATGTAGAGGTTAAGCGTTAGCTAGCGAGACTGATAGGTCACTTACATAAAGTAAAAGAAATTTACAGCAATGATCACCATCGGTTACTTTTCTGAGCCATGTCTGATAACATTTCAAACCACTGTATTGCATTATCTCTAGGACCTTTTAATAATCTTGTTCGACTCAACAATCTATCAATTAAATGAATAACACTTAATGAATATTTATCTTTATAAATGTGAAGTTTATCACCACTAAGATTATAATTGTGAAATATGATAAAAAGCAGTATCGAAATTTTAACATTATAATGTTTACAGAAGGGAATTTTCTTTACTAAGACATAATTTTTTAAATCTATACACAATCATATTTGTATCAGATATGTTATATGACAAAACATTTAGCTTTCTTGATGGGAATTATTAAACAAAGATGGATGGTGGCTGGCAGTGGAATCCAGGATCTGAGTTTCGTTCTATTTAGGGCTCGTCAACTGAGTGTATCTGCATTTTAGAGTTAATGTTCACTCCGGGACGCGATGGCGTTTGAAGCGAACGGCACTGGGTTCGAGTCCCGAAGTGAATGTTAACTCTGGGATGCAGGTACACTTAGCTGACGAGTCCGAAATAGGACGAAACGCGGATCCTGGACTCCGCTGCTAGCCACTACCCATATTTGCTCATAAAGATTGTGACTAAAGGCGATATCGAGACAGTACGCCTAGGATGCACATATGTTAACAAGAGACTGATCAATTGTAGTCCTTAACAATAATGGGATGATACAAACAAACAATACCAAGGGAATGATCAAATTTATAAAAATTTTGTTTATTCACAATTTCAGGTTAAAACTGATAGATATACTTCACAACTTGAATGTAATGTAATCTCCATGAATGATGGTGGTGAAATTCTTGTCAGAGCAACTAATTCAGTTGGTCAAACAACTACGCAAACAAAAGTGGTAATAATCCGGTCAGGTATGTTAATAATTAAGTTTTCTGTCACTAAGCCTTTTTTCAGAAATAAGTACAAAATATTCATAATCAGTAAGATTCCCACTCATTCATTAACCATAGAGTTTTAAAATCAAAAACGCTAGTTATCCAATATGTTGTCAAGTTACTCTTATCTTTCGATCTGTCTAGTTCACCGTTATTTTTAATACTTCTCCATGACGGATTTGACCACGTGTCACTCAGCTTCACAGTCAGAGACGTTACCATTGAGCTATCCAAGCCGCAACTGACCATCTGATTGGATTGAGATGTATTTACAATTGGCCTTATCTCAACATAACTTAATCTAGACAAATGTTAAAAATTCCATTGAGTAACTTCATTCAGCTGAAAACAAGTATTTATTTTGTTTAAAATTCCCTAATAGGACCCAAACCAACTCCACCAGTTTTTCAAAAACGTCTTCAACCTCAAGTAAAGGCGCCAGAGCATCACACTGTCACGTGAGTTATTATTTAAGTGTAATTTGTCATAGCAGTCATTGTATCTTCATTTTTCCATACTTGTTACGAATTTTTCTAACCTTTCTATGACTCCTTTAACTCAGTTAGTGTTTGTAATAGATGGTTGATTGTTTACACAGCACGACTTACAAGAACGCCTGGATAGCCGAACGAGTATCTGGCACTATTTTATATTGTTCAAACTCAAAGATTATTTTAATATTATTCGTAATATCTAAGGCCATGAAATATCGTAATTAGTATATCGCAGTACAGCCCCCAAATGCCCTGATACGACCGAGAGTGAGGAGAGTCAGCTCTCCCCTTCCAAATGCTCTCACATGTCCACGTACATACAACCACTGCCAGGGAACTCCTACTTACGGAAAGCTAATGTCCGGCGCTCTAACCGGGAGTTGGAAAACCCTGATTACAAACCAATGGTGTACATGGGCTGGCTCCAGGATCCTAAAGGAACAAATGGTGTATGAACCAATCGCTGGTCACCGGCTACCATGAGACTGCATCTCCTCACGTTGCTCCACTGCCTTGTGGATCAGACTTCTAGGTCGAGGGCTCTGGGTGTGGTCCCCTGAGAAAACCACCTGTGTTGGTTTTTTCACCCGGGTAGTATCCCAGCCCTCACACAGATCAAATTATATTTGTGTGGTGCATATGTATCTGGTACCCCCTTGTATCGATATCTATGTGTTCAAATAAATAAATAATACTTGCATACCTAGACTCTGTGATACAAAACTGGACAAAAGGTTTATCATTATTTGTGAATGTAAAAATATATTCAAAAATGAAGAATATTTGAGCGAACAATTATTTTCAATAACTTCATCTTCAGGCTCTATAGTTATAAGTCCATAATGATTGTGATATTTTTACAAAGGCCAAAATAATGCATGTATTAATGAATTTGACAATGTTATATGTTAAAATAAATGGTGAACGTTTGCATCTGTTACGATATATATATATATATATATACTTCAAAATAGTGTTATTTGCAAATTAGATAGGTCATTTAATGAAGTACAGAATGATTTGGAGTAAAGTATTCAATCACAATCAGTATAGCAGTAATATAGCAAAAATGAAAAAGAATGAAAATTGTGTGAATAAAATAAATGGTAGGAGAATTTCATCTTGTCAGTTGAGATAATAATGATAATAATAATACTGTTGTGTGAATATACTATGTAATAAGGCGGGTGTTATCAAGGTAATTACGATAAACGAATTGGGAATGATGGATATGAAGATTAAGATAGAGGTAGTCCAAAAAGGTGGTAAGATGTTTATAATATTCAGTTTAGGTTTCCGGTGGGCCAAGGTAAACATAGAGGCTGGATATACTTTTTCTGGAAACATAAGTTTAGTTTTTTGGAGTTGATCCAGATGGTTTCGGCTATGTAGAGCAATCGTATTCTAGCTCCTTGAGGTAGATATTTTGGAACCTGATATAAAACAGAGAAAGCTTCCTCTATTTTGATATGATGTTCACTACCTACCAAGTGTGAAAGAATAGTGCTGTTAATCGATTTAGTAACTCCTTTTCCCAACCATGCTGGTATATGTTCACGAACACGCAAAAATAAAGCCCTCTGAGTACGGCCTATGTAACTAGCTCCACAGGAGAAGTTGAATTGATATACACACATGGAGGAGCCCATCTTCGGTAACCTATCTTTGATTAGTTGTATGAGTACTGGTTTAGTTGAGAAAATTATGTGTAGCTTGGCGGTGTAAAACGTCCTTTCGACAGATCTTTTGAGTCGACGTGTTAAAATATCATCCACTAAGTCCCCTTTAAAGTCTAGTCTCAGATATAGGGTTTTTTATTGACTGTGTCACAGTTTCTTCTTTTTTTAAGTGTTTTCTACGAGGTATTTTTTAACAAAACTATCTGGATAGCCATTATTTTGTAATGTGTCCTTTAGTATATCTATTTCGCCATCCACACTGTCTTCAGAACATAATAACTTGATTCTGTGATTGAGACTGGACACTTAACTCTAAATCATTCTGACCTTTATTAAATGACCTATCTAATTTGCAAATAATACAATTTTGAAGTATATTTATTGTAACAGATGCAAACGTTTACCATTTTTAACACATAACATTGTCAAATTCATTAATACATGCCTTATTTTTGGCCTTTGTAAAATATCATAATTATGGACTTATGACTGTAGAGGCTGATGATGAAGTTATTGAAAACAATTGTTCGCTCAGATATTCTTCATTTTTGAGTAAAAATATATTGCAACGATCATTGTGTCGAATGGTAACTTCTAACTAAAGTTACGTCCTTGTTTAATAAATCCGAACTAGTTGTTTATATACTAAATTCGCAGAGAATAACTTCCAATGTTGAGATGGTGAAGATTTGTAGATCAGGTGGATGATTTTTGATGGAGTTTTGTTCTCTGAGCTGGATGGTTTGGTCGTGGAGCTTTCATCGTTCTTCTGAACGACATCGCCAGCACAAACTTAAGATGAAAGCTCCACGACCAAACCATCCAGCTCACAGAACAAAACTCTATCAAAAACTTCCAAAGTTTCACATTTTCATGTATTTTGCACATCTGAATAATTCTAAAGTGTAGCAACAACGATTTTGTTTCGATTTTGTCTACACACACAGTACAAAGTACATTAACTGTAATAGTGTGTAATCGGGCTGTTGATTATGATCTTTATACAATCCGTCGTGAAATCACTAATCGGAACATCATAAAGACAAGCCAAGTACCTGTGAATATATTTTGTATTACCTTAGACTCAAAAGTTCACGTAATTACGTATGCAAGATGCGAGACTCTAAGGAACCATAAATAATAAATATCAATATGCACATACATAACTGAAGCATAAAACAGGTGATAGTTAGTTAACTGTAATTTATGGACAGAGAAAAATATTTTTACGCAATGAATCAAATGAAAGCTTGTAGTCAGAATAATATAAAATTACTGTCAACCAATAGCTTAATAACCAACACATAAAATATACAAACTGATTCTTTCCGAAATACATTCTCAAGTCTGATCATCCCCTTTACAAGCTTCGTTTAAACAGGTTTGTGATAATGCATAAATTAGACGAACTAATCGATAATGATATGGTTAGTTTAATAGGCTGATAAGTGAATACACCCCGTTTATGTTTACACTAGAAGTAAATAAATTCAACACTTGATTTCAAATCTTGTCAGCTTGAATCCGTTACCTCAGCTTATTACAAATCTATGATATCCAAACCTCATTTCTTAAAATGGCTAAGACTTAATTAATTGGTATCATGGAAGCAGAAATGAAAAGGATGAATAGCAACTGGAAAGAACTGGAAAGGGTTGTCCAGGATAGGGTTGGATGGAAAGTGCTGGTTGGCTGCCTACGCTCCTCCACGAGAGGTAACAGGCGTAAGTAGGTAGTAAGCAGTATGTTTTTTATCCGACAACCTTTGTCGTGTGGATACTTGACTTTCCGGTATTTAGTTAAAACCGTTCTTATGGCATGATGTGACTAAACTATGTAGTGTGACGACTTTTGACAAAAGGATTGTTCGACGACATGGAAGATAAATTAAGTGTTAAACAACTTCAACTCGATTGCAAACTCTCATATATTTGGGAATGACTCTTAAGCTACTTTGTTGAGCATTTAAATATTTCAAATATCTTTTTCAATATTTAGGTTGGAATGTTCAGTAAATGGATGTCCGGAACCAACTTTACGATGGTTTCATAACGGTGTGGAGTTTGAACCAGTTTTAATATCATCCTTTTCTCATGAAATGGCCGCTAAGAGAGAATTATATATTGATGAGGCGACACATACATATACGTTACACATACATGATATAAACGCTTTTGATGTTGGAGAAATTATGGTACGCGCAGAGAATGAACTTGGCGTAACTATGTGTAGTAGTGTATTAGAATTAGAAATTCTTGATGGAAAAATTGTTGAACCACGTTTTATACGTCAACCACCAGAAAGAATTGAATTACAACCTGGAGATAGCGCTCAATTAGAGTGTGAAGTGGAATCAGAACCACCTGTTACATTTAAATGGTATTTAAATGGATTACAATTGGATCAGTCAAATAAACGATTTAAAGTTCTTGAAGATGTAAATCGTACAACTCTTATAATTCCATCTGTTCAACAAGATATTCTTCCTAGTGAAGTGACTATTGAAGCTGCTGGTCAAACTGGTACAAAGATTGTAACATCTTCAATTCTAGTAATGACAGCTAAAACAGATGATTTATCAGTACCTGAACCACCAGAATTACGTTTTAGTCGACAACTTCCATCAAATTTAGCATATAGTGAAATGGATGATACAATAATTCTTGATGTAGAAGTTGATAAACCAGAAATATCATCAATTGAATTACCTAAACCTACATTTAGTTGGTATATGAATGGAATAGATATATTTTTATTACCACCTGATAAGAAACCTGAACGTTATAATGTTTCACAAGATAATCCATGGCATAGTCGATTAACTATTAATAAACCTGGTACATGGGATTTTGGTGAAATCACTTGTTTTGTAACACGTTTAACTGATAAAAAAGAAGAAAAAATTTATACTTCATGTAATCTTGAACTTACTTATCAACCAATTAAACCAGACGAACAATCTAAACCAATTATATCAAAACTTGAATTTGCACCACAATTTATTCAAGGTTTACCAGAAAAATTAACACCAGAAGTTGGATCAACTGTTGTAATGGATATTATATTAAAATCAAATCCAATACCTGATATTCAATGGGTAATAAGTTCACCATTAACAGCTGAAAGATTTGAATATTTCGGTCCAGAACAAATTGATAATGAAACAATACAATATCGTGCTATATTACATAATTATCAACCTGATAAAGATGATAATACTATGTTACAAATGATTGCTACCTCATCATTAGGACAGTCTACATCAATATGTCATATACAACCAAAAGAACAACAAACTGTTAATATACAATTTGCTAAAACATTAAATTCACAATTAGAAGTTGTATTAGATCAATCAGTTGAATTAGAATGTTCTATTATACCAACTAATATACCAATTGAATTTCGTTGGTATATTAAAGGTGTAGAAATCACTGCTGAACATATACCATATGAAATAAATACTACTGATTTTACATCTATATTAAAAATTCCTAAAATTAATTCTGAAATGATTGGTAGTACTATTAGTGTATCAGTATGTTCTCCATATAGTAATGAATTAAAAAGTTCTTGTGAATTATATACAATATCTGAATCTCATTTACCAATTATTGAAGATATAATTACTGAATTACCAACAATTCCAGAGATGTTAACAATTGAATCAAAAATAATTGAACAAGAATATGAATTTAGTTTTATTAAACCAATTCATTATGAAATATATCAAAATTCAAATGAAGAATATACTTTAGAGTAAGTTTAAATTTTTAAAAAAAGTCCACCTTTGAAATGTCCGAATATTACTTTCTTTTATTGGTCGAGATTAGAATTGATGAATGAAGCAATCTGATATAAGATAACAGATCATTGGTTTCGGCGCGAAATCCACTGATCCATTTGGATTAATAACGTCTAGGTATTTTACCTGATGTCAATTCGTGATGAAAAAGCATAAATCCAATTTCTAATCCTAACCATCAAATGTGAATCATAATCCTTATTCTTTAAGCTACTTTATAACCCTTATTCAGCATTAGTTAGTAGGTGGACACTCTCAAAGTCACTTTAGAGTCGCTCAATTGTCGTCCATAAATTGTAGTCTCACTATTGAAGAAATATGAGGTGCATTCAGTTACCGATTTTTAGAATGATCAAATCTTTTACTTACTTACTTACTTACATACATACTTAGTTACTTACTAAATTACATCTGTTACTCCTCGTGGAGGGGCAAAAGACTCCCTCCACCACTCTCTATCCAACCTTGTCCTTGGCAATCCTTTTCAATTCTTTCGCAGTTGTCATTCATCCTTTACATGTCTGCTTCTAATTTCCGACGCAGTGTATACTTCGACCTCCGTTTTGTTCGTTTCCCTTCAGGATTCCAAGTTAGCGCTTGCTTCGTGATGCAGTTTGGTGACTTCCCCAATGTGTGTCCTATCCACCTACAACATCCTTTCCTAATTTCCTGTTCAGCTGAAAGTTGGTTTGTTCTCTCCCACAGTAGACTATTACTGATAGTATCTAGTCAACGAATATTGAGTATCTTAAGTAGACAAATGTTTAGAAATACTTGTACCCTTTAATGATGTTTGTAGTAGTTCTCGAAGTTTCAGCTCCGTACAGTAGATCTGTCTTGACGTTCGCGTTGAAGATTGTGACTTTGATATTGGTTGACTGTATTTTTTGAAGTTGCATATGTCCTGCATCTGTAGGAATACTGTCCTTGCTTTGCCAATCCTCTCCTTTACGTTTGTATCAGATCCTCCTTGTTCATCAATGATGCTACCCAGATATGTGAAGGATTCCACCTCTTGCAGAGTTTCTCCATCAAGTGAGATTGGTTTGATGTTCTCCGTGTTGTATTTAGCATATTGCTTCTTCCTTTGTGTATGTTGAGGCCTACTGATGCAGAGGCTCCTGCCGCACTAGTTGTCTTCATCTGCATTTGTTCTTGTGTATGGGCTAGGATGGCTAGGTCATCTGCGTAATCCCAATCGTCTAACTGATTCTGAGCTGTCCATTGTACTCCGTGCTTTCCCTCAGATGTCGAGGTCTTCATAATCCAGTCAACCACCAGAAAAAAGTGGAAGGGAGAGAGTGAACAGCCTTGCCTGACTCCGGTCCTTACTTGAAATGCATCTGTCAGCTGAAGCAAAATATAGCTTGGTTTTCTCGCTTACGAATATCTACCGTAGATATCCTACCAGTGCCCACTTTGCGAGATAACAACGCAACTCAGATCAAGAACACGTGACTGGTCTGACTAGAACGTATATTTTCACTTCAACAACCGATAATAACAAATAATGACAAGGACATGAAAATATGTACCACTTGTATTACTTATCAGATTATCTACTTGTTTGACAAAGTAAACAACCAATCACTATCTTCCTCACCCATACATTATGAAGTTTGTTGTTTGGTCAGGATTATCTTAGTTCATCTAAAAGCAAAAATTTCAGGCTTCAGCATTAAGGAAAACTTAAATAAGTGATCACTATTGTTACTTAGAAATCTAGTATATATTGATTTAAGTATTATAATATATATTAGTAAAAATCTGGGTATAGACAGTCGAGTCTTAAATATGACTGAAAAATCTAACTGCCGTGTATTTTATTCTACTCTTAACATACCCTCGAATGAAAGTTAGGACAATAGGCACTCACTATACCTGTCTAACATACCTCAGAGTATAAGGGTAAACAAGGTGTTCAGATAAATTACATTTCTTTAAAATCTCAACAATAAGACTGTCCTACGTATATTACTATCAGCACTCATAAACGACATTGTAAAGATTGCTTAGCTATCTATTTTTAAATGTTTGATTTCCATCTAATAGGTAAACAACCAGTCCTTAACTTCAGTAAGTTTTGTATGTTGTATTCGTTGATGATTTTTCTGAGCCATAGCACCATCGAGAACTAGGATGTACTGAACAGCTGTCTCGTTTTAGTATGGGGCTCCCTAGAATTACACACCTAATCAGGATCTTCATTGTCCACAGTCAGCACTTAACCGCTAAAACCAATAGGTTTGTACCCATTGGTAAATTCCCAACTGTCCGTCCAGAGCTTCCTGATTTTTAATGATGCTTCAAGTCAAATCACTCGGTAACAAACACAACATTTAAACTAAGCTTATTCTTAATGTATTTTAATTATCTATCATTAAACATTTAGATTAGAATGTCAGTTAATAACAGATCAACAACCAGCGTCTATTAAATGGAGCCATGAAGGTATTGAATTAAATATTTCTGATCGTATCGAGCAGGTCTATGAATATGAAAGTGGTTTAGCTATACTAATTATACATAATATTACACCTCAAGATATGGGTGAATACACTTGTACTGCTACACAAGCTCATCTTCAACCTTCACAAGTTGAACCAATACAGAAAACAATCAGTACGAGTACTGTTGTGGATATAGAAGGTATGCTACAAAATTACAGTGATTACTTAAATATTGTTTAATGACAAATTTCCCGTTTATTACATGTATATATATGGTCTAGAATGGGCTGATATCAAGTTAATAACGTAGGTCGTAGTGACTTGATAAGTCACTAACCATAAATTTCAATTCAGTCAATATGTTCTCGAACTAATCTCAGTTACAAAGTAGTGAAAAGTAACAAATCATTCTCCATACTGAATACTGACTTAAGTAGACTTATCTCGTTAAAAAAAACCAAGTACAATTAATAAGGATAACAAAATGGTTTACTATAAAATTATTTTAACATTCATGAGTAATCACAGAATGTAATGTGCAACACGTTTCACAGAAATTAATTGTGAATAACAGAAGGGGATTTTTATGGATATTATAGTAATTTTAATAGTTGGCATCATTAGTAAATTGAAGCTAGACCACCGTGGAAAACCTGAAAGCACTGAACAGCCGTTTCATCCTGGGTTCGAATCTCACGAAACCAGGTCGTGAACACACACTGCTGAGGAGTCACATGATAGAACGAAACGGCCGTCCAATGCTTCCAGGTTTTCCACGGTGGTCTAGCTTCAGTTGACTCATAATTGTAAATAATCAGAAGACTTGATATAATAAACGAAAATGCAAACCTACAACTAAATTATCATAAAGATATTCACCAGAATTACCTGGTTTAAATAGGAAATGTTTAATATGACTGTCATTGCATAACACCACTTCATTCGTCACCTGCAGCAGCAAGCGATTATTTAGATATCATAATTATAACCAAGAAGAAAACCTCGTTCCCATACGATGAATAAGATAATTTAAGAAAATCCTAAACCATAAAAGTAAATATTGATAGAGTTCAATACGTAATAAATAATATACAAACAAAAATAGATCAAAAAGATTTACAAACATTCCAATAATATGTGAAGCAAGGACGAAATCCATTATTAACTAAAAATATAGGATGACAATTAATGAAATCACAAAAAGAGAGACTATATGTGGAAAAGAACATGATATAATTTGAGAAAATAACTAGTGTTTAGTTGATGTGGATGGTCCGATCCACTAGAACTACATCTAAGCCGTTATCAAAAGTGTTATTAGCAGATATCGATTACTCCTCAGTGGTTTGAGAGTTTTCTATTCACATTGTTAGAAGGCAGTTAGCCTTTTGTTTTGTTTTACGATGGTGATTACAGCGAACAACGAGGGAATATTGGTGGACAGAAATTATGGTCTGGTCACGTTGTTGGTGTGATTGGTTGAATGTTCAGAGTGAATGTGTGTGTGTGTGTATGTGTAGAGATTAGTGAGGTTGCTATTCACAACACACAAGCACATTTGTCAAGCAGTCAGTCAAGCAGTCGCTGGACAAAATTCACTCAATATACCCGTTATTATAGCTTGATGATTATGTTGAAATGTGTTTTCGCATAAATCTGTCAGCGATTTCTTCCATCTTGTAGTGTGATATAAACAATGTGAATAAATTTCAATTTGTTTTGTTCTTTGAAATCAGTTCCTGAAACGACAGAAGTTGTGCCAACAGTAACTGAGAAGGTTCTCACCTTCTTACAACCAGTAACACCGAATATCCACATTGTACAAGACCATAAGGATCTTGAGTGAGTTATCGTCTTGCGTTTATTTTTTTCTCATGTAATATTGATGATGACGCGATATCGATTAATATGCAGTGTAATAGAATCGTGGCTTGAGACACCAGTTTTCATTTGTGTGTTTGACTAATTCGTGTGAATCGTAAGGAGAACAGCCATCCTTGGAAGAAAGTTCACACAGCCAGTAAAAATTGCCAATTGAATTGGCTGGAATGTGAAAGTGCTTGATTGAAACCACCAAAAAAGTTTGGATGATAATGTGACCAACCGAACCGAACCGAACTGACCTGACCTGACCTGAACAATACTGACATATGCAACATCTAACCAAACGCGTTTTTCTTGTTGATGTGGGATATGTGAATGGTAAATATGATAAGTGTGAAATTAAAATTGAGTGAGAACTTCCTTGGTTGATTGATAAGTTGTCGCAAACAACTCACACAAGTAATTGGTTAGAAGTGGATAGATTAGTTGAGACACTTTATTAGTGAAAATGAAAAAGGTAGAAATGTGTTGTATGTGATGAGTAGGAGCAGTGACCAGATTGTGTTTCGTTCGTATATGGGGTCCATGGGACAAATGGATATGCATCGATGTTGATTTTTACGATGCACTTGGAATCTAGTATTTATCATTCAACTATGTGAATTTCAACTTCATGGATGTTTATTGAAATATACATGTTACACAGGACGTGTATGATGTTGAGTTCGATCTCAGCTGAATGTTGATAATTAGTGAATGACGAATGCATTGACCATTAGGTACCTAGTCTCATATTACACTGTTATCAATCGAAATGTCGAAAACACGATGCATTGAAACATAAACGAGTATTCCATTATTATGTTTATTTGTAGACTGGAATGTCAAATTCAAGCAGATTTAAAGCCAATTCAAGTTGTCTGGGAAGTTGATGGCAAGGAATTAACTCAATCTGACCGTAATGAAATGATCTATTTTGAAGATAGTGGAGTAGCTCGTCTAATAGTACATCAAGTGGTTCCATCGGATTCTGGTGAATACACTTGCAAAGTTCATGGTGAGGTGATTGAAGCTGAGACCAAACAACAAATGACCAAAACAATTTCATCTGGCTCAATTGTTACAATTGAAGGTGAGTGAAATGAACTAAGATGAGGTGATAAGCAGTTCATGAGAAGTAACTTTACAGCGATTTCTAGTTTCTACCACTTCTCTAGATCATTTAGACTTGTGGAAAATTGTGTTACAGTGAGACAGAGCACGAGAATCACTTAATTGAACTTTCAAAATTTGTGTTGTGAGAGGGATTTCACTGAGAATATTGATTGACCACATTAGGTGGTGGTAATCACTGATAGTGCTGAGTATACTGGATTGTTCAGGTTAAATCATTACAATAGCCACTCACTTATCACCTCTCTCTTTCACCTGATTCCTGACATCATTGTTGTTTATCATTCTTTTAATTAGTTAATAAATTGCATCTCTTACTGTGTGCTAACTGTTTGGTGAATGGGATGCAGTTGAGCATCCAGAAGCGTTCCGGTATATTTAGAGTTGACTGACTCGAACATTAGAAAGATTTCTCAGTTGGAGTTGTGTGCACAGTAGTCTACACGAACGAATTGATGTTGTTTAAGATAAGTGGTGACTTTTGATAGATATGCGATTTGCATTGATATAGGCGAATGTGAAGAGGAAGAGTATGACCACTTCACTGATGTGATGTTGTTTGCAGTCGGAACAATCAGTTTTGTGAATAATATTTGCATTATCTTCCCGTACCGTTGTCTCCTCTGATTTAGACGGTAACGATTGGAGTGATTCTTTTAGCTTGTGGATCACGCCTACTGCTAACAGCCACGAAAATCTTGTTGTAATCTATGATATGAATTTTATATCTGAAACGACAATCCGTTTGTTGGAGTTCACACCTGATTTCGTGTCTAGTGCTGAATGTGACAAGCATTTTCTGATTGAATTGGGTTTTTAGCAATCCTTTATTGCAAACAATAATCATTAGGTGCACTTTTCATGTCTATGTCTGGTAGGTAGTTGTACTGCAGTGTATCTTCACCCTATTGAATAGGCCTTGAACTTAGTTGACCTTGTGAGTGTCTGATTTGTTACAATTGTAGTCGATAGTTTGGTGTGTTTGCGTTGTGTTGCGAAACACCAGATTTTTCAGTCCTGTATTGATTCTGATGATCGGAACATGGAGGAAGGTTAGTTAGTTGTTCGCCTGCATTCCCATTGTGAATTTTATGTCATCGAAGATGTTAATAATTGAATTGTGGGTACTTTTCGGCACATTCCGTTTGACGGTGGTGAGCATGCTATCCACATCCGCATAGCGGGTCCAAATAGTTGTCTTGATCAATGGTGAAATTAAATCTTCGAGTCTGTGCACTACTTCTTCCACAACGAGTCTGGATATCAGTGATCTAATTGACATTCTTTTTGTCTGTTTCAACACTTGATTATTGAATTGGACACATATTGTTAGTCTCAGATGGATGAGCCCAATAAATCTTTGACATTGGTTCTTTGTGTGATTTTGAATTTTTCTTACATTGGTGACTGACTGGATGGTATAAAGTTTATTATTATTATTATTATTATTATTATTATTATTCGCTTGCCAAGCTTAGTTCAAGTCACCTGAATAAGGCTATAATGTCACAAAATACCATCAGTGTGCTACTGCATTTATGGGCATTCCTAACCAAACCCTTATGTTGTTTGGAAGGATTGATGGGGTGGTCGTCGAATTCCACTGAATGTTTTAGAGTTGTTGACGTTTCTGTTGACAGATTGTACATATTTGTGTGGACCATAGGTAGTGAGACAGTTAATTGTAGGGGAATTCTTGGTGTATATGTTATCGGAACCATGGGAGAACATTTCCAGTATAATGTGTTTGCCATAAGTCCTGTGTCGTTAATTGGTCTAACATAATGAGTTATTGCGGTAGGTCCTATCAACCCGGTTATCCAGATTCCTGAAAGGATTTATTTGCACTGATTAGTACACAATTCAGTTCTCCAATAGCTCCTCAGTCATCCTGATGTGTTCTCCTATGTCCATTAATATATATATATATATATATATATATATATATATATATATATATATTCTGTCATGATTATGTTCTCATTTATGAGAGAGAGATTCTTTAAAGCCGTCTGTTGTATATGGTTGAGTGGAACGTACAGCCGTGTTATTGTTGAGTCTGTCGGTTTAAGACATTTGTAAAAATACTGTTTAGGAACTTCAGTAAATTCCTTTCCGTCCAGTCCAATAATGTTTCTATTAACTGGTCTATATATAGAAAGCAACATGGTGTAATTTGAGAAAATAACTAGTGTTTAGTTGATGTGGATGGTCCGATCCACTAGAACTACATCTAAGCCGTTATCAAAAGTGTTATTAGCAGATATCGATTACTCCTCAGTGGTTTGAGAGTTTTCTATTCACATTGTTAGAAGGCAGTTAGCCTTTTGTTTTGTTTTACGATGGTGATTACAGCGAACAACGAGGGAATATTGGTGGACAGAAATTATGGTCTGGTCACGTTGTTGGTGTGATTGGTTGAATGTTCAGAGTGAATGTGTGTGTGTGTGTGTATGTGTAGAGATTAGTGAGGTTGCTATTCACAACACACAAGCACATTTGTCAAGCAGTCAGTCAAGCAGTCGCTGGACAAAATTCACTCAATATACCCGTTATTATAGCTTGATGATTATGTTGAAATGTGTTTTCGCATAAATCTGTCAGCGATTTCTTCCATCTTGTAGTGTGATATAAACAATGTGAATAAATTTCAATTTGTTTTGTTCTTTGAAATCAGTTCCTGAAACGACAGAAGTTGTGCCAACAGTAACTGAGAAGGTTCTCACCTTCTTACAACCAGTAACACCGAATATCCACATTGTACAAGACCATAAGGATCTTGAGTGAGTTATCGTCTTGCGTTTATTTTTTTCTCATGTAATATTGATGATGACATGATATCGATTAATATGCAGTGTAATAGAATCGTGGCTTGAGACACCAGTTTTCATTTGTGTGTTTGACTAATTCGTGTGAATCGTAAGGAGAACAGCCATCCTTGGAAGAAAGTTCACACAGCCAGTAAAAATTGCCAATTGAATTGGCTGGAATGTGAAAGTGCTTGATTGAAACCACCAAAAAAGTTTGGATGATAATGTGACCAACCGAACCGAACCGAACTGACCTGACCTGACCTGAACAATACTGACATATGCAACATCTAACCAAACGCGTTTTTCTTGTTGATGTGGGATATGTGAATGGTAAATATGATAAGTGTGAAATTAAAATTGAGTGAGAACTTCCTTGGTTGATTGATAAGTTGTCGCAAACAACTCACACAAGTAATTGGTTAGAAGTGGATAGATTAGTTGAGACACTTTATTAGTGAAAATGAAAAAGGTAGAAATGTGTTGTATGTGATGAGTAGGAGCAGTGACCAGATTGTGTTTCGTTCGTATATGGGGTCCATGGGACAAATGGATATGCATCGATGTTGATTTTTACGATGCACTTGGAATCTAGTATTTATCATTCAACTATGTGAATTTCAACTTCATGGATGTTTATTGAAATATACATGTTACACAGGACGTGTATGATGTTGAGTTCGATCTCAGCTGAATGTTGATAATTAGTGAATGACGAATGCATTGACCATTAGGTACCTAGTCTCATATTACACTGTTATCAATCGAAATGTCGAAAACACGATGCATTGAAACATAAACGAGTATTCCATTATTATGTTTATTTGTAGACTGGAATGTCAAATTCAAGCAGATTTAAAGCCAATTCAAGTTGTCTGGGAAGTTGATGGCAAGGAATTAACTCAATCTGACCGTAATGAAATGATCTATTTTGAAGATAGTGGAGTAGCTCGTCTAATAGTACATCAAGTGGTTCCATCGGATTCTGGTGAATACACTTGCAAAGTTCATGGTGAGGTGATTGAAGCTGAGACCAAACAACAAATGACCAAAACAATTTCATCTGGCTCAATTGTTACAATTGAAGGTGAGTGAAATGAACTAAGATGAGGTGATAAGCAGTTCATGAGAAGTAACTTTACAGCGATTTCTAGTTTCTACCACTTCTCTAGATCATTTAGACTTGTGGAAAATTGTGCTACAGTGAGACAGAGCACGAGAATCACTTAATTGAACTTTCAAAATTTGTGTTGTGAGAGGGATTTCACTGAGAATATTGATTGACCACATTAGGTGGTGGTAATCACTGATAGTGCTGAGTATACTGGATTGTTCAGGTTAAATCATTACAATAGCCACTCACTTATCACCTCTCTCTTTCACCTGATTCCTGACATCATTGTTGTTTATCATTCTTTTAATTAGTTAATAAATTGCATCTCTTACTGTGTGCTAACTGTTTGGTGAATGGGATGCAGTTGAGCATCCAGAAGCGTTCCGGTATATTTAGAGTTGACTGACTCGAACATTAGAAAGATTTCACAGTTGGAGTTGTGTGCACAGTAGTCTACACGAACGAATTGATGTTGTTTAAGATAAGTGGTGACTTTTGATAGATATGCGATTTGCATTGATATAGGCGAATGTGAAGAGGAAGAGTATGACCACTTCACTGATGTGATGTTGTTTGCAGTCGGAACAATCAGTTTTGTGAATAATATTTGCATTATCTTCCCGTACCGTTGTCTCCTCTGATTTAGACGGTAACGATTGGAGTGATTCTTTTAGCTTGTGGATCACGCCTACTGCTAACAGCCACGAAAATCTTGTTGTAATCTATGATATGAATTTTATATCTGAAACGACAATCCGTTTGTTGGAGTTCACACCTGATTTCGTGTCTAGTGCTGAATGTGACAAGCATTTTCTGATTGAATTGGGTTTTTAGCAATCCTTTATTGCAAACAATAATCATTAGGTGCACTTTTCATGTCTATGTCTGGTAGGTAGTTGTACTGCAGTGTATCTTCACCCTATTGAATAGGCCTTGAACTTAGTTGACCTTGTGAGTGTCTGATTTGTTACAATTGTAGTCGATAGTTTGGTGTGTTTGCGTTGTGTTGCGAAACACCAGATTTTTCAGTCCTGTATTGATTCTGATGATCGGAACATGGAGGAAGGTTAGTTAGTTGTTCGCCTGCATTCCCATTGTGAATTTTATGTCATCGAAGATGTTAATAATTGAATTGTGGGTACTTTTCGGCACATTCCGTTTGACGGTGGTGAGCATGCTATCCACATCCGCATAGCGGGTCCAAATAGTTGTCTTGATCAATGGTGAAATTAAATCTTCGAGTCTGTGCACTACTTCTTCCACAACGAGTCTGGATATCAGTGATCTAATTGACATTCTTTTTGTCTGTTTCAACACTTGATTATTGAATTGGACACATATTGTTAGTCTCAGATGGATGAGCCCAATAAATCTTTGACATTGGTTCTTTGTGTGATTTTGAATTTTTCTTACATTGGTGACTGACTGGATGGTATAAAGTTTATTATTATTATTATTATTATTATTATTATTATTCGCTTGCCAAGCTTAGTTCAAGTCACCTGAATAAGGCTATAATGTCACAAAATACCATCAGTGTGCTACTGCATTTATGGGCATTCCTAACCAAACCCTTATGTTGTTTGGAAGGATTGATGGGGTGGTCGTCGAATTCCACTGAATGTTTTAGAGTTGTTGACGTTTCTGTTGACAGATTGTACATATTTGTGTGGACCATAGGTAGTGAGACAGTTAATTGTAGGGGAATTCTTGGTGTATATGTTATCGGAACCATGGGAGAACATTTCCAGTATAATGTGTTTGCCATAAGTCCTGTGTCGTTAATTGGTCTAACATAATGAGTTATTGCGGTAGGTCCTATCAACCCGGTTATCCAGATTCCTGAAAGGATTTATTTGCACTGATTAGTACACAATTCAGTTCTCCAATAGCTCCTCAGTCATCCTGATGTGTTCTCCTATGTCCATTAATATATATATATATATATATATATATATATATATATATATATATATATATATATATATATTCTGTCATGATTATGTTCTCATTTATGAGAGAGAGATTCTTTAAAGCCGTCTGTTGTATATGGTTGAGTGGAACGTACAGCCGTGTTATTGTTGAGTCTGTCGGTTTAAGACATTTGTAAAAATACTGTTTAGGAACTTCAGTAAATTCCTTTCCGTCCAGTCCAATAATGTTTCTATTAACTGGTCTATATATAGAAAGCAACATGGTGTAATTTGAGAAAATAACTAGTGTTTAGTTGATGTGGATGGTCCGATCCACTAGAACTACATCTAAGCCGTTATCAAAAGTGTTATTAGCAGATATCGATTACTCCTCAGTGGTTTGAGAGTTTTCTATTCACATTGTTAGAAGGCAGTTAGCCTTTTGTTTTGTTTTACGATGGTGATTACAGCGAACAACGAGGGAATATTGGTGGACAGAAATTATGGTCTGGTCACGTTGTTGGTGTGATTGGTTGAATGTTCAGAGTGAATGTGTGTGTGTGTGTATGTGTAGAGATTAGTGAGGTTGCTATTCACAACACACAAGCACATTTGTCAAGCAGTCAGTCAAGCAGTCGCTGGACAAAATTCACTCAATATACCCGTTATTATAGCTTGATGATTATGTTGAAATGTGTTTTCGCATAAATCTGTCAGCGATTTCTTCTATCTTGTAGTGTGATATAAACAATGTGAATAAATTTCAATTTGTTTTGTTCTTTGAAATCAGTTCCTGAAACGACAGAAGTTGTGCCAACAGTAACTGAGAAGGTTCTCACCTTCTTACAACCAGTAACACCGAATATCCACATTGTACAAGACCATAAGGATCTTGAGTGAGTTATCGTCTTGCGTTTATTTTTTTCTCATGTAATATTGATGATGACGCGATATCGATTAATATGCAGTGTAATAGAATCGTGGCTTGAGACACCAGTTTTCATTTGTGTGTTTGACTAATTCGTGTGAATCGTAAGGAGAACAGCCATCCTTGGAAGAAAGTTCACACAGCCAGTAAAATTGCCAATTGAATTGGCTGGAATGTGAAAGTGCTTGATTGAAACCACCAAAAAAGTTTGGATGATAATGTGACCAACCGAACCGAACCGAACTGACCTGACCTGACCTGAACAATACTGACATATGCAACATCTAACCAAACGCGTTTTTCTTGTTGATGTGGGATATGTGAATGGTAAATATGATAAGTGTGAAATTAAAATTGAGTGAGAACTTCCTTGGTTGATTGATAAGTTGTCGCAAACAACTCACACAAGTAATTGGTTAGAAGTGGATAGATTAGTTGAGACACTTTATTAGTGAAAATGAAAAAGGTAGAAATGTGTTGTATGTGATGAGTAGGAGCAGTGACCAGATTGTGTTTCGTTCGTATATGGGGTCCATGGGACAAATGGATATGCATCGATGTTGATTTTTACGATGCACTTGGAATCTAGTATTTATCATTCAACTATGTGAATTTCAACTTCATGGATGTTTATTGAAATATACATGTTACACAGGACGTGTATGATGTTGAGTTCGATCTCAGCTGAATGTTGATAATTAGTGAATGACGAATGCATTGACCATTAGGTACCTAGTCTCATATTACACTGTTATCAATCGAAATGTCGAAAACACGATGCATTGAAACATAAACGAGTATTCCATTATTATGTTTATTTGTAGACTGGAATGTCAAATTCAAGCAGATTTAAAGCCGATTCAAGTTGTCTGGGAAGTTGATGGCAAGGAATTAACTCAATCTGACCGTAATGAAATGATCTATTTTGAAGATAGTGGAGTAGCTCGTCTAATAGTACATCAAGTGGTTCCATCGGATTCTGGTGAATACACTTGCAAAGTTCATGGTGAGGTGATTGAAGCTGAGACCAAACAACAAATGACCAAAACAATTTCATCTGGCTCAATTGTTACAATTGAAGGTGAGTGAAATGAACTAAGATGAGGTGATAAGCAGTTCATGAGAAGTAACTTTACAGCGGTTTCTAGTTTCTACCACTTCTCTAGATCATTTAGACTTGTGGAAAATTGTGTTACAGTGAGACAGAGCACGAGAATCACTTAATTGAACTTTCAAAATTTGTGTTGTGAGAGGGATTTCACTGAGAATATTGATTGACCACATTAGGTGGTGGTAATCACTGATAGTGCTGAGTATACTGGATTGTTCAGGTTAAATCATTACAATAGCCACTCACTTATCACCTCTCTCTTTCACCTGATTCCTGACATCATTGTTGTTTATCATTCTTTTAATTAGTTAATAAATTGCATCTCTTACTGTGTGCTAACTGTTTGGTGAATGGGATGCAGTTGAGCATCCAGAAGCGTTCCGGTATATTTAGAGTTGACTGACTCGAACATTAGAAAGATTTCACAGTTGGAGTTGTGTGCACAGTAGTCTACACGAACGAATTGATGTTGTTTAAGATAAGTGGTGACTTTTGATAGATATGCGATTTGCATTGATATAGGCGAATGTGAAGAGGAAGAGTATGACCACTTCACTGATGTGATGTTGTTTGCAGTCGGAACAATCAGTTTTGTGAATAATATTTGCATTATCTTCCCGTACCGTTGTCTCCTCTGATTTAGACGGTAACGATTGGAGTGATTCTTTTAGCTTGTGGATCACGCCTACTGCTAACAGCCACGAAAATCTTGTTGTAATCTATGATATGAATTTTATATCTGAAACGACAATCCGTTTGTTGGAGTTCACACCTGATTTCGTGTCTAGTGCTGAATGTGACAAGCATTTTCTGATTGAATTGGGTTTTTAGCAATCCTTTATTGCAAACAATAATCATTAGGTGCACTTTTCATGTCTATGTCTGGTAGGTAGTTGTACTGCAGTGTATCTTCACCCTATTGAATAGGCCTTGAACTTAGTTGACCTTGTGAGTGTCTGATTTGTTACAATTGTAGTCGATAGTTTGGTGTGTTTGCGTTGTGTTGCGAAACACCAGATTTTTCAGTCCTGTATTGATTCTGATGATCGGAACATGGAGGAAGGTTAGTTAGTTGTTCGCCTGCATTCCCATTGTGAATTTTATGTCATCGAAGATGTTAATAATTGAATTGTGGGTACTTTTCGGCACATTCCGTTTGACGGTGGTGAGCATGCTATCCACATCCGCATAGCGGGTCCAAATAGTTGTCTTGATCAATGGTGAAATTAAATCTTCGAGTCTGTGCACTACTTCTTCCACAACGAGTCTGGATATCAGTGATCTAATTGACATTCTTTTTGTCTGTTTCAACACTTGATTATTGAATTGGACACATATTGTTAGTCTCAGATGGATGAGCCCAATAAATCTTTGACATTGGTTCTTTGTGTGATTTTGAATTTTTCTTACATTGGTGACTGACTGGATGGTATAAAGTTTATTATTATTATTATTATTATTATTATTATTATTCGCTTGCCAAGCTTAGTTCAAGTCACCTGAATAAGGCTATAATGTCACAAAATACCATCAGTGTGCTACTGCATTTATGGGCATTCCTAACCAAACCCTTATGTTGTTTGGAAGGATTGATGGGGTGGTCGTCGAATTCCACTGAATGTTTTAGAGTTGTTGACGTTTCTGTTGACAGATTGTACATATTTGTGTGGACCATAGGTAGTGAGACAGTTAATTGTAGGGGAATTCTTGGTGTATATGTTATCGGAACCATGGGAGAACATTTCCAGTATAATGTGTTTGCCATAAGTCCTGTGTCGTTAATTGGTCTAACATAATGAGTTATTGCGGTAGGTCCTATCAACCCGGTTATCCAGATTCCTGAAAGGATTTATTTGCACTGATTAGTACACAATTCAGTTCTCCAATAGCTCCTCAGTCATCCTGATGTGTTCTCCTATGTCTATTAATATATATATATATATATATATATATATATATATATATATATATATATATTCTGTCATGATTATGTTCTCATTTATGAGAGAGAGATTCTTTAAAGCCGTCTGTTGTATATGGTTGAGTGGAACGTACAGCCGTGTTATTGTTGAGTCTGTCGGTTTAAGACATTTGTAAAAATACTGTTTAGGAACTTCAGTAAATTCCTTTCCGTCCAGTCCAATAATGTTTCTATTAACTGGTCTATATATAGAAAGCAACATGGTGTAATTTGAGAAAATAACTAGTGTTTAGTTGATGTGGATGGTCCGATCCACTAGAACTACATCTAAGCCGTTATCAAAAGTGTTATTAGCAGATATCGATTACTCCTCAGTGGTTTGAGAGTTTTCTATTCACATTGTTAGAAGGCAGTTAGCCTTTTGTTTTGTTTTACGATGGTGATTACAGCGAACAACGAGGGAATATTGGTGGACAGAAATTATGGTCTGGTCACGTTGTTGGTGTGATTGGTTGAATGTTCAGAGTGAATGTGTGTGTGTGTGTATGTGTAGAGATTAGTGAGGTTGCTATTCACAACACACAAGCACATTTGTCAAGCAGTCAGTCAAGCAGTCGCTGGACAAAATTCACTCAATATACCCGTTATTATAGCTTGATGATTATGTTGAAATGTGTTTTCGCATAAATCTGTCAGCGATTTCTTCCATCTTGTAGTGTGATATAAACAATGTGAATAAATTTCAATTTGTTTTGTTCTTTGAAATCAGTTCCTGAAACGACAGAAGTTGTGCCAACAGTAACTGAGAAGGTTCTCACCTTCTTACAACCAGTAACACCGAATATCCACATTGTACAAGACCATAAGGATCTTGAGTGAGTTATCGTCTTGCGTTTATTTTTTTCTCATGTAATATTGATGATGACATGATATCGATTAATATGCAGTGTAATAGAATCGTGGCTTGAGACACCAGTTTTCATTTGTGTGTTTGACTAATTCGTGTGAATCGTAAGGAGAACAGCCATCCTTGGAAGAAAGTTCACACAGCCAGTAAAAATTGCCAATTGAATTGGCTGGAATGTGAAAGTGCTTGATTGAAACCACCAAAAAAGTTTGGATGATAATGTGACCAACCGAACCGAACCGAACTGACCTGACCTGACCTGAACAATACTGACATATGCAACATCTAACCAAACGCGTTTTTCTTGTTGATGTGGGATATGTGAATGGTAAATATGATAAGTGTGAAATTAAAATTGAGTGAGAACTTCCTTGGTTGATTGATAAGTTGTCGCAAACAACTCACACAAGTAATTGGTTAGAAGTGGATAGATTAGTTGAGACACTTTATTAGTGAAAATGAAAAAGGTAGAAATGTGTTGTATGTGATGAGTAGGAGCAGTGACCAGATTGTGTTTCGTTCGTATATGGGGTCCATGGGACAAATGGATATGCATCGATGTTGATTTTTACGATGCACTTGGAATCTAGTATTTATCATTCAACTATGTGAATTTCAACTTCATGGATGTTTATTGAAATATACATGTTACACAGGACGTGTATGATGTTGAGTTCGATCTCAGCTGAATGTTGATAATTAGTGAATGACGAATGCATTGACCATTAGGTACCTAGTCTCATATTACACTGTTATCAATCGAAATGTCGAAAACACGATGCATTGAAACATAAACGAGTATTCCATTATTATGTTTATTTGTAGACTGGAATGTCAAATTCAAGCAGATTTAAAGCCAATTCAAGTTGTCTGGGAAGTTGATGGCAAGGAATTAACTCAATCTGACCGTAATGAAATGATCTATTTTGAAGATAGTGGAGTAGCTCGTCTAATAGTACATCAAGTGGTTCCATCGGATTCTGGTGAATACACTTGCAAAGTTCATGGTGAGGTGATTGAAGCTGAGACCAAACAACAAATGACCAAAACAATTTCATCTGGCTCAATTGTTACAATTGAAGGTGAGTGAAATGAACTAAGATGAGGTGATAAGCAGTTCATGAGAAGTAACTTTACAGCGGTTTCTAGTTTCTACCACTTCTCTAGATCATTTAGACTTGTGGAAAATTGTGTTACAGTGAGACAGAGCACGAGAATCACTTAATTGAACTTTCAAAATTTGTGTTGTGAGAGGGATTTCACTGAGAATATTGATTGACCACATTAGGTGGTGGTAATCACTGATAGTGCTGAGTATACTGGATTGTTCTGGTCGGTAGTTATGCTGATTGATTGTCATATTAATTAATCGCAATATCCTCTGTATACTTATCTTTCCCTCTTTCTTGATTCCACTTCTTGCTTTTCCATTGTTTTTATCACTATTCTTTCTGTCGTTTTTGGTTTTTTCGTATTACTTCTTATCGCTTATCTTCAGTTTTTTGTAGAATGTCTGTGTGCTCTTGCTTTATTTCTTTTTCATTTTGTGATATGCATCTTGTTTTAGATTCTATTTGTCGAAACTTACGTAATATTGTATGATTATTTGATTGTAGTTGGTTGATGTTAGACATTAACACCGTTGGATGCCGGCTCAGTGGTCTAATGGTTAAGTGCTCGCGCGCGAAGCCAGTCGGTCTTGGGTTCGAGCCCCGCGTGGTGCGGTATCGTGGATGCGCACTGCTGAGGAGTCCCATACTAGGGCGAAACGGCCGTCCAGTGCTTCAAGGTTTTCAATGGTGCCCTAGCTTCAACTGACTCATGATTTCAATCTGTGAGATTGTGTAATTGTTATTCTATCAAATACTTTTTATTTAATTAATTTTATAAAATGTCATTGAATAATTTTTTTGTTTTTTCTTTTTATTTTTATGATCATCTCCATTGAATCATCAGCTGGTGAAAAAGAGGACAAATACATTTCACCAATTTTTGTTCACGAGTTAACACCATTAAATATTTCTGAAGGTGAAGAAATTTATTTAACAGCTACTGTTAAAGGAAATCCTCAACCTGAAGAAGTGATTTGGAAACATAATGGAAATATACTTCAACCAGACGTAACGGATGTTTTAATGTTCTATACTCCAGAAACAGGTGTTTGTGAATTGACAATATCTGAAGCATTTCCTGAAGATTCAGGAATTTATTCTGTTGAAGTCCAGAATACTGTTGGTATGGCTGTTAGTCAAACTGAAGTAGTTGTATTGGTAGAGGTAAGAAATGAACCTACAATTTTAAAGTCAGAAGATCAGAAAGAATCAATTGTTGAAGATGTTTTGAACGTTGTTACTGATATTTCAGGTGATAAAGCAGTTGTATCTACGGTCGAAGGTGTAGAGTTACTTAAACAAGAAGTAGTTGTTAATATAGTGCAAACTGAAAAAACGGAAATGTATTCAATGATTGAAACTCTACCAGAAATACCACAAGCGGCGATTTATGAACACATCATAGAGGAGACTGAATTCGAAATCAGTTTGGAAGAACCGCTAGAGATTAGTGATGATGAGTTATTGCTCGATGAAGGAGTTACACCAACACATGTAGTTGTATTGGATGTTCTTATACCTCATGATTCTGTGAGCATTGATGAAACAAGCATAAGCGTAGAGGAAGCTGGCAAGGCTCAATCGATCCCAAGTGTCACAGAAATTTCTTTACATGACGTTTCTTTAGCCGCGGTTTCAGATGTAAATATAACCGAGTTAAAAGCTCTCGATGCCAAGGTCAGAACACAGGAAGAAAAAGAAAAATCGAATGAAAAAGAAAACCAAACTCAATCAATGGAAATTATGAACTCAGATTCGATCGAACAAAAAATAAAAGAGCAAAGTAAAGACAAAGAAGATGATATAACAGAGATAGGGATAAAAACAGTCCAAGAAGAAACTAAAAAGATGAAGATGGAAGAAAAACACTATGCCACCCCAGTGGAATCGGAGACAGTCTCGGTCTTAGGTGTGACGGAGGAGAAGAGCGTGGTCTCAGCGACAGAAGACTTTGCCATGGAGGTGGAGCAGGTGACTTTGACCGTGGATGAGGTGTCACCTCGTATGGAGTCCCTGACGTCCTCAGCTGAAGAACGTGTTGTCAGTGAGGCTGTTCCACTGGAGGAGACGGTCTATGATGTGTACGAAACGGAACAGGTTGAAGCTGTAACACGTCCTACCACTGACGCTGTCGCTTCTGGTGTTGTCTCCTCGACTACTCCTTCTCTGTCTGACGTTGTCAGTGTTGAAGAAGTTCCTTCTGAGGCGAGTTACTGATATGTGCATACACACAATGCACAGCCTTAGGCTTAGTGGCATGGCAAGTTCTTCCGCTTCAGTCGGTTTTGAAATAACTGGTGAATTTTTCGAGGTTTTATCGTGGAAACTGTCAGATGTTGCGCCTCTTATTGCATGCATGTCCCGTTAGTTAACAAGTTGTCTAGTACGCTCCTTCAGTCTCATCTCCTAACAAACATCATGCATTTGCATTGTATTAGTGTTTGGATAAATGTGATTCTGAGACTGTTTGTTTCTTCTCTGAATTTTTGTGCGGCGACATTTCACTTGTCATGGATTGTTCACCTGGTAACTTGTGACCTACTCACTTGATCTTAGTGTTTGTGAGAGAATGTATTTGTGACCTACTCCATATGAGGGACACTTGTTGGGTGTTGTGTTTGAAACGTGTTTGTTTGTGGTATTTTGTTTTGTTGTTGTTGTTGTTGTGTTTGATGATGATGTTGATGATGATGTTGTGGTTGATGATGGTGTCGTGGTTGATGATGTTGATGATGATGATAGTGTTGTGAGTTGGAATGGATTTATTGTTAGTATTATAGGTAACATTTACTGGATTGTTCGATCTGACATTTGGTTTTCCGGTAAATATTAACTCTTTTCCACTTGATCGGTATTGTTAGTTGTCATTTATCAAATGTGATATGGTTGTTGATTTTCTGATTGTGAATCTGATGAGTAGTCTGTTATTGAGTTGTGTGTGATTTCGATATTCAAGTGATGGGAGCATGTGTAGCTGCAAAATCCACCAATAAATAAATGTCGAGATAATCGGTTTTAGATGATGACTGTTTGTGCTTAATAGTGGTGATGTGCATGAATGATAAAGACGTCGACAGGTTAGAACCGTTCCATGTCTGATATTGGTATGTCGTCTTTGTGTTGTTGTGTGTAGATATAGGATTTTTAATGATGAGGAACGAAAGTGTTTAGCGTTGTTGGATTGTCTGTGGAAGACAATATAATTGACTTGCATGTGGTTTTGTTGATGTTGTTCTGTGTGTGAAGAATGACGATTGGCTAAATAGAGGGTATAGATGAGGACACCTTGTCGTGTGTGGAATTGCCTGAAAGAATGACAGGTTTGATTGTATTTCGGTGTCGCATAGTTGGTTGCTGAACCCATTCTCTCATGATGTTGCCTTTAGTATGTGACACTGATAATTGTAATTGTTTGAATCCGGTGAAACGTTTGTATGTGATAGTGCTGCGTTGACGTCGGTTATAAGCGACATCTGTGAAGCTGACTGAATCATGGATGATAAGTGTGGCTCTGAGTTTCTTGTCAAGCGAATGTGTAAGAGGTGATTAGTGAAGTGTGTTAGACAGTGCTTAGTGTTTAAAAGACTTATGTGTAGTACTTTCGCATCCTGTCGCCTCTGATAAGATGTCAGTTTGATCCCACCGCTTGATTTTATTTCCTCGAATGCTGACACTTGAAACAAACACGTCATATTCATAATGTCGTTCTTTTGTATACCAGCAGGTAACGGAAGCCGGAGACACAGTGACGGCGAAGACCGCCGAGGTCATTGTTCAAGAAGGGAAGGAGTCTGTGTCACAGACCATGGAGTGGGTTTCAGAGGGTGTTGGTGAGTTGGAGGAATCCGACCGTCAGGATAGTGCTCGTGTTGTGGAGCAGCCGAGCGAAGTAGGTGTTGCAGTTTCCGAAACGCAAGTGAAGGTGGAGACGATTGAGTTGGTGTCAGTGAAGGAGGCTGTGGTGGACGAGACCCCAGTGGAATCGGAGACAGTCTCGGTCTTAGGTGTGACGGAGGAGAAGAGCGTGGTCTCAGCGACAGAAGACTTTGCCATGGAGGTGGAGCAGGTGACTTTGACCGTGGATGAGGTGTCACCTCGTATGGAGTCCCTGACGTCCTCAGCTGAAGAACGTGTTGTCAGTGAGGCTGTTCCACTGGAGGAGACGGTCTATGATGTGTACGAAACGGAACAGGTTGAAGCTGTAACACGTCCTACCACTGACGCTGTCGCTTCTGGTGTTGTCTCCTCGACTACTCCTTCTCTGTCTGACGTTGTCAGTGTTGAAGAAGTTCCTTCTGAGGCGAGTTACTGATATGTGCATACACACAATGCACAGCCTTAGGCTTAGTGGCATGGCAAGTTCTTCCGCTTCAGTCGGTTTTGAAATAACTGGTGAATTTTTCGAGGTTTTATCGTGGAAACTGTCAGATGTTGCGCCTCTTATTGCATGCATGTCCCGTTAGTTAACAAGTTGTCTAGTACGCTCCTTCAGTCTCATCTCCTAACAAACATCATGCATTTGCATTGTATTAGTGTTTGGATAAATGTGATTCTGAGACTGTTTGTTTCTTCTCTGAATTTTTGTGCGGCGACATTTCACTTGTCATGGATTGTTCACCTGGTAACTTGTGACCTACTCACTTGATCTTAGTGTTTGTGAGAGAATGTATTTGTGACCTACTCCATATGAGGGACACTTGTTGGGTGTTGTGTTTGAAACGTGTTTGTTTGTGGTATTTTGTTTTGTTGTTGTTGTTGTTGTGTTTGATGATGATGTTGATGATGATGTTGTGGTTGATGATGGTGTCGTGGTTGATGATGTTGATGATGATGATAGTGTTGTGAGTTGGAATGGATTTATTGTTAGTATTATAGGTAACATTTACTGGATTGTTCGATCTGACATTTGGTTTTCCGGTAAATATTAACTCTTTTCCACTTGATCGGTATTGTTAGTTGTCATTTATCAAATGTGATATGGTTGTTGATTTTCTGATTGTGAATCTGATGAGTAGTCTGTTATTGAGTTGTGTGTGATTTCGATATTCAAGTGATGGGAGCATGTGTAGCTGCAAAATCCACCAATAAATAAATGTCGAGATAATCGGTTTTAGATGATGACTGTTTGTGCTTAATAGTGGTGATGTGCATGAATGATAAAGACGTCGACAGGTTAGAACCGTTCCATGTCTGATATTGGTATGTCGTCTTTGTGTTGTTGTGTGTAGATATAGGATTTTTAATGATGAGGAACGAAAGTGTTTAGCGTTGTTGGATTGTCTGTGGAAGACAATATAATTGACTTGCATGTGGTTTTGTTGATGTTGTTCTGTGTGTGAAGAATGACGATTGGCTAAATAGAGGGTATAGATGAGGACACCTTGTCGTGTGTGGAATTGCCTGAAAGAATGACAGGTTTGATTGTATTTCGGTGTCGCATAGTTGGTTGCTGAACCCATTCTCTCATGATGTTGCCTTTAGTATGTGACACTGATAATTGTAATTGTTTGAATCCGGTGAAACGTTTGTATGTGATAGTGCTGCGTTGACGTCGGTTATAAGCGACATCTGTGAAGCTGACTGAATCATGGATGATAAGTGTGGCTCTGAGTTTCTTGTCAAGCGAATGTGTAAGAGGTGATTAGTGAAGTGTGTTAGACAGTGCTTAGTGTTTAAAAGACTTATGTGTAGTACTTTCGCATCCTGTCGCCTCTGATAAGATGTCAGTTTGATCCCACCGCTTGATTTTATTTCCCCGAATGCTGACACTTGAAACAAACACGTCATATTCATAATGTCGTTCTTTTGTATACCAGCAGGTAACGGAAGCCGGAGACACAGTGACGGCGAAGACCGCCGAGGTCATTGTTCAAGAAGGGAAGGAGTCTGTGTCACAGACCATGGAGTGGGTTTCAGAGGGTGTTGGTGAGTTGGAGGAATCCGACCGTCAGGATAGTGCTCGTGTTGTGGAGCAGCCGAATGAAGTGAGTGTGGCGGTTTCTGAAAAGCCCACTGAAGTGGCGACACCTGAGGTCTCAGTGAAGGAGGCTGTGGTTGAAAAGACCCCAGTGGAATCGGAGACAGTCCCGGTCTCAATTGTTAGCAAAGGAGTGGTAGAGGTGACGGACATGAAGAGCACAGTTGGAGTGACAGAGGAATCTGGTAGTGTGGCGGAGCAGGAGACGTTGGTTGTTGAGCAGGTGGCGGAATCCAAGGAGACAGTGACTGTTAAGATGGAGGAGCGGGTTGTACAGGAGGTGGAGAAGGAGTCCGTCCCAGAGACGATGGAGTGGGTTTCAGAGGGTGTTGGTGAGTTGGAGGAATCCGACCGTCAGGATAGTGCTCGTGTTGTGGAGCAGCCGAGCGAAGTAGGTGTTGCAGTTTCCGAAACGCAAGTGAAGGTGGAGACGATTGAGTTGGTGTCAGTGAAGGAGGCTGTGGTGGACGAGACCCCAGTGGAATCGGAGACAGTCTCGGTCTTAGGTGTGACGGAGGAGAAGAGCGTGGTCTCAGCGACAGAAGACTTTGCCATGGAGGTGGAGCAGGTGACTTTGACCGTGGATGAGGTGTCACCTCGTATGGAGTCCCTGACGTCCTCAGCTGAAGAACGTGTTGTCAGTGAGGCTGTTCCACTGGAGGAGACGGTCTATGATGTGTACGAAACGGAACAGGTTGAAGCTGTAACACGTCCTACCACTGACGCTGTCGCTTCTGGTGTTGTCTCCTCGACTACTCCTTCTCTGTCTGACGTTGTCAGTGTTGAAGAAGTTCCTTCTGAGGCGAGTTACTGATATGTGCATACACACAATGCACAGCCTTAGGCTTAGTGGCATGGCAAGTTCTTCCGCTTCAGTCGGTTTTGAAATAACTGGTGAATTTTTCGAGGTTTTATCGTGGAAACTGTCAGATGTTGCGCCTCTTATTGCATGCATGTCCCGTTAGTTAACAAGTTGTCTAGTACGCTCCTTCAGTCTCATCTCCTAACAAACATCATGCATTTGCATTGTATTAGTGTTTGGATAAATGTGATTCTGAGACTGTTTGTTTCTTCTCTGAATTTTTGTGCGGCGACATTTCACTTGTCATGGATTGTTCACCTGGTAACTTGTGACCTACTCACTTGATCTTAGTGTTTGTGAGAGAATGTATTTGTGACCTACTCCATATGAGGGACTCTTGTTGGGTGTTGTGTTTGAAACGTGTTTGTTTGTGGTATTTTGTTTTGTTGTTGTTGTTGTTGTGTTTGATGATGATGTTGATGATGATGTTGTGGTTGATGATGGTGTCGTGGTTGATGATGTTGATGATGATGATAGTGTTGTGAGTTGGAATGGATTTATTGTTAGTATTATAGGTAACATTTACTGGATTGTTCGATCTGACATTTGGTTTTCCGGTAAATATTAACTCTTTTCCACTTGATCGGTATTGTTAGTTGTCATTTATCAAATGTGATATGGTTGTTGATTTTCTGATTGTGAATCTGATGAGTAGTCTGTTATTGAGTTGTGTGTGATTTCGATATTCAAGTGATGGGAGCATGTGTAGCTGCAAAATCCACCAATAAATAAATGTCGAGATAATCGGTTTTAGATGATGACTGTTTGTGCTTAATAGTGGTGATGTGCATGAATGATAAAGACGTCGACAGGTTAGAACCGTTCCATGTCTGATATTGGTATGTCGTCTTTGTGTTGTTGTGTGTAGATATAGGATTTTTAATGATGAGGAACGAAAGTGTTTAGCGTTGTTGGATTGTCTGTGGAAGACAATATAATTGACTTGCATGTGGTTTTGTTGATGTTGTTCTGTGTGTGAAGAATGACGATTGGCTAAATAGAGGGTATAGATGAGGACACCTTGTCGTGTGTGGAATTGCCTGAAAGAATGACAGGTTTGATTGTATTTCGGTGTCGCATAGTTGGTTGCTGAACCCATTCTCTCATGATGTTGCCTTTAGTATGTGACACTGATAATTGTAATTGTTTGAATCCGGTGAAACGTTTGTATGTGATAGTGCTGCGTTGACGTCGGTTATAAGCGACATCTGTGAAGCTGACTGAATCATGGATGATAAGTGTGGCTCTGAGTTTCTTGTCAAGCGAATGTGTAAGAGGTGATTAGTGAAGTGTGTTAGACAGTGCTTAGTGTTTAAAAGACTTATGTGTAGTACTTTCGCATCCTGTCGCCTCTGATAAGATGTCAGTTTGATCCCACCGCTTGATTTTATTTCCCCGAATGCTGACACTTGAAACAAACACGTCATATTCATAATGTCGTTCTTTTGTATACCAGCAGGTAACGGAAGCCGGAGACACAGTGACGGCGAAGACCGCCGAGGTCATTGTTCAAGAAGGGAAGGAGTCTGTGTCACAGACCATGGAGTGGGTTTCAGAGGGTGTTGGTGAGTTGGAGGAATCCGACCGTCAGGATAGTGCTCGTGTTGTGGAGCAGCCGAATGAAGTGAGTGTGGCGGTTTCTGAAAAGCCCACTGAAGTGGCGACACCTGAGGTCTCAGTGAAGGAGGCTGTGGTTGAAAAGACCCCAGTGGAATCGGAGACAGTCCCGGTCTCAATTGTTAGCAAAGGAGTGGTAGAGGTGACGGACATGAAGAGCACAGTTGGAGTGACAGAGGAATCTGGTAGTGTGGCGGAGCAGGAGACGTTGGTTGTTGAGCAGGTGGCGGAATCCAAGGAGACAGTGACTGTTAAGATGGAGGAGCGGGTTGTACAGGAGGTGGAGAAGGAGTCCGTCCCAGAGACGATGGAGTGGGTTTCAGAGGGTGTTGGTGAGTTGGAGGAATCCGACCGTCAGGATAGTGCTCGTGTTGTGGAGCAGCCGAGCGAAGTAGGTGTTGCAGTTTCCGAAACGCAAGTGAAGGTGGAGACGATTGAGTTGGTGTCAGTGAAGGAGGCTGTGGTGGACGAGACCCCAGTGGAATCGGAGACAGTCTCGGTCTTAGGTGTGACGGAGGAGAAGAGCGTGGTCTCAGCGACAGAAGACTTTGCCATGGAGGTGGAGCAGGTGACTTTGACCGTGGATGAGGTGTCACCTCGTATGGAGTCCCTGACGTCCTCAGCTGAAGAACGTGTTGTCAGTGAGGCTGTTCCACTGGAGGAGACGGTCTATGATGTGTACGAAACGGAACAGGTTGAAGCTGTAACACGTCCTACCACTGACGCTGTCGCTTCTGGTGTTGTCTCCTCGACTACTCCTTCTCTGTCTGACGTTGTCAGTGTTGAAGAAGTTCCTTCTGAGGCGAGTTACTGATATGTGCATACACACAATGCACAGCCTTAGGCTTAGTGGCATGGCAAGTTCTTCCGCTTCAGTCGGTTTTGAAATAACTGGTGAATTTTTCGAGGTTTTATCGTGGAAACTGTCAGATGTTGCGCCTCTTATTGCATGCATGTCCCGTTAGTTAACAAGTTGTCTAGTACGCTCCTTCAGTCTCATCTCCTAACAAACATCATGCATTTGCATTGTATTAGTGTTTGGATAAATGTGATTCTGAGACTGTTTGTTTCTTCTCTGAATTTTTGTGCGGCGACATTTCACTTGTCATGGATTGTTCACCTGGTAACTTGTGACCTACTCACTTGATCTTAGTGTTTGTGAGAGAATGTATTTGTGACCTACTCCATATGAGGGACACTTGTTGGGTGTTGTGTTTGAAACGTGTTTGTTTGTGGTATTTTGTTTTGTTGTTGTTGTTGTTGTGTTTGATGATGATGTTGATGATGATGTTGTGGTTGATGATGGTGTCGTGGTTGATGATGTTGATGATGATGATAGTGTTGTGAGTTGGAATGGATTTATTGTTAGTATTATAGGTAACATTTACTGGATTGTTCGATCTGACATTTGGTTTTCCGGTAAATATTAACTCTTTTCCACTTGATCGGTATTGTTAGTTGTCATTTATCAAATGTGATATGGTTGTTGATTTTCTGATTGTGAATCTGATGAGTAGTCTGTTATTGAGTTGTGTGTGATTTCGATATTCAAGTGATGGGAGCATGTGTAGCTGCAAAATCCACCAATAAATAAATGTCGAGATAATCGGTTTTAGATGATGACTGTTTGTGCTTAATAGTGGTGATGTGCATGAATGATAAAGACGTCGACAGGTTAGAACCGTTCCATGTCTGATATTGGTATGTCGTCTTTGTGTTGTTGTGTGTAGATATAGGATTTTTAATGATGAGGAACGAAAGTGTTTAGCGTTGTTGGATTGTCTGTGGAAGACAATATAATTGACTTGCATGTGGTTTTGTTGATGTTGTTCTGTGTGTGAAGAATGACGATTGGCTAAATAGAGGGTATAGATGAGGACACCTTGTCGTGTGTGGAATTGCCTGAAAGAATGACAGGTTTGATTGTATTTCGGTGTCGCATAGTTGGTTGCTGAACCCATTCTCTCATGATGTTGCCTTTAGTATGTGACACTGATAATTGTAATTGTTTGAATCCGGTGAAACGTTTGTATGTGATAGTGCTGCGTTGACGTCGGTTATAAGCGACATCTGTGAAGCTGACTGAATCATGGATGATAAGTGTGGCTCTGAGTTTCTTGTCAAGCGAATGTGTAAGAGGTGATTAGTGAAGTGTGTTAGACAGTGCTTAGTGTTTAAAAGACTTATGTGTAGTACTTTCGCATCCTGTCGCCTCTGATAAGATGTCAGTTTGATCCCACCGCTTGATTTTATTTCCCCGAATGCTGACACTTGAAACAAACACGTCATATTCATAATGTCGTTCTTTTGTATACCAGCAGGTAACGGAAGCCGGAGACACAGTGACGGCGAAGACCGCCGAGGTCATTGTTCAAGAAGGGAAGGAGTCTGTGTCACAGACCATGGAGTGGGTTTCAGAGGGTGTTGGTGAGTTGGAGGAATCCGACCGTCAGGATAGTGCTCGTGTTGTGGAGCAGCCGAATGAAGTGAGTGTGGCGGTTTCTGAAAAGCCCACTGAAGTGGCGACACCTGAGGTCTCAGTGAAGGAGGCTGTGGTTGAAAAGACCCCAGTGGAATCGGAGACAGTCCCGGTCTCAATTGTTAGCAAAGGAGTGGTAGAGGTGACGGACATGAAGAGCACAGTTGGAGTGACAGAGGAATCTGGTAGTGTGGCGGAGCAGGAGACGTTGGTTGTTGAGCAGGTGGCGGAATCCAAGGAGACAGTGACTGTTAAGATGGAGGAGCGGGTTGTACAGGAGGTGGAGAAGGAGTCCGTCCCAGAGACGATGGAGTGGGTTTCAGAGGGTGTTGGTGAGTTGGAGGAATCCGACCGTCAGGATAGTGCTCGTGTTGTGGAGCAGCCGAGCGAAGTAGGTGTTGCAGTTTCCGAAACGCAAGTGAAGGTGGAGACGATTGAGTTGGTGTCAGTGAAGGAGGCTGTGGTGGACGAGACCCCAGTGGAATCGGAGACAGTCTCGGTCTTAGGTGTGACGGAGGAGAAGAGCGTGGTCTCAGCGACAGAAGACTTTGCCATGGAGGTGGAGCAGGTGACTTTGACCGTGGATGAGGTGTCACCTCGTATGGAGTCCCTGACGTCCTCAGCTGAAGAACGTGTTGTCAGTGAGGCTGTTCCACTGGAGGAGACGGTCTATGATGTGTACGAAACGGAACAGGTTGAAGCTGTAACACGTCCTACCACTGACGCTGTCGCTTCTGGTGTTGTCTCCTCGACTACTCCTTCTCTGTCTGACGTTGTCAGTGTTGAAGAAGTTCCTTCTGAGGCGAGTTACTGATATGTGCATACACACAATGCACAGCCTTAGGCTTAGTGGCATGGCAAGTTCTTCCGCTTCAGTCGGTTTTGAAATAACTGGTGAATTTTTCGAGGTTTTATCGTGGAAACTGTCAGATGTTGCGCCTCTTATTGCATGCATGTCCCGTTAGTTAACAAGTTGTCTAGTACGCTCCTTCAGTCTCATCTCCTAACAAACATCATGCATTTGCATTGTATTAGTGTTTGGATAAATGTGATTCTGAGACTGTTTGTTTCTTCTCTGAATTTTTGTGCGGCGACATTTCACTTGTCATGGATTGTTCACCTGGTAACTTGTGACCTACTCACTTGATCTTAGTGTTTGTGAGAGAATGTATTTGTGACCTACTCCATATGAGGGACACTTGTTGGGTGTTGTGTTTGAAACGTGTTTGTTTGTGGTATTTTGTTTTGTTGTTGTTGTTGTTGTGTTTGATGATGATGTTGATGATGATGTTGTGGTTGATGATGGTGTCGTGGTTGATGATGTTGATGATGATGATAGTGTTGTGAGTTGGAATGGATTTATTGTTAGTATTATAGGTAACATTTACTGGATTGTTCGATCTGACATTTGGTTTTCCGGTAAATATTAACTCTTTTCCACTTGATCGGTATTGTTAGTTGTCATTTATCAAATGTGATATGGTTGTTGATTTTCTGATTGTGAATCTGATGAGTAGTCTGTTATTGAGTTGTGTGTGATTTCGATATTCAAGTGATGGGAGCATGTGTAGCTGCAAAATCCACCAATAAATAAATGTCGAGATAATCGGTTTTAGATGATGACTGTTTGTGCTTAATAGTGGTGATGTGCATGAATGATAAAGACGTCGACAGGTTAGAACCGTTCCATGTCTGATATTGGTATGTCGTCTTTGTGTTGTTGTGTGTAGATATAGGATTTTTAATGATGAGGAACGAAAGTGTTTAGCGTTGTTGGATTGTCTGTGGAAGACAATATAATTGACTTGCATGTGGTTTTGTTGATGTTGTTCTGTGTGTGAAGAATGACGATTGGCTAAATAGAGGGTATAGATGAGGACACCTTGTCGTGTGTGGAATTGCCTGAAAGAATGACAGGTTTGATTGTATTTCGGTGTCGCATAGTTGGTTGCTGAACCCATTCTCTCATGATGTTGCCTTTAGTATGTGACACTGATAATTGTAATTGTTTGAATCCGGTGAAACGTTTGTATGTGATAGTGCTGCGTTGACGTCGGTTATAAGCGACATCTGTGAAGCTGACTGAATCATGGATGATAAGTGTGGCTCTGAGTTTCTTGTCAAGCGAATGTGTAAGAGGTGATTAGTGAAGTGTGTTAGACAGTGCTTAGTGTTTAAAAGACTTATGTGTAGTACTTTCGCATCCTGTCGCCTCTGATAAGATGTCAGTTTGATCCCACCGCTTGATTTTATTTCCCCGAATGCTGACACTTGAAACAAACACGTCATATTCATAATGTCGTTCTTTTGTATACCAGCAGGTAACGGAAGCCGGAGACACAGTGACGGCGAAGACCGCCGAGGTCATTGTTCAAGAAGGGAAGGAGTCTGTGTCACAGACCATGGAGTGGGTTTCAGAGGGTGTTGGTGAGTTGGAGGAATCCGACCGTCAGGATAGTGCTCGTGTTGTGGAGCAGCCGAATGAAGTGAGTGTGGCGGTTTCTAAAAAGCCCACTGAAGTGGCGACACCTGAGGTCTCAGTGAAGGAGGCTGTGGTTGAAAAGACCCCAGTGGAATCGGAGACAGTCCCGGTCTCAATTGTTAGCAAAGGAGTGGTAGAGGTGACGGACATGAAGAGCACAGTTGGAGTGACAGAGGAATCTGGTAGTGTGGCGGAGCAGGAGACGTTGGTTGTTGAGCAGGTGGCGGAATCCAAGGAGACAGTGACTGTTAAGATGGAGGAGCGGGTTGTACAGGAGGTGGAGAAGGAGTCCGTCCCAGAGACGATGGAGTGGGTTTCAGAGGGTGTTGGTGAGTTGGAGGAATCCGACCGTCAGGATAGTGCTCGTGTTGTGGAGCAGCCGAGCGAAGTAGGTGTTGCAGTTTCCGAAACGCAAGTGAAGGTGGAGACGATTGAGTTGGTGTCAGTGAAGGAGGCTGTGGTGGACGAGACCCCAGTGGAATCGGAGACAGTCTCGGTCTTAGGTGTGACGGAGGAGAAGAGCGTGGTCTCAGCGACAGAAGACTTTGCCATGGAGGTGGAGCAGGTGACTTTGACCGTGGATGAGGTGTCACCTCGTATGGAGTCCCTGACGTCCTCAGCTGAAGAACGTGTTGTCAGTGAGGCTGTTCCACTGGAGGAGACGGTCTATGATGTGTACGAAACGGAACAGGTTGAAGCTGTAACACGTCCTACCACTGACGCTGTCGCTTCTGGTGTTGTCTCCTCGACTACTCCTTCTCTGTCTGACGTTGTCAGTGTTGAAGAAGTTCCTTCTGAGGCGAGTTACTGATATGTGCATACACACAATGCACAGCCTTAGGCTTAGTGGCATGGCAAGTTCTTCCGCTTCAGTCGGTTTTGAAATAACTGGTGAATTTTTCGAGGTTTTATCGTGGAAACTGTCAGATGTTGCGCCTCTTATTTCATGCATGTCCCGTTAGTTAACAAGTTGTCTAGTACGCTCCTTCAGTCTCATCTCCTAACAAACATCATGCATTTGCATTGTATTAGTGTTTGGATAAATGTGATTCTGAGACTGTTTGTTTCTTCTCTGAATTTTTGTGCGGCGACATTTCACTTGTCATGGATTGTTCACCTGGTAACTTGTGACCTACTCACTTGATCTTAGTGTTTGTGAGAGAATGTATTTTCTGTCTGCTTTTTTCTTGTCTTATATTCTCTTTTTTATATCGTATTTGTCTTTTTTTTCGCTGCCTGTCCCCGTTTTTTTTTCAAGTTTTTATGTGTTAGTTGCTTTTTTTCTGCTACTTATTGTTTGCTTTTTTTATGGATTACCTAATTTTGACTTTTACATGTCATTCATTTGATATCGCTTCCTCATATTTCTTCTTTACTTTTTCTTGTTCTTCTTTATTCCATTTTGTCCCAAATTATCATCCTAACTTCCTGTCAGTAATGGAAGTTCTCTTTTCTTTTGTTATGTCCAAATATTTTGTTATGTAATGTTTTGTCGATTGAGGAAATACATGTAATTACCATGCAGTCCTGTTTTTTTCTATCCAAATCTTTTTCAAATTTTTTTCTTGAAAAACAATTCTTTTATCTATTTTAACAATTTGAACATCAGTATGATATTATCAAAATTGGTTTTGTTGAGATTTTTAGAAGTTTCAATAATTGAAATCATGAGTCAATTGAAGCCAGATTACCATGGAAAACCTGGAAGCACTGGACAGCCGTTTCGTCTTTGTATGAGACTCCTCAGCAGTGCGTATCCACGATCCTGCCTCCCGCGCGATCTAGTGGTCTAGTGGTTCAGCGCTCTTGTGCGAAACTTATAGGCCCTGGGTTCAAATCTCGCGGGGGGCGGGATCATGTATGGGCACTGCTGAGGAGTCCCATCCTAGGACGAAATGGCTGTCCAGTGCTTCCAGGTTTTCCACAGTGGTTTAGCTTTAAATGACTCATGATTCCAACTATTGAAAATACTATGATAGTTCGTTGATTCATATTCCTCCTATTATTGATCAATTGTTTCTTCTTATTCTTTTTCTTCTTCTTGTCAATGTATACTAATAACTGTGTTTTCTCTTCTAGTAAACACTATTGTTTGTAATCCATATTGTTTATAAATTTCCATTGAAATATATCAATTCTTATTTTCAAATGATTTCATTTTACAATTATGAACACTCCACGAAATATATCAAAGTATTTATGAATACCTTTAGATAACTTAAAAAACTATATTGTTTACTATATCGTTTAAGTTGAGTGAATGTTCATTGAATGAATCAGCACAATATTTATATCTTATCTTAATATTTTATAAGTTAACATGATTTTGTTAAAATTAAATAAACATGAATAAAACTGAACTTTCTAATTATAAACTAAATATCTTCTCTGTTGTTTTTTTTTGCGTGTATTTTTTAATCAACGTAATACACCCCATTGAGACATTAAATAAGAAAGATTGATTCAGTGAAGAGTTCATATTTCGTCGAATTCATTTTCAATCCTGTACAATCATATATATATACTTATTTTTTAGGATGATGATACTCTTCTTCCTTTACGTTATCTACTTTCCCCTTCCATCTTTTTCATAAATCTTTTATACCTAATTCGTTTATTTATTTTTGTGTGTCTTTTATCCTTCTGATTATATTTTATCATGCTAAACCATTCTTTCTTAGCGATAATTTCCCTATCTATCTTTACAATGAACATTTAAGTCTTTAACAACTATTAGTTTCCTTGATTATTAAAAAGAAAAAGTTTTTTCCATACCTTTGTTTATTCTGCCTCACTGTTACCATATCTAACAGAAGCTTATTATTATTACTATTATTATCCCGGAAAATAAGTATATATACTTGTGATTGTACAATCTTGAAAATGAATCCACCGTAAAGAGAACTTTTCGCTGAACTCATCTTGCTTATTTAATGTCTTAATAGTTGTATTCCGTAAACACTACTGGAAAATTTCCCCAAGAAACCATATTGAATACTTAGGCCATTAACAATCAAAGGATTACTAAACGTTCCTTGTTTTATAAAAAGATTTTTTAATACCTTTGTTTATTTTGCCTCACTATCACCATGTCTAACAGAAGTTTATTATTATTATTATTATTATTATTATTATTATCATTATTATTATTATTATTATTATTATTATTATTGTCATCCTGAGAAATATGTACTTATACTTGTGATTGTACAGTCTTGAAAACGAATCCCCCGTAAAGAGAACTCCTCACTGATTCAATCTTTCTTCTTCTTCTTCTTATTTTTCTTTAAAATCAGTAACTGATCAATTAATATGGATAATAACATAGACTTGTTTGACGTTACAATTTGTTCTTTATCTACACATTACTTATCTTAATGATAAGCTTGATAAACATCATGCATGAAATAAAATGATGTATTATGTAACACATTCAAATACGATACCGGTTTTACATTTTCTTAAATATATATATATATATATATATATATATATATATATATATATCAATGGTGATGGTGATGGTGATTACATTTGTTGTTTAAGCATGATGAATAAATTATTATGATGTTACGTATCTATTTGGTGTTATTTATTCATGCTTTGTAATATTATATGTTTGTTTATTGGCTGTAATTTAAATGTGAATACTAATTGATTAAAGTAGTATATTATTTGATATGCGAATTACTATTCTAATTATTTATTATTAAAATTTATTTTAAATTTTTAGGTAAAACCTCCAGAATGTTCAAAACCGACTGGTTAGTTATACATTGTAATAAGATTTTCATATATTTTTCGTACATTTTTTTATAATTTGAAGATGCTTTACATTGTAGACTGATAACTATTGGGAATAAGGGAGTATAAGACCGTTGGTTCGATCATGTATATAACTTCAGATGGATCCTTACTCATATTTCCATCAAGGAATAAATCTAAGACTATTAAGTCTCGCTTTGATCTCATTACGTTTTGTTTTCTATAAAAAATATGGCATATTATAAGGATTGATTCATAAAATCTATTTTCATGTTGGCCATTTTCATTCATAGAAATTAAAAAGATAAGTAATAACTGACCCACTTTCAGATAATCAAATTGATCATGAGGCATTGTCTCTTTTAAACAATCTTCTTCAATAAAGTTTCAGATGTAATTGTTCAAAAAATCGAATTTTATATGAGTAGAGATTATTTTCTTCAATAAATTCTTATTTGGTTTTATAATTTGAACAACAATGATGAGACTGTGATTAAAATTTGTTACCCTCACCATCCACTTTTTTAGGTGTATAGAAGAAACCCATAACCGGGATAATTTCAACTCTATAATTATAAGTATAAATTAATAATTCGAAGGAAAAGTTTAAATGGATTGGTTCTTTTTTTTAAAGATTAATCCAATTTATATATATTACTCGTAGTAGAATGACCTCAATTTTAGTTATCTGGATCTGTACACCTATTTTATTTTAGCATGGAATATCTCAGAAGTGAGTACACAGAACTTCCTGAACTAATCTAGAACTAAATCACTAGACTGCAAGCAATTATGGATTAAATGAAGGTGTTTTTTTAGTTTGATCCATGGAGATCTCTCAGTTTTATGCAGTCCAATATTTCTCAATAGAACTTCAGGGAATTATTTTGAAGCGAGTTACTAGTGAGCACATGATGATTATCATCAGAATAAGGGGTTTTTAGAGATTGTAGTAATTTTAATAGTTGAATTCATGATTCGTGACATATGGAGTTCACTCCGTGTCGGGTAAAGACAGGTATCTACTTCAGACAATGGACGAATGGTTGAGCAAGATCATAGATCGATTGAAGTTAGACATAAACCCCGTTGAATGCTGACTCAGTAGTTCAATGGTTGAGTGTTCGCGCGCCAGACCGAAGGTCCTGGGTTCCATTTGGGCGTGGGGGGTAGTGGATGTGCACTACTGAGGAGTCCCACACTAGGACGAAATGACCATTCACTGCTTCAGGGTTTTCAATGGTGGTCTAGATTACATCGACCCATGAATTCAACTATTAAAATTACTACAATCTCCACAAACCCCAATTCTGATCAAAATGTATCTGTGTCAAATACTCGTATACCTGTTATATGATTGTTGTTAATCAAATCCTCAAGTACTCTGTATGGACTATGTCTTTTTCAAAGATATTTTATAGTTTATACTAGACGCTTCATAAATCTCTTTTACGGTTTATAAACGTATTTTATACTGGCTAACTGTTGTACTTCATTTTATTCTTTATTTAACCGTGATTCACTGTATAAGCTCCCACTAATTTATGTGCGACCGATGTTTAAACGTTATTTTACAGAAACACATCTCATCAATAAATGTCACACTTCTATTTTTTACTTAAGTAATCAGATTATTGTACTTTCAAAACAGTAGTTCAGTTAACATCAAACAGAATGAATCAATCTCATCTTCGGCAGATTATCCACTAATATTTTTCTAATTAAAGGATAACAATTAAAAACGATTTTTAATTTCATTTTAGCTCCTTCAACTCCTGTCAATATAAAAATTATTATAATTCCACCAGAAAGTCCATCTTCAAAATCTAAACTTCATATAACTTGGCAACAACCTGATGATATTCCAGTCACTAATTTTTATATAGAATTAAAACCATCAAATTCCAAAACATGGCAAGATGTATCTGCTGATTTCACTATTACTGAACCTGATGCAATACTGCCAACTGATAACTTGCAAGAATTTGTCAGTTATGAATTTCGTGTTATTGCTGAAAATGAAGCAGGCAAAAGTCTTCCGTCAATACCATCGAATTCAATAGAATTAGGTAGGTATGATCAAAGGAAAGTAATGATTGGTTTAAACAAATCCGAATTTAGGGGATGTTTATCAATAATGTAATATATAAAAATTAAAACAAAGGTTAGAGTCAAAAGTTCAGGTTAGAATTTACAATCAGAATACAAATAACGAAGTAAAATTCAGAAATATGGAAAACCATTTGGCGTTTCAGATACAATAAAGAATTAAACGCAATAATTAGGTCATGATTTACAGTGCTCAAATTAAAAAAAATACCCACCAAATAATACTCTAAAAATTATAAAAGCGTTCTTATTCATTTCATCTAGGTATACCGCTAGAATTCATTCGCCCATTGACGGATATAACTGTCAGCGCAGTGACAAATGAACCAGTCATACTTGAATGTGAACTATCTCGAACTCCACGTGACAAGATCCAATGGTTTAAGGATGGAAAAGCACTACCCAGCAGACTGTCGAGTAGAATAAAAGTTGAAGAGTTGGAGAATGGAAAAGTTCACCGAATTATCTTCAGTCCATTGACAGAGGAAGATCTAGGTGTTTATTCTGTGAAAGTAGAGAATTTGACAAGTGAAGCACGAGTGGATATGAAGAGTGAGTTATTAATTACTGTTAATAGAGCTCATACGGAGTCTCGATTTTATTATTCTTTATTTTATTTCTCAACTGAAGTTATATTTAACTATTGAAGACCCATTTTTATTTGGTATATTTAAATTTTCTTAACAGAAACAAAATAATTGTCTTCTAGCGTGCCTCCTTTCTTCTTATGTTTGAAATTATTGTAAGTAGTAACGCTAATAATACATGTTGAATATTGGAATGAAAAAAGTTGTTGAATTTTCTATCCACTTACAGTTGCACCAACACTGAAGCTGTCGGAATCATTCTCTGACAAAGTCATCATGAAAGCAGGAGAGGCGGCCGTCTTCGAAATACCATTCGTCGCCAGTCCGAAACCGACAGTGACCTGGTCATGGAGGCCAAGAACACGTCCTGATGCGGAGTTGGGATCAGCTCAGACTCCACGATTTAAGGCTGACGTGGTGTCCGGACTGACATCACTTCCAGTGAGTAAGGTGAAGCGTGAAGATGCTGGTGAGTACAGTGTGGTCATCAGTAATGAATTGGGGGAGGTGACAGTGAGTATTGAGTTGATTGTATTGGACAAACCATCTGTACCTCGCAATTTAGTTGCGAGTGATAACACTGGTGAGAGTGTTTTGTTCAGTTGGACGGAACCAGAATTCCTCGGTCTTCATCCTGATGTAGGAGTTAGTGATGGATTGAGTTACGTTGTCGAGATGCGTGAGTCAAATCAACGTGCGAGTAGGTCGGTGACAGTGACGAGTGAATTGAATACTCTTATAGACAAATTGCAAGTGAACAAGTCGTATGTGTTTAGTGTTGCAGCTAAAAATGATGTCGGTCAGTCGGAATTCGCTGAAACGAGTCCAGTTTCGACGAAGTTGGAATATGGTAAGTTTGTGTTTGTATTGTATAGTTTTGTTTATGATTGAATTTTCGAGGCTATTGACCTTGTCGGCAAAGCATGTTGTTACTCGATAGATCTCAACAAAAGTGCTTGGATAAGGCTTTCAAACGGACAATGCTTGAATTTACCTTTGAACTGATTTTGAAGTTTTTTCAACCGGACACAAGGAAAATGAAATTCCTCGTTCACCTCTGCTCTGAATGTGAACTGAATTGAGTAGCGACAATTATTGAGTCGACCCAAAATCTCATTGAGGTCCACTGATTTCCGGTTAGGAAGAATGTCAGACGGTTCCTTACAAAGATCTATGTATGAATTTAGAGTTGCTTAAGTCGTTCAACTGTCTATGCTGAGGTACTGTAAACACAATGTTGTCGAGCTGAGTATGAGTATGAGACTATTGGAACGTCTGTTTAGCGTTTAGACAGCTCTGGTCTCACCAAAAATCTACTACAAGTTTCATGGTGTACATTCAGCTACTCACATAGATCAATATTCCAATAACACAGGCATGTTGAAAACACGTAGATTTGTTGGTGATTTTACTTAATGTTGTCGATGATGCATAGACTCAATTCGTCTATGTGCATTAAATATTCTAGCACGCGAGCAGTTTGTCACTCTTCACTCTGTTTTGTCTCAATTGTAAGCTTGAGAGTATGATCTGCAAACTGTGGTTGAGTGATTCGATGCAAAAATGTCTTAATTGTAATTAATGCTGGTGTGTTTGTTTCATCCAAAGAATAGTCGCTGAACTCCTTGTCAATAAATTCATATTGTTGATGTCGGAGAGATGAAAAATCTCCAATGCGTTCGGAAACACCTTTCAGTTTGAGCGATTGAGAAGCTTGTGGATGTGTAGACAACCCGATAAAACCCATCTGAAAGCAGGGTATCGGTCAAACACTGTCACTATCTAAGGAGTCTGACTTAATAGTTTGTTGATGACTACAGTGTAGATTTTTCTGTCTCTAGTTCTGTAGGTGAACTTCTGATAACATCGGCTGTATGAATCCATGATGTGGACTAGTTGGAATGTTATTTTACCGTTCTTTGTTCCAGCAGTGCTCTGTGCATCGTGACTGTATAGTGGATTATTTCTTAGTTTTAGTTAAGCTATTTGTGCATTGTGGATTGTTTTGACCACCTACTGGAGTATGTTGACTGACATCATTCAACTGTAGGAACGCCGACGAGATTGTGGAGGTACATTTTAATTGTGGTCCTTTGTTTGACCCTATTCGCATTTCTTGAAGCACATGGGGAATGTGATGCATCACTCATTGAACCTCTGTTTCACGATTCGATTAAGAGTTAGTGAATACTCATAAGAAATAACGGCATTGAACCACGATTCATGTGTCCAACTGAACACAAAATGAGTCGTTGGCTCGACCGAGATCTTACGTATTGTCGATCGTGTTTTAAATGCCTTGTTACAGATATGTGTATAACATTGTCACTGATTATCTAACAGTGTGAGTTACATTTTGAATGTAATTTGAATGCTTTCTGAAACCACTAGGTCCACCATCGAGTCCAGTCAATGTGAAGGCAGTCGTCAATCCACCGAAGGCCTCCATCAAAGATCAAACGATAGAATTGACGTGGGAACAACCAACCGACCAAGTGTCTGCCAGTGGACCGGTCACAAACTTCTACATCGAATTGAAGCCTGAAGATTCAACTCGATGGCAGGACGTGAGTGCCGACTTCACAATCACTGAACCACACTTCACACTTCCTACTGATAAATTGCAAGAGTTTGTGAGTTATGAGTTCCGTGTAACATCAGAGAATAAAGCTGGCAAGAGTAAACCTTCTTCACCATCGAACGCTGTTCAACTAGGTAAGTGATAACACTTGTTTCAGAGTTATATGCATGTGTGTGCAGGTGTGTGTGCGTCTGTCTATGTGCAGCGAATTCCAAGTGATTTCGCTTTAATCTATCTATTGGCCACGATGAATGTATCCAAATCAGGTGGAATTGAGTTGGAGAGTAGGATGGACTAAGTCCTTACGAGAAACTTGTACTAGTGTGATCATTGCATGTCGCCTATTAGATTGACCTGTAAGAATGATCGGTCAGTAGTAATAGATGATTGATGTTGCATAGACTGAAGCAGCAGTTCATGCAGCTGCGCGTTCAGTTGAAGAATGTGATTGTAGGAACTAAATACTGAACGTCCTAGGTTACTTCGTTTTTCCAACTGACTGATTACCAACCAAAGATAAATGGTAGATCATCTGGCAAATATATCAGTGGTCTTTATGACGAACGAGATAATGAGTAGTTTCAGGTGGTATTGATGTTTCTAATTTTCAATCGTACATGAATATCGTTAATTTGCACATGATCAAATTTGAATAATGGGCGTTTGGGAGCTGTGATAGTCATTGAGTTTGAGGTTTAGTTATTATTCTGTAATGTAGAAGTGGTTCTGGATGAATGTATCAGTGTGGAATCTACCCATGTCAATGTTTGCTACTCACCGAATCACTGAAAGATGTGGAAAATGATCTCAGAGTATCACACTTTATTGGTATTTTGAAGTGAAGCCATATTTTGATGCGGAATCTGAATGTCATGGGCAGAATATACCACTAGTGATGGATAGTTGAGAGACTCATTTGGATTTGCCTACTACTTTATTTAACAATCCATCTGTGTATTGAATGCACTTAGATTTGTGTACTAGACTACTGGAATACTACATTCAAGCATAATACTCACCAAATAGTATCATACCTAATTGGTTTCAAGTCATTTCTATATTCGGTTTGTTTATTATTAATGTGATAACATTTCAAAACAAAACCAGTATCACTTTCATAAGTAGTAGCAAGCGCAAAATCTTCTTTTCCATATTCTAATAGAGTTGTTATTCATTTCATCTAGGTATACCGCTAGAATTCATTCGCCCATTGACGGATATAACTGTCAGCGCAGTGACAAATGAACCAGTCATACTTGAATGTGAACTATCTCGAACTCCACGTGACAAGATCCAATGGTTTAAGGATGGAAAAGCACTACCCAGCAGACTGTCGAGTAGAATAAAAGTTGAAGAGTTGGAGAATGGAAAAGTTCACCGAATTATCTTCAGTCCATTGACAGAGGAAGATCTAGGTGTTTATTCTGTGAAAGTAGAGAATTTGACAAGTGAAGCACGAGTGGATATGAAGAGTGAGTTATTAATTACTGTTAATAGAGCTCATACGGAGTCTCGATTTTATTATTCTTTATTTTATTTCTCAACTGAAGTTATATTTAACTATTGAAGACCCATTTTTATTTGGTATATTTAAATTTTCTTAACAGAAACAAAATAATTGTCTTCTAGCGTGCCTCCTTTCTTCTTATGTTTGAAATTATTGTAAGTAGTAACGCTAATAATACATGTTGAATATTGGAATGAAAAAAGTTGTTGAATTTTCTATCCACTTACAGTTGCACCAACACTGAAGCTGTCGGAATCATTCTCTGACAAAGTCATCATGAAAGCAGGAGAGGCGGCCGTCTTCGAAATACCATTCGTCGCCAGTCCGAAACCGACAGTGACCTGGTCATGGAGGCCAAGAACACGTCCTGATGCGGAGTTGGGATCAGCTCAGACTCCACGATTTAAGGCTGACGTGGTGTCCGGACTGACATCACTTCCAGTGAGTAAGGTGAAGCGTGAAGATGCTGGTGAGTACAGTGTGGTCATCAGTAATGAATTGGGGGAGGTGACAGTGAGTATTGAGTTGATTGTATTGGACAAACCATCTGTACCTCGCAATTTAGTTGCGAGTGATAACACTGGTGAGAGTGTTTTGTTCAGTTGGACGGAACCAGAATTCCTCGGTCTTCATCCTGATGTAGGAGTTAGTGATGGATTGAGTTACGTTGTCGAGATGCGTGAGTCAAATCAACGTGCGAGTAGGTCGGTGACAGTGACGAGTGAATTGAATACTCTTATAGACAAATTGCAAGTGAACAAGTCGTATGTGTTTAGTGTTGCAGCTAAAAATGATGTCGGTCAGTCGGAATTCGCTGAAACGAGTCCAGTTTCGACGAAGTTGGAATATGGTAAGTTTGTGTTTGTATTGTATAGTTTTGTTTATGATTGAATTTTCGAGGCTATTGACCTTGTCGGCAAAGCATGTTGTTACTCGATAGATCTCAACAAAAGTGCTTGGATAAGGCTTTCAAACGGACAATGCTTGAATTTACCTTTGAACTGATTTTGAAGTTTTTTCAACCGGACACAAGGAAAATGAAATTCCTCGTTCACCTCTGCTCTGAATGTGAACTGAATTGAGTAGCGACAATTATTGAGTCGACCCAAAATCTCATTGAGGTCCACTGATTTCCGGTTAGGAAGAATGTCAGACGGTTCCTTACAAAGATCTATGTATGAATTTAGAGTTGCTTAAGTCGTTCAACTGTCTATGCTGAGGTACTGTAAACACAATGTTGTCGAGCTGAGTATGAGTATGAGACTATTGGAACGTCTGTTTAGCGTTTAGACAGCTCTGGTCTCACCAAAAATCTACTACAAGTTTCATGGTGTACATTCAGCTACTCACATAGATCAATATTCCAATAACACAGGCATGTTGAAAACACGTAGATTTGTTGGTGATTTTACTTAATGTTGTCGATGATGCATAGACTCAATTCGTCTATGTGCATTAAATATTCTAGCACGCGAGCAGTTTGTCACTCTTCACTCTGTTTTGTCTCAATTGTAAGCTTGAGAGTATGATCTGCAAACTGTGGTTGAGTGATTCGATGCAAAAATGTCTTAATTGTAATTAATGCTGGTGTGTTTGTTTCATCCAAAGAATAGTCGCTGAACTCCTTGTCAATAAATTCATATTGTTGATGTCGGAGAGATGAAAAATCTCCAATGCGTTCGGAAACACCTTTCAGTTTGAGCGATTGAGAAGCTTGTGGATGTGTAGACAACCCGATAAAACCCATCTGAAAGCAGGGTATCGGTCAAACACTGTCACTATCTAAGGAGTCTGACTTAATAGTTTGTTGATGACTACAGTGTAGATTTTTCTGTCTCTAGTTCTGTAGGTGAACTTCTGATAACATCGGCTGTATGAATCCATGATGTGGACTAGTTGGAATGTTATTTTACCGTTCTTTGTTCCAGCAGTGCTCTGTGCATCGTGACTGTATAGTGGATTATTTCTTAGTTTTAGTTAAGCTATTTGTGCATTGTGGATTGTTTTGACCACCTACTGGAGTATGTTGACTGACATCATTCAACTGTAGGAACGCCGACGAGATTGTGGAGGTACATTTTAATTGTGGTCCTTTGTTTGACCCTATTCGCATTTCTTGAAGCACATGGGGAATGTGATGCATCACTCATTGAACCTCTGTTTCACGATTCGATTAAGAGTTAGTGAATACTCATAAGAAATAACGGCATTGAACCACGATTCATGTGTCCAACTGAACACAAAATGAGTCGTTGGCTCGACCGAGATCTTACGTATTGTCGATCGTGTTTTAAATGCCTTGTTACAGATATGTGTATAACATTGTCACTGATTATCTAACAGTGTGAGTTACATTTTGAATGTAATTTGAATGCTTTCTGAAACCACTAGGTCCACCATCGAGTCCAGTCAATGTGAAGGCAGTCGTCAATCCACCGAAGGCCTCCATCAAAGATCAAACGATAGAATTGACGTGGGAACAACCAACCGACCAAGTGTCTGCCAGTGGACCGGTCACAAACTTCTACATCGAATTGAAGCCTGAAGATTCAACTCGATGGCAGGACGTGAGTGCCGACTTCACAATCACTGAACCACACTTCACACTTCCTACTGATAAATTGCAAGAGTTTGTGAGTTATGAGTTCCGTGTAACATCAGAGAATAAAGCTGGCAAGAGTAAACCTTCTTCACCATCGAACGCTGTTCAACTAGGTAAGTGATAACACTTGTTTCAGAGTTATATGCATGTGTGTGCAGGTGTGTGTGCGTCTGTCTATGTGCAGCGAATTCCAAGTGATTTCGCTTTAATCTATCTATTGGCCACGATGAATGTATCCAAATCAGGTGGAATTGAGTTGGAGAGTAGGATGGACTAAGTCCTTACGAGAAACTTGTACTAGTGTGATCATTGCATGTCGCCTATTAGATTGACCTGTAAGAATGATCGGTCAGTAGTAATAGATGATTGATGTTGCATAGACTGAAGCAGCAGTTCATGCAGCTGCGCGTTCAGTTGAAGAATGTGATTGTAGGAACTAAATACTGAACGTCCTAGGTTACTTCGTTTTTCCAACTGACTGATTACCAACCAAAGATAAATGGTAGATCATCTGGCAAATATATCAGTGGTCTTTATGACGAACGAGATAATGAGTAGTTTCAGGTGGTATTGATGTTTCTAATTTTCAATCGTACATGAATATCGTTAATTTGCACATGATCAAATTTGAATAATGGGCGTTTGGGAGCTGTGATAGTCATTGAGTTTGAGGTTTAGTTATTATTCTGTAATGTAGAAGTGGTTCTGGATGAATGTATCAGTGTGGAATCTACCCATGTCAATGTTTGCTACTCACCGAATCACTGAAAGATGTGGAAAATGATCTCAGAGTATCACACTTTATTGGTATTTTGAAGTGAAGCCATATTTTGATGCGGAATCTGAATGTCATGGGCAGAATATACCACTAGTGATGGATAGTTGAGAGACTCATTTGGATTTGCCTACTACTTTATTTAACAATCCATCTGTGTATTGAATGCACTTAGATTTGTGTACTAGACTACTGGAATACTACATTCAAGCATAATACTCACCAAATAGTATCATACCTAATTGGTTTCAAGTCATTTCTATATTCGGTTTGTTTATTATTAATGTGATAACATTTCAAAACAAAACCAGTATCACTTTCATAAGTAGTAGCAAGCGCAAAATCTTCTTTTCCATATTCTAATAGAGTTGTTATTCATTTCATCTAGGTATACCGCTAGAATTCATTCGCCCATTGACGGATATAACTGTCAGCGCAGTGACAAATGAACCAGTCATACTTGAATGTGAACTATCTCGAACTCCACGTGACAAGATCCAATGGTTTAAGGATGGAAAAGCACTACCCAGCAGACTGTCGAGTAGAATAAAAGTTGAAGAGTTGGAGAATGGAAAAGTTCACCGAATTATCTTCAGTCCATTGACAGAGGAAGATCTAGGTGTTTATTCTGTGAAAGTAGAGAATTTGACAAGTGAAGCACGAGTGGATATGAAGAGTGAGTTATTAATTACTGTTAATAGAGCTCATACGGAGTCTCGATTTTATTATTCTTTATTTTATTTCTCAACTGAAGTTATATTTAACTATTGAAGACCCATTTTTATTTGGTATATTTAAATTTTCTTAACAGAAACAAAATAATTGTCTTCTAGCGTGCCTCCTTTCTTCTTATGTTTGAAATTATTGTAAGTAGTAACGCTAATAATACATGTTGAATATTGGAATGAAAAAAGTTGTTGAATTTTCTATCCACTTACAGTTGCACCAACACTGAAGCTGTCGGAATCATTCTCTGACAAAGTCATCATGAAAGCAGGAGAGGCGGCCGTCTTCGAAATACCATTCGTCGCCAGTCCGAAACCGACAGTGACCTGGTCATGGAGGCCAAGAACACGTCCTGATGCGGAGTTGGGATCAGCTCAGACTCCACGATTTAAGGCTGACGTGGTGTCCGGACTGACATCACTTCCAGTGAGTAAGGTGAAGCGTGAAGATGCTGGTGAGTACAGTGTGGTCATCAGTAATGAATTGGGGGAGGTGACAGTGAGTATTGAGTTGATTGTATTGGACAAACCATCTGTACCTCGCAATTTAGTTGCGAGTGATAACACTGGTGAGAGTGTTTTGTTCAGTTGGACGGAACCAGAATTCCTCGGTCTTCATCCTGATGTAGGAGTTAGTGATGGATTGAGTTACGTTGTCGAGATGCGTGAGTCAAATCAACGTGCGAGTAGGTCGGTGACAGTGACGAGTGAATTGAATACTCTTATAGACAAATTGCAAGTGAACAAGTCGTATGTGTTTAGTGTTGCAGCTAAAAATGATGTCGGTCAGTCGGAATTCGCTGAAACGAGTCCAGTTTCGACGAAGTTGGAATATGGTAAGTTTGTGTTTGTATTGTATAGTTTTGTTTATGATTGAATTTTCGAGGCTATTGACCTTGTCGGCAAAGCATGTTGTTACTCGATAGATCTCAACAAAAGTGCTTGGATAAGGCTTTCAAACGGACAATGCTTGAATTTACCTTTGAACTGATTTTGAAGTTTTTTCAACCGGACACAAGGAAAATGAAATTCCTCGTTCACCTCTGCTCTGAATGTGAACTGAATTGAGTAGCGACAATTATTGAGTCGACCCAAAATCTCATTGAGGTCCACTGATTTCCGGTTAGGAAGAATGTCAGACGGTTCCTTACAAAGATCTATGTATGAATTTAGAGTTGCTTAAGTCGTTCAACTGTCTATGCTGAGGTACTGTAAACACAATGTTGTCGAGCTGAGTATGAGTATGAGACTATTGGAACGTCTGTTTAGCGTTTAGACAGCTCTGGTCTCACCAAAAATCTACTACAAGTTTCATGGTGTACATTCAGCTACTCACATAGATCAATATTCCAATAACACAGGCATGTTGAAAACACGTAGATTTGTTGGTGATTTTACTTAATGTTGTCGATGATGCATAGACTCAATTCGTCTATGTGCATTAAATATTCTAGCACGCGAGCAGTTTGTCACTCTTCACTCTGTTTTGTCTCAATTGTAAGCTTGAGAGTATGATCTGCAAACTGTGGTTGAGTGATTCGATGCAAAAATGTCTTAATTGTAATTAATGCTGGTGTGTTTGTTTCATCCAAAGAATAGTCGCTGAACTCCTTGTCAATAAATTCATATTGTTGATGTCGGAGAGATGAAAAATCTCCAATGCGTTCGGAAACACCTTTCAGTTTGAGCGATTGAGAAGCTTGTGGATGTGTAGACAACCCGATAAAACCCATCTGAAAGCAGGGTATCGGTCAAACACTGTCACTATCTAAGGAGTCTGACTTAATAGTTTGTTGATGACTACAGTGTAGATTTTTCTGTCTCTAGTTCTGTAGGTGAACTTCTGATAACATCGGCTGTATGAATCCATGATGTGGACTAGTTGGAATGTTATTTTACCGTTCTTTGTTCCAGCAGTGCTCTGTGCATCGTGACTGTATAGTGGATTATTTCTTAGTTTTAGTTAAGCTATTTGTGCATTGTGGATTGTTTTGACCACCTACTGGAGTATGTTGACTGACATCATTCAACTGTAGGAACGCCGACGAGATTGTGGAGGTACATTTTAATTGTGGTCCTTTGTTTGACCCTATTCGCATTTCTTGAAGCACATGGGGAATGTGATGCATCACTCATTGAACCTCTGTTTCACGATTCGATTAAGAGTTAGTGAATACTCATAAGAAATAACGGCATTGAACCACGATTCATGTGTCCAACTGAACACAAAATGAGTCGTTGGCTCGACCGAGATCTTACGTATTGTCGATCGTGTTTTAAATGCCTTGTTACAGATATGTGTATAACATTGTCACTGATTATCTAACAGTGTGAGTTACATTTTGAATGTAATTTGAATGCTTTCTGAAACCACTAGGTCCACCATCGAGTCCAGTCAATGTGAAGGCAGTCGTCAATCCACCGAAGGCCTCCATCAAAGATCAAACGATAGAATTGACGTGGGAACAACCAACCGACCAAGTGTCTGCCAGTGGACCGGTCACAAACTTCTACATCGAATTGAAGCCTGAAGATTCAACTCGATGGCAGGACGTGAGTGCCGACTTCACAATCACTGAACCACACTTCACACTTCCTACTGATAAATTGCAAGAGTTTGTGAGTTATGAGTTCCGTGTAACATCAGAGAATAAAGCTGGCAAGAGTAAACCTTCTTCACCATCGAACGCTGTTCAACTAGGTAAGTGATAACACTTGTTTCAGAGTTATATGCATGTGTGTGCAGGTGTGTGTGCGTCTGTCTATGTGCAGCGAATTCCAAGTGATTTCGCTTTAATCTATCTATTGGCCACGATGAATGTATCCAAATCAGGTGGAATTGAGTTGGAGAGTAGGATGGACTAAGTCCTTACGAGAAACTTGTACTAGTGTGATCATTGCATGTCGCCTATTAGATTGACCTGTAAGAATGATCGGTCAGTAGTAATAGATGATTGATGTTGCATAGACTGAAGCAGCAGTTCATGCAGCTGCGCGTTCAGTTGAAGAATGTGATTGTAGGAACTAAATACTGAACGTCCTAGGTTACTTCGTTTTTCCAACTGACTGATTACCAACCAAAGATAAATGGTAGATCATCTGGCAAATATATCAGTGGTCTTTATGACGAACGAGATAATGAGTAGTTTCAGGTGGTATTGATGTTTCTAATTTTCAATCGTACATGAATATCGTTAATTTGCACATGATCAAATTTGAATAATGGGCGTTTGGGAGCTGTGATAGTCATTGAGTTTGAGGTTTAGTTATTATTCTGTAATGTAGAAGTGGTTCTGGATGAATGTATCAGTGTGGAATCTACCCATGTCAATGTTTGCTACTCACCGAATCACTGAAAGATGTGGAAAATGATCTCAGAGTATCACACTTTATTGGTATTTTGAAGTGAAGCCATATTTTGATGCGGAATCTGAATGTCATGGGCAGAATATACCACTAGTGATGGATAGTTGAGAGACTCATTTGGATTTGCCTACTACTTTATTTAACAATCCATCTGTGTATTGAATGCACTTAGATTTGTGTACTAGACTACTGGAATACTACATTCAAGCATAATACTCACCAAATAGTATCATACCTAATTGGTTTCAAGTCATTTCTATATTCGGTTTGTTTATTATTAATGTGATAACATTTCAAAACAAAACCAGTATCACTTTCATAAGTAGTAGCAAGCGCAAAATCTTCTTTTCCATATTCTAATAGAGTTGTTATTCATTTCATCTAGGTATACCGCTAGAATTCATTCGCCCATTGACGGATATAACTGTCAGCGCAGTGACAAATGAACCAGTCATACTTGAATGTGAACTATCTCGAACTCCACGTGACAAGATCCAATGGTTTAAGGATGGAAAAGCACTACCCAGCAGACTGTCGAGTAGAATAAAAGTTGAAGAGTTGGAGAATGGAAAAGTTCACCGAATTATCTTCAGTCCATTGACAGAGGAAGATCTAGGTGTTTATTCTGTGAAAGTAGAGAATTTGACAAGTGAAGCACGAGTGGATATGAAGAGTGAGTTATTAATTACTGTTAATAGAGCTCATACGGAGTCTCGATTTTATTATTCTTTATTTTATTTCTCAACTGAAGTTATATTTAACTATTGAAGACCCATTTTTATTTGGTATATTTAAATTTTCTTAACAGAAACAAAATAATTGTCTTCTAGCGTGCCTCCTTTCTTCTTATGTTTGAAATTATTGTAAGTAGTAACGCTAATAATACATGTTGAATATTGGAATGAAAAAAGTTGTTGAATTTTCTATCCACTTACAGTTGCACCAACACTGAAGCTGTCGGAATCATTCTCTGACAAAGTCATCATGAAAGCAGGAGAGGCGGCCGTCTTCGAAATACCATTCGTCGCCAGTCCGAAACCGACAGTGACCTGGTCATGGAGGCCAAGAACACGTCCTGATGCGGAGTTGGGATCAGCTCAGACTCCACGATTTAAGGCTGACGTGGTGTCCGGACTGACATCACTTCCAGTGAGTAAGGTGAAGCGTGAAGATGCTGGTGAGTACAGTGTGGTCATCAGTAATGAATTGGGGGAGGTGACAGTGAGTATTGAGTTGATTGTATTGGACAAACCATCTGTACCTCGCAATTTAGTTGCGAGTGATAACACTGGTGAGAGTGTTTTGTTCAGTTGGACGGAACCAGAATTCCTCGGTCTTCATCCTGATGTAGGAGTTAGTGATGGATTGAGTTACGTTGTCGAGATGCGTGAGTCAAATCAACGTGCGAGTAGGTCGGTGACAGTGACGAGTGAATTGAATACTCTTATAGACAAATTGCAAGTGAACAAGTCGTATGTGTTTAGTGTTGCAGCTAAAAATGATGTCGGTCAGTCGGAATTCGCTGAAACGAGTCCAGTTTCGACGAAGTTGGAATATGGTAAGTTTGTGTTTGTATTGTATAGTTTTGTTTATGATTGAATTTTCGAGGCTATTGACCTTGTCGGCAAAGCATGTTGTTACTCGATAGATCTCAACAAAAGTGCTTGGATAAGGCTTTCAAACGGACAATGCTTGAATTTACCTTTGAACTGATTTTGAAGTTTTTTCAACCGGACACAAGGAAAATGAAATTCCTCGTTCACCTCTGCTCTGAATGTGAACTGAATTGAGTAGCGACAATTATTGAGTCGACCCAAAATCTCATTGAGGTCCACTGATTTCCGGTTAGGAAGAATGTCAGACGGTTCCTTACAAAGATCTATGTATGAATTTAGAGTTGCTTAAGTCGTTCAACTGTCTATGCTGAGGTACTGTAAACACAATGTTGTCGAGCTGAGTATGAGTATGAGACTATTGGAACGTCTGTTTAGCGTTTAGACAGCTCTGGTCTCACCAAAAATCTACTACAAGTTTCATGGTGTACATTCAGCTACTCACATAGATCAATATTCCAATAACACAGGCATGTTGAAAACACGTAGATTTGTTGGTGATTTTACTTAATGTTGTCGATGATGCATAGACTCAATTCGTCTATGTGCATTAAATATTCTAGCACGCGAGCAGTTTGTCACTCTTCACTCTGTTTTGTCTCAATTGTAAGCTTGAGAGTATGATCTGCAAACTGTGGTTGAGTGATTCGATGCAAAAATGTCTTAATTGTAATTAATGCTGGTGTGTTTGTTTCATCCAAAGAATAGTCGCTGAACTCCTTGTCAATAAATTCATATTGTTGATGTCGGAGAGATGAAAAATCTCCAATGCGTTCGGAAACACCTTTCAGTTTGAGCGATTGAGAAGCTTGTGGATGTGTAGACAACCCGATAAAACCCATCTGAAAGCAGGGTATCGGTCAAACACTGTCACTATCTAAGGAGTCTGACTTAATAGTTTGTTGATGACTACAGTGTAGATTTTTCTGTCTCTAGTTCTGTAGGTGAACTTCTGATAACATCGGCTGTATGAATCCATGATGTGGACTAGTTGGAATGTTATTTTACCGTTCTTTGTTCCAGCAGTGCTCTGTGCATCGTGACTGTATAGTGGATTATTTCTTAGTTTTAGTTAAGCTATTTGTGCATTGTGGATTGTTTTGACCACCTACTGGAGTATGTTGACTGACATCATTCAACTGTAGGAACGCCGACGAGATTGTGGAGGTACATTTTAATTGTGGTCCTTTGTTTGACCCTATTCGCATTTCTTGAAGCACATGGGGAATGTGATGCATCACTCATTGAACCTCTGTTTCACGATTCGATTAAGAGTTAGTGAATACTCATAAGAAATAACGGCATTGAACCACGATTCATGTGTCCAACTGAACACAAAATGAGTCGTTGGCTCGACCGAGATCTTACGTATTGTCGATCGTGTTTTAAATGCCTTGTTACAGATATGTGTATAACATTGTCACTGATTATCTAACAGTGTGAGTTACATTTTGAATGTAATTTGAATGCTTTCTGAAACCACTAGGTCCACCATCGAGTCCAGTCAATGTGAAGGCAGTCGTCAATCCACCGAAGGCCTCCATCAAAGATCAAACGATAGAATTGACGTGGGAACAACCAACCGACCAAGTGTCTGCCAGTGGACCGGTCACAAACTTCTACATCGAATTGAAGCCTGAAGATTCAACTCGATGGCAGGACGTGAGTGCCGACTTCACAATCACTGAACCACACTTCACACTTCCTACTGATAAATTGCAAGAGTTTGTGAGTTATGAGTTCCGTGTAACATCAGAGAATAAAGCTGGCAAGAGTAAACCTTCTTCACCATCGAACGCTGTTCAACTAGGTAAGTGATAACACTTGTTTCAGAGTTATATGCATGTGTGTGCAGGTGTGTGTGCGTCTGTCTATGTGCAGCGAATTCCAAGTGATTTCGCTTTAATCTATCTATTGGCCACGATGAATGTATCCAAATCAGGTGGAATTGAGTTGGAGAGTAGGATGGACTAAGTCCTTACGAGAAACTTGTACTAGTGTGATCATTGCATGTCGCCTATTAGATTGACCTGTAAGAATGATCGGTCAGTAGTAATAGATGATTGATGTTGCATAGACTGAAGCAGCAGTTCATGCAGCTGCGCGTTCAGTTGAAGAATGTGATTGTAGGAACTAAATACTGAACGTCCTAGGTTACTTCGTTTTTCCAACTGACTGATTACCAACCAAAGATAAATGGTAGATCATCTGGCAAATATATCAGTGGTCTTTATGACGAACGAGATAATGAGTAGTTTCAGGTGGTATTGATGTTTCTAATTTTCAATCGTACATGAATATCGTTAATTTGCACATGATCAAATTTGAATAATGGGCGTTTGGGAGCTGTGATAGTCATTGAGTTTGAGGTTTAGTTATTATTCTGTAATGTAGAAGTGGTTCTGGATGAATGTATCAGTGTGGAATCTACCCATGTCAATGTTTGCTACTCACCGAATCACTGAAAGATGTGGAAAATGATCTCAGAGTATCACACTTTATTGGTATTTTGAAGTGAAGCCATATTTTGATGCGGAATCTGAATGTCATGGGCAGAATATACCACTAGTGATGGATAGTTGAGAGACTCATTTGGATTTGCCTACTACTTTATTTAACAATCCATCTGTGTATTGAATGCACTTAGATTTGTGTACTAGACTACTGGAATACTACATTCAAGCATAATACTCACCAAATAGTATCATACCTAATTGGTTTCAAGTCATTTCTATATTCGGTTTGTTTATTATTAATGTGATAACATTTCAAAACAAAACCAGTATCACTTTCATAAGTAGTAGCAAGCGCAAAATCTTCTTTTCCATATTCTAATAGAGTTGTTATTCATTTCATCTAGGTATACCGCTAGAATTCATTCGCCCATTGACGGATATAACTGTCAGCGCAGTGACAAATGAACCAGTCATACTTGAATGTGAACTATCTCGAACTCCACGTGACAAGATCCAATGGTTTAAGGATGGAAAAGCACTACCCAGCAGACTGTCGAGTAGAATAAAAGTTGAAGAGTTGGAGAATGGAAAAGTTCACCGAATTATCTTCAGTCCATTGACAGAGGAAGATCTAGGTGTTTATTCTGTGAAAGTAGAGAATTTGACAAGTGAAGCACGAGTGGATATGAAGAGTGAGTTATTAATTACTGTTAATAGAGCTCATACGGAGTCTCGATTTTATTATTCTTTATTTTATTTCTCAACTGAAGTTATATTTAACTATTGAAGACCCATTTTTATTTGGTATATTTAAATTTTCTTAACAGAAACAAAATAATTGTCTTCTAGCGTGCCTCCTTTCTTCTTATGTTTGAAATTATTGTAAGTAGTAACGCTAATAATACATGTTGAATATTGGAATGAAAAAAGTTGTTGAATTTTCTATCCACTTACAGTTGCACCAACACTGAAGCTGTCGGAATCATTCTCTGACAAAGTCATCATGAAAGCAGGAGAGGCGGCCGTCTTCGAAATACCATTCGTCGCCAGTCCGAAACCGACAGTGACCTGGTCATGGAGGCCAAGAACACGTCCTGATGCGGAGTTGGGATCAGCTCAGACTCCACGATTTAAGGCTGACGTGGTGTCCGGACTGACATCACTTCCAGTGAGTAAGGTGAAGCGTGAAGATGCTGGTGAGTACAGTGTGGTCATCAGTAATGAATTGGGGGAGGTGACAGTGAGTATTGAGTTGATTGTATTGGACAAACCATCTGTACCTCGCAATTTAGTTGCGAGTGATAACACTGGTGAGAGTGTTTTGTTCAGTTGGACGGAACCAGAATTCCTCGGTCTTCATCCTGATGTAGGAGTTAGTGATGGATTGAGTTACGTTGTCGAGATGCGTGAGTCAAATCAACGTGCGAGTAGGTCGGTGACAGTGACGAGTGAATTGAATACTCTTATAGACAAATTGCAAGTGAACAAGTCGTATGTGTTTAGTGTTGCAGCTAAAAATGATGTCGGTCAGTCGGAATTCGCTGAAACGAGTCCAGTTTCGACGAAGTTGGAATATGGTAAGTTTGTGTTTGTATTGTATAGTTTTGTTTATGATTGAATTTTCGAGGCTATTGACCTTGTCGGCAAAGCATGTTGTTACTCGATAGATCTCAACAAAAGTGCTTGGATAAGGCTTTCAAACGGACAATGCTTGAATTTACCTTTGAACTGATTTTGAAGTTTTTTCAACCGGACACAAGGAAAATGAAATTCCTCGTTCACCTCTGCTCTGAATGTGAACTGAATTGAGTAGCGACAATTATTGAGTCGACCCAAAATCTCATTGAGGTCCACTGATTTCCGGTTAGGAAGAATGTCAGACGGTTCCTTACAAAGATCTATGTATGAATTTAGAGTTGCTTAAGTCGTTCAACTGTCTATGCTGAGGTACTGTAAACACAATGTTGTCGAGCTGAGTATGAGTATGAGACTATTGGAACGTCTGTTTAGCGTTTAGACAGCTCTGGTCTCACCAAAAATCTACTACAAGTTTCATGGTGTACATTCAGCTACTCACATAGATCAATATTCCAATAACACAGGCATGTTGAAAACACGTAGATTTGTTGGTGATTTTACTTAATGTTGTCGATGATGCATAGACTCAATTCGTCTATGTGCATTAAATATTCTAGCACGCGAGCAGTTTGTCACTCTTCACTCTGTTTTGTCTCAATTGTAAGCTTGAGAGTATGATCTGCAAACTGTGGTTGAGTGATTCGATGCAAAAATGTCTTAATTGTAATTAATGCTGGTGTGTTTGTTTCATCCAAAGAATAGTCGCTGAACTCCTTGTCAATAAATTCATATTGTTGATGTCGGAGAGATGAAAAATCTCCAATGCGTTCGGAAACACCTTTCAGTTTGAGCGATTGAGAAGCTTGTGGATGTGTAGACAACCCGATAAAACCCATCTGAAAGCAGGGTATCGGTCAAACACTGTCACTATCTAAGGAGTCTGACTTAATAGTTTGTTGATGACTACAGTGTAGATTTTTCTGTCTCTAGTTCTGTAGGTGAACTTCTGATAACATCGGCTGTATGAATCCATGATGTGGACTAGTTGGAATGTTATTTTACCGTTCTTTGTTCCAGCAGTGCTCTGTGCATCGTGACTGTATAGTGGATTATTTCTTAGTTTTAGTTAAGCTATTTGTGCATTGTGGATTGTTTTGACCACCTACTGGAGTATGTTGACTGACATCATTCAACTGTAGGAACGCCGACGAGATTGTGGAGGTACATTTTAATTGTGGTCCTTTGTTTGACCCTATTCGCATTTCTTGAAGCACATGGGGAATGTGATGCATCACTCATTGAACCTCTGTTTCACGATTCGATTAAGAGTTAGTGAATACTCATAAGAAATAACGGCATTGAACCACGATTCATGTGTCCAACTGAACACAAAATGAGTCGTTGGCTCGACCGAGATCTTACGTATTGTCGATCGTGTTTTAAATGCCTTGTTACAGATATGTGTATAACATTGTCACTGATTATCTAACAGTGTGAGTTACATTTTGAATGTAATTTGAATGCTTTCTGAAACCACTAGGTCCACCATCGAGTCCAGTCAATGTGAAGGCAGTCGTCAATCCACCGAAGGCCTCCATCAAAGATCAAACGATAGAATTGACGTGGGAACAACCAACCGACCAAGTGTCTGCCAGTGGACCGGTCACAAACTTCTACATCGAATTGAAGCCTGAAGATTCAACTCGATGGCAGGACGTGAGTGCCGACTTCACAATCACTGAACCACACTTCACACTTCCTACTGATAAATTGCAAGAGTTTGTGAGTTATGAGTTCCGTGTAACATCAGAGAATAAAGCTGGCAAGAGTAAACCTTCTTCACCATCGAACGCTGTTCAACTAGGTAAGTGATAACACTTGTTTCAGAGTTATATGCATGTGTGTGCAGGTGTGTGTGCGTCTGTCTATGTGCAGCGAATTCCAAGTGATTTCGCTTTAATCTATCTATTGGCCACGATGAATGTATCCAAATCAGGTGGAATTGAGTTGGAGAGTAGGATGGACTAAGTCCTTACGAGAAACTTGTACTAGTGTGATCATTGCATGTCGCCTATTAGATTGACCTGTAAGAATGATCGGTCAGTAGTAATAGATGATTGATGTTGCATAGACTGAAGCAGCAGTTCATGCAGCTGCGCGTTCAGTTGAAGAATGTGATTGTAGGAACTAAATACTGAACGTCCTAGGTTACTTCGTTTTTCCAACTGACTGATTACCAACCAAAGATAAATGGTAGATCATCTGGCAAATATATCAGTGGTCTTTATGACGAACGAGATAATGAGTAGTTTCAGGTGGTATTGATGTTTCTAATTTTCAATCGTACATGAATATCGTTAATTTGCACATGATCAAATTTGAATAATGGGCGTTTGGGAGCTGTGATAGTCATTGAGTTTGAGGTTTAGTTATTATTCTGTAATGTAGAAGTGGTTCTGGATGAATGTATCAGTGTGGAATCTACCCATGTCAATGTTTGCTACTCACCGAATCACTGAAAGATGTGGAAAATGATCTCAGAGTATCACACTTTATTGGTATTTTGAAGTGAAGCCATATTTTGATGCGGAATCTGAATGTCATGGGCAGAATATACCACTAGTGATGGATAGTTGAGAGACTCATTTGGATTTGCCTACTACTTTATTTAACAATCCATCTGTGTATTGAATGCACTTAGATTTGTGTACTAGACTACTGGAATACTACATTCAAGCATAATACTCACCAAATAGTATCATACCTAATTGGTTTCAAGTCATTTCTATATTCGGTTTGTTTATTATTAATGTGATAACATTTCAAAACAAAACCAGTATCACTTTCATAAGTAGTAGCAAGCGCAAAATCTTCTTTTCCATATTCTAATAGAGTTGTTATTCATTTCATCTAGGTATACCGCTAGAATTCATTCGCCCATTGACGGATATAACTGTCAGCGCAGTGACAAATGAACCAGTCATACTTGAATGTGAACTATCTCGAACTCCACGTGACAAGATCCAATGGTTTAAGGATGGAAAAGCACTACCCAGCAGACTGTCGAGTAGAATAAAAGTTGAAGAGTTGGAGAATGGAAAAGTTCACCGAATTATCTTCAGTCCATTGACAGAGGAAGATCTAGGTGTTTATTCTGTGAAAGTAGAGAATTTGACAAGTGAAGCACGAGTGGATATGAAGAGTGAGTTATTAATTACTGTTAATAGAGCTCATACGGAGTCTCGATTTTATTATTCTTTATTTTATTTCTCAACTGAAGTTATATTTAACTATTGAAGACCCATTTTTATTTGGTATATTTAAATTTTCTTAACAGAAACAAAATAATTGTCTTCTAGCGTGCCTCCTTTCTTCTTATGTTTGAAATTATTGTAAGTAGTAACGCTAATAATACATGTTGAATATTGGAATGAAAAAAGTTGTTGAATTTTCTATCCACTTACAGTTGCACCAACACTGAAGCTGTCGGAATCATTCTCTGACAAAGTCATCATGAAAGCAGGAGAGGCGGCCGTCTTCGAAATACCATTCGTCGCCAGTCCGAAACCGACAGTGACCTGGTCATGGAGGCCAAGAACACGTCCTGATGCGGAGTTGGGATCAGCTCAGACTCCACGATTTAAGGCTGACGTGGTGTCCGGACTGACATCACTTCCAGTGAGTAAGGTGAAGCGTGAAGATGCTGGTGAGTACAGTGTGGTCATCAGTAATGAATTGGGGGAGGTGACAGTGAGTATTGAGTTGATTGTATTGGACAAACCATCTGTACCTCGCAATTTAGTTGCGAGTGATAACACTGGTGAGAGTGTTTTGTTCAGTTGGACGGAACCAGAATTCCTCGGTCTTCATCCTGATGTAGGAGTTAGTGATGGATTGAGTTACGTTGTCGAGATGCGTGAGTCAAATCAACGTGCGAGTAGGTCGGTGACAGTGACGAGTGAATTGAATACTCTTATAGACAAATTGCAAGTGAACAAGTCGTATGTGTTTAGTGTTGCAGCTAAAAATGATGTCGGTCAGTCGGAATTCGCTGAAACGAGTCCAGTTTCGACGAAGTTGGAATATGGTAAGTTTGTGTTTGTATTGTATAGTTTTGTTTATGATTGAATTTTCGAGGCTATTGACCTTGTCGGCAAAGCATGTTGTTACTCGATAGATCTCAACAAAAGTGCTTGGATAAGGCTTTCAAACGGACAATGCTTGAATTTACCTTTGAACTGATTTTGAAGTTTTTTCAACCGGACACAAGGAAAATGAAATTCCTCGTTCACCTCTGCTCTGAATGTGAACTGAATTGAGTAGCGACAATTATTGAGTCGACCCAAAATCTCATTGAGGTCCACTGATTTCCGGTTAGGAAGAATGTCAGACGGTTCCTTACAAAGATCTATGTATGAATTTAGAGTTGCTTAAGTCGTTCAACTGTCTATGCTGAGGTACTGTAAACACAATGTTGTCGAGCTGAGTATGAGTATGAGACTATTGGAACGTCTGTTTAGCGTTTAGACAGCTCTGGTCTCACCAAAAATCTACTACAAGTTTCATGGTGTACATTCAGCTACTCACATAGATCAATATTCCAATAACACAGGCATGTTGAAAACACGTAGATTTGTTGGTGATTTTACTTAATGTTGTCGATGATGCATAGACTCAATTCGTCTATGTGCATTAAATATTCTAGCACGCGAGCAGTTTGTCACTCTTCACTCTGTTTTGTCTCAATTGTAAGCTTGAGAGTATGATCTGCAAACTGTGGTTGAGTGATTCGATGCAAAAATGTCTTAATTGTAATTAATGCTGGTGTGTTTGTTTCATCCAAAGAATAGTCGCTGAACTCCTTGTCAATAAATTCATATTGTTGATGTCGGAGAGATGAAAAATCTCCAATGCGTTCGGAAACACCTTTCAGTTTGAGCGATTGAGAAGCTTGTGGATGTGTAGACAACCCGATAAAACCCATCTGAAAGCAGGGTATCGGTCAAACACTGTCACTATCTAAGGAGTCTGACTTAATAGTTTGTTGATGACTACAGTGTAGATTTTTCTGTCTCTAGTTCTGTAGGTGAACTTCTGATAACATCGGCTGTATGAATCCATGATGTGGACTAGTTGGAATGTTATTTTACCGTTCTTTGTTCCAGCAGTGCTCTGTGCATCGTGACTGTATAGTGGATTATTTCTTAGTTTTAGTTAAGCTATTTGTGCATTGTGGATTGTTTTGACCACCTACTGGAGTATGTTGACTGACATCATTCAACTGTAGGAACGCCGACGAGATTGTGGAGGTACATTTTAATTGTGGTCCTTTGTTTGACCCTATTCGCATTTCTTGAAGCACATGGGGAATGTGATGCATCACTCATTGAACCTCTGTTTCACGATTCGATTAAGAGTTAGTGAATACTCATAAGAAATAACGGCATTGAACCACGATTCATGTGTCCAACTGAACACAAAATGAGTCGTTGGCTCGACCGAGATCTTACGTATTGTCGATCGTGTTTTAAATGCCTTGTTACAGATATGTGTATAACATTGTCACTGATTATCTAACAGTGTGAGTTACATTTTGAATGTAATTTGAATGCTTTCTGAAACCACTAGGTCCACCATCGAGTCCAGTCAATGTGAAGGCAGTCGTCAATCCACCGAAGGCCTCCATCAAAGATCAAACGATAGAATTGACGTGGGAACAACCAACCGACCAAGTGTCTGCCAGTGGACCGGTCACAAACTTCTACATCGAATTGAAGCCTGAAGATTCAACTCGATGGCAGGACGTGAGTGCCGACTTCACAATCACTGAACCACACTTCACACTTCCTACTGATAAATTGCAAGAGTTTGTGAGTTATGAGTTCCGTGTAACATCAGAGAATAAAGCTGGCAAGAGTAAACCTTCTTCACCATCGAACGCTGTTCAACTAGGTAAGTGATAACACTTGTTTCAGAGTTATATGCATGTGTGTGCAGGTGTGTGTGCGTCTGTCTATGTGCAGCGAATTCCAAGTGATTTCGCTTTAATCTATCTATTGGCCACGATGAATGTATCCAAATCAGGTGGAATTGAGTTGGAGAGTAGGATGGACTAAGTCCTTACGAGAAACTTGTACTAGTGTGATCATTGCATGTCGCCTATTAGATTGACCTGTAAGAATGATCGGTCAGTAGTAATAGATGATTGATGTTGCATAGACTGAAGCAGCAGTTCATGCAGCTGCGCGTTCAGTTGAAGAATGTGATTGTAGGAACTAACTACTGATCGTTTTTCTTGCTTCTTATTTTATGTTCCTTCCATTATTTTTGCTGTGTATATTTGATTGTGTCTGCCTCGTTTTGTTTTTTTATTATTTGACATTACGTTTCTTCCCATATAATCGTCACAGCATACATCCCTCGCAACTTAAGCGATATTCATATTGTCATATTTGTAATTTTTATCCATTGCAAATGATAGAAATTTTTTTAAAATTTATGACTTTTGCATTGCCGAGTTTTTGTCTGATCTCTGTAACGAAATGGATAACATTTTGGCTCTTAAAAATTAGTACTAGGTTTTATGTACGTTAAACTTTCTAGTTCTATGTAGTACGAAATACTCATCCTTGATTTTACTTCTATCTGCGATTCATTTTCACAGTATACACAATTTATTTGACAAATCTTTATTTACGAATTTTTTTTCAAAATAGAGGTGGACTGATGGGTGCTGAAAAATGGTAGATAATTTTAGTAGTTATTTTAATTGATGTCTATATTTGTTGTGCCAATATATATTTTAGAAAGAGCAACAGAGGAGACTTTTAAAAAAATGATTTTTGTAAATCAAAGCATTAAGTCATAATTGGTGTTTCATTAGAATTTTAGTGTAGAGCCATGATGAAAAACTAATTGAAAAGAAATTCCTTCGCTCAATTCATTTCTTGTTTATTTACCAAATGGCAAAATGGGAATTTTCACTAAATTTTATTAGCTGATTAACAGTCAAATAAGAAATAAGTAATGTGAAACTGAAACTCAGGTCCTGAAAATGGATGGATGACATCAAATTGAGAGTGATTGATGTGTCTTTCATCTGATATAAAGTAGTTTCTGATCTCATTGAAATCCTGAACCGATTTAAGTAAAGCAACCACTGAAAATATGTAAGCACTGGATAGTCGTTTGACCTTAATGTAGGACTCCACGGCAATGTATATACTCAACCCCAGATGCACGAACTCTAAAACTTCCTGCATGCGCGGTCGTGGATGTGCACTGCTTATAAGCCCTATACTAAGGTTAAACGACCGTCTAGTGCTTCCAAGTTTTCGATGGTTGTTTAACTTAAAACGGCTCAACAGTCTTCACAACCCTATACTTACAGCTTCTGATATTTTTATTTCCACCGCCTCAGCAAAACATAGTCTATTCGAAACCTTACATTGTTTGAATATCTTGAAGAATTTTGAAGAGTTTCGATTGTGTCCATTTTCAAGCAGATGATGAGCAATTGTACTGCTGAAAATGTCATATCGTTTCAGCCGAAACGTTTTTGGAATATGCTCAGAAGTTCAGACACTAGCCCACCTTATTTGTTCTTCCAATGCATGTGTTTTTTGCATTTACGAGTCATGTTTATTACTACGAGATACTATATGAAGTTTCTGAAGAATAACATCCCGAGCCTCATTCATTTCAGTCACTTAATCGTCTAGTGACTATTCAATGCAAAATATTTAGAGAACTAACTGGAATAAGAATTCTGGGACAATATTATGCCGCCCACTTCTCTCCATGTTAACTTATAATATCAGCTCCTTCCTAAAACATGTGTAAATAACGGAAGCATTATATTTTGAAAGAAGGAATGCTTCAAGGTAAACTAACAGAATAATTTGTTAAGATTCGCAGAGCTTTTTGGATACTATTAAATTATAAAAATTGACAAAAACGTTTATTCCCATGATTTATTCTAACTTTCATGAAGTGAGCACTTTATTTAGTATAGTTTGCGGAGATCATTTTACAATACAGACAGGAAATAACGGTAATGGCATTGAAAGCGAAAGGAAATGAGACATATTTTTACCCGGCGGTCTGTAACCGCGACTTTATATGTTGAAATGTATGTGCAACTATAAATATAACTTTAAAAATAAAAGTTATCCGACAACAATAAATATGTGGGTTACCATGAAATAATTATGAAATCATTTACAGAATATATCTTTGAATAACAGTTAAGAATCGAATATTTCATTGGTTGAGATGATGAATCAATTGAAGCTATACCACCATGGAAAACCTGAAAGTACTGGATCGCCGTTTCGTGCTATTGTGGCACTCTTCAGCAGTGCCTATCTGCGATCCCGAACGCGTGATGAGAACCCAGGACCTATCGGTCTCGAGCGTGAACAATTAACCTCCACAAAACTGAACCAGACGGCATCCAACGGTGTTAATTTCTAACTTCAACTAAATTGAGCGACACATCCACCGTTGTCATCAGTAACTATCTCACAACGGACCTGGTTGAACTCCACTGATCACTGCTTTTCACTAGAACCTAGGAAATACTTCTTGGATATTTACTGCAGAACCCTAAATACTCTTTCAGCGAATTTCATTTCAAGAGGTAAAATATGATACTCATCATTGATTGAAAATGAAAAATAATCACAAACATTCTATACCTCTTGATTTCTCTCATTTTCCAGGCGTTCCACTCGAATTTATACGACCACTAACTGACTTGACTGTTGACAAAGTAACCAATGAACCAGTCATCCTTGAGTGTGAACTATCTCGTACTCCTCGTGATAAAGTACAATGGTTGAAGGATGGGAAACCTATTGGTCGTCTACCAGACCGTGTGACAATTGAGGAGTTGGAGAATGGGAAAATCCATCGTGTGAAGTTCACTTCATTAATGGATGATGATTTGGGTGTATATAGTTTACGTGTTGAGAAGTTATCTAGTGAATGTCGACTAGATATGAAAGGTATGTCCATAAATTTCGTGTGAATTTTTTTATTTTGTTGTGAACTCCTTTATGAGTTACATATTAGTGCTAAAGTAAAAAACTACATTTTCGACCAAAAATTATACCAATCAAATGCAAGTCATGTGTGCTATAAATTTTACTCTTATTACTACGTTTATTACACTAGTATTGATTACTGCTTATGGCTAATGATCATATGTCTACACAGTACTCTTACTCGTGCCCAACCTACCAGTCAGGCTGCCTGAAAATTCAAATAAGTTAATCAAACCATATCACACCATTTATTCAAACTCAAAAACTCGCTTAATAATATATATGATCGATTTGTTATACTAGAGGCGCTTTTGCATTCAAAGCACCATTCACTCCCATTCGAAAACTCTATCTCTTCAAACCCCTTTCCTAGACTGTCATATTTTAACTCTAAGATTATGATATTGCTTTTAATCGCATATCCTGAACATATTGAGGAAACAGATTTTAGTAATTTTCTGCTTTACCTAGAATGATAAATGGAATAAGTATCTTCAAAATAACATTTCTCATACTAATATTGAAGTTGATTAGATGACAGTATAATCTTCTAATTGTAGACCATAATACTCAACGTCCCACTTCAAAGAGTTAAAATAAAACTGTTTAATAGATTTAAAAAATCCGCTTGTAAAAAATACATGGAGCATAGTTTAATCAAACACATTCACTTGATGAATCATACAATCGTAAATCTAAAACCTTGAAATCAAACACTGAATGACATGCATTTTGTTAACTAACTGATGGACATATTAATGCTTAAAGTAATTTTTACAACTGGTACATAAGTACTCATTTGCTCTATGTACACTTACAGTACCGCCAACATTGAGATTATCCGATTCGTTCTCCGATCGAGTGATCATCAAGGCTGGAGGTGCCATGGTGTTCGAAATACCATTCACTGCCAGTCCTAAACCAAAAGTCGAATGGACATGGAGACAGCGAAGTCGACCAGATGGTGAATTGGGACCGGTACAAAGTCCACGATTTAAGGCTGACGTGGTGTCGGGATTGACGTCATTGCCTGTGAGTAAGGTGAAGCGTGAGGATGCCGGTGACTACACAGTGGTGATCAGTAACGAGTTGGGTGAAGTGTCTGTGACGATTCAGATGATTGTGATTGACAAGCCATCTGTACCTCGTGATTTGGAGGTGAGTGAGAACAGTGGTGAGAGTGTGTTGTTGAGTTGGAAGGAGCCTGAATTCGTTGGTTTGTCCACAACGATGACGACGACGACGGATGTGAGTGTGAGTGGTGTTGGTGGATTGTTGGAGTATGTGGTTGAGATGCGTGAGTCTAGTCAACGTGCTGGTCGTGGAGTGAGCAAAACGAGTGAATTGAGTGTGAGGATTGACGATCTTCAGATCAACAAGTCGTATGTGTTTAGTGTTGCAGCGAAGAATGATGTTGGTCAATCAGAGTTTGCAGAAACGAAACCAGTTTCAACTAAATTAGATTATGGTTAGTATATTTCTATTCAATTTTTTATTGTTTTCCTTAGTTATTTCAAATTGTATATTCTAGATCATTTACACATCAATAATACGACTACAACTGGTTATGAGTTGGATCACTAAAAATAAAATATTTCTTAATAAATGGTTCATGCTACTTAAGGTTGGTTAATCAAACACATTTTCAGTAGTTGTCATAAGGATAACTGGGAACCATCGTTTTTTTTTAGAACAAATACACATTTTTTTAAACCAATCGGTTTGATATTTTAGCCTTCGATCACTTCATGACTTAAGTTCGCTAATATCTAATAGCTTATTTGATCACTTTTTTAGCCTACCTGGGTTAATCTTTTGATTCTCTATAAAATTAGTGTAGATGGGAAGTTATGAGAATAAATTAAAATATGCTTGCCAAGTAATAAATGATACTGATTTGGTTGTCTACATCAGGAAAATTTCAAGTGCTTTCTCATTGGATTAACAATATTCCAATAGATCCCAACCTCTTATCAACAAACCTGTTACTGACAACAAGCTTATATAGCGTTCCACAAAGTCTTTAGAAATGTATATATATAGTATGTATTTGGTTACGCCACTAACAATAATAACACTAGCTCAACTACCGTACGTGCCAAAAATTAATTCTCCACACACATTTCACCCATTTCGATACCAATTATCAGAAAATTATAAAGAATAGCTTCATGAGTTTCCCAATTTCCTTTCCATTCCTCTTCTTGAGATTGTGAATTTATAACTCCTGGTCACCCTACTTCAGAATAAGTTGAGTAGATTCAAATACATGTTTAACTATCATACAGACCTCTTTGATCATTGATATTTAAGTGTTGAAGAACTACCTAAAGAACATGGAATAAAAGAATAAAGACAGGAAAAATGATTAACTCTAATCATTTCCCCATTGAATGCTAATGAGTCAAAGTTATTCACTAAATACTTTTAAACAACTGAAATAAAATATATGTATGACAAACAAGTACCGAATATTATGTTAATAAACTAAAATGAGTCACCGATGTGGATGTAATGTAGAATCGAAAAAGCAGTATCAGGAATCCAGTCAAGTTTCATTCTTCTTATGGCAAACATAAAACTGCGATCTATGTACAAAACAATTTTCACAAAATATGTGAATCTAGAAATATGGTAGGAAGGATTATTATTGATTTGTATCCATTAGCTTGAATTTAAGCTTACAAAATCTCGATATTTACTAAAACTCATCTTTAAAATACAAGGTCCACCATCGAGTCCAGTCAATGTGAAGGCAGTCGTCAATCCACCGAAGGCCTCCATCAAAGATCAAACGATAGAATTAACGTGGGAACAACCAACCGACCAAGTGTCTGCCAGTGGACCGGTCACAAACTTCTACATCGAATTGAAGCCTGAAGATTCAACTCGATGGCAGGATGTGAGTGCCGACTTCACAATCACTGAACCACACTTCACACTTCCTACTGATAAATTGCAAGAGTTTGTGAGTTATGAGTTCCGTGTAACATCAGAGAATAAAGCTGGCAAGAGTAAGCCTTCTTCACCATCAAATGCAATACAATTAGGTGAGTTCTATGTTTGAGTTTGTTGAGTTCTCTTCTTTAGTGTCTTTGTCTCTACCATATAAATAACTTTCCGATACATTATGAACTTCCTGTTTGTAAATTGATAAGCAAGTTGTTCTAACACCTGCTTCAGATCATGCGACATGTCTATTTAATTTCCTGAAAATATTATATTTTATAACATTTCATAATGATCAGTATGGATACTGGTTTGTGTAACCCAACATGGGATACGTTATTTCAAGATTTTAGGATGCCGGAGACAGTCAATGGGAATCTCTGGATGTAAGTTTCAATAGAATTCGGTCAGCCATAAGGTTTAGACATATATTACATTGGTTACTATTCAGTAATCACTCAACTTTAAGTACATCGGTCCTATAGGACGTCAGTTTATTCCATAGTAGCTAAATGATAACGATTCAAACTTCGACGTTGAACGATGCCTAATCTAATCCCTTAGGGATCATCAGTTCCTTAAACATTACAGTTTTCCTTTACTGACAAATACTAACTACCACAAAGCTCGCGCCAGATTACGTTTCTTGTCAAATACTACCAAACACGTATAATCTCAGTTAACGTATCAGTAATATTTCACTTCCACTTAATTTATCATTTATTATCAATAGACAATGAACCTTGGTTGTCAAAATGATCTGTCATTCATCTAGATGTAATAAAAAATAACAGTAATGATGATCAACTGTCTGGGATGATTAGAAATCCTTTTACTACTGCATTTGTGAATAGCCTTTGTTCATTATAAACAGAGATATATGATGGCTAACAGTGAAGTACAGGACGCACGTTTCACCGTACTCAGAAAACTTAAGCTGGATGTGCCTACCTGCTCATTCCGGGACTCGAACTCAGTATCTTTCGCTTCAACCGCCATCACGTTATCCATTTGGCAATTGAGTCCGATTAGCTACAAGCATGTGCGATGGGGTAAATTTTAATTTGTTTTTGTATTGGTTGTTTGAACCTTCCCATAGATGTTTAGTAGTGCAATGGATCAATCTGTTATTGGCATATGTGCATCCTTTTTGGATTGCCTCGATATTCCTTTCAGTCACATATGACGATAAAAGACTGATCAACTGCAATCTTAAACATCTATGGGAAGTAACAAACGTTCAATACAAAAATAAGTTTTTGTCCTTGTTAGATACATTTGTGCAATGTTGCAATATCTACTTTACAAGCTGATATTTCATTCAGCTTTTTATTTACACAGAATGATTCATAAAAAGGTAAGTGCTCCACCTATATGTTAAAAACAAAATATTCAAAAGTTGAAAATTTACTACAGAACTCTACTAATAGTCGTTTTAAGTATAAGTTTTATCATGAAATCCTTAAAATTCTGCTTAAATTCAACTCTATTCACTTTTAACGGGATGTTATACAAACAAACTAACGGTGTAACAATGGGATCCCCCGTGTCCCTGACTGTAGCCAACCAGTTTATGGCACATATTGAATCAAATATTTTCATCAACGACATTAAACCACGAATTTTGCTTAGATATGTAGATGATACCTTCGTTGTGATAAAAAAGACTCAGCTAAGATCTTTTTCAAAACGAATCAATAAACTTCCATCGAACATCAAATTTACGAACGAGAATGAATTTGAACATGATGAGTTGCCATTTTTAGATTGCTAAGTGAAAAGAAATCAAAATGAAATTCTAAATCCATCCATTTACCGTAAACCTACACACTCTAATCGCTATATTGACTTCAATTCAGCACATCCATTCAATGCAAAGATCTCGCTAGCCCTAAATCTTTTTAGAAGTACTAACAAGATTATCATATCGGGAGAAGATAAACAAAAAGAACAAAAGAATGTAACTAACATCTTACAACTTAATAATTTTCCTATGAAGATTATTAGAAGTATATGAAAACAAGACGTTTCATTGCGTAATAATAGTAGTTCGAATGAAATACCATGGATTGGTACTGCAGTTTTAACATACCGTCATTTCACAACAGAATAACTCAACATAGAATTAAAGTATATTACAAAACGACGAACACACTTCGAAATACTTTAGATCGCTTAACAGAAAAAGATCCCCTTCATGTCAACACAGAACTGCGTCTACAAATTAAGATGTGTTGATTGTGATGCCTTCTATATTGGAGAATCATCTCGCGAAATCTTGACTCGAACCAAAGAAAATATTAGAAACTCAAAGAAAACACCTAATAATCACATAGAACTGGATAGACCTCAAAGTAAATCAGCAATAGCAGTTCACGTTATTTTCAATGACCAGTAAATCGATTTCAAAAAGATTACAAGAACAGTTTTCCAATTACAAAGAGAAGCATTCCATATAATGCTTAATCCTACTGCTCTCAATGGAAAAGAAAACCTTACTATACGTCCGACTTGGACTATCTATCCAAGATACCATATCTGATATTATTCACATTTCACACTATTATCTTACATAAAAATTATACTCTATCCTTTCTCACCATGAAGGTCACATTTTCTTATCCGCGACCTTGCACACATCCACATACACAAACTTCCATACATGTCGCTTATGAATCACCTAGACCGACATGACATGATATTGATTTGTTCAGACACAAATCACAAACATTCTATACCTCTTGATTTCTCTCATTTTCCAGGCGTTCCACTCGAATTTATACGACCACTAACTGACTTGACTGTTGACAAAGTAACCAATGAACCAGTCATCCTTGAGTGTGAACTATCTCGTACTCCTCGTGATAAAGTACAATGGTTGAAGGATGGGAAACCTATTGGTCGTCTACCAGACCGTGTGACAATTGAGGAGTTGGAGAATGGGAAAATCCATCGTGTGAAGTTCACTTCATTAATGGATGATGATTTGGGTGTATATAGTTTACGTGTTGAGAAGTTATCTAGTGAATGTCGACTAGATATGAAAGGTATATTTAATGACTTTAAAAAAATCTGAATATAGTTTGTATCTGTATATGATTCTATTCATTTTTCCTTATTTAGCTTAATTGGCGTTATACTTAAAATGTAAAATTCATAAAATCGTTAGAAGCATTATATTTCACTTAGCCCTCTATATTATTGTTCACATAATTTTAATGCTTGAGATCATGAGTCAGTCGAAGCTAGATCAGCATGGAAAACCTAGAAGCACTGGATGACCGTTTCATCCTATTGTGGGACTCCTCAGCAGTGCGCATCCACGATCACGCCTGGCGAGATTCCAACCCAGGACCTATCAGTCTCGCGCGCTAGCGCCTAACCACTAGATCACTGAACCGGCCGGCGTCCAACCTGGTTAAATACCTTGAAATAACAATCAACTTTGTCCATAAATCAGTGTTACTATCAAATGTAGAATTTAAATTGTTTTTTCAGTAGATAATAAACATCTTTACTAATGTGTAAAACTAGAAGCTGCAATGAATTTGGATAAGGTTATCATTTGATTAGTGTATACAAAGATGTTCCATCATGCAACAAACTGATGTATATCCATCATGTATTCTCGGCTGACCATTTTAACTTTATTTTCTTGGTATTCTATAGACTGTATATATTTCCTTGACTTAATATATATAAACTGTATTTAAGTTCAAATTTCGGTTTATCATATCTTCCAAATCTTCTTTTTCCGGCAAATTACATTCTAGATTGATGTGTAATGACAATATTGTGTAGTTTTAAGACGACTAAGCACATTTGTCATACTATTTCCATTCACTACAAAATGATCCACGCTTACATTAAACTGACTAAAAGGTAGGTCAGATGGTAAAAATCCAATAACCCACAAATTAACCAGTGCCAGAATATTTCATTCGAAATGCTTTCAGTTGTGTCAGTGTGTATTGGTACAGAAGTGAAACCTGTTCCACTAAAGTTTTAGATATGAACGGCTAATGACTCTATACAAATACAATACCAATATTAAAGGCTTTCTTCTCATAAACACCATTTATCATAAAGATAATGATAAACCAAACTGATGAACCAGCCTCAGCTATTTTTTCTGAACAGTTTATTTCATGATATTTAATTCTCAAGATAATGATGGAATGAAAATAAACACTTTTGTACACATATGTAAGTGAATATTATACGTGATGAAGACACAAAGACGGTTGAATAAAGAACCTGTATTTTCATGGACATAATCTTTTTCTTAATAAACACATATTTTTGTAAATTTACAGTCCCACCAACATTGAGATTATCCGATTCGTTCTCCGATCGGGTGATCATCAAGGCTGGAGGTGCCATGGTGTTCGAAATACCATTCACTGCCAGTCCTAAACCAAAAGTCGAATGGACATGGAGACAGCGAAGTCGACCAGATGGTGAATTGGGACCGGTACAAAGTCCACGATTTAAGGCTGACGTGGTGTCGGGATTGACGTCATTGCCTGTGAGTAAGGTGAAGCGTGAGGATGCCGGTGACTACACAGTGGTGATCAGTAACGAGTTGGGTGAAGTGTCTGTGACGATTCAGATGATTGTGATTGACAAGCCATCTGTACCTCGTGATCTGGAGGTGAGTGAGAACAGTGGTGAGAGTGTGTTGTTGAGTTGGAAGGAGCCCGAATTCGTTGGTTTGTCCACAACGATGACGACGACGACGGATGTGAATGTGAGTGGTGTTGGTGGATTGTTGGAGTATGTGGTTGAGATGCGTGAGTCTAGTCAACGTGCTGGTCGTGGAGTGAGCAAAACGAGTGAATTGAGTGTGAGGATTGACGATCTTCAGATCAACAAGTCGTATGTGTTTAGTGTTGCAGCGAAGAATGATGTTGGTCAATCAGAGTTTGCAGAAACGAAACCAGTTTCAACTAAATTAGATTATGGTGAGTTAGTATATGCATACCATGTCAGTTTGAATTTGACTCTCAGTAACATCTTTTCAACCCAGTAATTATGGTTTCACTGTATTCATAATATTTTTACCTTAAATTCGCATTTCATCTGGTTGCTATTTCATTTAGTCGCTTGTCCAATAATAATCCAGTCTAATTACTTTTATCACTCTGACGAACAACCTAACTCTTAGACCAGTGGTTTTGTTCTCGTAATTTTCTTGATTAATATGGTGTTTTGTTATGCACACATACGTCGCTTACTTTCTATTTAGACATCTATATTGTGTACTTTCAAGTAGACTTCTCGACTTTGATTCTTGAATTTGAATAGATAAGACTGAATGTCTTGTGTGATGAATGTTTAGAAAATAAATTAGTTTTGATTTGATGAAGCTTCCTTATCGTACATCCATAGACACAGATTTCTTAAGGAACAAAGAGTATCAAAGTGAACGATTGTTTTCAGTAACTTCTTTATCTGGTTCTGTGGTTATAAATCTAAAATTATTACTTATATTATAACAGACATAGTCTTAAAATTGTTTTAATCTTTATTATGAATGAAAGATGACAAACTTCACGTCCATTGAGTTTTATGTGATACAAATTACTAACAAAATGATGCGAAGTCATAAATGTGAAGATAAGGTAATTTATAACGGGAATGAAAAACTGGAATGGTGGTCTGACTAAGATCCGTATGGTATGGTAATAACAATATTACTATTGCTAATAATAATAACAATAATATTAATTATTAATAAGATCTGGCAAAATAAGGAAGATGAATGTATCATTAGGTATGGGAAGAAATGTCTTGGAAGCGGGTACAAATGGTAATGAAAGGAAAGGTGTTGGAGGATCCAGAAAACTTTTCAAAAAAAAAGCCAAGAAAGGCTGTGAAAACACTTAGAAGCATTTCATCCAATCAGTGTTCACTAGAAGTTTTGCCAGAAACATCTAGAAAGTGAAAAGTCACGTGTCGAGCTTCTGATTGGGTGATTAGTTATGCTGCTACTATGTTTAGTAGCATTCCAGAATTTTCCAGAAGACCAAGGACATCTAAAATACTATAAAAACCCTAGATTTACTGTACATAAACGAACTTTTGGAGTAAAGCGTTTTCTTCCATATTTGCACCTTTTCTTTCGTGTTCAAGTCGATGTGTAGATCTAGCCTGGGGGTTACTAGAAGAGCTTAGGAACCGGATCTAGCGTTCGCTTGGCATTAATTGCACGGCCACTGTGATTCCCTACCACCCATTGATTAGAAATTGCACGGTGTGATAATGAACAAACATTTTGTCACCTTGAATAATTTTTTAATCATCGGAATGGGTTCTGTGGAGACCTTAGAAAGTTCACTGGTTGAAATCATGAGTCATTTGAAGCTAGACAACTATGGGAAACCTGGAAGCACTGGACGGCTGTTTCGTCCTAGTATAGGACTCCTCAGCAGTGTGGATCCACGATCCCGCTCGCAGGACTCGAACCCAGGTCTTCAGTCTCACGCGCGAACGCTTAACCTACTGGATCACTGAGCCGGCATCCAATGGTGTTGATGTCTATGTATTCTAAATAAAATTCAAATGTAAAAATGCAAATTCTCACATCTAATCAAAACACTTGATGCTATTTCGATTTGAACTAATCAGATTACAAAGATTTACAATTTACAGCCAATTAAAAAATATTACGGCTGACATCATATTTGTTTATTATCACTTGAGCACACACATTCAAAAACAAGTTCATCAACCACCAATTCATAAATTTTTAAATCACACTCTGAAAATTATCATCACTGGGTGGTGGGGAAACACAGCCGCTGTGTAATTAATAGGAAGAAATCGCCATTCAGTACTTCCAGATTTTCAATGGTGGTCTAGCCTCAATTAACTTATGATTTCAATTATTGGAATTACTATAATATGCACAAAACCCCCTCTGAAATTAATGTTAACCCAATTTATTGAAGTATGCATTAATTTTCACCTGGCGTTGTTTTTATTTGTATCACCCCATTGCACAAGCGAGTGTCTATCAGGACTCAGTAGCTAAGTGGATAACGCGATAGTATTTGAAGCCAACGCTACTGGGTTCCAGCCCTTGAGTGAACATCAACTCTGAGATGCAGGTACATCCAGCTGACGAGTCCCAAATAAGATGAAACGCGCGTCTCGGATTTCACTGTTACCCACTACCAATCTTTGCCAAATGTTATTTTGTATTGAAAAATAAATAAAATGTTATTTACAGTTGGTGCCAATCGGCCTGAGCTGAAAATAGTGTTTTTTATAGAATTTAAGCTACCTTTTCTGAATACTTTGTGAATACGATAGATAGCACTGAGTAATGACTGACTAACAATATTATCATTTTCAATCTTTTTAATGAATATGATTTCAATTTTTTAACTGAAATATGTGTGCTTATATGTGCTGATGTAGTTTTTAAAAGATCGTCATTTTTAAAAACTGTGTAATTGAACTTTTAATTACAATCCCCGAAATGTAGCATTTTCAAAGAATCATTAATCTGAGTGTATGAAATGTAAAGTACTAATTTACTTCTTTGCTTCGCCTACTGTTATCAGAAAATCATTCTCTAACTTTCTAAGATTCAGTGTATGAATGACCAAAAAATATATTCGAGTTTCAATGGTTGGGATTATGAATCCATTCAAGCTAGACCACCACGGAAAACCTGAAAGCACTTGATGGCCGTTTCGTCCTAATGTGAGACTTCTCAGTAGTGCGCACCCACGATCCCGCCTAGCGAGACTCGAACCCAGGACCTCGAATTAAATGGAGGAATAAGATAGTAGATTGAACCTAATTATATTTTCAAGTAAAATTATGCATTTGTGTTGAAGATTTTAGTTATTTAATTTATTGCAAAATATATCATAGTAGATAAGTTCGCGTTGTTATAAAGGAGAACATAGGTGAGGACAACTGTTCGTGTTCAAATACAAAATTATTGAATCACTTGATAGAAATGAGATCCATGCAATGAATACTTCATTTACAAATTTCCATCATTTGTTCTTCACATTCTGTATGATTCTTCCAGTTTCCAATCCCTCCTTATTTTCCCTTCTATTCTCTTCAACTCCATCTTCTTAGCCTTGTGCTGCCAGGTTGTGCACTTCCGATTAATGTTACGTACTACTGATGTCGACAGATATGAGGAGTATACATCACAACGTCTTTTAATAATTATAATCACAATTAACTTCAAACTCTCACAGTAAATTAAAACATTGATCAACTGTACTTTGAACAAACTTAGGAGGTTAAATAGATTGTACGGAATGCAGTTCACCGGCAGCATGTAACCGAACAAAAGTCACAATATTCTCGTCAAGACTAGATCATAACATGATATAAATTGTAACCATTACACATATAATTAATCAATAGGAAACCTTTATTGACTTATGATTAAAACCTGTATTAAACTTATTAGCTTTTAGAAGTTGATCATAACAAAAATAAATCAATAGAAAAGAATTAAATAATAAAATAAATTAAAGTACTCATTTGTGGATACCACAAAATAAGTGACTTGAGTTCAACTTCAGTCTGTTTATTGACTCTGTTGTTACAGTTAAATAAACCGAATTCTTGATTGTCTGTAGTTCTATGGGAAAAGGTAACAAAATTTGTCCAGTAGTTATCCGTTGACGAATACAGAAGAAATTGATATAAATATTGAAATAAATCTAAGTATGACCACTTGTTATAACAATATGTTTTGTTGTTGAAATGGTAAATTACAAGCATTCGTTCATTAAAACAATTAAATGAAATCGAATATATGTTGCAAACTTTTAATACACATAATTAAAGATAACTTATGTCTATCTCTCTCTCTCTGTTTAGGTCCACCATTGAGTCCAGTCAATGTGAAGGCAGTCGTCAATCCACCGAAGGCCTCCATCAAAGATCAAACGATAGAATTGACGTGGGAACAACCAACCGACCAAGTGTCTGCCAGTGGACCGGTCACAAACTTCTACATCGAATTGAAGCCTGAAGATTCAACTCGATGGCAGGACGTGAGTGCCGACTTCACAATCACTGAACCACACTTCACACTTCCTACTGATAAATTGCAAGAGTTTGTGAGTTATGAGTTCCGTGTAACATCAGAGAATAAAGCTGGCAAGAGTAAACCTTCTTCACCATCGAACGCTGTTCAACTAGGTAAGTGATAACACTTGTTTCAGAGTTGTATGCATGTGTGTGCAGGTGTGTGTGCGTCCATCTATATGCAGCGAATTCCAAGTGATTTCGCTTTAATCTATCTATTGGCCACGATGAATGTATCCAAATCAGGTGGAATTGAGTTGGAGAGTAGGATGGACTAAGTCCTTACGAGAAACTTGTACTAGTGTGATCATTGCATGTCGCCCATTAGACTGACCTGTTTTTATAACTTGTGAACGTGTGCGCCCTGTTTATTGTTTAACCAATGATACCGTCAATCAGAGAGCAGCAAACTATCGATTGAACCAGTGACGCATAAAACACGTGCGAGCAGCCTAGAGTCCTGATTAGCCCTGCTTCCTTGTCTAGCCCAGCCGGTTGAGTCCAGAACACCAATCTCAACCTATGCAATATGAATAGTTTATTTCAAACATACGGCGTTTATATACCAATCAAACAGACCGCAACATACTATTAAAATAGAAAATAACATTTGTGCAATATTTGGCCAAAAGTGGCTGTGAATGAGGGAGATAGTAATTAATAGACAGGTCATGACTCAAGAATGGTAAATCCTAATAGGTCAAAATAGAACTCATAATAAGAGGGACATGAATATGAACAGTTTAGTTACATAACAATTATACGATAAAAATATACTCATAGTATTGGTCCATAAATGGATCCCAAAAAATACCATTCATTATTCTTTTCGGGATATAACACCTGTAAGAATGATCGGTCAGTAATAATCGATGTTTGATGTTGCATAGACTGAAGCAGCAGGACATGCAGCTGTGCGTTCTGATTGTAGAAACCAACTACTGAACGTTCTAGGTTACTTCGTTTTTCCAACTGACTGATTACCAACCAAAGATAAATGGTAGATCATCTGGCAAATATATCAGTGGTCTTTATGACGAATAAAATAATGAGTAGTTTCAGGTGTTATTGATTTTTCTAATTTTCAATTGCACATGAATATTGTTAATTTGCACAGAATCAAACTAAAATAATGTGCGTTTTTTTAAAACATTTCAATTATCGGTCAAAACTAAACTTTAAATTCGTGTTGTTGAGATTGCCTAATTTCATTGAATTCATGAATCGATCAGTGTTAGATCACTATTAAATATGTGGAAGCGCTAGACGACCTTTTCTTCCTAGCATGTAACTCCTCAGTTGTTTGTATCCACGATCTCTGACGCGGGATTCAAACCCATGACTTTAGGCCTTGCACGTGAAAGTTTCACTTCCAGACCACTGGACAGGCATCCAACTGTTTTAAAGTCTAACTTCAACCAATCCACGATGTCCTGCAACCATTTTGCATTGACTTGGTTGGGTAACTGCCTCACTCTACAAAGTTGAAATGTATACCAGAACGAAACTGCCTTTCCGGGCTTCCAGGTTTACACTGGTGGTTTAACATTGTCGGTCAAGTTCCTTTTTTTCGCATATCTAAATTTATTAAGTAAGTTGTCGTATATTCTTTATTTTTTTACTAGACCAAATCTTGAGACATACGAAAATGTTGTTTCTCTATACAATATAATCACAGTTCTAGCTAATGATGAGTCCCAGCTATAACTGTATGGATGACTGTGTGAAAAATTTCATTTGATCATTTTTCCGTAACCATCAACTTATGAGCACCGATGTGAAAAGATAATACCAGGTCACGAGATCTTCGCACTGTAATATTCTAATCAACACATTATTGAGAATGTCAGGATGTCTATATCTTATTGTTATTATTATTATTATTGCTTTATCACCATTAATAACACTGAAGGAATTTGTTCTTTGTTTTTAAAGGTATTCCACTAGAATTTATTCGTCCGTTGATTGATGTAACTGTAAATGAGGTTGATGAAAAACCAGTTGTATTGGAATGTGAATTATCTCGTTCACCACGTGATAAGGTACAATGGTTAAAAGATGGTAAATCTCTAAGCCGTTTACCAAACTATGTATCAGTTGAAGAATCAAGTGACAAAAAAATTCACTCTATTAAGTTCCGCTCCTTAACTGATGATGATTTGGGCGTCTATACGATAAAAGTAGAAAAGTTATCAAGTGAGGCGAAACTTTCAATGAAAAGTAAGTTTATTACATCAGTATATATATATATATATATATATATATATATATATATCACTCAAGCAATATTCTTGAAAAATCTGTTCTTTTGTGAATACACATCAATATGCTTTTCCTTTTATTTCAGTTCCACCAACATTGAGATTATCCGATTCGTTCTCCGATCGAGTGATCATCAAGGCTGGAGGTGCCATGGTGTTCGAAATACCATTCACTGCCAGTCCTAAACCAAAAGTCGAATGGACATGGAGACAGCGAAGTCGACCAGATGGTGAATTGGGACCGGTACAAAGTCCACGATTTAAGGCTGACGTGGTGTCGGGATTGACGTCATTGCCTGTGAGTAAGGTGAAGCGTGAGGATGCCGGTGACTACACAGTGGTGATCAGTAACGAGTTGGGTGAAGTGTCTGTGACGATTCAGATGATTGTGATTGACAAGCCATCTGTACCTCGTGATTTGGAGGTGAGTGAGAACAGTGGTGAGAGTGTGTTGTTGAGTTGGAAGGAGCCTGAATTCGTTGGTTTGTCCACAACGATGACGACGACGACGACGGATGTGAGTGTGAGTGGTGCTGGTGGATTGTTGGAGTATGTGGTTGAGATGCGTGAGTCTAGTCAACGTGCTGGTCGTGGAGTGAGCAAAACGAGTGAATTGAGTGTGAGGATTGACGATCTTCAGATCAACAAGTCGTATGTGTTTAGTGTTGCAGCGAAGAATGATGTTGGTCAATCAGAGTTTGCAGAAACGAAACCAGTTTCAACTAAATTAGATTATGGTGAGTTAGTATTTGTTTACCGTGATTTGCAAGATTTGAAATAATTTTACGGGTAATTTACTTTTCAGTAAATACAATTAGCCTAATAATTATAGATGTTTTATAGATATCTGTTTACGTCATCATTACGTTATTTTATTTACCATTCAATTTCTATTTTTTATGTCGTTTATAGTAACTGAAAGAGGATAGTTTTGTATTGGATTAAACAGGATTTTATAGATAAATTTTAATTTTATAATTTTGTTTAGGACCTCCAACTCATCCATTGAATGTTACTGCATCTGTATCTCCATCATGTGCTGAACCCGAAGATCAAATGATAACAGTGAATTGGTCCGAACCTGAAACAGCAACAAAAACAACATCTACTGGATCATCTCCACTTTATTACACTGTAGAGTATAGAGTAGATGAAGGACGTGTCTGGAATAAATTAATCTGTGGTAAAGAAGTTACTGGTATGAAATTAGATTTTCCTCCAATTAAAGAAAATTTGAGCGCTGGTAAATCATATGACTTCAGAGTTATAGCTGTAAATAAAGCTGGTACAAGTGAACCATCAAAACCATCGAATTCAATCCAACTAGGTCGGTTTCTGTTCATTTTATCATTATTATTACTAGTTCGTATATCTTTGCCTATTACTATGCACTATACAACTTTCAGAATGAATAATTGAAGTATGCGGCTTACTTTTTGTCATTTAAGCATAAAGTGACATTGAGATTTTAATTAAACCAAAAAATAAATTATATAAACGAAATATCTATTATAAAAAGCCCATTTCACCTTTATTTTTTCCTCTCTACTTATCATCCTAATACCTCCCAGTGATAGGTATTTCAAAACATAAAGCCCATTAATTTTGATGTGATTGCACTGCTGATATATGGATTACGTCTGTTAAATCACCATCACTGGTAACTGATGTTCTAAGAGATGGTGAAGATTTGTAGCTCAGGTGGATGATTTTGTTCTCAGAGAGCAAAACTCCATCAAGGTGTTCTAAGAATTTAACGAATCACATCAGTATTATGATCTATCGCAATATCAGTTTCTATAGAACAAAGAAAGTACACATTCATATAGACTTTCTGCTAGATTACACTGAAGCTTAATAATACTTTATCCCTTCATTTTGTACGTTATCTAGTTTTAACTTGGTTTTCACAATCGGATATAATAATAGTTCTGAACAATTTGGGTATCTTGTAAGCGTTGAATTATTACTCCATCACTAAAATTAAGCAAAAATCAACATTGCTACTTCAAATATACATCGTGACCCTGAAATCTCATTGATTAGTCAGTATAATATGTATACATATAGCGAAACAATCTTAAAAGATGACTGTTGTAACGAGAACATTTTAATCATTTAACTTCATTTACATTGTAATGGGTTGCCAATTCATTAATTTTACACGACTTTCTATTTTTATGCACACAATCCTTTATTGTTACTATTCATATTCCGTAATAAAGCATTGTAATACTTCAGTTACGTCACTGTGTGTATTCCTTGTTCGTATGTCCTCACGGAACTAATACTTCAAAAATATCATATTTTTGGTATAATATAGAAGTATTTCAACAAGTTTCCGTTTCTTATTTCTTGATCGGTCCTAACACTGAGTGGTCGCCAGTTAGTAGTTAGCAGTCCAGTAAATCGATATCTAAATAACGTATATTCTTTTCAATGCATATTGCCAGCGACCACGATGACTCTGATCGTAGTTTATTTGTAACTTGTACAGTGAAAGGTTGTACACTTTTCAGAAACGCACCTGAATAGGCTTATGCGATTAATAGACATAATATATCAAAACAAACGAAAAAACAGATAACTTGTTGAAATATCTAGATGACATGAACAGGTAGCCCAGATGTTCAAGCAAGTCGCTAAAGATAAAAATATATATACGATTGTACAGCTCGATCATAAATTCATTGAAAAGAGATCCCTTCATTGAACTTTGTGTATTTAATCTTATTTATTGGTCACGACAACTAAACAAAATAATACTTAAGGTGGTTCTAAAGCTCTAATTATTGTTTTTCCAATATTTTTTTCCAAAACACAATGTGGCTCTTATTACGGTAATGAACAGCTTTTTACATAAGCTGTTTGGTTATTTTGCCATTTGTGAAATATCCAAATTCAGGTAAATGAAGTAATATATACAAAAAAATATAGATTTAGATTTTGAGCCACATTTATAAAGTCGTTGGCGGTTAGATCAAACTATGTTAAATATAAGCGAATTTGGATAGTGGATAGCAGTGGAATCCAGGACATGCGTTTCATTATATTTGGGACTCATCAACTGCATGTGCCTGCATCTCAGAGTCGAGGTTCACTCAAGGACTGGAACCCAGTACCGTTCGCTTTAAATGCCATCGCGTTATCCAGTTAGCTACTGAGTCCTGAAAGACGCTTGCTTGCTCAATGGATTCCATTGCTAGCCACTATCCATCTTTGGTTATAATGCATGTGAATTAACGTAATATCGAGGCAATCCGCACAGTATGCACATATAGCAATAAGAGACTAATCAATCGCAATCCTAAACATCAATGTGGAGATTCAAGTAAACAATACCAAGAGAATCTATTCATATATTTTTTCTATTATTATCATTATTATTATTTCATTTATTAACAGGTATAGTACTTGAATTTATACGTCAATTAGAAGATTTAATTATAACTAACATTGAACCAATTGAATATAAATTAGAATGTGAATTATCACGTAAACCAAGAACAATGATAGCTTGGACAAAAGATAATAAACCATTAATTATAAGACCAGATGATACTCATATGAAATTTATTGATCAAGGCACAATTCAATCAATTCATTTTACACATTTAATGGATACAGATATTGGTGATTATGCAATACAAGTAGAGAATATTTCATCAAAATGTAAATTAGAAATTAAAGGTAAATATGATACTAATAATGACTTCATCACTTACGATGTAATAATCATGGTCAATACGATTAATCAGCTAATCAGTTTCAGTGGATGAGTTTGTGACATGAAAATGAAATGATTCATTTTCATTCTAATAGTTGAATTCATGAGTTGATTTAATCTGGACTACCATTAAAATTCTAGAAACACTGATTGATGGCTGTTTCGTCATAGTATGAAACTCTTCAATAGTGCTGCTCCAATGCTTCCAAATTCTCAATGATAGTCTAACTGAAATTGATTCATGAATTCAACTATTAAAAATGTTACTAGAAATCTCAACAAACTCCTATTCTGATAATTTTCATTTGTCATCTGATAATTTGTTATAATTGTTAAGAATAGAAATAATACAAAGAAAGCATCAACCTGACTGAATTCCAAGTCTATGATGTATAGTGCTTATATCTGATTAATTGAATGAGTACCTTTGTAAGAGAATAAAACGTTATATTTTGAAAAACAACCGTAGTATTTATGTAACGATACCTCACAGTAAAATGAATAGTTCAACAAGTTGAATATTAACATATTTTAGTTTTAATTTTACTGATACTTGAGATCATGAGTCAACTGAAGCTAGATCGCCATGGAAATCCTGGAAGCATTGGAAGGCCGTTTCGTCCTATTGTGGTACTCCCCAGCAGTGCACATTCACGACCCTTCCTCTCCAGATTCCAACTCAGGACCTATCCATCTCGCGCGCGAGCGCTTAACCTCTAGACCACTGAGATGGTATCTGACGGTGCTAATGTCTAACCTCAACCAATCCGCGCACTTCTGAGGAGTCCCACAGTAGGATGAAACGGCCGTCCAATGCTTCCAGGTTTTCCATGTTGGTCTGTCTTTAATTAACTAATGATCTCAACTATTAAAATTACTATAATATCCACAAAACCTCTCCTGATTTTACTGATACCATTAGAAAAAATTTAGAAATTATTACTACAAAAAATTTTTGTACTGATAACAGTACTTGTTGATAAATCATATTTTCATTTACTATCAAAGTAAACTAGCAGTTTATTAAGTGGAAAATTGCGACATTTTTTCCGTTATGACACGATATCATGACAATAATTTGTATCAGAAGAGGTTTCTGTGAATATTATAGTAATTTCAATAGTTGAGATTAAGAGTCAATTGAAGCTAGACCACCATTTAAAACCTGGAATTACTAGATGGCTATTTCATTCTATTGTGGGACTCCTCAACAGTGCGCATCCACGATCCCGCCTCACGAGATTCGATTCCAGGACCTATACTTTGATTTGATACACTATAAATAGACTGGGTCACTTATACACAGGTACATGTTCAAAATCAATAATTGAGAACAAAATACATGTAAGACAATGGTTTATTCAACATAAATTCAATCAATCTATAGCTAAATTAAAGTTATAAGACAAAGATAAGATTTACATTACAAAGTATAATGTGACCCTATTTATCTTTTCCCACAAACCAACTGTAGACTTATTTGAAGATAAATAACAGTTAATATTAATTTATAAATATAATTGACAAGGAAACCATAGGTTTGGTTGACAACAGTATATACATCCACACAGATAGTCAATCAATATGCTTAAAACATCTGGCTTTGCTAATGTTTTAACATGTTATTCGTTTATGTTAAGATCAATTGGTTTGATGAACTCTTGAATTTCATTTTAATAGTGTGCATATGTAAGCATCAACCAAGCATCAGCGATTCGACTATAACGGGATGAGTATTGGAATAGTTAGAAGTTTAAGAACTATTTTTCAAGTTATTATCATTGACGTTTCAAGGAATAACAGACTTTATGTTCTCTAAAATCTTCACGAATGTAACCTGAAACAAACTGCATTTATCAAACTAATATCTGTTTTCATATGAATTCGAGTGATGAAAGCCAAAATATGATACATATGTATAGTAAATTTAAGTAAAACCTTAGTGTGCTGAGTTTGCATTGCTTTTACTCTTGTATTTCATTACAGAAACTTAAACTTGTTGACTTAGATTTAGCCGTTATTGTCAGCAAACTTATAGTATAGTCTGATTTATTATTGGGTCTTTTAAAAGTATTTTAAAGTTGTTCTTTTTTCATTCATTATCATTGTTCAAACTATAGGTGAAGATTGTCAGATAGTTGTTTATAATGTATCTTGTTTTCTTTTTTCAAAATGTTTACAGCTCCACCAACAATTCGAATATCTGATCAATTTGAAGATCATATTACTTTAAAGGCTGGTAGTTCAAAAATTCTAGAAATTCCATTTATATCTTCACCAAAACCTAAAATTAAATGGACATGGGCGCCAAGTACTGACTTGACTCAAGAACAAACCCCTAGATTTAAACCGGATATAGTTGCTGGTTTAACTACATTACCTTTAAGTCGAGTGAAACGTGAAGATAGTGGAGCATATAAAGTTAAAATATCAAATGATCTTGGTGAAATTTTCATAACAATTCATGTCATTGTTATTGATAAACCATCTCCACCAAGAAATCTTACAATAACTGATGCTACAGAAAAATCAGTCATGTTTAATTGGGATCTACCAGTTAATGTAAATGAAAATGAATCTTTAGAATATGTTGTTAATTATCGAGATGCAACCAAATATTCAAGTCAACCAATTAATGTTTGTGTAACAAAGGAATTGAAAACATTTATAGATGGTCTTAAACTGGGATCTCAATATATATTCTCAGTTTGTGCACGAAATGAAGTTGGTGATTCCGCCTTTGCTGAAAGTCAGGCATTCTTAATGAAGTATTCTTTTGGTAAGTTAATTTTCTTAGGTTTATGATTGTTATAAGCATGATTTGAGAATGGAGTAGTTTATTTGTTTTGTCAGAAGAAATTACAAGATATAGTGAATAAATTTGTGTTGAGAATTCAGGTGTACGTGTTACATATATCCCATATTTGGTGTCATTGTTCCTTTTTTTAATATAGACCCACCTGAAGCTCCAGGAATACCTCAGGTTACTATATTAGAAAGTGGTCACGTTTCACTGGAATGGACACCTCCTTCATCAGACGGTGGTTCTCCCATCACAGAGTATTTCATTGAAAGCATGGATGAACGTCCAGTTGTAAAAGGTCAGCGCCGTACATCGACCTATGGTTCTCGAGCACAGTGGAATTCACTAACTTCAGGAATCATATTTGAACCTAATGTTCAACCGAAAGCTTCAGTAACTGGTTTGTCTCCTGATAAACAATATACATTCCGTGTATGTGCTATTAATAAAGCTGGTAAAGGGCCATTTAGTCCACCATCAGAATCTTGTTTACCCTTGATGAAACGTAAGTTATTTAACAAAATTTTGATTTATTTGGTTTCTTATCAAAATTTCTATAGACAGTCTAAAGTATTTCAAAGGTTGTTAGGGTACTTATCGAAGTACGTGTACAACAGTGACGCAAAATATACATTACTTGTTACTGATTTCTCTGGAGTAAATGATAAAGAATACCTAACATGGCAATTTGGTTATATCTTCTAAAAATGCCGCATTACATGGCTTTATTCATTTATTAAATGTAGTTACCTTTGAAAATGTTACGATTCAAATAAGCAAGTAACTTCAATTAATCATTTTCACGAGATAATTAAGAATTTTTGATGAATAAGACTGTCAGAACTTGGGAGGCATGACAATAACACCAATATGAATTTATCTTTGCTTCATATAAGTTCCGACTAAATAGTATACACTTTATGAGTGGTTTTAGTTATTTTAAAGATAAGCCAATTTAATTATAATGTCAACGCAGGGTTGTGGTAATGGTTGAATTTCATTAAAATCACGAACCGATCTAAGGTGGACGACCATTTAAAACCTGGGAGCACTGGATGATCACTCCTTCCTAGCACGAGACCCATCAGGAGTGCGCATCTATGACCTCCCAATTGAAAGTCAAACCCTGGAACTTTGATCTCACACGCAAACGCAAAACCTCTAGATTACTGAGCAGTCACGAAACGGTACTAATGTCTAATTTCGATCAATTTGCTATATTGTGTAACCATTTTCCATTTTCTTTGGTCGTTACCTTCCTCACACCCTACAATGTTTTACTCCAGTGATCACGGCTTCCCATTAGGATTTATTTCTCAAAACGAATTAAACGCGTAAATGTTATTTTGCCCTGTCGTCTGAGTCTGCTAATGATATACATGTATGCATATATGCGAGTGCAGCTAGCTACTTGCGTGAGGAAACCAACAGTAAGCAGAAAACTTTAAATTAGCTAAACTGAGTCAAGAATATTTGCTCAACTCACTCATAAATTTATATCTTTTTTGCTGGGAAATTAAGGCAACATAATTCTTTCTTTAGAAAAGGAAGCCAATCTTGACTAATAGTATGCATCTATCAGCGTCTCTCACTTATCATTTGGCTTATATCTGATTGGCATAGCGAATCAGTGAATGAAAGTAAAATTTACATCGCTTCACGTTTTGTTCCAGCCTGTCCTGTGCTTTATGTTCTTTAATTGTTTTTTACTAATTTAGCTCCTAAAGTTCCTGGAAAACCTGGTCCTATAACCGTCGAACCTTTAAACGAAACAAGCATCAATTTAAGTTGGACACCTGGTACTGTAAACGAAGACTTTGGACCAGCTGATTATTATATAATTGAAGCTTGTGAAGATGATGGTAGTGACTGGAAAGAAGTTGGAAAGACAACCAAGCCAGATGATTGTAACTTGAACGTGAACAATCTAGATAGTTCAACACGTTATCAATTCCGTGTTCGTGGAGTGAATAAAGAAGGTGTCGGTGAACCATCAAAACCATCAGAAAGGATTTGTTTAAAGAAAGGTAATTTTTTAAGTAAACATTTGTGCTCAAACTTGTTTTCTTTTTTGTTTCTTTACTGATGTTCGTATTTAACTATAATTGAGCAAAAGAATTTACACTAAGGCTAAACTATTTTAGTGTACTCAGTTAGATAACGACTTTGAATCTTCAATGTAAAGCTAAAAAATTAGTACCACTCACAGTGTGTCAAATGAGTAACTTTGAAAATGATTACTTTATATAGCCCTTGGGGTTCTTTAAATGTAATGATAGTCCATTGTACAACCACTGAGTAGAAATAACATTGTACACATGAAAGTAATTGAAACGTCTATTTTTTTGGATGGATGGCAAAGTAACTCAATTAAGCATTGCCAGTTTTCATTTATCCCCACTCACTTCTCATATGAATCATACTCACACCAATGAAGTTGGATTAAGTTCATTCTTTAGTGCTAAAACAGATCATTAATCCATAACTTCATTTACAAAAGTGTATTCAAACAAATTTGAGGCTATATAAATCGGTTTACTTAACTATTTGACTTATTATAAATACTCTATAGGCAACCTGATCTTCAGTCTCATTAATAAAGTTCTGTACCAAAATATATTGAACTAAAAATTTATAATGGACTTTCAAAATCAGCAAACTATATAAAATCCTGTATACATTTAGATCTAATTAATTTTTGTGGAGCTATATTCTTAGATGAACCAAGTTTTATGTTCATGGACTGATAAAAAGGCATAGACATTACAAGGTCGTTTTAACAATTGATAGAATGTTGTATAATAACTGGCAATGATTCATATAGTATTTAAGGATTATTCATATCACTTTATAGAGTAAATTATATAGTGTCAGGGTTATGATTGTCTGCCAACTTGATCCAATCAAAATCACACCGATCCTAACACTTAATCCAACCAACTACATGAAAGTAGAAAACTAATAATGTATAAGAAGCATATTTGTCAAGCCGAATGAAAGTGTACTAATCCAAGAAAAGACTGTAAGCCATTTATGGAATGAGATGTTCTTGACGAGAATCAAATGGACTACATATATTTTACTACTGTTACTATTATTAGTACTGTAGTGAACAAGAACACGACTGGGGACAACTAAATAAATTACAGAACAACTTACTAAAATCTGAGAATTATACAGAAAATACTTAATTTGCAACCAATCAATTGTATCAAACTTGATTGTTCCTTTTGTAAATATCAGACTATCGTCTCAGATTTCATTGTTTCTATATTTTCATACCAAATTGCTTTCCGTTTCCGTTCTTTCCTTTTCAATCTTCTACTAAAATACATTCTATTCTTGATTATCGTTACATACTACTTATGTGAATTTAAGTAGTTCAAATCACAATACTATTATTTACTATTGTTTTTAAATCATTTTTAGATGCTCCATTAGTTATAACTAAAGAATTAGAATCAATTCATTTGAATGAAATTCCACAAACAATTGAATATGAATGTCATCTTTCTAAATTACCACAAAAAGTTCAATGGTTCTATAATAATAAACGTTTAGATACATCAAATTTACGTAAATATCGTTTTATTGATGATGGTAAAATACAAAAATTAGAAGTATTAAAAATTACATTAGATGATGTTGGTGAATATTCTATTAAAATTGATAAATTAGAATCAAAGGCAACATTTGAAATTGATTGTAAGTTATTTTGTGTGTACTTTTTGATTAGGTAATATCATTATATTGCTTGATTTTGATTCAGTGTAATAGTTGAATGAGAATTTTTATACTTTGTAAAATTGGTTTCTATCATGAATTGATGTCAGTTAATGAATTAGAAGGGGTTTTATGGAGATTTTAGTAATTTTGTAGTTGAATTCATGAATCGATTGAAACTAGGCTACCATGGAGAACCTAGAAGCACTGGACGGCTGTTTCACCCTATTATGGGACTCTTCAGTATTGCGCATCCAGGATTCCGCCTTGTGAGATCCCAACCCAGGATCTATCAGTCTCGCGCGAACGCTTAACCTCTAGACCACTGAGCCGGCCGTCATTCAACGATGTTTATGTTCAACTTAAACTGATCCACGAAATTGTGTCACCGATCACCATTATCTTCAATAAGTTACTATCTCACAACAGACTCATTTAAACTGCACTGGTCACGGCTTCCCACCAGGATGAAACGGCCGTCCAGTGCTTCCTGGTTTTCCATAGTGGTCTAGCTTCAATTGACTCAGGAATTCGTCATTAAGAATGAAAGAGAAATAGAGGATTGTTCTTTTCAGGTTTGAGAGTTTTCAAAAACGAACACATAGAACACTACACAAAATTAAAATTCATAACCTTCATGTATAGCTGAAAGTAGTTAGACATTAATGTGCCAATGTGTTGAAATTCATTGATTCCTTTTTTTGAATTGGTGAAATTTTTAATATAGCACGAACACGATAAAATATTATTGATGATTATTATCATTGTCTTACCTTCGACGTGGCTGATTAAATGGCCAGTTGCTTCTTGTTACACCTTTAAGAACCTATCTGGAAAGTAGTCATTATAAAGAATAAAATTATAATATCTTTGTTTAATTTAACCTGGTTCTCAGTGATCTTTCAAATGATTTCACTTTGTATTAAAAGTTATTTTCACCTTTGAACAAATATCCACAAATTATATATCTAAATAAAAAATTGGGTGAGACTATAATTAATGACGAGCTTTGAGCGACGCCAGACCGACCTTGAGAGTGTCCACCTAACCACTAGGACCAAATAAGGTTTATAAACCTGTATGAAGAAAAAGTTGATAATTAGGGTTAGAAATTAGATTTAAGGTTTGCATCACGAATTGACGTCAGCTATAAGGCCAAAACCCTATTTATCTGAATGAATGAGTGAATTTCGCGCCAAAATCTGAGACCTGTTATCTTAAACGTGATTGGACCGTTCACAAATTATAGTTTCGCCAAAAATTGATTAGATTTCTTTAATTCACATTATCTGTCACTAACACAACAGATAAATTTTCATGTTACACTCATAGAATATGAATTTCTACTACAAGGTGATATATTACTGAAAATAATGATGATAATAATAATACGTTGGTTAGAAACTTTAAATATACTTAGAATTGTATTATCAAATTCATTATACATAAGCTTAACAAAATAAAATTAATAAAACATGATTTACTTGATATGAGTGCTGTGATGTGCGGTGTCCAAAAACTGATACTGATACATGATGTGCTACGCGTTAACCACCCTCAACCGACTACTTTGGCGAGAACACTATAGTGAGCGAGGAAGTGCATTGAGCTACCGAATGAAATTTACAAATACTCATTCATATATATATATATACCACTTTAATCTTTAGGAAGTTGACCCATTTCTTAGATGGTGAAATGCACTTTTCCTTTAGGTCATTTCTGATTACCATCGAATGACCTTCTCATTAGGCTACTTCTGATTGGTTCTTCATATCAATAAGATATCTGATAGATTTTTTTGAATTGTTAATAAAACATCTATGAAGATGATTCACTTGTTTTGGTTACATGAATCTTCCCATCGGTGCTTAGGACTACAAATGATCAATCATTTTTGGCATATATACGAATTGCCTCGATATTCACATGCATTATAATCAGAGTTGAATTGTGGCTAGCAGTGGAACCCAGGATGCATGTTTTATCCTATTTTGGACTCCTCAGCTAACTGTACCTTCATCCTAGAGTTAGTGATCACTCAAGGACTCGAACACAAATGCACATGTGCCAAAAGGGACTAATCATTTGAAGTCCAAAACATTAGTGGAGATATTTAGATAACAAATACAAATGGATTGAACTTCACTCCATTCTACAAGTCAGTTACAATCAAGATTCAGTACCTAATTGGATAACGCGATGGTGTTCAAATCAAATGACACTGGGGTTGAGTCCCGGAATGATTAATAACTCTGGAATCTAGGTACATCCGGCTGACGAGTCCCAAATAGGACGAAACGCGCGTCCTGGATTCCACTGCCAGCCACTATCCATCTTTGCTAATTAACAACTGTTTAATGAGTGATATTTTCTTTGCGTATTCTTTTGGCAATCATGGTGACTTTTTTAAAGAAAGTGTTTACCAAAATTATTTACGTTTATTCTGTGTTTGTCTATAAAAAACATCCCATGATTTAAATATACAAATAAATTATTTTATTATCTTTCATGTTTAGTACCACCTAAACTCTGTCTACCAGATGATTTCTCTGATACAATCATACTTGCTCAGGGAAATAATCGTAATATAGAGATACCATTTACTTCTTGTCCACCTGCTACCAGTATTGTTTGGTATTGGAATGGTAGTCGTACTTTGCCTGATCCAACAAAACGAACTGTTCCAGATAATGATTCAAAGTCTCAAGCGCTACTTCGTCTTACTGCAGTACAAGTTTCTGATGCTGGAATTTATGAAGCTATTATCACTAATCCATATGGAGAAGCTAAAGCAACCATAACATTGAAAGTTCTTGGAGTCCCTGGTGCAGTAACATCATTGGAAGCACATGTTGAGTCACCTACAGAAGTATCTGTTTTATGGAAACCACCTGAAGATGATGGCGGTAGCCCATTGACAGGATATAAAGTTGAACAACGTCAATTGGCTCCTGAACCTGGAGGTGTTTTACGTTCTCAGGCTAAGGAGTGGAAGTCAATTGCAAATGTTAGTTCGAAATCAAAAACATCTAACGATGAAGAACCATTTGTACATCGTATCACAGGGTTAACTGAAGGAGCCACTTATTTGTTTGGTGTTTCTGCAGTTAATGATTGCGGAAGTGGACCAAGGAAAGAAATTACCGATGGCTTAATAATGAAATCTCCTTATGGTTAGTTAAATTATTGAAATATCTATTCATCTTTATTTAATTTTGTATGACACAAAACCATTATGTATAAAACACCCAAAGAATTCTCATTCAAATTGTGTACGATTAACTATCGAACAATATGAGTTTACCGAAAATGAAAGATTCAAAATCTTATCAACTTCCTATAAGATAGATAAACTTACATTTCAGTGTTCATTTCAGAGTTAATAAGTTAGTGAAAAGCAGTTTAATATCTGTTAAATAGGATTATTCGTAATCCTTATGCTCTACTACTTACTATCAGGATATAATCATACTTACTTACTTACGCCTGTTACTCCTCGTGAAGGAGCATAGGCCGCTCACCAGCATTCTCCATCCAACCCTGTCCTGGGCAATCCTTTCCAATAAATCGATTTCTGATTGAGACCATGAATCGATCAATGTTAGACCACCATTGAAAACCTAGAAATACTGGATGGCCGTTACGTGATATTATCAGACTCCTCATCGGTACACATTCACGATCCCGCAGGCGGAACTCGAACCCAGGACCTTCGGTCTGCCACGCAAAAGTTTAACCTTTAAACCGCTGAGCCGGCTGAAGGGTTACGCAAGATCGTGGATCGATTGAAGTTAGACATTGACACCATCAGATGCCGACTTAGTAGTTTAAAGTTTTGGAGTTCGTGCGCTAGACCGAAGTTCTTGTGTTTGAGTCCTTTTGGTATGGGATTGTGGATGCGCACTGATGAAGGGTTCCATACTAGGATTAAACGGCTGTCCACTACTTCCAGGTTTTCAATAGCCATCTAGCTTAGATTGACTTATGAAGTCAACTGTCAAAATTAAATGATCATTAAAAGTTGTAACTTTATGATTTCATTTACTACTACTGAATAATGATAAATAAATGAGATTTCCTACTAATAACTTTACAAAGGAATAACAATAAAATAAAAGATTCCAATAAATATTTCACTTGATTGAAAGTGAAATTATGAGATGGTGGAAAATGATGTTTGTACTGATGATGTCGTTCAAAAGAACGATAAAAGCTCCACGACCAAACCGTCCAGCTCAGAGAACAAAACTCCACCAAAAGTGAAATTATTTAATCAAATATGATCATCTATGAAGAATTGTTCAATTCAAAGATAAGTTTCATTATGGATTAACATAGTGATTTTCAATTATAGAGTAAGCAAAACTATGTTGATTAGAAATAATGATAATAAATATCTCTTTATTCAATGCAAAATAAGTCGGTACATTAGAAAGTTCGAGGGTAGATAAATCCTTAAAGTACACATTTTCCGTTACAGCATAAAATACCGACCATGTACCTAACTTTAATCCATACACATGTATGATAGTGTTGTAACGTTATATTTCTTTATTTTTATGTCACAGATATTCCGGAAATTCCAAAACAACTTACTGCTAAACCAATAAATCATTCCACTATTGAATTAGAATTCAAACTACCAGTCACTCATGTGGAAGCGCCTTTAACTAGTGTAATTGTTGAATATCGTCCTAAAAGTGTATCAAGGTAAATACTTTTATAGAAATATTATCAAACGATTATTAATTAAAATAGTTATATATTTATAGTCCGGTTATATTAAACTCGTATTAAAGTCAGAGGGGGTTTTGTAAATATTATAGTAATTTTAATAGTTGAGTCTACGAGTCAATTGAAAATAGATCACCATGGAAAACCTAGAAGCACTGGACGGCCATTTCGTCACAGTATGGGACTCCTCAGCAGTGCGCATCCACGATCCCGCCCCTCGAGATTCGAACCCAGGACCTATCGGTTTCGCTTACTAAAGTATTTCTATATTCTCAATTAAATGAAATCCCAATTTTTCTAACTAAACAATTTGATGTCACTTTTAAGCTTACCCTAAAAGTTTGTAAAATAAGCTGTATGAAATAAATAACTTTTACTTGCTTACAACTATAACTCATTGTGAAGCACATGACCCTGACATAGAATCATCAACCGACTCTATCCTGAGCCATTTCTTCTAGTCACTTCAAAGTGTTATTCATCTTTCTGATGTCTGCCTAAAATCTCGAGGCAATCTTTTTTTCGGTTTACTTCTTTTCCATCTGCCTTTAGTTAGATTTTGATTCGTGATTCAGTTTGATGATTTCTGCACTGCATATTCTACTCACTTTCAGCGTCTTTTCCTAGTTTCCTCTTCATCTGGAGGCCAGTTTGTTCTCTGCCACAGTAAGTTATTGCTAACGGCATCAGACCAACGGATTTGGAGTATCTTGTGAAGATTGATGTTCTTAAGTATTTATACCTTTTTGGTGGTAATTGTAGTAGTTCGCCAAGTATCAGCTCCGTACAACAGAACTGTATTGACGTTTGTATTGTAAATTATGATTTTGGTGTTGTGTGACAGTTGTTTTGAGTTCCAGTTGTTTTTAACTTGTAAGAATGTTACCCTTACTTTACTAATCAGTGCCTTCAGATTTGTATCAGATCTCCCTTCTTTATCAGTTATAATACACAGGTATGTAAAAGCCTTCACCTGTCCCAGCGTTCCTCCATCAAGTGTGGTTTGGTTGATGTTCTTTGTGTTGTATTTGAGGATCCTGCATTTTCCCTTGTATATGTTGAGGCCTACTGATACAGAGGTTGCTGCTACACTGGCTGTCTTCACCTGCGCTTGTTGTTGTGTATGGGATAGAAGAACTAGATCATCTGTGAAGTTCAAATCGTTTAACTACGTCTAACGTGTTCACTGTATTCCGCGCTTCCCCTGAAATGTGTAGGTCTCCATAATTCAGTTAACAATCGATAGAAAGAGAAAAGTCGAGAATGAGTAAGGCTGTCTGACATTGGTCTTCATTTAGAATACATCTGTACATCTGAAGTATGCTATTTGCACATTATTGAGATATTAATTTCTGAATCAAATTATGTTGTTATGTGTACTCAAATAATTCTAGTTCTGCAAACAACCTTTGCTATATAATTATTGCAACATAACATATCAGCTAACAATGAAAATATGAATTTTTTATTGCTAACAAACAAACCTTGTATAATTGAGATCATGAACTGATTGATATTAGACCAGCATTGAAAACCTGGAAGCACTGAACGACCATTTCGTCTTACCGTTGGACTCCTCAACATTGCGCATTCACGATCCCGCTCACGGGATTCGAACCCAGGACCAAAACGGCCGTTCAGTACTTACAGGTTTTTAATCCTGGTCTAACATCAATCAGTTCACGATCTCAATCAAATACCTAATAATCTCCACAACACTATACTGATAAACCTTATATAAACATTTTATCGTAGATAAGAGAAAGTAAGATTTATTCAATAGCTTGTAATTAACAAATTGTCTTATCCAAAAAAAAGTACAATTTTGTAAGTTAATTCTCAATTTATTTACATTAAATTATTTAATTTATTAGATGGAAAACCCAAACATTTGAACCATGTTCTATAGTACAAATTGATAAACTTGAAGCAAATACAGAATATGAATTTCGTGTAAGTTGTACTAATTTGGCTGGTAAAAGTGAATCATCAAATCCTGTTAAAGCTAAAACAAAACAATTGCCAAGTAAGTAAAAAGAAATCACGTTTGTTTTCCCTCATTGATATTTAATAAAACTATTTAAATTTTGAAATAATGGAGAATATTTGTAACTTAGAATGGAGATATTTTACTAATTATTGTCTCTGAGCTAGATGATTTGATTGTGAAGCTTTAAGAATAATGAATGGTATTTTTTGGGATCCGTTTATGGACCAATACCAAACGTATATTTTTACCGTGTAATTTTTATATAACTAAACTGTTCATATTCATGTCCCTGTTATTATGAGTTTTATTTTGACCTATGAACTATTATTATATGTTTTACCATTCTTGAATTATTCCCTGTCTGTTAATCACTATCTCCCTCATTCGCAACCACTTTTGGCCAAATATTTCACAAATGTTATTTTCTATTTTAATAGTACGTTGTGGTCGGTTTGATTGGTATATAAACCCCGTATGTTTGAAATAAACTATTCATATTGCATAGGTTGAGATTGGTGTTCTGGACTCAACTGGCTGGGCTAGACAAGGAAGCAGGGCTAATCAGGACTCTAGGCTGCTCGCACGTGTTTTATGCGTCACTGGTTCAATCGATAATTCGCTGCCGTCTAATCTGCAGTCACAGTTATAACAAACTTACATTGTCCTTTTAAACAACACTATTATCAATATGTACTTGAAAATGAAATGATCTGTTGAAATTTCTTCACAATTAACTAACATCTTATTTTGTTAACCTGGAATTTGTTTAGTTTTTATTATTAACTCTATGATTGTTATCTGCATCACTTTTTGTTGTTGTTTTTATTGATTGGTTTCTCTTATAACTTGAGCTCTGACAATGCAGGTGCCAATTCTCTTAAAAGATAGGTTCGATTCAATGTTTCACAATCAAACCAACCAATTCAGAAATCATTACACCAATAATTGAAGTTAATTTTCAAACCTTTGGTTTAGGACCAATAAAATTAGGTAGAATTTATCAACAAATAAAGATTTTTTTATTGAAATCTCAATCTTAAACACTACACTTGACACTTTTCCTAAATATTTCAACATACATTCCCTACATGGTGCTATAAAGGTACTTTGTATTTAAGTACAAATATTTTCATGAAAGCCATTAAACAAACGTGATAAAACTAACTGAATATTAAAGATATGCATCGAAGTACAAATAGAGGTAGAAAAGATACCGAAATACACTGTGTGGTGAAACAGTAATCATCATGGTCATTTCTTTATTCCTTATGGTTGTTATTTTAAAGGAAATGTCAAGTTTCCCAACTAGTCAATGAATCGGCTTATTTAGAAGTAACCAGACTTAAAAGGAAATGTGGACTATGAAATTGATTCACTTAATCTATTCTGTCCAGTTTTTCATGACATTAATGATGGAGGGGGAAAGGCTTTGATAAACCCTAAAAAAAATCTTCTGAAGTTAGGAAACTGATGAAACTAGGCGTTCTTAGGAAACATCCAAAAGAAATCTAGAACACAACTGGCTTCGCCTTCATTATCCCGTTCAGATAATGACCGAATTTGTTACTAATTTCAACACGTTTTCTCGAAATCACTTAAATTTTAGGGTCACGTATGATCTAATAAACATCGCTGCTTTCTATTCATATACTAACCTCTAAAGTAAAGTGTTTCTTCAATACTTTCTACCTTCTGTTTTCCATCCGGGGTTCAAGAGTAGACTTTCGAGAACTGGAAAGGGATTACGAAGTCGGTATCCAAGCCTTCAAGTAGAATATGTATCGTATCATATGTCGTACAATCAGAAAATGTTGATAAAACTGAGTGTCTCTCGATCTACAATACTACAAGAGCTTAAAATATGATTACTGACTGAATCACTGAGTTATTTAAATTTATTTATCAATTTTTAGACGGGTTTTAATGAGCCTCCTGAAATACATGTTTCAATGTGTTCCAACAAATATATATATATATATATATACCAAGTACAAAATTTATCTTCTGTCGGATTCAAATAACTAGTACTAATCAAAGTATGCTACAACAATATCATCAACGAAGTGAATTTACTTCTGAAACTCCAGATACTAGTTATTGGTTCATAATTGACAAATAATCATTAATCCGTTACTTCTTCCTTACTCTTCCAGTACCATAATCTTTACTGTTAATAAATGTATTCATTTCAGAACCTCCTGATGCTCCGAAGCTTGACAATGTTACACCAGTCAATACAAACTCAGTAAAAGTCAATTGGTTTTCTCCAACAAATGATGGTGACAGTCCAATTACATCATATCAAATAGAGATGTGCGATGCTAAAAATGGCACTGAAGTATGGAAACCAATTGATGCTTTAAACATAGATCGTACGGATCAAAGTTTACTATCTCCAGACGAACAAAAGTCATATGAGTTGATTGTGAAAAATTTAGACAATTCCAAATCTTTCAAATTTCGTGTTATTGCTGTGAATAGTATAGGACCAGGTAAACCGTCTAGAAGTTCACAACCTGTTACACCTGGTAAGTTATTTACTACTTACTATTTCTTTGGTAATAAATGGATGTTTAGTCTATTTTACGATTCATGTAAATGTTATTGAAAAACAAAGAATAATTCAGAGAACAATTATATCTGACAATTTCCGTTATTAAGTTCTACAGCTAGAAATCCATAACTATTGCATTAAAATGGATAGAACAAGACCATTTTATTCTCTTCATAACATGTTCAATCAACTTCTACGTGAAAATTAGTTTTTACCAGTATGGGGTTGTGGAAATTATTAAGTTTTTGATTGAGATCATGAACTGATTGATGTTAGACCACCATTGAAAACCTGGAAGCACTGGATGGTCGTTTCGTTGAGGTTAGACATTAACACTGTCCGATGACGGCTGAATAATCTGGAGGTTAGGTGTTCGTTCACGAGACTGAAGGCCCTGAGTTCGAGTCCTGCGAGCGGGATCGTGGATGCGCATTGCTAAGAAGTCCCACAATAAGACGAAACGGCCGTCTAGTGTTTCCAGGTCTTCAATGTTGGTCCAATATCAGTCGGTTCATAATCTCAATTACAAAGAATTAATTTTATTTCCCTAATATGTACTAGTGTTGTTAAGTCTTAATTATCTCTCTTAACATTCATAGAATTGGGGTTTGCAGATATAGTAATTTTAATAGTTGAATTTATGAGTCAATGTAAAGTAGACCACCATTGAAAACCTGGAAGCACTGGACGGTCCTTTCGTCCTAGTATAGTACTCGAACATTCATTCATTTATGAACTGAAACCCATTCTTTATCTTAATCGACCAGTCATATGTGAATTAGCCATGTAGGATAAAGTATCGATTGATTATTCCCATGCAACAGATAGGTTAACACTGCGCATTACATGTAAATTTTAGGGATTTTCATACAAATGTTTTTACAGAATATTTAATCACCATGTATATATTAGGAAGAAATTGTTATTCATTTTACATCTTACCAATGATGTAAAACTAAATAAGACCATTTTGATTGTATACCAATTATTGTACAAAAAGTACAAAAGGAACAATAGAAGCTTACATTTAGACACTTTTAATTATAAAACAAAATACTTTGGCTTTTTCTTTCGAATAATGATGGTTTTATGTAATATGAAAAGAATTTTGACTAGCTACTGTATGAAAATCACTTATGAGTATCTAATCATAGTTTCACTCGATAAAAAAGTGTAATATTGACATTAATCCTATTGTAGTGAATGAGAACAAAAGTGAGGACAATCGGATGTATTGAAATACAAAATTACAGAACATCTTAGTAAAATCTGAGAACCATACCGTAAATACTTCATTTGCAAATTGTCAATCAATCGTCTCAAACCTCATTGCTCTTTCGTTTTCACACCAATCATTCTCCGTTCTCGTTCACTTTTCTTCGATCTTCTTAACCTTCTACCACCAGACATATCACTTTCGATTGATAATAAATACTACTTATATATTTTGACATCAGTAGCATACACCACACTATGTTGATCTTTGTTGTGAATTCTTCATAGAATAAATAATAAACATGGCAGTTACTTTCGTTAACAGTAAAATCCTGATTCAAAAATTGACTATTCACTACTTTTTGAAAAATAATGACTTGGAAATTTAAATCAACAGGTGAATAGTGTATCTTATTGGAAATCACAGTGTTGAATTACTTTAGGATGAGTTTTGTTCTCTCAGCTGGATAGTTTTTTCGTGTAACTCTCATTGTTCCTCTGAACAACATCAGCACAAATTTCCCTTCTATCCTAATGTTATTTTTCTGATAATGTTGTTTGGAAGAACAATAAGAGTTCTATAGTCAAACCATTCAGTTCAGAGAACAAAACTCCTAAACTATCCATCTCAGCTAAAAACCTTCTCCACTATCCAAAGTTGAATTACTTGTTCATACGTTCATGTATTATAATTTTCAATTTATTAATACAAGTTACATAATATTTTATGTCAACCTTAAAAACAGCATACAATTCATGAATAACACTATGAACAGATCAATTCTTCAAATGTTTAGCTTTCCAAACAATGTCATAAATATTATAAGCAAATATGGATAGCGGCTAGCAGTAAAATTCAGGACGCGCGTTTCGTCCTACTTCGAACTCGTCAACTGGATGTGCCATCATAGTACGCACATATGCCAATAAGAGACTGATTAATTACAGTACTAAATATTAATGAGAAGATTCAAGTAAACAATGTCAAGTGAGTTTAAACTTCACTCCACTGCACAAGCAAGTGGCTATCTGAACTCAATAGCTAAGTGAATAACACAATGATGTTTGAAGCAAATGATGCTAGGTTTGAGTCATTCAGTGAACATCAACTCTGAGGTGCAGGTGCACCCAACTGACGAGCCCCAAATAGGACGAAAGGCGCATCCTGGATTCCACTGCTAGCCACTGTCCATCTTTGCTTATAGTGGTTGTGAATTAAGGCAATATCGAGACAATACGCACATTATGCACATATGCCAATAAGAGACGGATCAATTACAGTCCTAAACATCATTGAGAAGTTTCAGGTAAACAATACCATGTGAATTTCATGTCATAAACAGTTCTTAGCTTTTCAGTACAATATCATTTGATTATATAATCTTGTTATCATTATTAATACCTCTCATAAATTATTCATAGTTATATGAAAATGTTTTAAAATCCATTGCTATTTTTTTCACTTGAAAAACTTATAGGAATTGAAGTCAATATTATTCGACCATTGAATAATGTTTGTTTTGATGAAATTCCAAAATCTGGAACAAAAGTTGAATTAGAATGTGAATTAAGTCAATCTAATTGTCGAGTAAATTGGTTATATAATGGAAAACCAATTGTATTGGGCAAGAAATATGATTTCTCTCCAGAAGGAAATGTTTATCGATTAATCATTAATGATATAACACTTGAAGATATGGGAGTTTATGAACTGAATTATAAGAAGTTAAAAACACAATGTAAAGTAGAAGCTAAAAGTAAGTTTTAAAATGTTAAGATATTATTTTAACTACTTGATAAAAGTATAAGTAGTGTGTTTTTGCTTGGTTATTTTATTTATAACTTTGTAATATGCATCTCACTCTAACATGTTATATATTCAAAAATAATCATCTGCTTGTGATCATCTTCAATGCTAACTAAAGGTGAAAATTTTTCGTTTAATAGTCTTAGATTTCAAGCTAACATAGTTATATTTTATTAATACTACTGTAGTGAATGAGAACACCAATGGGGAGATAACCAAATGTTTTTGAATACATTACAGAATTTTTAAACAAAGATGGATAGTGGCTAGCAATGGAATCCAAGACGCACGTTTTGTTGAAGTAATCGTGACTTTGAATAATTATGAAGAATCCAGTGTTTGGTAAACTACGAGACAAGATAAATTGTACGATTATCTGTATATCAACCAGTCACGATCTAAATGAAACTTACGCACTGGGATCAGACTAAAAAGTTGGATATGTATTGGGAAGAATTAATAAAGCTGATAGTCATTGCATTAAAAAAGATTGTTAGAAACACTTGCTAATCAAAATTAGTTCTATCAGATTGCTTCTAGTGATTAGGATAAGTAAACCCAAGATAAGCAGATACAATCCAGTCCAGATCAGATCGTGCAAGTTATATAATTGACCTTTATAAAACTAGAAAATAAAAACAAACCTATTTTTACACTAACTGTTATATCCCGATAAGAATAACGAATGGCAACTGTTAGAATATATTTCTGGATTAATACTATATATGTATTTTTATGGTATAATTGTTATGTAGCTAAACTATTCATATTCATGTTCCTCGTATTATAAGCTTTATTTTGACCTTTGAACTATTACTATACAATTTACCGTTCTTGAGTTATGCCTAGTCCATTAATTTACTGTCTCCCACATTCACCGTCACTTTTGACTAGATCTTGTACAAAATTTATTGTCTATTTTATAGTATGATGTGGTCTGTTTGGTTTGTATAAAAACTCAGTGTACTTGAGATACATGATTCATATCATGGATGCTGAGATTGGTGTTCTGGACTTAACTGGCTGGGCTAGGCGGGAAGCAGGGTCGATAGACAATCTAGACTCCTCGTACAGGTTTTATTTGTCATTTGTCTGGTTGATAAATCACTATTCTCTAAGTGACAGTATCATTACGTTATACATTGATAGGAGTAAAAACTCACAAGTTATAACACAAACCTAGCCCTATATCATTAAATTAAGATTTCGATAAACTCATTTAATCCCAAAAAAATTTATGATAACCTCTTCATAAATTAATGAACATGTTTTATCATATAAAATTTCTTTTTAGTTCCACCAACACTTCTTGAAGATACTGAAGAAAGTCATACACGTCGTATTAATGTTGGTTCAAATTGTGTATTTGAAGTACCATTTAAAGCTTATCCAAAACCTACTATAAAATGGCTTGCTCAAAATATACCTATTACTGATAAAACAAAACGTTATCAAGTTAATATAGTAGCTGGTTTAACATCATTATCTATACAACGTGTACAAAAAGATGATACTGGTCAATTAGTTGTTATCATTGAAAATGAACATGGGAAATTAACATGGAAATGTGAACTAATTGTTATTGGTAAGTGATTATTCAAGTTATTTCTTTCTCTTAGAATGCAGTTGATTTCAATTATCACAACTGCAGAAAATTTTTTTAAGTGATGTTAAAAATTAAATAATAAGACATATGGTTTGATTAAGATCATAAAGCGATTGATGTTATACCAACATTAAAAACATGGATGCACTGTTTGACTGCCGTGGGACTCCTCACTATTGCGCTCGCGGAATTTGAACTCAGGGTCTTCGGTCTCACTTGCAAACGCTTAACCTCTACACCATTAAACTGACCGGCATCCAACGGTGTTAATGTCTAACTCCAACCAATCCACAAAATCGCGCGATAATCTTCCATTGTACTGAGGTAGATACTTGTCTCTACGTGACATGGATTAGCTCCACTGGTCACGGCTTCTGATTAGAACTCCGAGAATTCCCTCACGAAGCTGCTCACTAGTGAGCATATGATGTTTATCAGTATAGGGTTGTGGTGATTATTAAGTTTTTGATTGAGATCATGAACCGATTATTGTTAGACCATTATTGAAAATTATTGAAAAAACTCGGCAGTGCACATCCACGATCCCTTTCGTAGGATAGTTAGAAGTATTTGAAATATTTAACTAGCACCTCATAATATTGTAGGATTAAACCCTACTTCATATATTCTATTTTGTAGTCATTGTGTATCATTAATTCTTATAAAAAGAAATATGATTCAAATCATATTAATTACTGATTTATCTTAAATTGACTGTAATCACTTTCAAATCATATGCTAAAGTACCTTACCTAACTTTCAACTTTACACTTTTATGGCATCAAATTGAGTCAACAGTTATCCGTTTCAATGTATATGATCAATTTAAGGGGATTTCTATTCTTATAGTTCCATTTACCATATACTTTTATTATTCTCATTTTATTTTAATTAGATAAACCAAAACCAGTTGAAAATTTAACTGTTGAACCAAGTATAGATCGACTTCATATGGTAATGAATTGGAAACCACCACGTAAAGATTTAAACAATCCAATAACACATTATGAATTAGAATATCGTAATTCAAAAAATCGTTCATGGCAAACATTTAAAAATGGTCCATTAGATATAGATGATTTATATAAAATACCTAATAATTTAACAAAATTTGAAATAAAAATTACAGAAAAAGAAACGGCGAATAGTTTAGCACCGAATACAGATTATTATTTTCGTATAATAGTTGTTAATGAAGTTGGAAAAAGTGAACCAACTGAAACACGTTCATTCATTAAAACACCATCATTACCAAGTAAGTTAATATCTTTTATATTATATTGTTTAAAATATTTCTATCAGATGGGTTTTGTGGAGATTGTAGTAATTTCAATGGTTAAGATCATAAGTCAGTTGAAGCTAGATCACCATGGAAAACCTGGAAGCACTGGACGGCCGTTTCACCCTATTGTGGGACTCCCCAGCAGTGCCCATCCACGACCTCGCCCCCTGCGAGATTCGAGCCCAGGACCTACTGGTTTCGCGCGAGAGAACTTAACCACTAGACCACTGACCCGGCCGGCATCCAACGGTGTTAATGTCTAACTTCAACCAATCCACAAAATCGCGCCACCGTACACCATTGACTTCAGCGAGCTTCAGTTGAATCATGATTTCAACTATTGAAATTCGTAAAATCTCCATCTGCTCACTAGTGACTGACTTCAAGAGACATTTCCTGGAGTTCTAGTGAGAAGCAGTGACCAGTGGAGTTCAACGAGGTCTGTTGTGAGATATCAGCTCACTGAAGACGATGGATAACTTCTACTGACTCATGATCTTAACCAATAAAATATTTATATCATAATAAAGTTACTATGTTTGAATTGATTATAAGTTCACTTAATCTGCAAACGGAACAAAAACTCTGTGATCAAAGTCTTAGTCTCCCTAATTACAGAGAGAAAAATTCCAAGTTCGAAACCGGGAAATATATTCCTCAAGCAGCTAGAAGCATGAGCAATCACGACCCAATCTAGTTGGAAATACAATCATTTATATATTGAACTGTACACCTCTTTTTGATTAATAATCAGGATAAATCACATATATGAAAAATACTTCATTTAAGAATATTCTATGTTAAAGAATAAAATGTTACTCTGGGAAACAGAAACAAGTACTATATATATTATATATATAATATATATAATTTCAATAGTTGAATTCATGGGTCAATTGAAGCTAGACCACCATGTAGAACCTAGAAGCACTGGAATGTCGTTTCATCCCAGTATGGGACTCTTCAGCAGTGCGCATCCACGATCCCGCTTTCAGGACTCGAGCCCAGGACCTATCAGTCGCGCGCGTGAACGCTTAACCCCTAGACCACTGAGTCGACCGGCATCCAACGGTGTTAATGTCTAACTACAACCAATCAATGAAATTCAACCACCGTACACCATTGTCTTCAGTACGTTACTACCCCACAACAGACCCGGTTGAACTCCACTGGTCACTGCTTTTCAGATATTATTACAAACAAACTGATAACGAAATTTGATTTTTATATAGATAATGTCAATTAATCCAACGTTTCCATCCATATGATGTTTTTTATAGAACCACCGAAATTAAAGTATGATAAAACTTTGGAAACGTGTAAAACAAGCACTGGACAAAAGCATTCTATACCCGTTACTGTAGAAGGTGAACCATCTCCACAAATAGATTGGAAATTTGTTCCTGACGGTCATCCAAGTGATGAGAGAAATTCACTTCCTAGTGATGCACAAACAGAAGCATCCGCTCCTGACCAAGATGGTGTGAATAAAATTGCATTGAAATTCCGAAAAATATCACGATCATGTGACGGCACATATATTTTAACAGCTGTAAATAATTGTGGTGAAGCTCGTGCTGAATTTCATGTGACTGTGTTGGGTAAGGAACATCTCATTTTTCTAACTTATAGCCATTATATAATACTTGGTTTCTACTCCATTAGTTTGAAGTAACTAATATTAAATACTGGAAACGAAGGCCACAGCTTTACAAGTTCAATTTTATTTCAGTATGACGATGAATGGCTGCGCAACCATTCATCCATTGGCTGAGGTGGATACCTGCATCTATCCGACACGGTTTTGACTCCACTGGCCACGTTCTCTCACTAGGGCTCTAGGAAATTATCTTGAAGCCAGTCACTAGTGGGCAAATGATATTTATTATCAGTATAGGGTTGTAGAGCATGTTAAGATTTTGGTTGCGATCATGAATCAATTGATGTTAGACCACCACTGAAAACCTGGAAGCAATGAATGATTCAATGGTGGTCTAACATCAATCGATTCATGATTACAAACAAAAACTTAACAATCTCCACAACCCCATACATATTTTATTATCAAAAGGCAGAAGTGTGAAAAACCACCAGGGTCACAGTAATTATTGGTTTTTATAGGTATATTCTAAAGAGTCAGTGTATTATTGTAAAAATATTAGAAAAACAAAGTATGGTAAGCTAAATTTACACCATCATGAAAAAGGAATTACATGAAGTCCAAAAGTAAATTAGACGATGATAAAGACCAAGAAATGATGAAAAAGTTTAGATTGTTTTGTTTTTTCTAAACCTTCATTGAATCAATAAGAAAAAGACTTACTTACTTACTTACAACTGTTACCCCTCGTGGAGAGGAGCATGGACCGCCCACCACCACTTTTCATCCAACCCTGATCTGGGCAATCTTTTCCACTTGTTTCTAGTTGATATCCATCCTTTTCATGTCTGCTTCCGATTCTCAACGTAGTATGTTCTTCGGCCTTCCACTTTTCAACTTACCTCCATGTTAGGGCTTGCCTCGTGATGCAGTTTGGTGATTTCCTTTATAGGAGTCTTATCCACTTCCAACGTCTTTCCCTAATTTCCTCTTCAGCTGGAAGTTCGTTGGTTCTCTTCCACAGTAAGTTGCTGCTGATGGCATCCGGCCAACGGACATTCAGTATCTTGCATAGACAACTATTTATAAATACTTGTACCTTTTTGATGATGGCTGTGGTAGTTCTCCACGTTTCAGCTCTATACAGTAGAACTGCTTTGGCTTTCATATTGAAGATTCTCACTTTCATATTGGCTGACAGAAAAAGACTTATATTCTACTAGATGAGTTTCTTTTCCGCTAACTAACAACTTTTATCTATTTTATCTTCATGGATAATATTGATAAGATCGATATTTGATTATGCAAATATGAAATCGATAATCGCCTCATGTTTGCACCAATCTCAGATACTGTTTTTTTCTTCTTTTGAGTAATTCTGAACCAAGTTAACTAACAGTAGTATCGAAAGTTAATAGATAAATAATATTATAAAACATCATTGTTTTACAACTGTTTCTTTTTCTCTCGGAAAAATTCATAACTTTAGGTCTACCAAGTGCACCACAGAATCTTATTGCAACAAATCTGTCAAAAACTTCCATTCGTCTAAATTGGTCACCACCTACTGATACTGGAGGTAGTCAAATATTGAATTACGTCATAGAACAAGCTGTAGTTAAAAGTAATTTGGCTACACCATCTAGTGTAGGTTATTGGGAACCTGTAACACGTAATCTTCCAGTACATGAAGCATCTGACGGTTCTACGGGATATATTTATGATATTATTAATTTGGCATCAGAAAAATATATGCTTTTTAGGGTAGCAGCTCAAAATAAACAAGGAATTGGTGAATTTGAAGCTATTAAAAGTCCTCTTTTAGTTACATCTCCACACAGTAAGTTAATTTTGAAAATTATAATTTTTATAAATGTTGGTTATTTCTGTTATAACTTATGGCCTATTGCCCCTAGCAATATATGACGTAATTATACCGCCAATTATAGAATAGTGATTTATCAACCAGATCAATGACAAATAAAACTCGTACCAGCAGTTTAGAGTGTTTATCGGTCCTTCTCCCTGCCTCTTAAGTCCAGAACACCAATCTCAGCCTCCATGTTACGAATCATGTATTTCAAACATACTGAGTTTATGTACAAACCAAACAGACCACATCGTGCTATAAAATAGATAATAACTTTTGTACAAGATCTAGTCAAAAGTGACTGTGAATGTGGGAGACAGTAAATTAATGGGCTAGACATAACTCAAGAACGGTAAATTGTATAGTGATAGTTCATAGGCCAAAATAAAGCTTATAATACGAGGAACATGAATATGAATAGTTTAGCTACTTAACAACAATACAGTAAATATATATATATCGTATTGTTCTATAAATAGTTCTGAAAGGTTACCATTCATAACTCTCGCTGGGATATAAAAATTTCAGATTATTAAATCGTTAATATGATTGCAGTAGTTTGATGGGATAACTTTGCAGCACTGGACAGCCATTTCGTCTTATTGTGGTACTCCTCAGCGATGCGTATCTACGATCCCGCTCGCGGGATTCGAACCCACGACCTTCAGTCTCGCGCGTGCGAACAATTTCAATGGTGGTCTAACATCAATCAGTTCATGATCTCGATCAAAAACTTAATAATCTCCACAACCCTATACTGATAATAGGATAACTCTCCAGGGTTCAAAAGGAAGGACATGTAGATCAAGTTATAAAGGAAATATTAATACACTAGGATGCAAGTACATTTAAGTGACAATATACAAAGTAAAATATGTACTTTTTACGATTTACTATTAGTCACTACAAAATATATTTAACATTAGAACTTCTCTAAAAAAATATTTATGTTTAAATTGTCCATGACATTTCACAGTGAATAAAATTATCATTTTTCTTTTCATATTCTAGATTTACCCGGACCACCAAAAGATTTAAATGGTACAACTGATAAAGATGGACAAGTTCATTTAGAATGGAAACCTCCACAACATGATGGTGGTGCTAAAATTATGAATTATATCATAGAAAAATGTTTATCATTAAAAGATGCTAATTGGTCTGAGATTAAACTTCCTGATTCACCTAATACAATGCGAATTATACCAAATCTTAGAGGTAATTTAACTTATTTATTTACTATTGAATATTTTTCATAAACTAAAGTTATTTTTCTTAGTTTAAATCACAAACTGGTATAAGCTATACCATCACTAGAAACCAAGAAGCAGCTTCGTCCTAGTATGAAACTCCTCTGTAATGCTCATACACATCCCTATCATTAAGGATCAAACTCAGGATCTTAGTTTTTGCGCATGACCGCCTAATCTCCTGATCATCATCTATTGATTAAAACTATGCAAATTCTACAATCTTCACAAACGTCTTTTTACTGATAATGTCATTGTTGTTATCTTTATTTAATTAACTTTCAATTCTACTTTACTAATTCATATTTCCATTCTTTTCATTTAATTTATATGTATCGTTATGATAGATGGTATCTGCTACTTCCGTGTATCAGCTGTCAATGATGCTGGAAAAGGTTCACCATCTAATATCATAGATGTAGATGTTAAAAAAGGTTCTGGTAAGTACTTATAAGTAAAATACTACTCATCTTACCAACAAGTATTTAATATAATATGAGATTTATTATAATAAAATCAGCGAATGACTGTTATAACAAAAAAAATTAAAGAAAACTAATTCGATCTATTGGAAAGAGTCATTTAGGCTTCACTCCGCTTATATCCCCCCGGGTATACTGCCGGTCCCAAGCCCGGACAAAGGAGTAGGGTTGGGCATGGGGTTAGCGACTCCATCCCGTAAAAAAACTAACTCACTAAAAAACACTAACCAGAAAAAAATAATTCAAACCATTTAAACTCTGCCCTGGGAGTTAGAGGGTGTTCATTTAGAAGAGTTATGACAACTCACGGTGAAAGCTGAGTTCCTTCAGAAGTCACGAGGCCGATGCCCCTTCTGACAACCATAGCAATCATTAATTTAAGTACATGGAAGATTCGTACAATGTGGGAGACAGGAAGAGTCATCCAAATTGCTACAGAAAAGGCTTCACGTGAATGATACAGTAATTATTGTAGTGCAAATTACCTGCAACTCCTTATGCCATGTAAACAGTAGTATGGAAAGTTTAACAACTAACCCTAATTAAGTGAAGTTTGATAAAGAATGAAAGCACACCAGAAGTTTAAGTTATTCATGTATATGAAGCCAATAATACAATTCGCTAGTTTACAAAACACGAAACAGTTAAACTACCGAAATAAGTTGAGTCTTATCAACCGATTCACTTATACTAATGGTAAAATTATTAATTATGAAATCAAGTTAGTCAGTTTAGTGTTGTTAGATGCCTACCAAATTTAACCTTAAAAATGTTAAGGATTCAACTCCCAACTTGTTAATGCTAATAATATGCTACTTGATATAACCTTGTAATTATTACTCGTGATCCCATCCATGACCAGGTTTTTTCTTGCGAGCAGATATCCTAATAGTTCGGTTGAATGGCTTGACAGACAACTACCAATTAATTACAAAACGTTTCTTTACCAAAACCTAATGAGCGATGAAAAAACATTGTGCTTTGATTGAGATCGTGAACCGATTGATGTTAGACGACCACCATTGAAAACCTGGAATCACTGGACGGCCGATTCATCCTAGTATGGGACGCCTCAAGAGTGCGCATCCACGATCCAGCTTTCAGGACTCGAACCCAGGGTCTTCAGTCTCGCGCGAACGCTTAACCTCCACACCATTGAGACGGCCGGTATCCAACGATGTTAATGTCTAACTCCAACCAATCCACAAAATCGCGCGATCATCTTCCATTGTACTGAGGTAGATACTTGTCTCTACGTGACATGGATTAGCTCCACTGGTCAAGGCTTCTCACTAGAACTCTGAGAATTCCCTCACGAAGCTGGTCACTAGTGAGCACATGATAATTGTCAGTATAGGGTTGTGATTTTAACTCAAAAAATATACATCATTAAATAAATGGACAATTACAACATAATGCATATTATTTGAAAGATCATAATGTTTACCGAAATAAGGCATTTAGAGTATAAAATTAAAACACTCAACTCATAATCAAGATGACAAGATACGCGTCTGTGAATTTATAGTGCAGTCATTTCCCAGTGTTCAAAATGTGTGCGATATTCAAGATTTTAAGACATTCTTCCTATCACTTAGTGAGTGCTTTATATAAGAGCATTATTTTCAGTGGAGATTTCATTTCCAGTTACGAGAAAATGACATACCAAAAGTAGGACATTATACTTTCCATACTCATTTCGAAGGTTACGGAAAATATTAGGCGTTTTCATGTTATGTTATTTTTTGTGTGTTTGCTAATATTCACTACCAAGAGAGAAGGATCATATTGCACAATATGTGGACTCACCTTCATATAAAATATATAAAGACTATTGACATTGTATAATACTTGAAATATTTCAGGTTTAACAATTATGTAATTTTCTTCTATTCATAAAGATAAACCTGACCAACCAGGTCAACCAACTGTTGAAGTAATTGCAGATGGTGCTGTTCAACTGCGTTGGTCACAACCATTGAATGAAGGTACTGGTGGACCGATAAAAGGCTATGAAGTACAAATTTGTGAAGTTGGTTCAATTAAATGGAAACCTTCTTCATCAGATTTATGCTCAGTGAATGAAATTCGTTTAACTGGATTAAATCCAGCACAAGATTATTTGTTTAGAGTAATTGCAGTTAATGATGCTGGGTTAAGTTTACCTTCTGAACCCAGTAGACCTATTCGTCCAGGTGAGTTATAATTACTGAACAATACAATTGTTCGTACAGATATATTTGATCTTTAATCAGTTTCCTGTTAAGGTGGATCATTACAGAAAACATTTAGAAATGAATATTAAACATGAATATAGTTAAGAACTCATCACTGGCATTGGACACCTTAAATAGTCACCAGAGAAAATTAAAAGATTTCGCATATCTATCCTAGAGTATCCATTCATTAACTTTTTATAAATTTTTATGTATAATAGATATTGTTTAGTTCATTAAAAACTATCCTGAATTGATCATCTACGAACTTTGGACGTCATTTAAAGATAATCACATGTGGTAGTTGATCTTAGTGGAACTGATATATTGTGCAAGAGGTAGCTATTAAATCTTATGACTTTGTGGATAACTGTATCATCTGAAACGATTGGTATAATATCTACTTCTCAGTTGAATTACTACGGATTTTAAAAGATATATTAGGGTAGTGAATTTCATGTCAAACTTAGGGACGATTTCAACATACTTATTTCATAAAGTATTCTGTTCTGTATCTGTCTGTTAAGCATAATCATTTGAGTAAATGATTCATGTTAGCAAACAGTATAACTTCGGTTTATACTACTAGTTGTTCAGATTTACGTATGAAAAGATCAGAGGTATGTACTTTGTTATTTTAATCAACTGCTATACTCCCTGTTGAATGTCTTAACGAATCCGCTAATAAATATCAGAACTGAAGTCAATGAAACATTGTGTCACTTTAAGTAATAAACTGAATTATTTATTCTTAGTACAGTAATGTTTATATCGTTGGGACTAATATGTATCTTTATGGCCAAAATACTTAAGTCACTTCATTAATATCGACATGTCAGATTTTGGTTAGTCATATCAGGCCTTCACACCAAGTCGGCTTGCATACAGTTCTAATTTCAAGTTAGCCAAATAACCTATCACTTTAAACCTTTTTATCTCGATGAATTAAATATATCGAGTACCAGCATTCATTCATTTGGCTATCATCGATGTTTCTTGAGCATTCATATAGTGTTGGGAAGATTCATAATGGTTTGGAATCTAATGATTTAACATGACTGTTCACATACTATTAGATTCTGTTGGTTCCCGTACTGAACTTTGTGCAGAATTTTCCTATGTTTACATTTAATAAGTTAAAATAGTTATGGCTCTTTATGATATCAGGAGTTCCGGAAAAAAAATCCAGTGGATTCAACTGTAGGTCTTCTGATGTATATCATCCTTTCCACCAACATATTCTATTCGATAGGCATGCTGAACCTTTTGGTCAGTTTTCAGGAGAATTACATTATGGTGTGACCTCCGCTTTGCTTTAAAACACGACTGTTATCATTTACACGTTCTGTTGGATACGAGGCTTCCGGAATACATGCATGAGAAATCGTTTAAATCATTACTAATTTCGATCAATTTAATTAACTAGATTCGGTGGTAACTTCTAACTAATTTAATATAAACTCGGTCTCACTTTAACATTTATTTAGGCTTTGAATTTCGTTCCAATTAAGAGACCTCATGTATCAGTAAGAACTCAATTATTGTAGAGTGCAACAACATAACAGTATTGTCCGGTGAAGTTAAAAACGATGGTTACAGATTGTACTTCAATCTTAGCTTTGTGAATAGTCACTAAATCCTAATCGGATTTTTATTGTACCTTAATACTGGTGTGGAAGAATACTTGATTGTTTTCCCAATTATCCTCTATAAATAAACATTTAGCATCAGTTATTTGTTCATGTTTAAATGTTAAGAAATTAAAGATGGATAAATGGCAGTTTTATTTTATTTTTGAACTTTTAGCTACTGATGTGGATTTCGTTCGTCAGTTGGAGAATCAATCTATTACAGAGTTACCATCTGATGTTGTATTTGAATGTGAACTCTCTCGACCTGGTATGACATTGATATGGTCTAAAGATGGACGTGATCTAAATTTATCATCACGATGTGTGTATAGCGTTATTGGAGAAGGTGATAAAGCTCTTTGTATTCATCGACTAACTCTTATAAAGGTTAGTCCAGATGAACAAGGTGTATACAGTGCGAGATTAGTAACTGGGAAAAAAACTGAAGCTATATTGACGATTGAATGCCCACCAAAAATACTTTATGATGGACCGTTAGAACTACAATTACTCAGTGGCAAAAGTACAGTGATTGAAGTACCATATACTGGTGCACCATTCCCAGACGTTAATTGGTCATTTAATCATGGACCATTACCGATCGGAGCAAAACGTGAATCTCCTATTGCGTCAGTAGATACAGTATATGGATTAACATGTTTGCGTCTGCGTCACGTTACAGGAGAAATTACTGGAAATTACAAACTTCTGGTAAGTTATACAGTTTATTTCTCTCTGGCCCAAATGTATACATATAATACAAAAGTCTTTGATCCTAAAACTGTTACTTTTTTCTTATAGATAAGTAATGAGCTGGGAAAGGCAACGTTAGAACTTATTGTGAAAGTACTAGATGTTCCAGGACCTGTACGTCAATTGAAGGCAACAGTTCAAAACCAAGCGTCTGGTACTGCATTAGTTACATGGCAAGCACCAAAAGAGGAAGGTGGTTCACCAATAATTGGTTATCTTGTCGAAAAACGTGAAGCGAATAAACGTAGTTGGACACCATTTGGCTCTCAAGTTAAAGAATTAAGCTGTGTCGTTGATGGTTTGACAACTAATACAGGTTATTTCTTCAGAGTTATGGCTCAAAATATATCAGGTTGCTCTGAGCCAACAGAAACCGATATAGCAGTGGTGATACCATGTTTAACAAGTGAGTTTATAGTTTTTCAAATAAATTTTATCGTTTACTTAAAAATTTTATTTATTCTAATGTCGAATGGATAGTTTTGCTGAGAATTTATTGATAGGAATAAAAGTAGAAAATAATTTAATGTATTGACAAGGTATTTTTAACATCTGAATTCACGAGTCGATCTAAGCTAGACCACCAATGAAAACCTGTAATCACAGAACGGCCATTTTACCCTAGTATTAGAGGTGAGACTATAACTTATGGACGACCTTTGAGCGACGCTAAAGTGGCCTTGAGAACGGTTACCTACTGACTAGGGCTAACTGAGGGTTTTAAACCTGTGTGAATGATAAGGATTATGATTTAGAGTTGATAGTTAGGGATAGGGATTAGATTTAGGGTTTTCATCACAAACTGATATCAGCTAAAATGCCAAGACGCTATTTAACCAAATGGATAAAGAATTTCACGCCGAAATCCAAGACCTATTATCTTAAATCTGATTAGTTCATCCATAAATTATAGTCTCGTCAAATTGAACTCCTCAGCAGTGCTCATCCATAGTCCCGCACGTGGAACTTGAACCCAGGACCTTCAGTATCACATGCGAACGCTTAACTTCTAGATTATTGAAAAATAATCCAATTAAGTCCATTCTAATGTTTCATAGCAAATTTTAAGCTACGTGACATTGAGTAACATAGAACAATATAGTTACTTGAAGATAATTAATTGATAGAATACATTTATAATATGATTTTATGAATTACATTCTGACAACTGATAAGATGAGGTAAACTATGGAATTCATATCCGATAAGAATTAATTAATGAAAAGGTAACAACTAAAATATTTTTCATATAATTCAGCTTAATGCATAGATATTGTTTAAAATGACTGTTATGATGAAATAGTTAGTGATCCAAAAAAATTCCACAGGTATAACTCATACATTGATGACCTGGAAGCACTGGACGGCCACTTCGCATTAGTATGGGACTCCTCAGCAGTGAGTATCCACGATCCCACGGTTGAAGAAACTTCTTAATTAATTAGAGAAGAAAGAATCTTTAATCTATTGTCAGATTTCATCTCAGTGAATGTTAATTACCAATCAACATATTGTAGTTAAGAGGGGTGAATACTAATTACAAATAGTTACATCATTTTTTTCAAACATGATGTTTCTAGTTAACCTTATTCAATTGACATGAATCTGTTGTTTGAATAGTATTGTAATTGTATTCGAGGATTTCCGGGTAAGAAATGAAACCTGAAGTTGGAATGAAAATACATCTTTAGTTGGATTGAATAAAGGGAAAATTATCCAGGATAAAGAAGTATACATTTATACATTAGGGATTCATTTTACTTAACTGATTGATATACTTTGTAGGAATACTGTAGTTTGTGGAAGTTATTTATTGTCTATATCTGATTTATGTGACTTTAAATCAAGTATTGTAGTAATTTTACACTTCAGTCAAATAAATGGTAGATATGTAGAGACTCCTTAAAAGTATAAAGAGTCACTTATAAAGCAATATTTTTGTGATGTATTTCTTCTTATTGAAAATTATTTGATTTGTTTTATAATATTCAGAACCTCCATCGGCTCCAGGGACACCAGAAGCAAGTGATATTGGTACGGATTCATGTCGAGTCAGTTGGGAACCACCCAGTTCAGATGGTGGTGCTCGACTGACATTTTATCATTTAGAGAAAAGAGCAAATCTTAAAGGTAATTGGGTAAGAGCTTGTGCGGATAAATTACCTATTTTGACGAATGAAGTAAAATCTACCTATGTGACAAAAGTAACTGGGCTTGTACCAGATAATGTCTACGAATTTCGTGTAGCAGCTGAAAATGCTGATTTTATGGTTGGTGAATACTCCAATTCAAGTCATAGAATTTCAACTCAGCTACCATTCTGTAAGTATCCACTTATAACATTTGCTTTCTATAACAGATATGATAACTGTTTTCTTTAGCGACCAGGAGAGTGTTTTCTTAAGTCCAAGCATAAGGCTTTTAGAGTACGACTGATAAAACTTGCTCGACGGAAGTGGTTAGAAAATCGTGATATGACAGGATAAGATGACATTATTTAGGTCATTTTTTTTGTATCAATTCATTATGAATTTCGGCGAGGGTGGCAGATGCGAAGTTCATTCCGTATAATATGTCGAAATCAATATTTTCTTGTATCAATTTCAGGATAAACTTTGTTCTTTATGGCAACTGTTCATTGCAATAATTTTATCCTATGTATTAATTCAGGTGTACTGTATTTATTGTATGTTACACCCGAATGTAAATTGAATGAATGGTAACTGCAAGGGAATATTTAGGGACTATTATTATATATATTCTTACTAGATTATGCGTATATTCATACTCCTTTTATCATAAGTTTTCATTTGACCTATTGACTAGTATTATATGATTTACCGTTCTTAACTTAATTCCAATTTATTAATTACAGTATCCCACTCTTACAGTCACTTTTTTGGCTTGATCTTGTATAATAATTATTTTTCATTTTATGGTCATGCGGTCTGGTCTGTTTATATATAAATCAAGTATGTCTGAAATATACGATTCATATAGCGAAGGCTGATATTTATGTTCTGAACTGAACGAGCTGGGTTGGGCGAGAAGCTACTATAAAGACGACCAATATGGACTCAGAGTTGACTCAATGCTGCTAGCGCTGGTTTACGTGTAGTTAATGTAGCACGGGGAAAATACCATAGAAAACGATATTCTGATTGGCGATTTTGTCACATGATATTTAACGAGTCATAGAACTCAGTGTACTTTTGCATTGACTGTATATATCCCCCCTTAGTTTTTAAGTAGAGTTCAGCCGAGAAAATCTCCGTTTTGTCGAAATCAGTTGCTTAAACTGTGCATTAGTATCCACGGTTGCTTGGCTAATAGAAAAATAGACAACATTACATCATAAAGTGATTCGAGATTTCAAATATCAAAAGGGGTTGAATAATAATCAAGGGGTTAGGAAAGACTAGGAGTATGAAAATAATTTACGGGTTAGAATTATGAGAGATAATTGTCCATTCGAAAAACGTAAAGGTTATAATAACAATTTAATAATAATAATAACAATAAAGGATAATAATATCTGGTTACGGTTTAAAACTAAAAAACAAGACTGAAACATACTGCATAAAGGAATTAGAGCCAAGGAAGGATGAGAGGTTGGAAATGTCGTTTTTGCGTTTTGTGTAGATTGTTTTGAAGGAAAACTCATATAAATCGATGTGTCCAGATTTGATCAGATGTTCTAGTATTGAACTGGCGATCGTTTTACATTCTCTTTTTTAAAGCTACAGCTTAAGTAAATGATTTCGTCGAAAAGAAAATTCTCTTCGCTGAATTCTTTTTATTTTAATTCAGTAACACTATGGGTTACTTTAGTATGTAATCGATTATAATGTGGTCTAAGTTTGATGTGATTTTGGTTACTGTGATTTGAATGTGAATTGGGGACTTGTTTGGAGATGTGTTTTTGGGAGTTAATAAATCTTCATTAAACAGTCTTTTCGTGTTCGCACTTTGCGTCGTGGAAATTGTGGCGGTTCCCGTCTATAGTTATATGGAATAGGCTTGAGGAATTACAATAGTTTCCAATTTTCATGTAAAAGCAGTAAGACAGTAGACCCAACAGAGTCGATACGTACATAACGACAACAACTTCTCAGATATAACAGTTGGTTACTCAATTATAACAGAGACGAATTTCGAATACATTTCATAGCTCAGCATTGGTACTTTATTCTTGGTGTCATTGTAAGCTTGGTTAAAGAAAAAATGTAGAAATTAGTTTATGACAATTCAAGAAACGAAAATATGTAACTACAAATAAAACTGCAGTTAACGTTTTATGTTTTTTTTTTAATCACAAGATTCATCTCAATTTATTAATATTTGAATGATCTGCTGTTCTAATGACTACCTCATCTATCTATTCATTCCAGCTGTACCCGGTAAACCATCAAGACCTGAAATTCAGAATATTACAGAAACAACTATTGGTTTAGCCTGGAAAGCACCATATGATGATGGAGGAGATTCAGTAAAAAAATATGTTGTTCAATATAAAGTAAGTTTGGCATATATAGTAAACAAGGTTACTGAAGTTTAGATATTTTGTCTCGATAATTTAGTGTCCAATGAAGAAGCGATTAATGTCTATGACAGTCCATTGATTAGCTGTAGATATACAACAGTGTTTTATTACCTTCGTTATAGTAATGAAAACCATTTTTTACTAAAACTCAATAATAGTGCCTCAGAAATGTACAAGCTTATGAAGTTTCTATTTGTAACTGTACGGCTCTATATTTGAAGCTTTTGCATTAAGAAAACATGAAATTTACTCTTGATAAAAATTTCCACCCTCAAGAAAATAGCTCAAAAAATTTTCCATTTCACATAATTTTGCTATACACATGTGAATGTAGTTACCATCAGTAAAACATGTTGTTACAATCTCGTGGGAAATCATCATTATTAATGAAATTACAACCTTCTTGGAGGGGAGTGATGTCTGAGTTACAAAGATTATTGCTGACATATTTAAGCCCCATTCGTCGGTCTTCAATAACATGAACTAATCTCTAGTGTCTAAAGTATATTTCTACACTCTGATACATTCCATCATCCTTGACTTCTGGTTTGATTGGCTTTAGGATCGCTGTATTAGAACAGGTTTCGAACAGTAGCGTAGACAAAAACACTGCATATCCGTGAAATCTTCACTACCATATATCTATACATTATATTCAAGTAATTTCAAGTTAATCGCACAGATTCGCTTATTCCAATAACAATTGTAATGATTCATTTCTTACTAACTTACAGATGATGAGTTATGACACATAAGAAACCGTTTCTGACCGTATGTAAGGTTACTTAGGAATATTTCATTTACTTAAAGAGAAAAAATTGTTTGTGAATGGTGCAAAATTGGTTATTTGCTCATGATTAGCATCGAGGAAATTCCACGTTGTAGAATCTGATATTCGAACCAATAATAATCACTAATCGTTTGGTCAGACTTTATCATAGTTGATACTGATAAGTACATATAACAAATATAAAACTATTTGAGAAGAGTGATGTTTGCTACAAATCCGGCTTCATTTCACTTTAAAGACCGGGTAAAGATTCCCTCAACGGAGTTGTGGATGCGCACTACTGAGGAGTTCCATACTAGGGCGAAACGACCGTACGGAGATTCATGGTTGTCACTGATGGTCTAACTTAGATCGGTTCAGGATTTCAATCAGATTCACTATGTTATTACTATTTATAGTAAGAACTAGCTCACAAACAACACTTTTCAGAAGATATAAACTATCAGTTTATACGATCATTAAACAAACAAAAAAAGAACAATATATTTTATGATCTGTAATATGCTAGTTGGTACTGAATGATAAAGTCTTGTTTATGACTATCAAGTATTACTTAATCTAAATGTTTAGATACACGATTATCAAAGTAATAGGACGTTTTTGTAGAATATTGACTTATGGACTGTATATGTACGCTAAACAAGTATAAGGATACTAAGAGTGTAGTACATTTATTTTTATTCATTTTATTTTCATATTTCTATATTTTGCAATGTTATTACCTAGACTACATCATCAAGTGAATGGAAAACAGTTAGTGAAATGCCAGTCGATCTGGAATTTACTGTAGCTCATTTACAATCAGATGAACAATATGAGTTCCGTGTAGCAGCTATCAATTCAGCTGGTCAAGGACCATGGTCTGATACATCGGAACCATGTAATCCAGCTAAAGCGATCGGTAAGTATATAAATATGTTTATTTACCGACTACGGCTGATGAGGTTATGAATTTTCATCGACTTAGATAGTTGGGCCACGTGTTACGTATGCCTGAACACCAATTACCACGGCGCGCAATGCTGACTAGTATTGGACATGGTTGGAAGAACGTTAGGGGCGGTCAAACCAAAACATAGCATCAGTCCTTGAAGTCACTAACTTCTAGTCTGAGCCATGTTGGTAGATGCAGATTACTTGGTTGGGGATCGCGAGATGATAGCAACCGATGGTTAGAGACCCTGAATGACATGGCTCAAAATCGTTTGCAGTGGCGCAGGTGCATCCACTCTTTGTGTTCTCCCAAATTCTAATCTTCTGAATTCTTCATGTCCCTTATTTTCTTTCCAAATTTATTTCACTGCATTATAACACCTTCAAACCCTAATCTTTCGAATTACTGCTTATAATCTTACTACCTCTACCACTACGGGATTTGAATCGACAACCGCATCTCTGTACTAGTGTGTTATGGCAACTCGAACTGATGTACGTACGTACGAAGCTCTACGTTGTTGATTGACTGACTGACTTGGTTGAGGTCTGCGCTACTATCGTAACCAGTGGTTAGAGACTGAATGATATGGCTCAGAATCGATCACAAAGGCGTGGGTGTATACACTCTTTGTATTTCCTTAAACCGTGAGGTCAAAATTACTTTATATCTTTCTTTCTATGAACTAATTCTTTCTCCGCGTATTATATCCTTATATACAATCTTTCTTTTATATATTACCACCATTGAATTAACTACATCTATGAATTCGTTGTTCATCTTGTTGTGCTAATGAAATGTGGCAACTTGGACCGATGCATATATGTGCCTGGTCCTACATTGTAGCTAACTGACTAACTGAGTTTACAAGCTTCCTATATGCATTGTCTAATAGTTGAATTCAGAGCATGTATTAAGCTGCAATTCAAAAAACGTAACCTGGAAACGTTCATTTCCTAATTTTGTTAATAATGCTACAATTAAAAAATATATACATAAGTTACTTAGTGTAGACTTGAATATATTATGTAACACATCACCAATCAAAAAACGAACTAATTGACTAGATCCAATGATGAATAAAGCAGTACGAACAGTCTAGAGTCAACTCTGAATTTTCATTTGTTCACCGAAATATTAAATTCTCGTCTAACCTAGTCGGTTCAGTTGAGAACACTAATATCAACCTCCATTATATATTCCAGACATACTTGGTTTATATACAAACAAATCAGACTGCATCATACCATAAAATAAAAAATAACAATTATACAAGATCTGGTCAAAAAATAGCTGTGAGTGTGAGATAAATAGAGAATAACTTAAAACTAGTAAATCTTATAATAATAGTCGATAAGTCAAATGGAAGCTTAAAATGAAAGGAATATGAATATACATATAACATAGTTACTTAATAGCTATACAATAAGAATATATATAATAATAGTCCATAAATAGATCCTAGCCGTTACCATTCACTCATCCTTCGTCCATATATGTTAGATATACTTTGATTTACTTTAACAAAGTGATTTTTTTCTTTAAATTATTAACTATAATCTTAATATTTTATGGATCTATTGAATTTAGAATCTTCTAAACCTTCATTAGTCAATCCTTTAAGTAATGTAACAGTATTGGTTGGTCAATCAGTTGAATTAAATTGTGATTTTCAATTAGGTGAACCAAAAGGAAATGTTACTTGGTAAGTTTATAATTCAATATCAATTTTAATGGTTGGAATCATGAATCAATTAAAGCTAAACCATCATGGAAAACCTGGAAGCACTGGACGGCCGTTCCATCCTATTGTGGGACTCCTCAGCAGTGCTCATCCACGGTCCTACCTCCAACCCAGTATCTATCAGTCTCGCGCGCGAACATTTAACCTCTAGACCACTGAGCCGGCCGGCCGTTGTTAATGTCTAACTTCAACTAATCCACGAAACTGACCGACACATCCACCATTGTCTTCAATAAGTTACTATCTCACAGCAGACCTGGTTGAACTCCACTGGTCACTGCTTCGAAACTCACTAGGCGGGATCGTGGATGCGCACTGCTGTGGAGTCCCACAGTAGGACGAAACGGCCGTCCAGTGCTTCCAGGTTTTCCATGTTGGTCTACCTTCAATTAAATCATGATCTCAACTATTAACATTACTATAATATCCATAAAACCCCCTCTGATATTAATTCAATATTAATCATATACATTCATGTTCATTATAATACAACTTAATAACTAGAGCCAAGTTGATAATACAACTAGACTATATGTCACATATTATTATTATTATTCAACAGTTTTGATAACATTAAATAAAATAAGATGAAGTTTGGTAGAACTATGTAGTATATATTGAAAGTAATTAATTGACTTGCTAAGACTTTTATATATGATAAATGAAAGATCAACTTGACCAAAGAAAGAGAAAAAGCTAAAATAACATTAAAAACAATATGAATCAAAACATTGGATAATAAATCAATATTACCAGAATAGGTTTATTGTAAGCACAAATTGTATTTGAATACATATGGAAGGTTTTAACTTTCGTATGGGTGGAGATGGATGATGGCTAGCAGTGAAATCCAGTTTGACGCGCGTTTTGTCTTATTTGGCACTCATCAGCTGGATGTACGTGCATCATACAGTTGATTTTCACTCCGGAACTCGAAACCGGCACCGTACAAAAAGGCTGAGTTGAGCTCAATCTTATGAGCTGTTTCAATTGTGATCGATAATGAAAAAAGTTGGATGTTTATTATCCGTTGCAGCCATCTCGGCACATGTTCAACCGACCTCATGTGTAAATCACGATTACTTCACCATATGTGTGCATGTGTCCTCAAAAACACGAAAACTAATAAACAGATCGGGAAATAATGCAGTTGTTTACATGCTGTTTAGGGTTTTTTTGAGAAATATGGACACGTTTCGTAGGTGCCAGAAACATAGTAGGCCTCAAAATTCTGTGGCCTTTCCATCGGCTAATGAATTTAGTTGTAAATCTATTATCCACTAATGTTTTGTTTAACAGCTTCTCCTCACCTTCAAAAGTTTTATTTATACAGACACAGTCAATCCTGTAGAACAGAACTTTTATGGAAATGTCGTTTGTATTGAAATGGACAATAAATAGGAGAACTAAAGTATTGCTCTATCTATGTAGCCTGTCTATAAATAGATTGGCTGGTTAAATCATCTCTTCGACCGATAAGAATTATTTAAGAAATGAAGCTGGTTGTTCTCCCTGTTACATGAAAGACTAATGTGTTTGTGTTGTGATAGCCTCTCTACAAAAAGTAAATGAAGTGAACATAAAAATCATGTCACTGTTACACAGTATCAAAATATAAATATCTAAACAGATGAAGATAAACAAAATATTGTTCATAGTATTTAATAGATTATCACTTCTTTTTTAGGTTTAAAGACGGTAAACCAATAAGAAGTCAAGTCAAGTATTCAACAAGTTCAGCATGGGAACGCAGGGCTAATTTAAAAATAAATCGTACTAAATTAGAAGATGCTGGTGTATTTAGTTGTGTAGCAGAGAATCCATCGGGTAAAGTTGAAACAACATGTCGTGTAATTGTAGCTCAAAAACCTATTTTAAATCTTGAATTAGACAAATCTGCATCAAGTAATGTAACTGGAATTTTAAGTAAATCAGATCACTTAACTGGTCGAGTCGGTGGCTGTTTAGCACTGAAAGCTACTTGTGAAGCTTTTCCAGATTGTGAAGCTATAGTATGGTTTATCAATGGAAAACAAATTGATTCAAGTTTAGATTCAGAATTATTATCTCGTGTAATAATTAATGATACACCTACAAGTCGAATTTCAAATGTACCTAAACCTCAAGTTTCCATACTAACTATCAGTAATCTACATCTTTCGGATGCTGGTGAATATGGATGCAGTTCAGTAAATGAAGTAGGAACTGCTCAATCTGCTATAAAATTAATTTTAAACGATCGTCCACAACCACCAATGTCTATTGAAGTAACTGAAACTCGTGGTCAAGACTGGATAGAGGTTAAATGGGAAAGACCATCTAGTGATGGTGGTTCAAAATTAACACGATATATTATTGAACGTCGTGTTATTGCTACTTCTACTTCTAGAGATCAACCTACATCAATTCATGAAACAAATTGGTCTAATGTTGGTCAAGCTGGACCATATGATGATCATTTACGAATACAAAATTGTAAACCTGGGACAGTTTATTCATTCCGTATTTTTGCTGAGAATGAAATTGGTATGAGTGATCCAACAGAAATTGAATCACCTTATCAAATGAAACTATATACAGGTAAATATTATCAAGTGGTCACTTTATTAAAATGTTTACTTTGGATACAAGAAATAATTGTTGGACCTAACTTTACATAATGATAAATCTATACAGGTTACCGGAATATAAATATGTAATTTACAAGGGAGTAAAAAAGCTTTTACAAATTTAGTAAGGATACAAGATATCGAAATGAAAACATAGATTAATTCCCTTCGTAGATATAGAGAGGTTCCATAAATTCAGCTGACATGTGTAGGAAGTATATAACAAACAAACTTCATTAACTGTATTAAGTTTCACTTTCTACCACATGTGTATGGATCAGTTTAACTGAGTTATTTGAAGCGTGTCCTCAGTCTTACTCATTGAAACCTCGTGGAATTTTAGGAATGGATACTATTTATCTTGATGACTATCTGAAAATTGAGTAAATGAGTCATATTGCATCCGGGCTACTTTACTGATACACCGATGAACTTATCAATACACACAAAAGATTACAAAGGAACCAGACATTAATTAAAGGGTATCATGTATGTGATGGTAGAGTTTACAGTTTGTTCTAGTAATTAACCTAAAGATACGAAGGAAACTATTACCGGTTTTTGTTTACCTAAAATTGATTTAGCCATTTAAGTGGAGACAGATTTGATTATGACTTGAGGTTTCACATAACAACACTTGTTTACCGAGTAATAAACAAGATGAGTGTTAAAAACTGGATTGACATAGATCACCAGTTAGAAGTAGAGTTAGTACACCTCAGACAATTAATTACTTTCATATAATATGTGAATGTATATGTCCTAAAAATAGCGGAATCCAAGGTCGGTCGGATATAATAAAATATTACATACTGCAAGCCAATCGTTATTCAATTGTCCAATCTACGTTTCACACTCCAAGAGTGGATATAAGTTAGTCTTTCTAGAAACTAAAGTCAACTGTATATCCGTATGGTTTTTGTATTCAATATTGATCACGGATCTCAGTTCAGTCAACGTTGTAAACTATAAATCGAAGGACAGTTGTTTAATCTGACTAAAGGACTTCCCAGAAGTGTACACCTACTACTTTCGTAGTTAGGTTATTCACAGTGTACAATTAAACAAAGGTTATTCTACAATTATGCGCAAAACAGTATTTCTGTCATCTGCACTTATCTTAACAAATATTAAAACGGGTTGTTTCTAAGTCTACAAATCCCAGTTTACCTTAATGTAAACAAGAGTTTAATGAATAGTAAATTATTGCACTATGAACAAACAACTGTTAAAAACTGCGAAAGTGAATACTTAATGCTTCAAAGATTCCATGGTCCTACCTGGATATTACTTCCTACTGTAAGTAGGTACTTCACTTGTTATTGTTTTTCAACATTTTTTTCGTTTTCTTCCTTACTTTTTATGATGATGATGATTATCCCATTTTTTATTGTTTGGTATATTTTTGTGACATGCGGTGGAGGACGAAAAGCGAATGTCCGGCGCTTTAACCGAGTTGGTGGACACGGATCAGACCCTTAGGTCGAAGGCTCCGGGTGTGGCCGCTTAAGAAAACCACCCGCTTCGCTTTGGGCACACAGGCAATATCCCAGCCCTCACACAAATCGAATGATTTATGTGGCGCATATCTATTTGGTGCCTCCTTGTACCAATGTTCATGTATTTAAATAAAATAAAAATAAATATATTTTTGTAAGGTTTTTTTGAAGAGAATTTAATTATTCCTTCCTATATAAACGTGCTTATTTATATATCCTGTAGGAGTCTCAAATCAACAATCAGTTTTCTTTACATCGATAATTTCTTTCTTTACTCCCATTTAGATTTACCTTTACCCCCGACTCATATCACAGCAGAACGTTCATCGCCAAGAGAAGCTAAAATTCAGTGGCGTCCACCTATTAGTGATGATGGTGATTCTATTCAAGGTTATATGGTTGAATTGCGTGAAACACCAGATCCAAAAGATCAATATACATCAAGATGGACACAAGCCAGTCCGAAATTAATACGATCCGGCACTACCTTAAAAGTTGATGATTTACATCCTGATATGTTTGTTCAATTCAGAGTTCGTGCTCGTAATCTAGTTGGATTTAGTGAACCATCTGAACCATCTGATTGGATTGAGCCTATAGTAAAAAGTAAATTATTCTCACTTTAATTACATCATTTTTTCGGAAAAAAATTCCTTTTTAAGTATGGGGGATTTTTGAAGATGGTAGAATTTTCAGAGTTCGAATTATGAACTGATCTTAGCTAGACCACCATTCAAAATCCCGACTCACTGGACGGCTGTTTCTTCCTAGTATGAGGCTCTTCAGTAGTGCATATCCACTAACCCATGGCTGGGAGTCGAACCTAGGACCTTTGTAACTATTGGTTGAGTAAATTATTAGCTATGTTTTTCACAATCATTTGTCATAATATTATTTTAAAGGACAGGAATTATTTCTACGCCTTATTACCTGAATAAGGAACTGGCAAAAGCTAAAATAATATTTTAGAAGCAATAACTATCCAGAAGAATTCATAGATACGTTCCAATACCATCGGTCAAGTTTCACAGTCTGTAAGTTGGATATATCATACTTCTTAGCTCAACAGTATTTATTTGATGTGAAGAATAACATATTGCTTAATTAAATAATGATGTGAGTTCGTGATTATGATAAAAGTTAACCATACAATTTTCTTTTCATTCTTTGATTGAGATCGTGAATCGATTATTGTTAAACCACCTTTGAAAACCTGGAAGTACTGGAAGGCGGTTTTGTCCTATTGTGGGACACCTCAGCAGTGCGCATCCACGATCCTGCCCACGGGGTTCGAACCCAGGGCCTTCAGCCAGTCTCCTAACACTAAATGCTTATCTTATTGTAAAGAAATTATGATTTTCGAAACGAATAGTTAAAAAGTACGTATGAAAAGATCTTGATTTCTATGTAGCCCGTTCAATCATAGATTAAAAGAAATTATATACCTTTAACTTTACATCTCAATATTAATGAAAAGTATACATTTATTATTATTTTGACTTTTTCTAGAATCCCGTGAAAGTATAGATGAATCGACGCGCAAAAAAGATGACACTACGAAATTACCTAAAGATGATAAATCACCTTTGGATATTGTACAAGAAATAATTGCACTTAAAGAAGCTAGTCGTCCGAAGAAAATAATTGATAAAGGTTAGTAAAAGTTTATTTGCAGTTTTTGTTTATTCCTTTAACTTACGTTTAATAAGCTACAATAATTGAAAATTTGATTTATAACAAAAAAATGTAATGATATTAATCTAAACTCAACAATATCCACTGGTAATTATCATGTGCTAACTAGTGACCAGCTTCAAGATAGATTTCCTGAAGCTCTAGTGAGAAGGCATGACCAGTGGATTTCAACCATGTCTGTTGTAAAGCAGTTACTCACTGAAGACAATGATAGACACAATATCGTGGATTGGTTGAATTTATACATTAACACCGTTGGATGCCAACTCAGTGGTGCAGAGGTCCTGGGTTCGAATCCCGATTACGAGATCGTGGGTGCGCACTGCTGGGTAGTCCCACAATAGGACGAAACGACTGTCCAGTGTTTCCAGGTTTTGACTGATGGTCTAACAGTCATCCATTCATCGTATCGATCTAAACTCAACAATCTCCACAACCCTATACTGATATAAATTAAAAGTAAATCATTCATCTTGTGTTGCATAAAAATTGTGAACATTTCAATTTTAATTGATTTACTGTATGACTAAATAAAGTTTTTCATTAGATACACCGTATTACTTTAGTTTTCACTCCTGGAAGCTTTATTCAATAGTATAATTCATATTCTGTATGCCCAGACATAGTGTTCCATTCAATTTGGAATAGTTGAATGCCTTTAGAAATAGTTTGTTAGCAGTATTTAAAAAAAGAATTAGTTTCATATACCTTTTTTCTAATATTATATTCTAGATGCACCTCGAATACAGCTTATTAATGAAGATACTTATCGTTTAAGACCAGGAAATAATTTACGTGTCGGTGTACATCTTGATTCTGTTTCCAAAGCTAATGTAGAACTTTTAACAGCAAGTGGCCAACCATTACTTGGGAATGCACTTGGAAGAACTCGTATAGAACAATTTGGAGATGATTTCTATGTGAATTTACGTAACATTAATCTGTCTGATGCAGGTACTTATTGTATAAAAGCAATAAATACAGCAGGTGAAAGTAACCAATTAATCCATTTAATTGTTCTCACTGAACCACTTCCACCGAAATCTCCATTAACAGCTAAAGTAATTGAAAGTCCTAAAGGATACTCTGAAGGTGCAACAGTTGAATTAACATGGGGACCATCACCATTACGTTATGGGGAATCACCAGAACTTACTTCACCAATATTAGGATATTGCATTGAACGACGTGAAGGTCAACGTCGACAACAATTTAATTATCCTATTCGTTTGGTTGGTTCAGATAAATTATCTGTAAAAATACCAGATTTGAAACCAGGAATTGAGTATGTATTCCGTGTCAGTTCATATAATGATGTAGGATCAAGTGAACCAACTTATTCAGAACCACTTATCATTAAATCTCCATATGGTAAGCAAAAACATTAAACAATATTATTTTAATTAATAGTTAAATTAAATAACATTTTTATCAAATTGTTTTACTGTTCACCATAATAAAACATTAAACATTTTTGAATTATTCAAGGTTAACATGTCTAAAAATTCATTGAAACAAATTATTTCGAAAACGTTGAAGTCACTAAACTCACTATCAGGACTCAGTAACTATGTGGATAACGCGATGTCGTTTGAAGCGAATGGCACTGGGTTCGAGTTCCAGAGTGAATATCAACTATGGGATGCAGGTATATCCAGCTGACGAGTCCCAAACAAGACGAAACGCGCATCAAACTTGATTTCACTGCTAGTTAATATTTGTCTTTGCTTATAATCACTGTCATACCACCTTATCTTCATATAATGTGAGATGAATTCAGTATTTAACGAACAGTTCTACAAGATTTACTTTAAAAAGCATTCTCTGAGTGTATACAGAAAAAAGTCAAGTATAGAATATAAAACTACAATAAAGCACAACTATGGTTACTGATATTCACAATAGTAACCTTTTAAAGTCGATCAACTCATATGGTGTACATTCTTAAATGAAAATTGTAATTCATCAATGAACACGTACACATATATTGATAGTCAGTGACTGAAATTGTGTAGATTCTTATCTGCATGAACTAACAATCTAACAGTTCAAAAATGTCTGATAGAGATACTGTGGATAAGTACTCTAGGCTTTATATGGTTAACTGTTTAGTCTTTTACTTTGTTATCTGTTTAGATAGAAATACTCCAACATTTATTGATATTGCTACCTCCATCATTATTATTACTATTTTATAGATACTTTTGAAATAAGTTTAGATTCTCTCAATTATACTGGTGTGAAGCATGCAATCCGAGATTGAACTATGAAATAATCCAATCACCTATACGATGGTTACGCACTTTACTCGATATCCAGTTCATTATCTTATCGCTCATATGTTAAACTAATTCAATAACTTAAATACCTCATCAAACTAACTGACATGTATATGATTGACTAATACATAGGGTAAGAAAATAGATGACAAAATATATAGGGTTGTAGAAATTGGTGAGTTTCATTGATGGGTTTATGATTTCAACATACATAATTATCTGTCCGCGCTCATCAACCAATCGCAGCTTAGTACGATCAGACACAAATCACTTTCCTCGTAATAATTCGATTTTATGTTATCAATATTTTGGCTTCTTACTGTTTATTTTTCAAAACATGCGAATTCGTATAAAACATAATAGTTTGTTACCATTCTACTCTTTCTAAAATCATTTTCTACTGAGTATACCAAATGATTCTTGCAATTTATAATACCACCAACATTTTAAACTAGTGATATTACTTTCAGTTGATTAAAAGATCTCTATTCTTTTTTTTAATGTTTTGGTCAAGGTGTTCCTGATGCACCTAAAGGTCCTTTAGTTTGTTCTGATCTAACGGATTCCTCATTGAAACTTACTTGGTTACCACCTGAAGACAATGGTGGTCTACCTGTGAAAAGATATTATATTGAAATGAAAGATGTTGGTAATCCTGCTGGATGGATACCTTTGGGTACTGTATCAGCAGATGCTACTTCTTATCTGGTTAGTGGATTACAGCAAGGATTCGCTTATCGATTTCGCGTGCGGGTTGCTAATGATGAAGGGCTTAGTGACTGGTTAGAAACAGACAAATCTATATCTTTCCGTCGCCCAGTTACAAAACCATCTCAGCCTGAGGGACCTTTACGAATGCTGCCAGATGGAGATAGAGCCGTCCGTTTAACTTGGAATGCTCCGCTAGACGACGGTGGATCTCCAATTAGAGATTTCATAGTTGAATTATGCCTCGATAGATCGGGAGAACATTGGCAACCTATTGGTGAAGTGCGTGGATTAAACAAACGAATTGAAAATCTTATTCCAGATGGCATTTATAGTTTTCGCGTCAGTGCTCGTAATGAAGACGATAAAGTCGGTCCACCTCTCTATTCAGAAATCTACAAACCAGGTGCGCCTATGACACCACCTGGCCAACCGGTTGGTCCACTAAAAGCCACATGTATCGGAATCGGTCAAGTGAAATTGGAATGGAAACCTCCAATAGTCGGTGGTCAAAGTGGTTGTGGAGTTCCTGATGAGTATTTAATTGAACGCTATGAACAAAAGAAAGCACGTTGGGCGTACGTAACTCGTCAAAGTGCTTCAACTGGGACAACTGTAGTAGTAAGTAATAATTCGATTTAATAACTATATAGTTCAAATCAGTAACTTCGAAACCCTTATTAATTTAATCATAACTACCTTTTATCTAGGTCTCTAACTTGCAGCCGGGTTCCGAATGCCAGTTTCGTGTACGGGCTGAAAATAGAGCAGGGTCTGGTCCTTTCCTCGAATCTGATCGTCCAATTACAGTCATTAGTCCATTTAATCCACCTGGTCCACCTGAAGGTCCAATTAATATCTCAGAAGTTCAAATGGGTGCTAGTCGAGCGGACTGTTCGGCTCGTATTTCTTGGAGACCTCCGTTAGATACAGGTGGCTTACCACTTATTCGTTATGTGCTACAAATGCGTTATGCTAATACTCCAGGTTGGCATAGAGTGACGGGGCTTCAACGGACAATTAGTACGGATAAAATAAGTGATAAATTAGACACTGCAAAAATAGATTTGGCTACTACTTCACTTGTAACTGGTTTAATGCAAGGTCAACGCTATATTTTCCGAGTTGCTGCTGTTAATGAAGTCGGAACAGGTGCATTTTTAGAATCCGAAACATTTGAAATGCCTGAAGATGATAGTAAGTTGAAGTGGCTTGGTTTTGTCTGTTAAAAAAAGCATGAATGCATATTATCACTGTACAGATATTTGGAGCATTGATTCAACCACCATAGTTATTAGTAGTATACTATTTTTCTTTAGATTCCCGAATATGGAAGTATTTTTTTTGATGTGAACATATTTTGTTAGGGATTTAAACACCTCCATTAGTGATGATTTGGCTTTACTGCCTTTAGTCCCTGCTCACCAATCAAATGACTTGTATACTTCATTGTATCAATTAAATCATGTAAAACTCGGCTTTTGATAGTAGGAAACGCTTGTAGTGGTAAATAAATTCCCAGAATGAATAATTCTGTAGGTCTTCAACTTTGATGCCGTCTTCCCCACTTTGACTAGACACACCCGTGGCTAACTGCACTTGTCCAGGCACCCGCATCCGATGACGTTTAGGTACACCGTGTTGCGTATCTTGTACAACTAGTCATCTAAGACTACACATACTTCGACAAATCGATCATTTCCAAAATATATCTTCAGAACTCGTTATCCATGACATCTGGTTTGACTGACTTCAGGACCCTCGTACAATAAGTTTCAGACAGCAACGTTGTTAATCACTGTACATCTGTGACACCTTTACACCAGTCGATCGTCAGCATATTATCATGAGTATCCCAAAATCCTTGGAACGACCATTATTAATATCAGGTATAAAGTACTCTTAAATGTGATAAAACAGTTGATTTTGGCGAATTTTGTCGACTGACAGGACTACGACATAATTCACTGATCGCAACCACCATTTACCTTGTCACGTTAGCCCGTTTGATTTAAGATTAAGTTACAAAAACGCTAGTTGCAGCCAAACTGAAATATAACTAGTCAATAAATTCGTTAATAATTGGTCTACGCAGCGACGGAAGTTGCACGTTCCCTGTTTCAGAGTTCACAAGATAACCGTTATTTTTGGCTATCGAATTTTCGATGACATGGCACAAAACGTAAATAAATGTACTGTCATACCACTTCTGAACATACACAGAATAATGATGAATCTATTTGTAAGCCATTTACTGTTTTTATATCAACTATATTTTTATCAGGCTGTAAACCTAAAGCAGACTGGGTTCGTATTGCTGGAAAATCAGCTGATAGTATAACTGTAGAATGGCTTGTCCCACACGATTGTCGTCACGACCATGGACCTAATCGAGCTCATCACCTAGCTATTGATGGTTTTCGTGTGTTCGTTAGACCAGCAACAACACCTCAGCCAAGCAATATATCTCAATGGCAACAAGTTGCTGAATTAGACCACTATCTTAATCGTCTGGTTGTAGGAAATTTAAAACCAAACCAATTTTATTATTTTGGTGTGGCTGCTGTGAATCAGTCAGGTCAAGGTGAAATCATTTCTACTAAAGAACCTGTTTGTCCAGAAGCTATTACAAGTGAGTATTCATTGTTATCCTTATTATGAATTACTGTATAAGCTTTTCGTTGTACTTAATAAGTAGTAAACTAATGAACGCAAACAAAGCTGCGCTACCCCAATTTTTCCCTACTAACTGAACAGATGTTTCGAGTTCTATTGTAGTGAACGAAGACAAATATGGTTAACCAATTTATTGTATTATGTAAAGCCATACGGTACCTTTGTAAAATATGAAAATCATGTATTGAATATATCATTTCCACATCTTCCATCAATAGTCCTTTACCCACTCCATCATTTTTCTAATTCTGTCGCTATTTTTGTACTTCAATCTTCTGCTGATATGCATTCAACTTCCTATTTATACTACATACTACTTATATCTGTTCCACGTAAGAAGCTCACACCACACTATGACCACTTTCAAAAACCATATTATCCTCTATATATATTTTCGAGATCACAAATTCTTAGAAAGATAAATGCATCTAAGCAGGTCACCAGAGGTAGGGTTAGGACTGATTTATATTGTTTAAAACAGTAAACTGATAAAATATTGAGACAATGTATAAAACTGTAATAACGCTTGGTTTTCTCCTTTACATCAATGGGACACCAATTTGCCTTAGATGAATATCTACACTAGATACTCGGCCAATACCTATCCTACAGGGCTTCAGCATGTGACTGGCTTTACTAGAACGTGAGTATCGCTCAACATCAGCAGCTGATAATAAAAATAATTGCAAGGAAAATAAAGAAGATATTTAATACACGTCCGACTATCTACTAGCTGATTAGGTAAACAACCAATCACTATTATTTTCTCCCACATATCAAAAATAAAGTCTCGATTCGTAATACCACATGAATTAAGATAGCATTATACACTAAACGAGCATAGTATAGTGATTGAGTAAATAGCTCTATCACAAGAGTATATTGGAAACACGAGAAACTTGTTAACAAGTTTTGGACGATTTCATTCATAGATGTTCAAGATCCATAATAATTTAATAACTAACAATAGACTCCAGTAGATTAGTTCGAACTGTTAGACTTATCAACCATATTATGTAAAGCATAATAATAAGAATACAAAAACTAGTAACGTGAAATTTAACTATAAGTTCTGAAATCTTGATTTGATGACACTAATTACGAATTTATATAATTCACTAACTGTCATTTCGTTGTAATTTTATTTCTTTTTATACAGCTGTACCAAGTCAACCTATAGGACCATTACAAGTATCTAATATAACAGATAATAGTTGTCAATTATCATGGTTAAGTCCTGCAAGTGATGGTGGCAGTCCAATATTAGGTTACAGAATATATAAACGGGAAATGTATCGACGCAGTTGGCAAGAGATTGGACGTATAACTGAACTATCTGGGTTGACTAGTTCAAGACAATTACAATTTCAAGTACAATATTTAATGCATGGTACTGCTTATGAATTTCGTGTTGTAGCTGAAAATAAGAATGGTTTATCTGAACCATTAGATACACAAGCACAAGTGCATCCAGCCAAAGAGACTAGTAAGTTATGAATAATGTGTAAGAATTTTGATCTAAGTTCAATCCGTTTATCAGATTCAACAGAAATATTGTATGCAAGTTCGAATAAAGTTGGAAAACTGCTGACGTTTTAGATTGTTTATGTACGGATATACACAAATAATAAATGGTTCTTTAATAAATAATAAATAACTTAGTTTAAGAAACTGATAATCAAGGTGACAAACCTAGAGACAACAGTCAACCTACCACAGACAGAAACAAAATAACTAGTTCAAAGATGGGTGGTTAGAAAACAACAGCTGTATCAACCAATCCCGACGTAATGTGATCCTCTTTTCCGCTTCCCTTCAGGATTCCAAATTAGGACTTGCCTCGTGATGCAGTTTGATGGTTTGCGTAATGTGTGTCGTATCCATTTCCATCGTCTTTTCCTAATTTCCTCTTCAGCTGGAAGCTGGTTTGTTGTCTCCCACAGTAGGCTGTTGCTGATGGTATCCGACCAATGCATATCGAGTATCTTGTGTAGACAGTTGTTTATAAATACTTGTACCTTTTTGATGATGGTTGTAGTAGTTCTTGAAGTTTCAGCTCCATACAGTAGAACTGTCTTGACTTTCATATTGAAGATTCTGACTTTGATGTTGGTTGATGAATGCTACCTTATTAATAATTCACACAACAAAATTCAATCAGAAAATACAAAACGTTTGAACTCATGATAAATTATTTGTATACAGAACAAATAGTTCCATTATTAAGGTAAACTCACAAGGTTATATCGTAGTGAACGAGAACACAAGTGGGGACAATCGAATGTATTGAAATACAAAATGACAGAATATCTTAGTAAAATCTCAGAACCATACCGTAAATACTTCATTTGCAAAATATCAATCAACCGTCTCCAACTCTATTGTTCTTTCGTTTCCACACCAATAATTCTCTGTTCTCATTTTTTTTCGATCTTCTTAACCTTCTGCCTCCAGATAATTCGCTTTCGATTGATGATACATACTACTTATATCTTTCGACATCAGTAACACACACCACAATATTATACATATGGAAAGATACCAATATAACTTCTAATTCTATCACTAAATGGTAATAATATTAACTTCAATTATTCCTGATGACATCCTAATGAACAAAGTGACTGGATGCAAATAAACAAAATTCCAATCTATTCGTTTTACATTGTATTTCAGAGTCTTGAGTACCGAAATAAAATTCAGTTCTGTTAACTATGTACTATCAACTTCTTTGTTATCATGAGAGTACTACTAATTATATAACGAACAGAAAACATTTAAATGACTAAAATATTAAAATAATAAAAATAATATTTTATAGTAATTTATTAACTAGAAATTGCATTTTTGGTGCTTTGAAACTTAATGTAAGTTACTTCTCAAAAGAACAAATAACTTTTTTTTTAAATTAAGGTTAAGATATTGGTCCATTTGTTAGCTGTTAAGAACAGAATAGTTGTAAGTCCTAACAATGATCAATTAATACTTGTCCAAACAATTTAAAGGTGTAGAAATAAAAAAAGATAGATAATGGAAGATAGAAAGGAAAGTTAAGACCGTGGAAGAATGAGAGACTGAATAAACTGTCGAACTTGAACTAGTGGATAGCAACAGCCTCTGGTGTACATAAGTTCTCTGTTTTCATTCCTTTTGAGCCGACTCCTCTTAGTGTATGTATGGTTCTGAAATAGGTCTCTCACGAAATGGAGTGACTAGAACCAACTAGATACTTCAAAATTCAGCTTTTGACTGACGTCTATAATCCTTTGGAGAACAAGGAAGGGTAATATCGTGAGATGCGTTTCTAAAGTGACTGCTTCGTGCAGATTACATTAATCTCTCAAAGCGAGCTCTTCAGACATGCATCTTTGGACATTACTCCTCCAGTCCTACAGGAGGTCAGTCTGGAAGATAATAGCTCAGTAGTAAAGTTTTACATTACGAAGCTGGGTGGTGTCAGTTCGAATCCTACTGAGAGTATCAGTTCCCTCGAAATTTATGACTGGAGAAAATAGAATTTTAGTTATCATTCACTAAAATATAAATATTAATGTATAAATCTTTTGTCCATGTGGTGACTGAACTTCTTTCATTTATTTTATAGGTGTCCCAGGACCACCGAGAGGACCATTACGTGTGCGTGAAGTTCCTGATAATATTGGAACACTAGAGTTGACTTGGTCACCACCATATGAGTTAGGAGGATTACCTATACTTGGCTATCAATTAGAAATACGTCAAGGACGTTCATTTAACTGGAAACCATATCCTTCATCGAATGAACTTGTTGCTTATGGACCTGAATCTAAATTTCAACCGTCTCACATTATTACCGATATACAACCAAATAAAGAGTACTTTTTCCGGGTGTCAGCTGTCAATAAAGAAGGAGTTGGTTTACCACTTACTGCTGATGATAGTTACGTGAAATCTATAAACTTAGCTCCACCAAAACTTGTAATGGGTCGTCGAATTCCCCCCGATGAAGCTGAAGATCAGAGTCATGAGAAACCAATACTACAAGTTTCTTGGGAATGGACTCCACTAATGGCATATGAACCACAACCAATAGGTTTTCAAGTGGAACGACTTGATATTGCATCTCGAGGTGGGAAATGGGAATCGATTGATTTTATTCCTATCAATGATCGTACACAAAGAAATTATACTCACCAGTCCATTTCACCAAGTCATGATGGAAGTTATAAGTTTAGAGTATCCACTGTATACAATGAAGGTGCTAGCCAACCGGTTGAGACGGGCGTTGTATTGGCTAGTCTTCCGACAATAAGACGATCTGATTCGACAACGCCCGGTCACTATGTACCTCCCGTTCCATCTGTTTTGCTCAAATCTGATAGTAAACTAGGTTATGAACTTGAGTGGGAGGCTCCAGAAGGTCAAGGTGCTGAAGACATTAGAGGGTATACGTTGGAAGATTGGGATTCAAGGAAACAGAAGTGGGCACCATTAATAGAAATACCAGTAAGTGCGCCTCGGCAGTTAGTTTTGGCTGCATCACGCACACCTGACAAGGACTATAAAATGAGAATTATCAGCCATGGGAAAACTGGCAAGTCTATTCCAACGGAATTTGGACTATATCGGAGTCCTATTGAGTCAATCTCATCTAGGCCTCCATCTAGATCATGGACAACACTACCGAGTACATCAGGTCTTCCAATGTCTACGACGTCCCATGATAAAACTCGTCCACGAGCAGATATTGACGATGATTTTGATTTGGAATTGGCCATGATTACTGGAGTTGAACCTGGTTCTGACGAAGTAAATGAGTTCATTCGCTCAAGACGTCAAATGGTTCAAGATATGACGCAACGCATGATTACACCATCATCCCTAGGGAGACTTAGCTCATTAGAAAAAGGAAGACTGGATCTAGATCGCACTGACAGTTCACTATATTCGACTGGAAGGTTGACTTCTCAGTTAAGTATTTCTTCCCCAGCCGGTCTGTATATTTCAGATCAACTAAGAGGAGAAATAGTAGGTCCAACATCTGTTCATCTCATTTGGCCTGAACCAAGTGGGTGGTTAGCTCCAGACAAAATAGCTTTTTATGACATTCAGAAGTGGGAACCTGCTCATTCTAAATGGGTTTCTATTGCCAAGGCTCCGTCTAAAGTTACAGACTACATTTTAACTGGTCTCCGGTCGAATGATGAGAGCGGATGGTGGTTCCGTGTAGTGCCTTCAAGCCGTGATGCAGAATCGATTGGGGCACCTTATCAAATGGCTAAACCTCTTTATCCAAGATCTCAGCATGCTACAGTTCCTTCTTCTGTTTGGGGTGTAGAAATTTCTCCTGTTTTTGGTTTACATAAGACAGATCAGCGAACAATTCAAGTTAACTGGATGAAACCTAGCAATGATGGTGGTTCTGATGTACTTGGTTATCGTTTACTAATTTATGATGCCGATACTGGTGATGAACAAGAGATAATTGTTTCTCCAAAATTTTTAACTTCTAAAATTGACTCTTTAGAAGCCTTTCATGTTTATAGAATTACAATTACTGCATTTAATCGTATTGGTGATTCTATACCAGTTACTTCAACTGTACCATTACATCGTGAAACACCTGGCCTACCATCCCTACCTTTACCACCCAGTGATTTTCGAGCTGTTTTGACAGATCATTTTAACAAAGAATATTCCAGTTGTATTCTGTCATGGAAACCTCCATCATTACTTCCATCATCACCTATAGATTTTTATGTTATTGAAAAATGGAGTTCACAATCTAAACAATGGATTCCATTTAAAAAAGTTCCGTATGATTTGTATGAAATTGAAATTACTCATTTACTTGATGATGTAGATTATGGTTTTAGAATAAGATCACAAAATGTCGCTGGCTTAAGCGAACCATTATGCTTAAACACTCATATTCGACCAAATTTAGTCAAAGAAAAAGATACTAAAGCGTTACCACCACCAGCTCCTGGAGCTCCATTAGAATTAAAACAACTTCATACTAATCAAAGTATATCAAAGTTAAAGGCAGTGACAGAGACTGCTAACCGTGTGATGGAACTCTGCTGGAGTCAACCTACCTTCTTAACAGATGATGTAGGTCCAGTTAGAGGTTATGTTGTTGAGGCTAGAAGAAGAGGTCAGGAAAACTGGGCGCTACTTGGTCGGCTACCTTCTACAAGAGACAGACATTGGAATATTGTATTTGGTCCTCAAATCGGTGATTATAATAGGACTCCAACCCTACCTCTCCCTCGGCTACCCTCAATTCTTACCGACTCTTCTGGCAAGTGGGATATGAGTTTGCCACAAACCTTTTCGAAAAGTTACCCATCTCCATCTATGTTGCCAGGAGAACCAAAAGACTATGAATTTCGTTTATATTCAGAAAATGAATTTGGAGTAAGTGAACCAATTTATTTAAGACCCAAACTTAGAAGTCCTTCTTTGATTTCTGAACCACATTATAATAGGCAATCAGCTCTTGAGTACTACGAGTTACCAACTTACATATCACCTCCAAGAGGACCAGTTCGTATAGAAACCAGGCCGAAGTCTTCTTTATATCATGACAGAATCCAAAGCGATAAAGATGTCACACCAGAAGATTTGATTTTGCATTGGAAGCCCCCTTATGATACAACTAACATTTCTGGCTACGAAGTAGTTTACCGCACACCATATGAAATGAAATGGCAACCTATAGGTAGGACAGATTTATCCGACACAAATCTAAGAATACCAAGTTCATTATTAAGTGATTTTCCACAAACTGTTCATGTTGGTGTACGTTCTGTTGGTGATTATATTCCCGGAATGACTGAACGTCCATACTCTGAAACAATTGAAGAAGTCTTGTCCGTTCCACAAAGTGTGTTTACATCATCATCTTACCAACCTAAACCTTATAAAACAGCAAAAGATACATTCAGTCTACGGGCTCCTTCAGAGGTTCGTGCCAGTGTTTTCAAATACACTCCTGAAAAAGATAGTCCCGAAGAAGTAGCCTTGGCATGGCGCCCACCCAGTGTAAAATCAGTGGGAAAACATGGTTTGGAAAGTTTGCCAGATTCTTATTTAATTTTAACTAGGGAGTTAGGTCATTCTGATTGGAAAGAAATTCAAACTATACCTAGCAATATCACCAACACCCATATTAGAGCATCTTTGCTACCACAAGGTCGAGATATATATATTGGTGTGGCGCCTGTTCGTGGTATTCAAATAGGACCAATTATGTCTACTTTAGATACAATAAAGTTATCAGAACCTACAAGCCCGGGAAGGTTCTCTTCAAGAAGTTCTTTACCATTCATTTCAGCTGAGCCATTGATTGTTTTACCAGAAGGACCAGATGCAATACGGGTTCAATGGAAACCTACAGAAGCGTTAATTAGTAAATTACCTCAAAAAGGAATTTCAGATTATCGACTAGAAATGAGACGCCCACATGAAATGGACTGGAAGCCTATTCGAATTCCAAAATATCTAGATTCGTTGGATGGAATACTACCCATTTCAAGTCCAATAGAATATAGACTGGATAATCTAAAGCCAGGTGAACGTGTTGAATTGCGCGTCGCTACTCGACCAACTCATTCAGCCCCATCGATTCCTATAACTGATACCTTATTTTATCAGTTCATTCCTCCTTATGGTAAGATTTTTTGGTTTATGTTAGTCGCATTTTTAGTTTTGTATACAAAGTGGTTTGTTTAGTGAAAATGCATTACCGAATGATTGGTTTTATTCAAAATAGTAGTCCTGAACATCTAAATAATCTGAAGCATGTTTTTTCTTACAATATATAATTATCATTAGAACAGTAGAAAATAGATAAACAGTAAACTGAATGGTTATTTCAATTTCAGAAATCTTCAATAGACTTATTTCCAAACCAAAATTAAGTCAGTCAGGTCATTTTCCAGCTGTTTTGGACAGAATGATATAACTTCTCTACATAATTCACTACAAAGCAATTTGGTTAAAATAAAAATTTTATAACTTAATCCCTGTTTAATAGAATCGATCATTCACTACCTTGGTTCCGACTTAGGTCATTACTTCCAAGCTGAACTTCAAAAAATCTGTCTAACATCTAGTCTCTAGTGTGTACATAATTATTATTTATTCAAGCGGCTGTGAAAAGATTTCTTATAAATGGATTGAAGCTTAACATACGAATAACTGAATTATGGCTCTATAGATTAATGGTACCCAAAATGTCCGATGAACCTTGAAACTCTTAGTTTTGATCCTATGTTGTGTCGTGTTTGAGTATTGCCAATAAGTTTCAAACTAGAATGACACAGCTTTCCGATTATTTTTTCAAATGATATCAATTCATTACTGAAATTACTTCCAAATTACGCATAATACCACTTGAATAAATAAAATATTATAATTAAGATTTAAATTAAATTTCATAGTATCCTTAAAGATTAGATGATACAAAAAATAGATATGTTTAAACCATTTTTAAGCTGGTTATAAATGATGTTACAACCTGCTTCTTGATCTGTGACTGACAAATGAATACTAACAGTTAACATCACTGATGGACCTTAATTACATAACAACTGACAATCAAAAAACACTAGATGGTAGTCTTTTTCTAGTATGTGACTCATTAGCAGTATGCATCCACTACTTCACTGGGTGTCGAACCTTGGACCTTGGGTCTCTCTGAGAACTCTTAAGGTCTAGATCACTGGATCGGCATTCAATGGTATACATATCTAGCTTAAATCAGTTAGCCATATTGAGAAACCGTCTTTCGTTGTCTGCGGTGAACGGTTGTTTCACACTCGATACATATGAAATTCACTGTTCGGGGCTTCTCGCCTCTTGAAGTTAGTCATTAATGAGCACGCAACTGTTATTAGTACGCGAGGTAGTGGAGACTGTAAAATCTTCATACTTTGCATCAAGCACTGATTCCAACAGTATTCATAAACCGCCTATTCTGCCGATAAATGAATATGAAAAGTGTTTCATAGTACACAAGTTACTCTAAAGCTTCTGTTTTTCTGTGTATTGTTTGAAGTTTCTTGATGACATTATGGAGTTCATCCAAAAAGCTTAACTATAAAAGTCCATTATAAACGGCAAAATCTAAATAAGTCATTTCATCTATGATTTAATGCTTATAACCGTAAACATCCGTCGTCGAGGTTTCTGTCAGTCGAATTTTGGTGAAAAGTTCTTTTTGGTGAGACTATAATCTATGAACGACCTTTAAGCGACACCTTATTGACCTTGAGAATGTCCACTTACTTATTAGGGTTAAATGAGGGTAACAAAGCAGTTTGGAGAATAAGGATTATGCTTTACAACCGATGGTTATGGTTAGGAATTAGGCTTATGGTTTTCATCACGAATTGAAATTATCTCAAATGCCAAAACGTTATTTAGACATGTGGGTGAATGAATTTCGCTTCAAAATCCAAAACCTGTTATCGTAAATCTGATTGATTCGTCCATAGATTACGGTCTCGCCGCTGTTTTTTCTTGAATAAAGTTTGTATGAAATAATAAAACATATTTTACTGAATAACATAAATATTTAGACAGTACTTACTAAAATCTTGTTATGTAATGTGATAGTTTGATTCATAGCATAAATCATTCTCGGATATTTTTTAAGGGGAGGGAGAAGGCATTAACTTGATAGGATTTTGATTCCTTCTAATGTAAAAATTAAATTCACATTTTTCATGAAATCCCAAATACATTTTATCTTTGTTAACAGATGTACCTTCAAAACCTAGAGGACCTTTAATGATTGATATAATACCTACCTGTTCTCCAATATATTCAAGAAGGCCATCATCTAGTCTAGAAAGGATTGAATCTCCGTTATCATTCTCAACACATACAACACCACACTTGGACTCAAAAGGTATTCAACTTAAATGGCATGCACCCAGTGACACAGGTGGTTTACCTGTCACAGAATATGTGATAGAACGTCGTGGAGGTCCAGTGAAAAGTACCGCAAGTGAATGGATCCCCGTATTATCTGTTTCAGGAGAGACGACTTCAGCAGTGATTCCATTTCCAAGTACTCTGAGTAATGTTTATCCTTATTCTTACCGTGTTCGAGCAGTCAATCGTATGGGTGCAAGCAGTCCATTAGAAACTTTAAGACCATTGGATTTGGAGACATCAATGTCAGATCAACCTAGCAGACCTTCTTCTCGTGTTAGTTACCGGCCACTACCACCCTCTGCACCAGCTGGACCCTTACGATCAGAATTTCTTCCTTTTGATTCAGGTCTTCACCTAGAATGGCAACATCCTCAAAAGAGTTCTTACAAATTAGATGAATCACTGTCTATGCCATCCTCATACGTGATCGAAGCTACTGAGGCTAGCAGACCAGATGCACCTTGGATCGAAGTTGGCCGTGTCCCTGGTACTGTAACATCGGCTGACGTTCGAATTCTGCCTACACCGTATAGAAGCGAGTCGACGGAACGTCCATATACACCAAGCCCATACCATGTACCCCCTACTCTTCTATATCGAATAAGGGGTGAAAATGAATTTGGTTTAAGTGCACCACTTGTGACAAGAATTGAACCACATGGTTATTCTGTATATGAATCCAAACCTGGGTTCGAGCATCCAAAACTAAGCTCCGGTCGCCTTGAAACTCGTCTACTGCCAATGTCATCAGAATTTCAACTGCCTCAGATTGAATTACGCTGGCCCCCTCTTGCTCCAGAATACAGAAGACAAAGTTTCCCATCATCGGCTGATCACCGACCTATAACCCCGCTCGTAACACCAGATATAAGTTACCTTGTTCAAGTTAGAAAAGCTGAAGACATTGGATGGCAGACATTGGCCACTTTACCATACGGTCAAGAAACATTTATTTATCACCCCAAAGTAGAAAAAGTACCTCATAGACCACGGTCTAGTTTGGGCTCAGTCTACAAACTAGAAGATAGACCAATATTTGAAGCTTACCAGTTCCGTGTAGCTCCAAGAAGTCATTTCGGTGTTGGGAGATTCATAGAATCGGATGTGGTCAGCTGGAGTCCGTCTCATTTGCAAGCTGGTGATTATAGAACAGTAAGCTTACCGGGACCTATTTCAATGGAACTTATGGTTCCATCTGTCCCTCAGCCAATAATACCTTCTCCTGAGCGTTTCCACTTGGTTGATGTGTCTACCGAGTCAGCTGGTGAACGTATGCAAAACAGATTGGGAAGTGTAACACTATCCTGGCATCCTCCAGCGGGTATGTCTTCTACCTTACGCTCCACTGCAGATTTTGTCGTTGAATCATGGCGTCCAGACAAACAAGAATGGTGGCCGATAGCACGACGACCAGCTGCTATCAGTGCTGAATCTGTACCGGGTAAATATGAAATAACCATCGATCGCTTACCACTCGGACAAACCTATCATTTTCGCGTTCTAACGGAAACAAAAGATGGTCGAAGTGAACCAGTTATTCTTCCACAACCTGTTTTCATGCCACAAGTAGATAAAGAAAAGAAAGGTAAGTTATCTTCTAATTTGAAGACTATCATTTTATCAAACTTGAGAGTAGGTTGACTTAAAACTGCGACTTAAACTTGACAACGGAATAGAATAGCACAGATGTATAAATCATACAGGTAACTAAACTGTTCATATGTAAATTAATGGACGATCAACTGACCAAAAATCTTGTCACCAAACTTGAGAACAAGATCTTAATACAAAAATTACTTTTATTAATGCTCATATTTGAACAAATTTTCCTTCAAATTACCAACCAGCTGTCATTTTTATGCCTAAATGTTTTAATTGTTTACTATGTTTGTATTTCATTACAAACTGAAATTTAGGGTATTTTTTTATAACTGATATATAATATACCATTGTGAGCCAGGGCAATTTTACATTGGTTCTCAGGAGAACTAGACACCGTTCAGACTTTCACGTGACAACCCAAACAGTACAGCTCAATCCCGCTTCACAAGAGAACCAGACACCGTATAGGCTTTAACGCTACAATCTGAATAGTACAGTTAAATCCTGTAGCGCAACCACACAGGTACCAAGCACCCTGGTGGACCAGGTGTCTGACAGTGGAAAACAACATCTTCCCTGTTTTGTTTTCATATTTGTTTTTATAACTTAAACTGTCACAACATGAGTACTGAACTGTCATCTAGTTCATCGGCACTACAACTAACGTGGTTCAGTTAGATGAAAGGAATCACCAATCGTCTATATTTTATTTTCAGATATAAACCCAAGAAAAGTATTCTTTGGGAACGGTAGTGATCTTATATATTCTTTTATCATGTTCGCATCGTTTATCTCTTTCTATTAAGGGGCTACGTTTACCTCGAGATGCAGAACAGGTTTTGTATGACAGGGGCCATCTAATGTAGAGATCGATGAGCGATGACCTGTAAACGAAAATCAACCCATGAGACCACTTCAAAAAATGAGTGAGAGACAAGAATCGAGATAATTTGGAATTATTTTAGGAGACACAACTTTTTCTGTGATGATCTTAGAAAATGAAGTAATAAATCAAACTCTGCCTGTTATCTAGGGAACCTGAGGAGTATAAATGTGCTCCTTCTTCAGCATTAGTCACACAATGTATCTCACAAAAGACTGTTCAAGAATATAGTTGTCAGATTTCAGAGCTCTAGAATGAATTTCCAAGATATTTCAAAAGTTCCGAATATCTTTTACCAATGTTTAACATTATAAATGTTTCATCTATTCTTATCTTGAAGCAGCTAATCATGATCACTAAATGAAACTAATTAACCTCCAGTGCAATAGTGACTTGAATAAACGCTTCAGTCATGCTGAATTGGCTGAATTCCATTTTATTATTGATAAACTATACGTCTGTACGTAAATTGTTCATTTTTGGAGTCAGCTTACATTTATGAACCCTAGTATACAGAAACTTGAATCTCACATAATACACTTAAGTCTAGGGTCAATATTACACCATTTACGCTAACTACAAAAATCTAATGAAAAGCTGTGCACAGTTTCTCGTTAAAGAAGTTTCTTCATGTCTGATCAAGCAGCTAGATCAAGTTAACATTTTTCATAATATTAGCTATGGCTTGACGATGTATAGTGTTGAGTATTGAAGATAACGGTACGTAATTCTATTAGTTTTTAATCAAATGTGAATAAAGTTTGCCGCATTTTATCGATTGGAGATATGTAACAGTCGTTAGAAGAATTAAAGAGTATAACTTAATCACAAAACTTCCGGTAATCTAAATACGTCGGTGACTAGTTTCATATATAATGTCAAACTTAGACTTCTTATACTAATACGGAAATACAAATTTGTGGATATACAGATATTAGAGATATTGGCAATAATTCTAATGAGTTCAGGTGTTTAGCACTTTCGTTTTAGTTATTTTGTAATGATTTTTGTATGTGTATTTTCTAAAATTTTCTCACAATAAATCATTTCTTATTACATAAACAGCGAAACCAGCTCCACCTTCTCATCTCAGAGTGTCATTATTAACTGGCAGTACAAAAGGTGCTTTGTTAACATGGCTTCCACCATCAACAGTAACATTCTCAGGTCGACGTAGCAGTTTGTCATTACGTTGTCCTCCAACTGGATATATATTAGAATATTGTACATTACCATCCACAGGAAATGAACCAACTACTTGGAAACGTTTGGCAGTATTGGATGCTTGGGAAACATCTTATCAAACAACTGATTTACAACATGAAACTAGATATCTATTTCGTATAATGTCTCGTGGACAGATCACTGATTCGCCACGTTCTGTAACACCATCAAGGCTTGGAAAAATTAGTCGAACTACAATTGATTCAAGCGTTCTTAGCGAACCAATCCATTCAGAAATATTTGAAATGCCGAGAAAAACAAGTAAGTTTACCCAAATATTTTTAGTACAGATTTCTACATAACTTTTAACAGATGACCTATTATAATCTTTACTGTCATTCTGTCATTTATAATAAATGTGCCCTTAAGCAAATACATATGATAGTACGTCTACATCTACATACGTCCTGTATCTCATTCACTCTTATAAACGTTGAGTTAGCTATTTCTGCCACTCCAATTATGTATTTTTTTGTTCGACTTTTATCTTCTGCCTGTATTATCGGATGTCTGAAATATACGTACTTCAAATACTTCCTTATTGACCTACTTATGTCTACGGTATTATTAACAGGATTTACTGACAGAATATATACGAAGATGAAGATAATTCGATCGTTATCATGTCAACCACGCTCACTAAGATACTGAAATATATTCGATCAAAGATATCAGAATTGATTAATATTCTTTGATTATGGATGATCGTAACTGACTAAGGCTAAGATTAATCTCATCAATATAATTGGAAAAATACAGGGAACATTATAAAGGAATAATCTCAGAGGATAAAATTACAGCCCAGAATCATGATTTTCTAGTCCGTAACTTTAGCAACGTTTAACTAAGAATTGAAATAATAGCTACTTGAATCAATTGAAGCTAGACTCATGATCTGAACTACCAAAATTACTAAAATCTCCACAAAACCCATTCTGATACTAATTAAAGTAATTATTCGAAAAATTAAACATTTGCTACATTGCATAATATGTAAAACGAATCAACATACTTTTTTAATGAAAGGTAAGTATTATAGTAGCATCGAAAGACTGATTCTAAGAATGCGTAAAAGTAAAACGTGAAATTTAAAAAAAATTGTCTGAATATTTTTGAAGAAAAGCGTTTAATCAAAAGTTCAGCTAAAATTCATTCCTATAATGATAACCAAGGTAGTAAGTGGGATTGCACAAAATTCTTAGGTTTGTAAACACGAAATCCAATGGCTTTAGCAATATCCAAAAGATGAACTTGTAAACCATATGTTAAATTTGATGGAATATGTTAGATAACCTTAAAAAGTTTATTCAAGTCAATTTGATATTATCTTGTGTCCAACCAAAAGAGCAAGAATCGAACACTTAAACACCCTTACCTGTTCTTTACTCAACCATGATAGGATGATGTTCTGCCATGCAATGAAGAACTTTCACCCGAAAACATCAAGAGGTCTAGATTACCCTGAAACATTTTGTTAGCGGGACATAGATTGGATTAGAGCATACTCAATTCATGATTGTTTTGGCGCACGCTGATTGGCTAATTCTTGTCCAATCAGCGCTAGCCGATACTTGGAGAACACATTAGAATCTTCTCATGTAAAAACTATAAATATACTAACGTTTTTCCCATTGTGATTCTTACTTTCATCTAACCTTTTTATTTGGAATATTATCTCTTTCCTGTTCAACCATGTTCTGATTTGGGGACTTGTCGAGTGAATTAGTGTCAAGAATCCTAAGCAACAGGAATAGCTGTGTTGTAATAAGAGAGAATTATAACACATTTCTACTTTAAAATACAAGCAATTAGGAAACTCTTATTGAGATACTTATTTTGAGGGTTTATAGGAATACAAAAGATGAAAAGATATTGTACAACTACAAACCATTCAAACTAATTGTGTTAGGTTCTTACTTTTTCTTTTCTTCTTAATTCATCGTTTGTCAGTTAGTTAATTTAGTGATTGAATGTTAAATTGCTGCTTTAAAATGAATTGAGTTTGATCTTAAACAATCGTTCTAGATGTACACTAACGTATAAAAGTAACTCCAAACTGATAAGAAACAAATTTTCAATACTTTACATTGCCTTTATGTTAATTCATGATAAAAAGAATGCTGAAGACTGTGTGTATGATGTTTTGCATTTCTTTAAATTCCTCACTTATCAGAATATAGACAAACTAATTATGTAACAGTAATCGTTTATGAAATGGATCTACAAAATGATGACTACTTTTTAATTCCTTTTCCTTTTCTAGTTACTGTACCAAAATTAACTGGTGATTTAACAGTGAAATCAACAACCAGTTTATCTTCACTCTCACCATCGGTTTCTTTACACTGGCAACCAATTGACGAACCATTAACAGGATATATAGTAGATTTATATGATTTAAAAGAACCAACTGGTTGGAGAACAATTACACGGATTGATACAACTGAAATACGTCATCCATTCCATGGTGTTACAGTAACAGGTCTTCTACCAGATCATTCTTATCGATTCCGTGTTATACCATATAAAGATGATTTATTTGGTCGACCATTAGAAACTTTGAAAGCTTATACTGTTCCAAAAGCAGTAGGACATGAGGATACTGATTATGAATCATTAATTATTCCTCCACCTAGGGGACCATTATACGTGGAACCGGTCGGTGGTGGTGTTTATCGTTTAAGGTGGCAACCAGTGCAACTAGGAGGATTAACTGACCTTATGCATAGACGTAAATTAGATGAGGAAATTGAATATATTATTGAACAACAAACACCAAATCGAAGATTTTGGTTCGAAGTTGGCCGGACTCGTCTTACTGATTATGTATTACCGATTAACAGTGCTACAGTTAGATTTCGTATACGCTCATCATTAGCTGATATTTCGTCAAGTATTGACAAACACACTAACTATTCACTTTCATATGATGGTCTCCTCTCCGAATGGATTCATACATCAGATGACAGTTTACAGTACGAAAATATACCTCGCATCGGAAGTCCGAAGAAACGATTATCTAGTGATGAAGTTTTTGACATTGGTCGAATTGTTCCAGATGGATTACGCGTTCTTCATGTTGGTCCAACTTCTGCCTTACTGGGATGGAATTCTCTTAGAATAGATGAGGATACATTACATCCATACTATCTCATTTTAGAGCGACGTATTATTAATAAGTACAAACCAAGTGTTTGGGAGCCTGTAGCAAGAATGCGCACTTCTGATACATCATACGAAGTACATGGTTTATCTTCTGGTACAACATATGATTTTCGTCTTGTTGGAATTGAAGAATCAACTAAAACTCGAAGTACAAAACACTGTCAACTTTCAAAACCATTTACAACTCTTGGACAAATTGATTCACTTGAAGATGATATGAAAATATTTTGGATTGATCAACCAAGATCATTTAATGCTATTAGTAAAATTGATGGAACTCAAGAAGGTATTATGTTAACATGGAAATCACCTGAAATGCCTAATCGTTTAGATGAGAAATTACTTTATAGAATTGAAGTAAGAGGTTTTAATTTTTCAGGTGAACCAATTACTAATTGGACTAAAGTTATTTCAGAATTAAAAACAACACAATATTTTATTAGTTATAATAAATTAGATAATTTATTTAGTCAATCATCTAATTATCAATCTAGTAGTATCTCATCTATAACTAGAAGAAGACATATAAGATCAATTGATTTTGATCAACAACAATGGCAATTTCGTGTATTCGCTGAATTGGATAATAAACAAAGTTTACCAGCTGTTACAATAACACCAATCACATTAATTCCTCAAGCCAGTAAGTATATTCTCCTTTTCTTAATAATGAATAGTATTATAAAGGTATTATTCACTTTATAGTTTTCATTAATAGATTATAGCATGACATGAGTGTTGTTACGTCAAATAAATTGATAAGTCTTGCTAATTGAACGCTATAATCGGTTCTTAAACTATTCTTGTAACTCCCGAGCTAGAACTACACAGCAACCTGAACACGAGAGAAAAAGCACAAAGGTTTGTTTTAGTACGGAAAATATAGGGTTTCTATAGTATTTTAGATGTCCTTGGGTTTCCCGAAAATTATCGAATGCTACTAAGCATAGTAGCAGTATAGTAATCATCCAATCAGAAACTCTACATGTGACTTTTCACTTTCTGGATGTTTCCGTCTAAACATCTAGTGAACGCTGATTAGTGTTTTCTGAGCCTTTGTTGGCTTTTGCGAGAAGTTTTCTGGATCACCCCAACATAAACAATTAAAAAAATGATTATTGTAACTTGATTCTAACTGATGTCTTAATAGATCGTATAGATTTATCTTAAGTTCTTTTCAACTGCTCACTATTCAACAGTATTACCTCATATTAGTTCCCCAGATAAACCCCTTCCTGCAGTATTCCACAAGTTTCAGGCTTATATGATCAAAATATTAGGTTTTAAAAAAACATCATACTCAGGCCCTACTCAAATTAAAGTTAAGTAAACTATATTCTGTATATACTACTGTTTATTGTATTCATCTATTTAAGCCAAATATATTTGTTGGCTTTGTTTTCGGTAAGTTAATTATTCAAATAATAGAAAGCTCTTTAAGCCTTCTAACAAATTTTTTTAATACAATGTATTCAATTAAGGTATTTTGTTTAATTTAACCATGTTTTAGTACGAGCACACATTTGTTTCTCCCCTTCTGGGTGCATAAAAACCGTAGCAAGAAACCCATTAGAGTGAAAATCTCGTGAACAACTGGAGAAGCATTTGGTTAATCGTCAAACTGATGCTCACTCTAATATGGATTATTTTGATATCCGGAGAGCCTTGAAAACATCGGCGACATCTGCAAGTGACTATAGCCAAAAGGTTAATAAAAATTGGTAGATTTCAACAGCGTCTTCCGAACTGACGGATATTCGGAAACTCATACTGTCAGACTCCGAACATCATGAGGAAAGAAGGCAACTTATACGTAGACTGCTTTATTGGAGAACTTTGGTCGCCATGCATACACTTCTGTAAACTATATTATTTTCACAAGCTGAAGAGTTCTAAGGAGGATGAAACGCTCATCTTGGATTCTACCGCTACCCACCATCCATTTCTGCGTAAAATGTTTTTCACTTACTGGGAATATTTAGGCGATCCCCACAGGATGTACATATATCCCAAAAGAAACGGATCAATTGTAGTTCTAAACATCAATAGGAAGATCCAAACAACTAATATATATGAATCACAATTTTCCAAATGGTTTTAAGTCAGCATTTCATAGATTATGCCATCAAATACTAAATAGGTTCTTGACATTGTCTAGTTGTTCGACAAAATTAAAACAAGACAAATGGTTCTAGTGTATTGATAATATACTGTTCTTTATACTGTAAACAATGTTTATTAATTTTCTTCATTGTTTACAAACAGAACGAAGTCCATTACGTTTCATCAATTTGCGAGATGATCGCATTATTTATGCTGTTCGTGGGCAAAAATTAGTTTTGTCTGTAGAAGTTGAAGGAGAACCGAAACCAAATGTCTTTTGGTTAGTGATTAACTGATTTTCTACATATTTTTATATTAAAAATTACTGTAGCTTTAGTTTTTCTGTACATTTTACCTATACTACTAATGAAGATTATATAGTAAACAGATAAAATGTGGTATTGTTGAGAAAAAACCCACAAATGTGTGGTTGTAATCAGTTTACAAAATGCTTTGACATGTATTATGCGGAGTATTTTTTTTACTGAAATCCGTCAGCTTATCACAGTATATTAATTTTCAGAAGAGGTTTTGTGGAGATTGTAGTAATCTTATAATTAAAATCATGAGTCAATTGAAGTTAGACCACCATGGAAAACCTGTAAGTACTGGATGGAAGGTTTGTCCTATTGTGGTACACCTCAGCATAGAGCATCCACGATCCTGGCCGCCCGATTCGAACTCAGGACCTATCATTCTCATGCGCAAACTCCTAACCTCTAGACCAATGGGCCCGCTGGGATCCAACGGTGTTAATGTCTAACTCCAACCAATCCATGAAATCGAGTCACCATCAATCACTATATTCAGTGAGTTACTATCTCACAACAGACCCGGTTGTAAAACCTCTTTTCAACTGACTAACTAACTATAATCTGAATGCTTTAATGTATTTCTATTGTATTCATTCGTTTACATTATCAAAATCATTATTACAAAACACTATACATTATTCACTGTTGAAAATATATTAAAAATTATTTTTTTAAATGAGACGTAGTCTTAATTCAAAGCTATTTGTGTTATGTTGTGTTAGAAAGCGATAGAAATCTTTATGATAGAACAATCTAGAATAACATGAATTGTTCATTTATCGATGCATGCCGTTTGTTACCGAATTTCAATAAAGTGTAATTTTAAAACTGTTGAGGTGTTTTTTTCCATTTCTTTTTGTTAGCCACTTCTGAAAGTATTATGAAGATGACTACAAAATTTTAAAAAAACTATTTGTCATGTGTAACCAACTTGTCAGTTTAAAATGGAAAACCCGGAAGTACTGGACGGCCATTTCGTCATAGTATGGGACTCCTCAGCAGTGCGCATCCACGATCCCTAACGCTCAACTCTGATCTAGAGGTTAGGCGTTCGCGCGCAAGACCAATAGGTGCTACGTCCGAGTCCCACGGTCGATGTAGTAGGTGCTCACTACGACGGGACGGCCGTCCAGTGCTTCCAGGTTTTCCATGGTGGTCTAGCTTTAATTGACTTATGAATTCAACTATTAAAACGATTTGATGGTGGTTGGAAGTAGTCAACAGGAAACTTGACCCGGGTTTCTTGCTCCTTGGCACTCGTCAGCAAGGTGTACCTGTAATCTTTAGGGAACTGGTACTCCCTGACAGATCCAAGCCCATGTCACCCAGCTTCGCAGTCAGACCGACATCCTGTAGGACTGGGATGTAATCACAATTGATTGATCACTGTGTGATGATCAATGTCATGTGTGTCAATTCGATAGCATTTGATCTGCACTAAGAAGCACTTAAAATACATGACATTTATCACCACCCAGTGATCAATCAACTGTTATTAAAACGAATGTAATTGATTTACCCATCCAGTTCTCATGCAACCGATTTGTAATATAATTGAATACGCATTAATATATTTTAACCTTTTCTTATACAAAACATTTGTTTTTTTCTTACATAGGTATTTAAATCACATACAAATAGATGAAAAAATATTACCTGGTTGTCGTGTGGCTCAAATTGGTGTCGGTATTTATGAATTGACTATTGAACAAGTACAACCAAGTCATGCTGGTTTCTTAGAATGTCGTGTATGGAATATTTATGAGTCAATATCAGAAACATGGGAATTGATAGTTTCAGGTACGTGTCGAATTTTAAAATGAAATATTTAGCTCCACATTAATAGTATATATATATATATAAATATATATGTATACTACTCCTACAACTACCAATCTCACAAGGAGCATAATTCCCCTCAAGATTGCAGATAGTCCTTTCTGACAAGCGCAAACCAACACGAAACCCGAGTCCTAATGTTTTCTGTCAGATACCTTCAAATATGGTTTAGTGATTGAAGTATTCGATTTTCAGCCTCTGTATCTCAAGTCTGAGCCCCGCACCACCTACTTTGTTTTGCGCAACTAGGTGGCATCGTTAGCCATCACTCTCAGAGTGTGGCTCATATCCAAGTACCCGGAGAATAAGTTAACTTAATAAATAATAAGCCACCTAACACAACATATTTATTTACCACTAGAGGTGTGTGGATCGAAACTAAAAGTGCTAGGTTAGGATTCTAGTTACGGGGTTATGGATGCGCACTACTGAAGAGTCTCATAGTAGAAAAAGACGCCTGAAAAATGCTTCCAGGCTTTTAGTGGCTGTTTAACTTAGATCAGTTTATGATCCCAAAAATTTATTTATTTGGTTTATCCAGTATGGTATATGGGTTTGAAGTTATCATATTCTCATACCAAAAAAGCCTTCTCGTTTCACTTTGATGAAACAAGGTGATTGGAAAAATACAAATATTGAATGCCTAGTGAACTGTTCAAATTATAAGCACAATACTAAATTTTGGAATTATCTTTGGAAAAGAATGACAGTAATAAACGATCCTACTCATTTCAATTATGGTTTAACATGTATACTACTTATAATTAGCTCTGCTCTGTTTTGAAAAATTGTAAATTTCGAAGTGAATATTTTGAAAGTAGTTGAACCTGAAAGAAAATTATCGGATAATTGGCCAGATAATGTATGTTTTGAGTCATAGAATTTCTAAAATGCACTTTATAGTACATAACTGATATGCTATTAAACGAAAAAGTTAATCGTGAAGAAAAACGGACACAAGGATGCAATTCGAAATCAAATAATTTCAATCAAATTATTTTTTTATATTCAGCGGTGCCACGATTCTGCCGACTTGGATGGGCTGCACAACCTCATGAATATGAATTAAGACATGGAGACAGCTGGTATCTACGTGTTCCATTAGAAGGTTTAGACTATATACAAGACCGTGATTGGATTACAAAAGTTTGGTTCGAACGTTTAAGTCATTTGACTTCTGGTCTTTCAGTTGAACCGTTGGAAAATCGTGTTCGAATAAATCTATCATCTGGTTGCCGTTGGGTTGAAGTGGTTGTTGACAAATTAAATCTAGCTGATAGCGGACTATATCGACTATGGATACAGAATCAAGCTGGTCGAGATTACATCGATTTGCGTTTACGTATTGCTGGTAAATTTGGTTTTCAATTACTTTGAATTATTTACCGTTTATTTCTTTGATCTGATTTGCGAAATTTGAGATAAATTACGATTCTTATCCCTATGTCACAATTCTAATGTAGTGAAGGAGAAAACAGGGACGAGAATCGATTATATTTAGCACAACATTAAAGAGTTACTTGATGAAATAGAAAAACAATACTCTAACACTTCATTTGCAAAATGTTCGTTAATTGTCTTAGACTTCATTGTTCCTGCATTTCTATACCAACTGCTTTCCACTCCCGTTTTTCTCTCTTCGATCTTCTCAACATTCTACTACCAGACATTCTATTCCTGACTAGCGTTATATACTACTTATGTCGACATACGTAGCATACCACACTACGAACCAAAGGAAGGGTTTACTGCACAGCAGTTCGTCCCGTCCTACTTTATGACTGTGAAACATGGCCGGTAAGAGTGGAAGATATTCGTAGGTTGATATTATTCGATCATAGGTGTCTTCGAAGCATTGTTCGTATATCCTGGGACCACCGAGTAAGTAACGCAGTTGTTAGGAAACGGGTAATAGGTAAGGATGCCAAGTCAATTGATGACGTAGTGAAACTTCATCAGTTGAGATGGCTGGGATACGTGTTACGAATACCCAACCACCAACTGCCCCGACGTGCGATGTTTTATGGTGTAGGAGAAGGTTGGAAGAAAGGTAGGGGCGGCCAGACCAAAACATGGCACAAATTCATGTAGTCACTGACAAGTAGACTGAGTCATATTGGTAGGTGTAGACTACCTGGTTGGGGACCACGAGATGATAGCAACCGATGGTTAGAGACCCTGAATGACATGGCTGAAAATCGTTTGCAATGGCGCAGGTGCATCCACTCTTTGTGTCCTCACAAATTCTAATCTTCTGAAATCTTCATGTCCCTTTGTTATTTTCTCTTTTCAACTTTATTTCACTGGATTATACTCCTTGAATAATATCTTTAAACCCTAGTGTTTCCGATTACTGCTTATACTTTTACTACCTCTACCTCTATGCGATTTGAATCGACAATTGTATCTTTGTGCTAATGTGGTATGGCAACTTGAACTGGTGTACATACATATGAAGTTCTATGTTGTTAATTGACTGACTGACTGACTGACTGACTGACTGACTGACTGACTGACTGACTGACTGACTGACTGACTGACTGACTGACTGACTGACTGACTGACTGACTGACTGACTGACTGACTGACTGACTGACTGACTGACTGACTGACTGACTGACTGACTGACTGACTGACTGACTGACTGGCTGACTGACTGACTGACTGACTGACTGACTGACTGACTGACTGACTGACTGACTGACTGACTGACTGACTGACTGACTGACTGACTGACTGACTGACTGACTGACTGACTGACTGACTGACTGACTGACTGACTGATACCACACTACCATCGTTATGTCGAATAATCTTCTAAAAACGAGCTTCTAAACATATATGTATTGAGTGTTTCTTATGAATCAAATGAATAACTTAATAAAATAGGTTTTATACTTCACAATTCTTTTAATCCCATTACTATTGTCTTGTCACTGTGATGACCCTTTATTATGTGATTATTTGAATAAAACCCGACGAAAACTGAGGCAGGATAAAATGAATTTAAAAGGTGAGATCGTAATTGTTATACCGAGCAGAAACTGACAAAATGAACCATGTAACAGTTATAGACGGTGGATCAATTTCTTAGATTGGTTAGAAATTAACACCATTGGATCCTGGCCGGCTCAGTGGTCTAGAGTTTAAGAGTTCGCGCGCGAGACTGATATCTATCTATGCAATGCAAGTGTATAACATTTTCTAAGTACATGATAAATTTTCATTGAACTATATATTTTCTTTAAGACAGACCATCATGTTACGTTCGATACTTGAATAACGCAGAATACGGTATATAACTACGGCACTCGAACGTATAGAACCCCACAGTCACAAAATCAGAGGATAGAAGGAAGCTACATAAGTGTTTGTTGGATAAGAATCAGAATGTACAGAAAAGCATGCGTATTTATAGATATTAGCGTTTGTTATAATATCATTATAATTCCGCCAATCCGCAAAGAGACAAGTTATGCTACTGTCCAATTGTAGTGTGCCACTTTGATATTCTAGAAAGCTCCATCACGTTCTGATTGTTTGGAAACTTGTCGGCTCTTTTAGAGTCTCTAGAGGCTCCATTCTAATTCTCAGAAGCTATCCCAACACATCAGAATTCTTCTGAGTGTATATCTTACAGTTATTTCAATATTTTTTTAGTAAATATTTTCTATATAGGTGTTGACGGTCAAATTTCTGTCGAATTACTTTTACCATATATAGCCTCTTAGATATAACTTAAGTGAATGGAGTAAGTGTCGACAATACAGATAACGTTTTCTAAAAAAAATATATAAATAATGTATGTTGTTTATCTCTGTAATTCATCTTTCATGTCGTATCTCATATTAGAGTAAAATTTACATGAAGATTACTGGTTATCATACAAAGAATATTGTCAATGTGCAGCCTAACTCAAGTTATGGTATAAACTTAGCAGGGATGATGTTAGTTCACCGATTATAATTGGTTGCAGACATGTAATAAGTATAAGTACATTTATATATAAGTACATATAAGTACACCTAAATCTGAAAGGGAGGTGTTGTGGAGATTGTAGTAATTTAATAGTCGAATTCATGGGTCGATTAAAGATAGACCACCACGGGAGACCTGTAAGCACTGGACAGCCGTTTCGTCCTAATAGGAATAGCAGTACACATCCACGATCCCGAGCGCCCAACTCGAACCCATGACCTTCAATCTTGCGCGCGAACACTTAAACTCTGGACTACTGGGCCGGCATCCAACCTGTATCTTATGATCCCTTAAAGTAAATAGTAACAGAAAACATTAAAAAGCATTAGAAAATCAATATTCATGATATTTAACTTGTTACAATCATTATGAATGTAAGTAATTATCTGAAACAATTTTATTTCTCATTAGAAATATCTCACCAGAATTTTAATTAATCTTATTTTATTTAGATAAACCTTGTGCCACACTACAGAAACCTCGAGTGAAACCACATGGACCTGGAACATTACTTATAGAATGGACTCCACCTTTGATTACTGATCGTTTAGAATCTTTAGTTAAATTTACTGGTTATCGGGTAGAGTATCGTCGTGATGAACCTGGAGAAGATTGGTTCCTTCTTGGTACTACATCTGCTGATCAAACTTATTTTATTGCACGTAGTCAATTAAGAAGAGGTGTAAATTATCGTTTCAGAGTACGATTAGAAAATTGGCATGGATTAGGACCAGCTAGTGATGCATCAGAACCAGCACAATTACCAGTACATCGGCTTACAGAAGGTATATATAATAAAATTTACAAATACAGTTTTTGTTGTATAAATGTAAATAAATTACTTCTCATTGAAATTACCAACATGTGAATGAAATTGAACTAAAGTTACAAAAAAATATTTTCATTACCAAAATGTTAACACGAAACTTTACTAGACAGCCTTGTCTGACTCCGGTTCTTACTTGGAATGCATCTGTCAGCTGTCCCCCATGCACGACTTTGCACTGTAGTCCGTCGTATGAGTTCCGGATAATGTTGAAAATCTTATCAAGAACTTCACAGTGTTCACTAATCTATTCTATTTGTTTCCTATTGATTCTTATCATTTTTCTTCGTCTCGTTAGTAACTCTTGTCATTTGTTGATTTTCTTTTAATAGAATGCCACTTTAAGCCTATGTCTATTTTAACTCCATTTTTTTATTGAAATCATGAACCGGTCAGTGTTAGACAACTATTAAAAACCTGAAAGAACTGGACGGCCGTTGCGTCCTAGTATGAGACCCCTCAGAAGTGAGCATCCATCTTTATTTTCCCCCTCATTTTCTTCATACTTATCTTAGATAATGTACACCATACACAGATCTTAAAAAACTGATCTACATGTCGCTTTTGTTTCACAAAGATGTTTTCTTCGAACCAATAGAACGATGATCTATAAATATTGTAAACTAGAACGTTATATCCAAAGTGAAATGTTTTACAACTCTATAGTCACATTCAATTTACTGTATACTAACTCCAAATATTAGCCAAATTATCCAATTCAGTCAATTAGTTGACTGATATCCGTTTAGCGGTCAGATCTCTAATAGACAATTGTTATATTTGCTCAAAGGCTTTCTGTAGATTTTATCCTAACAATATTCATGCACAGAAATTAGGCCGGGGATATTTGCATAGGTGTCACAGACTCTAACTGTGATTATAGGTCAACCTATCTAGATCAAACTAAATATTGTAGTCAGACTAGTCATCCTGATTACTGTGAAAAATGTAAATTTTATGTTGGCTAGTTGAAAGTATTCAGCCAAAGCTTAAAATTTGTTCAGTGCTTATAGATGCTTATCAATGGAAAAGTAAACAACTTCGTGTGTGTATAGAAGACTTAGGCTTTAAATTCTAAGAACTACAGTTTTTGTCTTTGATAATGGCATTTGTTTACTAGAGTTCTAACGGAAATTCAAAGCATAAATCTAAATCAATATAGTGTATAAGCAACCATGAAAATGTGTTCATTTATTATTATTATTATTATTATTATTATCAGAATGGGGGTTTGTGGAAATTGTAGTAATTTTAATAGTTAAATTCATGAGTCGATCTAAACTAGACCACCATTGAAAACCTGAAAGCAGTGGAATGCCGTTTCGTCCTAGTATGGGATCCCTCAACAGTGCGCATCCACAATCTCGTATGCGAGACTCGAACGCAGGATCTTCGGTTTCGCTCGCGAACTCTCAACACCGTTTGATGTTGGCCCAGTGGTCTAGAGGTTAAAAGTTCGCGTGAAAGGCGGAAGGTCCTGATTTATTATTGTCTTTTCCAATTACTTAATAATAATTTTTTAACCTACTTACATATTTGAGTGAACAGTTTTTTTTACTAATTTAATCATCAGGCTCTACAGTTATAAACCAAACTAAAGCTTGCATTAGTGAATTTGACAATATTCTTTAAAATGATGAACTTGTGCATCTGAGGACATAAATACTTCGAAATCGTGCCATTTGTAAATTAGAAGGGTCATTTAGTAATGGTCAGACTGGTTTGTAATAGCGTCAAGCTAAAATCAATGATAGTAATATTAGTACAAAGAATCTCGTGAACAAAATGTATAATAGGAGAATGTTACCTCGGTAATGCGGGTTGTAATAATAATAACGTTGTGTGAATATAATATGTAATAAGAGGTTCTGTGAATGTTTAGATTAAAAATTATAAACAAAAAAGGAATTAAGAGAAGATAAGAGGTTTATAATATCCAATTTACGTATCTGGTACTCCAGTCGTGAACCAAGGTAAACAAAATAGAGGCTGGATATTTTTTTCTGGATACATGGGTTCGGTTTTCTGGAGTTGATCCAGACAGCTTCAGCTATGTAGAGCAATCGTAATCTAGCTCCTTTTGGTAAATTGTTTGCAACTTGATACGAAACAGAAGAAGTTTCATCTATTTTAATATGCTGTTCACAATCTACCAAATGAGAAAAAATGGCGCTGTGAACATACTTTGTGACTCCATTTCCCAACCATGCTGGTGGATGTTCACGAACACACAAGGATGAAGTTCTCTGAGTACGGCCTATGTAACTAGTTCCACTTGGAGCAGTTGAATTGGTAATACACACATAGAGGAGCCCATCATCGGTAACCTATCCTTGATTTCTTGTGTAATTACTGGTTTAGCTGAAAAAATTATACGTAACTTGGCAGCGTGAAACGTTCTTTCAACAGATCTTTTGAGTCAACGTGTCAAAATGTCACCCACCTTGTCCTCTTAAAAGTCCAGTTTCAGATACAGTGTTTTTTTTACCGACCGAGTCACTGTTTCTTCTTTATTGTAATGCCTTCTAATAGAATTTTTCTGACGAAATTATCTAGATATCCATTATTTCATTGTTCTTTAGTTTAGCAATTTCGCTTTCTACACTATCATCAGAAGATAATAGTTTGATTCTGTGACTGAGACATTTAAGCAAATTTATTTTGTATTGATGAGGTGTAAAGCTATGAAAATGGGTATACTAACCCGTGCAAGTACTCTTTCTAATTACATTTCTTTTTACGGAAATATCTATCCTACTAGAAAGTATAACATCAAGGAAAACTATACAATCATCGTTTTCCCCCTACTTTTATATTGTTTTTAGTTTTGGATCTTAATGATATGGAATTCCGTCATTATACAGATGGATCATTCGATTCACGATATGACATTATTGAAGAGTTAGCTCGGTGAGTCAATTTTATACATATTTGATAGACACGAATAAGTATTATATTGATAAACTTGTAAACTTTAAAAATGCTCTGTATCTCTTATTTCTCTGGTTTGATATATACAAGCATACCTCCATTAGTTATTCTATAAAATAGTGTTTCTTATAGTAAACAAAGGATTAAGAACAATACTAAAGTTAAAGGTTATCAACTTATCTGATGAATTAAAAATGAACTTGCATTATTCTTTCTCATAACTCTCGCCAGACTATGAACATCCGTCTATAAAACTTTATTGTACTTGATAAATTTGAAGTTGATATCTATTTTGTATCGTACTTCTCAGCTCCTGAGCATTATTATATGTTCTATAATTGTAAGTAAATAGTTGAGTTTATAAATCAATTAAAGCTAGACCATCATGGAAAACCTAGAAGTATGGGACGGCCGTTTCGTCCTAGCATGAGACTCCTCAGTAATGCGAATCCACGATCCTGCCTAGTGGGGTCCGAACCCAGGATCTATCGGTCTCGTGCGTGAACACTATAATTGTATTGTAAAAAATACTCCTTAACCATTTAGAATGTAATACAAGAATTCTCATTCAAAAAGTCAATATAAGTATACGTATATTTGCCTACACAGTCTTAAGTATTGTGATTTCATGCTGATACATGATCTTGAACAATAAATTATGTCAGAAGGGGTTTTTGCTAATATTATATTAATTCCAATAGTTGAGATCACGAGTCGATTGAAGCTAGACCACCATGGAAAACCTGGTAGCACTGAACGGCCGTTCCGTCCTATTATGGGACTCCCCAGCAGTGCGCATCCACAATCCCACCACCTGAGATTCGAACCCTGGACATATCAGTTTTGTCAACCTAGTAATTTAATACATAAAACTACTTCATAGTGTATCATGTCTCTAGAATAAACATATAAATTATATGCAGATATAAGTCTTTCAAGGAATATTACATTTAATGGAGATTTTGAATTTATTGATTGGGATCATGAACCGATTGATGTTAGACCACCATTGAAACCTAAAAGCACTGGACGGCCGTTTCATCCTACTGTGTGACTCCTCAGCAGTGCGTATCCACGATCCCGATTCATAATCTCAATCAAAAACTCAATAATCTCCACAACCCTATGCTGATCATTTTAAATTTAGTCTTGATTTTTATTTGGTGTGTCCGCAAGTTTTTCATTTTGCTGACCCTCCAAATAAAGATTGTATTGTAGATTGTTTAAAATAACCTCGGAAATCCAAACTTTCTTCACTGATGAATGTTTGAATGTACGGTCAAAGAATTCAGTTTTCTTCTAAATGGCTTCCAGTATAGTGATAAGTATATTCCTGAATGGAATAATCTTAGTTAAATTGATAATTATAGAACATTTAGTTATATGGATTATGTATATTGGTTTAATATAAAGAGAATTTTCATTACTAACTTTTGTCAACTGGGTTAATACAAAAAAGCAGAGAGAATCGGATAACTATTTCATTCTAGTTTAAGTTGTGCTTATGCTCACCATTTAGCAGTCCCAAACTAGAATGAAACGGATATCCAGTGTTCTATGTTTTTCTTTAGTCCCCTTAGCTGATATCCGTCTTTTGTAAAAATACTCAAAAAGTCACATAATAATCAAAGCAATTAGTCCATTTGACAAATTTGGATAGTGTAATTAGAAAACGAAGATTATCAAATCTGTGATATGTTAACACAATACAGTTTGAACAATCTGATCACATATATACTTGTTAAAAACAATTATATATTAAAACTAAAGGTCAACTAGGCAAGTGGAAGGTAAAAGGAAACTAAGTTAATAAAGTTAGTATACACTATTTAACACTTTTAGGCAACATCACAAAAGCCATGTTAAAATCAATATTATGATCCGTTTCAACTATATGCTTGACAGAGTATGATGAATGTTTATCATCTACTCTTATTATTCGAAATGTATTGCGCTGATCTATCATATAGTTTTGATAATCTTTGTCCTCTTACTACACTATCCGAACAATATTAATTTCTGCGTTTTCTGTTGTTGTTTTATTTTATCTTTGCGTTTACTGTATCATTTTTGTGTAATAAACCAAGTGGTCATCATAGATGACTGAAACATTTTGATGTGATTATTTTTCATTCGTTTTCAGTACTAGAAATTCTGGTCTTTATAGACTTGCTGAACGCTCAACTGGTCGTTATTGGTTAGGGACTATTATAGATACAAGTCCATCTGCATTGACTAAACGTCCAGTTAGTGCTTTAGGTAAACGCGACATCAGCTATCCAGAATTACCTTCGCGTCCAGTTAGTGTTTTGGAAACTGAACGCCCTGTTCGTAGACGTGCTTCTTATGATATATCAAGGTATACAACTAGACATGATATTACTGACTGGGAACAAGAGAAAGCCGAACGTGAACTGAAACTACTTTCGCGTATCCAACAAGAAAACTTTGCACATCTACATGAAGCTTACACAGAAGCTAAACGTACTATTTGTGTAATGGAAGAGTAAGTACATTTTGTTTTGATCTATATATTTATTTGTTTACTAATTTACAACTAAAAGCTGATGTAACTCTACGCACTTACCGTACTAAAATTATTTACTCACTCATGTATAGATAGTATCAGTTAGTTATAGTAATAGGGCCCAGCACAAATGTTCGTTAGCCAAAGTTGCCATACTGCATTAACACGATGAAATTAAATTAACATGCTGAATATAAAAGGCATGAAAATAATATTAGTCTCAATGATAATTAAAAAAGTTAAACATTGAATAATGAGGTTAAGAAAGAATGAAAACAGTACTTGTATGAAAGAATATTTGAACTCGATAGCTCAAAAAGATAGAGTGGCTATATCTGATTTTGAGGCATTTCATCCAACGTCTTCAGCCATTGGTCACTATTATTGGATGGATGATGGCTAGCCTTGGAATCCAAGACAGTCTCGCTCTATTTGAGACTCCTCAGCTGATGTATCTGCACCTTGTTGATGTTCATACAGGGACTGGGACTTATTACTTTCCACTTTAAACGTCTAAGAAGTTATCCATTTAGATGCTGAGTTCAAACAGCTACTGACTTGTACAACAGAGTGAACTTTAATTTATTCGTATTGCCTATTTGAATCTGGGTTCAAGTCCAGGTGTGAATCACAAAATTAGAGTTCAGGTATATCCAGCTGACCATCTCCGAATAAGACGAAGTGTATGTCTTGGATTTCACTGATAGACACAATCCAAATTTATTTAAATGCTTGCGATTTGATTGTAATATCAAGGTCATTCACACTGGATGCACATATTCCAAAAGTAACTGATCAGTCACAGTCTACACCATCAACAGTAAGATCCAAACCAATAAAAGTGAACCTCGTTTATACATAAAGAGCTGCTTAGCTTGTGAATAGATTTTTGTCTTAATGGCCCTCCTCAAACTTTAAACTGTTTACTTTTTCAACATGAATATTTCTATTTTATTCAAATTATCATATGAAGTAATGAATGTGACATGTTTGAGTCCCTTCAACTAAAGTTTACAAAAGCCAGTGATTGGTAAGTTTGATTCAGAATCATATTGTCGACAGATTTAAATGTAACTTGACAATTTATACACAATTGACATACCCATTTTTTAAATTAACATTTTTAGTGTTACATCTGGTGATACATTATGGCATCAATTAGGCCGACGTATTACAGTAACTGAGCATAAAGCAGCGGATATATTACGTCAGTTATTAGATTTAACTGCACAAATACACAAAAGTGGTGGTGTACATCTTGGTTTACAAGTAAGTGTTATTATTTTATGTAGTAAATTAAATTGAAACTATCTTACATTGATGATGTGTAATAGATCTTGAATTTTTTTTTCTTCCTAAAATGCGAATTTTAATAAGCATCATAAAATTGACGAATAATTTATGAGTATAGGGTTATGGAGATTGTTGAATTTTAATTGAGATCATGAACCGATCGATGTTAGATCACCATTGAAAACCTAAAAGCACTGGACGGCCGTTTTGTCCTAGTATGGGAATCCTTAGCAATGAGCATCTACAACCCCGCAAGCGGTTCATGATCTCAATTAAAACTAAAAAATCTCCACAACCCCATTGTGATAATTATCATGTGTTCACTAGTGACTAACTTTGAGAAGTAATTCTAGGAATGTGAAGCAGTCACCCACCGAAGACAATGCAAGATGGTTGCGCGACAACATGGGTTGTTTGAAGTTAGACATTAACACCGTTGGATCCCGGCCGGCTCAGTGGTTTAGAGGTTAAGGGTTTGCGCATGAGACCGAGGGTCCTGGGTTTGAGCTGGGCGTGTGAGATGATGGATGAGTACCTCTGAATGGAAATTGCTTGTTTTTTTTCTTATTTTAAATTTATGGCAATTCTTTTTTTCTAATTCGACGATTCCCTTTTGGTTAGAATATATCTATCACCAGTATAATACATTTCTTTGAACACTATATCAATAATTTAAGAATGACCGACAATTTTTGAAAAAAAGAATAATTAAGTACTGTAATCATAGCGAATTAATAATCATGCAGATAACAGTAGATTATTGAGTATGGTAGATAGAAAGATGGGGGAGTTAACACCACTTTAGAATGAAGAATTGGAAATATATTCCTTTTGTATACAGAGATTAGGCTGGAGTCAGTGAATTCCCAAAGCTTCTGTATTACATATGCATTTATTGATATGTTTATTATTATTATTATTTAAGAGAAAGGAAAAGTTGAGTAGAAGGGTTTGAAATCAAATGAAAGGAGACTGAAAATAAATTGGTTACTTTAACAAATTTGTCTTGTTTCGTTTATTCCTTTTTGTAGCCAGAGAATATCTTCTTTACTGATCAATCTAGACAACGGATTGCATTGGCTGATCTAGGACAAACGCATGCTTCAAATGTTGATAAACCTGTTCGTTTATCATTTCGTTCTATGGTATATATTCCACCAGAATTAACTAATGCTATGCCAATTAGTAAATCGGCACGAGTTGGTCAATCTGCTGATATGTGGTCATTAGGTCTATTACTTTATCAAATGTAAGTAATAATGTTAAATGTTAAAAAAGAAGCAATTAAATTAGTCATTAACAACAAATTAGCAATTCAGTCAGGTAATATTTTTAGAAAATGTGTGAATCCGAATTAAAGTCTAAAGGCAGTCGCTCAATATCGCTTACGGATTGATATTAGACGTTTCAACTCAGTGGTCTAAAACTTAAGCATGTGTGATGAAACTAGATGATCCTGGGTTCGATTCCTATCTATGCTCACTCCTGAGGAGTTTCATGCTAGTGCAAAATAGCTGTTCAATGGTTCTTAGTTTTCGATGGAGACCTGATTAAGGTCAGTTCTTGATGAATACTATAAATCTGATGTTAGTTGAAAAAATGGTTTTCTAAAGTTTGGCATTACTGACCATTGAAATCTAATCCCGTGTTCCAACGCCCATTTGGAAGTTGTAGGAATCTAAAAGCACTTGGTTTAACTATACAGTCAATGGAGGTCATGTTACCAAAGACTTTCAAACCAGAATGAAACAAGCTGTTCATTTTCTTGACTAGTATAGATTATCTTTATGGTAAAAATGATTTCCACCAGTAATCAATCATTTGACATTACGATAATTATTACATTGATACTGAAATCTATTTCTTTTCAAATAGGACTACTGGTGATACAGAAGGGCCACCTGAACCAGAGAAACTTGAAAAGATGCATTATTCTCCAAAAATGGTTGATTTTACTAAACGTTTACTACATAGTGATCCAAAACAACGGATGACAGTTCATCAAGCTTTGGAACATCCATGGATAACAAGTATGACTAGTAAAAAATATGATACAATTGAACGAGAAGAAAAAGAGGATCACTTCAAATCTGTTTCTTCATCAAGACAATATTCATCAAATCTATCTAAGAATTATGAATCACAAATACAAGATGAAATTCTAGAAGATGATATTGCTGAACGAATAAATAAACGTGCATATACAAGATTATTACGTTGGTTAGATGCCAGTTATGTAAATGACACTGATGATATTGACACAAATGATACATCAACTATTCGTAAATTGTCAAGAGTTGGATCTATTCATGATTCATATCATCGTTATTATTATGATTATCAAACATCATCATCTAAAGAATCTGAAGAAATTGTTGTACATGCAAGAATTACACCACGTGGTCAAGCACCAGAAATATTAACACCTATGGGTTCAGTTAGTGCTCCAGAAGGTAGTACAACAATGTTACGTTGTGCTGTTTATTTACCGAAAATAAAAAAATCATCACATCTTACAGATCAATTGAGTGATTTACAAATTCGTTGGTCATTAAATGGTCGTGAATTAAATATTGGTTGTCCGTTACCATCATTAAAAACTCCTACGACACAACATTATGTATGTACATATGATACTGAAACAGGTGATATTAAACTTCATATCAATGATGTTACAGTATATGATGCTGGAACATATGAAGTTACTATTATTGGTCGATACGGTCAAGTATCTGATTCAGCAAATTTGAAAGTTTATGGTAAGTAGTGATGGATAAAGTATTTTCTAATGAATATTTATATGGGAGAAAGTTGAAACTTCATTAGAACAATGACAATTTCTTATCTTAAAAACAAATAAACATTAAGGTTTAATGACTTGTAACACAATGTTTAATACAATGAAATGTAAAACTAAAGAGAAATGTTTTTCACTAATGATTATTTAAATATCTGAAACTACATATACCACACTATAGTTTTGTATTTTTATTTATTTTAACACATAAATATTGATACAAAGGGGCACTGAATACATATGCGCCACACAAGTCACTTGATTTGTGTTTGGGCTGGGATATGGATCGGGTGACCAAACCGAAACAGGTGGTTTTCTTAGGGGCCACACCCGGAGCTTTCAACCTATAGGTCTGATCCATAGGGCAGTAGAGCAACGTCAGGAGATGCAGTCCCATGGTAGCAGGTGACCAATAATTGGTTCATACTCCATTCTTCCTTCAGGATCCTGGAGCCCATGTGCAACATTGGTTTGGAATCAGGGTTCTCCAACTCTCCTAGGTGGATCCTTCATATCCACCAACCCGGTTAAAGCGTTGGACATTCACTTTTTTCCTCTCAATTTTGTAAACAACATTAATGCCGTGAGAAGGCAGAGAGTAAGACTTCCGTAGCAGTGGCGGTTTACGCGTGGCCATTTGAGAGCATTTCGAGAGGGAGAGCTGACTCTTGCAGGTGAAATGCAGAACGCGCGTTTCGTCCTATTTGGGACCCGTCAGTTGGATTTGCCTGTATCCCAGTTGACGTTTACTGCATGACTCGTACTCAATACTGTTCACTTCAAACATCGTCCTTTTATCCACTTAGCTACCGAGTCCAGATTTCCACTAGCTGGTGAAATAGGGTGAAGTTTAATTCACCTTTTATTGAATGTTTAAATCTTGACAATGACGTTTAGGACTGCAATTGATCAGTCGCTTATCCACTTGACGGGTCCCAAATAGGACGAAATGTGTGTCCTAGCCACTATCCATCTATGCTTATAATGATTGTTACCTAAGGAAATATCGAGGCGATCCGCACAGAATGCACATATGTTAATAAGAGACTGATTATTTGCAGTCCTAAACATCAATGGGAAGATTCAAGCAATCAATGCAACGTGAATGAATTTTATATTGTTTCTTATAGATAAATTAGTTATGATTCACTTTATTTATTTACTTCATGTAGAATCAACAACTCAACGTTCAACTATTAATTCTGATTTATATGTAACAAGTGAATTAGGTGCACGTATTCTATTACCATTAGTTGATATGACATGTACAACTGGTGGTAAGATTCAAATGAAAGCTAAAGGTGAGTTCCTCTTGTTATTCATGTTCCTCCTAATATAAGCATTATTTTGACCCATGGACTTATTACACGATTTACCACCCTTGAGTTATACCCAGTCTATTGATTACAGTCTCCCACATTCAAGACCACTTTTGGCTAGATCATTTATAAATGTTATTTTCTATTTTACGGTACGATATAATCTGTTTGGTTTGTATATAAACGCAATATATTCGAAATACATTATTTATATCGTGGAGGCTAAGATTGGTGTTCTGAACTGAACAGGCAGGGAGAAGAACCGATAAAGCCTCTAGACTGCTCATACGAGTTTTATACGTCATTGGTCTGGTCGATAATTCACTGTTCTCTAATTGGCGGTATCATTACGCTACACACTAATAGGACACAAAGCCACAAGTTATAACACTGAATCAGTGAATATTACATTCAGCGAAGTTACGAATATAGTTTTATAGATAATACATAATCCTTTGATTAATCTTATCATATACTTATTGATAGAATTAATTTTGTTCAATATTCATTTTTTTAGTTTGTGGAATACCAGTTCCTCGATGTACATGGTTACATAATGGTATCCCATTAACAGCTTCATCACGTAGACGTTTCTATCAAGAAGATATGAATGGTACATCATCATCATCATCATCAGAATTAATGCTAAAACTTGAAATATCTGAAATTACTACAGCTGATGCTGGACTTTATTCTTTAGTAGCTACTAATAAATATGGATCACAAACATGTTCAGCTGTTATTGAAGTATTTGGTAAGTAGATCACTCTTTCAAGATGTACTTGAAACATGCTTAATTGATTTTTATTATTCTCTTATACAAAAATTTCATATGTCTGAAATAGATTTTATAACTACACATGTTAGGTAAAAAGTATAAATTGGGGATGCAGCCAGTTATGTCTTGCATGAAAGATTAGCAAGGGCAGTTAGCAAGATATTCTATTGTAGCTAATCTTACACTGGGATTTTCTGTTTGACCAGTATTATTCACTCAAACTAAAGATAAATTACCTGAGTTCACCTCTTGAGTGTGCAACTACAAATCAAACTTTTCCTGAGGAGTTAACTATATTTAGCTTACTACCAGGCAGCTTAACCAACGACTAAGTGAACATCTCTCACTATGGTTTGAAAAGTGCCAGACAAGGACAATACGCAGCTCTATCTTGTCACACCTGGTTGACAATGATCATATAGTAGATAAAACCAAACCATTTCTAGTGATCCATTGCATATCTTCTTCGTTCCCCTAAAGGATTTGATCCAGTCTCCTATAAAATTCAGAACCTATAACTCTGATTTATGTGCTCAGAAGAAATTCTCAACACTTCTGTCTCTTTCTTCGTTCGATATAACATAAAAAACGATATTTTTCACATCCTGTGCTTGTTTATTGTTTTTCAACCCATTCCGTTTATGTTCAACAATTCCTAATTATTTACAAACTTCTTATTACGTAATTTTAATATTTTGTGATTATTTTATAGTCTGTTTATCCAAGTTTGATCTACATTGATCTATGTTGAACCATAGACTGGCCCTTACTTATTTTATAATTCTTATCACTACTAGTACACCTGTGTTCTTACTATTCATTTATACTTTTTACCTATAATGTGTAATTAAACAATTAATTTCATTGTGACCATTCACTCATAAATTGTCTAAATTGATTTAAAATACTCCTATAAATGTCCATGTAAATTAGAAGGGAGTCTAACAACAATCTAACTAAAAATAGTATTTTTCATTGTTTATATGTCGTTAAATCTATCGGAGCGTCTAACCATGCCGTTGAGATACACGCGAAATCAAAGTTCACAAAACAGCTATATATATATACAAATTAGCTACAAACTTCAACTTGTGAGGTATCTATGGCCCCTTGTGCGTCTATAAGTCTGAAATAAAAAAAGCTTCGATAGTGCAATGATAGCCAATAGCTGATAATAGTTTGTCAACAAGCGAAAATGGAACTAAGAGCAAACAATATTTAAACTGTTGCATTTAAACAAGGATTAAACGACCATACAAAGACTGAGAATAACTGTTACAGTGATTGAGAGGAAGTACTTATAATGGTAAACACAATAGATGTTATAAGTATGCGTAAATACTTACACACTTGCGTTACAACATACGCGTAAACATTGTTAGGAATGCAACTGTTTACTGAATATTAAGAAGTAGTATAAAACAATACACAAAAGAGTTTAAGGGGAGAAAAGAAGGAAAGAGAACGTAAACAGACTTAGCATATGTGTTGTATTAATTTTCATAATGGGAATCTTTGAATAAATCAATTGCATAAACTTCTCTTCAGCGAATCGCTCAATTTTTCTTGGTGAAGAATAATGTTATAAATGAAATCCTTTAATATATATCCTTTTATTTCATTATTCTTAAGTGAATATTGGTATGGGATTTTTGTTGTTATTATTATTACTATTATTCTATAGCTTCTCTTGAGGATGGTTCAGAAGCACCACATTTTCTTAAAGAATTAACAAGTATTACTGTTGTTGAAGGGAGTGCTGCTCGTTTTGAAACATGTGCACGTGGCCAACCTGCACCAACTGTACGTTGGCTTAAAGATGGTAAACCATTATTAACAGATGGTATACGTTTATGTGTATCACAAACATCAACTGAAAGATCTGGCACTAATACATCTAGTCATACACTTTTAGTTAAAGATGCTATACCACGTGATAGTGGTACATATACATGTATCGCAACAAGTTCATCAGGTACTGCTATCACTGAAGCAGCATTACATGTTCGTGGTAAGTTGATTTCTTTCAATCTTATTCTAGTTAAACCATTCTCATTATATTGTTATTCATAAACACATAACTCTAAAGACTTTTGTATTTATATTCAGTAAAATATTGTATTAAATAAGCACTTCACTGAGTAATTGTAGAACAATAGAAGCGCTTACTTTACACCAAGATACACAATTTTCAGTAGCCTATACTTTATACAATACGTTAAACATAAATGACTAGAGGAAATAATAAGCATTTCTGAACTGAACTCAATTCTATCAAGTTATTTTAGTTCTCTTATGCGTCTTCTGCCATAATAATTCAGTAAATTCAATCACAAACGACAGGGTTATAAGAAGCCTTCTTTCTTGTAAACTGTTCGGGATAAATGAGCATAGAAAACACGATTGGTGATGTATTTTGTTGTAAAACGAATGTGTTATATAAACGATATGAATTAATAACACACAAAAGGAAATAATAAATTGCTTAAGGTTTAGTCACAATAGTCGCCTGATTCAGCTTCATCGTACACATTTTTAAGTATAAAGAATCAAATAACAAGAATAGAAGTTTATAAATTATGCTAACGATCTATGTTAAAGGTTTTTAAACACATGTTTGTGTATCCATTACGACTAAAAGTAAACCTTCATATAATGATAATTTAAATAATTTGGAGTGTTCATTACTTACTTACTTATTTACTTATGCCTGTTACTCACAATGGAGTATAGGCCACCGATCAGCATTCTCCAACCCACTCTGTCCTGGGTCTTCCTTTGTAGTTCCATCCAATTTTTGTTCATTCTTCTCATTTCTGTTTCCATTTCTCGGCGTAATGTGTTCTTTGGTCTTCCTCTTTTCTTTTGGCCTTGAGGATTCCATGTGAGGGCTTGCCTAGTGACTCAGTTGGGGGCTTTCCTCAATGTGTGTTCATTACATTTAAAATATTAGTTAAACCATATCGTATAATTTTATCGATCATTTTCAATCATAAAAAAATTTTTCCCCAAGGTTTATTCGGTCGTGGAGGTCATATTGGTTCAGATACAGTTAATAGTGGTGGTATTCGACATCGTCATCCTGAATTCACTCGTCGTTTACGTAATCAACAAGTTGATTTTGGCAGTACTATACGATTAGCTGCATCAGTATTAGCTCAACCATCAGCTACAGTGGTTTGGCAAAAGGATGGTATAGAAATTTTAACTGATCCATCGGATGATCCAAGAATTACTGCTAAAGTTAGTTTACTTATTTCATATAGTATCTAAATTTATGTATATTCTAAACTATATAAAGATTAATTTACTATTCGACATCATTTCTTGTTCTCAACACATTTACCCATAAATAATCAGTATTATTTGAAGAAAACTTATCGAGTTCTAAACATTTACATCACACATTATTGATCTCAAAGGATTTCAACTCAAAGTCTGATTCAGTTAAAACCAGTTGGTCAGTATCGGTTTTATTTACGACTAGTATTCGTAAACTCATACTGGATCAAATTCAGGGTCTTCATGTAGTGGATGAGAACACAGGCAGAGACAAATAAATGTATTTCAACACATTACAGAATATCTTGATAAAACCGGAGAACCATACAGTAAATACTTCATTTGCAAAATATTCATCAATTGTCTCAGACTTTGTTTTTCCTTCATTTATATAGCAAACACTATCCTCATTCTCTTCTCTTTGATTTTCTCAACCTCCTGACACCAGGCATTCCACTTTCGATTGTTGATACTACTTATATCTGTCGATATCAGTAGCACACATCAGATTCATATCCGATTTGTTTTTTGGATGACTATGTTGAAATTTAATAGTTCATATTTCAAACTCAGATCAATTCACAATCCTATCGTTGATCAACTACTTTAATTATGAACTGTGTTAACGCCACTAATCACAGACTCCTATGAATCTTACAAAAAATTCATTACTAGGGGCGTTATTTTGTATTAATTAGCACGGTGAATGAAAAAGAAACTATGAATATTCTGTTTACAGAAGTTTTAGTTAGCATAATTAATGAGCAGTTTCACATGAGTTTGTCATCAAAAAAGCATAAATTACCGTTTGAGTTAAACATTTTGATGATATAATTAGTAAGTGGTGGAACTCTTTTATTTAAACACTGTCGTAATCATGATCATCATTAAAAATTCCTTTTTTTTTACTATGTAACTGTTAATTTACAGAATCATAGCGGTCATCTAGAATTACGTATTGAAAATGTATGCAAAGATGATTTGGGTCAATATACAGTGATTGCATATAATTCTGCTGGTGAAGCTCGTTGTTCATGCATTCTACAAGGTATAACTAAAATGGAAATACAAGTGCCTAAATTCACTAAAGAACTTCGAGATTATACAATATTAGAAGGTACTAATTTATGTTTAGAAACCATAGCAATCGGTGAACCAATACCTGAATTTAAATGGTAAGTATTTAAAAAAAAGATTTATTTCCATTGAATAATTGAACAATTATTTAGTACATTCTTTTCATTTATATTGGGACCATCAAGTGAACTATGCTAAACTTAGACATAAAGTACTAAGGAAATTTAACAAATTTGTTGATGTGGTAGTGAATCTTCACCAATTGAAGTGGTTAAGATATGTATTACATATGCTCTACCACTTCCTACTTCAACGCCTAATGTTGGTTGGTGTAGAATTAAGTTGTAATAATGTCTTAGATGGCCAAACTAAGACGTGATATCAGTCAATGAACGCATTGAGCTGTGAGAATAGGTGCAGACTACCTAATTAGAGTCAGTGTGATTACCTCAACTAGTTGTTGGATATGCTGGGTGGTATGGCTAAGAATTGGTCTTAGTTTAGCAGATGGATTCAATATTTGCTTTTCTTTAGATTAAAGATGCCATAAGTATTACATTTATTTACCGCTACAAGATTTTAAGTTTCGGAATTGTCTTCTTGTGGGAATTCTTTTTTTTCTCTGATCACACCGTCTACATCTGATCTTTTTTACTACCAATGATACTGTTATTAATTCTCTTCTACACTCTGATATTTATTTTAATAGTTTCCACTCACTGTGCTAATATGTTTGGTAAATTGAACTGACACAAAAATATCTCAGGTCCTATGTTGTTTATGACTCGCTGTTTGTTACTTAGTTAAAGATTAACAGTGATAAGTGTCAAGTACCAAGTGTCAAGTATCAAGTACTCTTTCTAGTCACTTCAGTCCAGTAATGATATGCTATTTATTGTTATTTGATTGTATTAACTGAAAACAATATCTAAATGGAATATTTTAATTATAAATTCGCTTTGATTCTTTCTTTTGTATCTAACGTATAAAATAGGGAAAAAGATGGTTTTGAAATTCTTCCTGATGAATATGGTCCACCACGTATCACACCTGGGACAAATGGTAGTGGTTTAGCTTATTTACGCATTCACAATGTTCGTAGTTCAGATGCAGGTTTGTATCGTTGCATTGCATATAATAGATTTGGTCGTGAAAGAACAACTTGTATTGTTCATGTGGAATCAACTAAACAAAAAGGTGTACATCGATCAGATATGAGGAATGGATCATTTACTTCGAAAAAAGACACAGACTCTTCTTTAGCACTGTTATCTGAAAATGGTATTAAAGCATCACCAAGGGATCATTCAGATTCACCCAAATTAACTGGATATATTAATGTGTTACGTCCATTGCCTAAAACTATTGAAGTTGAAGAAGGCAGTCCTATTGAACTAACATGTCGTGTTGATACAAATTTACATTACATTCGTAAGTATCATTTTTTGATTAGACAATGAATATTGTTTTCTTTAAATTTTAATAATATAACGACAGAATTTAAATATTACCTGCTTGCCACGTTGTACTACTATTATACAGTTTTGCGACCGGTAGAACCGATATTATACTACCACCAAATTGGATACTCGATCGATAGGTTATGTACAAACTAGATCTCATTATATCAGGTACACGATTCACGACTAGTAATAAAGAATCAGGGTATACGCTAGACAATACTTTATTCAAAAAAATTAGTTGCACTGAGTGAGTACAGAGTAAACATCAACAATACGAAAGAAAATCATGTATATAATGATCAGTAAGTTGTGCGTTTATTTATTCACGTTCGGTGACCAATCTCATTTACTTTCACCAGTCACACATCATTAAACTTATCTTATAGACAAAAGATGCAGTTACTCGGAAAGTTGTTCACCTTCAGATAGTATATAGTCTAAAATTACTTTGTGTTTAGTGAAAAACTCTGACAGGAACTTGAACCTAAAACTTTAAACTAAATCTCTGCAAAGTTAGAATTTTAGAAAGGACTAGAAAAACGCTTTTAAAGATTACTTTCACCTAAACGTTCGGTTTTTAACGAAAAATATCTGTCCAACAAACACTGATTGTTCTTGAATGAATCATTAGGTTAGAATCTAATAGCTTTTAAAGTTTAATTATATTAGCCCACAAATGCCCTGATACGGTCGAGAGTGGGGAGAGTCAGCTTTCCCTCTCGAAATGCTCTCAAATGGCCACGCGTAAACAGCCATTGCTAAGGAAGCCATACTCACTGCCTTCTCACGGCATTACTGTCGTTTACAAAATTGAGAGGAAAAAAAGTGAATGTCCAACGCTTTAACCGGGTTGGTGGATATGAAGGATCCACCTAGGGGAGTTGGATAACCCTGATTCGAAACCAATGTTGCACATGGGCTCCAGGATCCTAAGAGAACAAATAGTGTTTTTGAACCATTTATTAGTCACCATCTACCATGGGACTGCATCTCCTGACGTTGTTCCACTGCCTTATGGATCAGACCTATAGGTTGAAGACCCCAGGTGTGGTCTCCTAAGAAAACCACCTGTTTCGGTTTAAGCACTCAAGCAGTACCCTACTCCTCACACACATCGAATGATTTACGTGGCGCATATCTATTTGGTACCTTCTTGTACCAATGTTTATGTGTTTAAATAAAAATGGCTGATTCATATGTACTAAGCTTTATTCTCACGAATAAAAGCTATTATACAACATCACGAGTATTTTGATAAAAATTAGATCTACAATTGGATTCTATTTAAAGTGTATTGAAATAATTTCTCTTAGTTATACTTATCTGATGAAGTAAATGTTATGTAACATTGAAATAAAATATTTCCCTTATATATTGTTTTTATTAAAAGCTACATGGAGTAAATCAGGTCGAACTTTAACATATGATGGTCGTAGAAGAATTACTCGTAGTAAAGATGGTGAACTTACATTAGCTATTGATCAAGTAATGTCTAATGATGAAGGATCATACACATTGACATTAGAAGCTTCTGATGCAAATGCACCGAAAAATCTAGAACCAATTGTACTTTCTACACGTGTTCAAATTAAATCAAAACAAAGACCACGGTAAATTCAGTTATTTGTATACAATAATAGTTTATAATTTTACATTTTAATTTAATCACAAATACAAAGATAGTTGAAGTTAACAAAATGTAATTTGATGCTTACTGAATAATTAGACTTTTTGCATAACGCATGACATATCGTTTAGAATGATAACGAAAGTTTTGGGATTAATTAAACCACTGAGTTGGTTAGAGAATGCTGGTGAGAGGTCTATACTCCTCGACGAGGAGTAACAGGAGTAAGTAAGTAAGTGATACATGGAAAGTTTAGGAAATAAAACATGTTCAATTCCCAAGTGTATAGTGATCGCTTACTTGGTAGTAACTAATATCATGTTTATCTAGTTCATAGTGGCATTCGGATTCTATCAATCAAACTGTAATGTTTCCAATAAGTTTCAAAAATTTAACATTACATTCACTACCTTTGAATGTTGGGTGGCTGGAGGCTATCGTAAAGAACTTCGAACCTAGATTAATGCTAATCATAGGTAGAATTTGATCACGACTGATTGATGTGGGTTCGAATCCCAATAAGGTGCGTCAATACCCTTAGAATCACAGATACACCTTACTGGAGAGATCCAGCTATTAAGAAGATCAGGTTCATAGGATTTCACTAATTGAATGCTAGATTCGTTTCCTAAGCTCTTCTAGTAACCTCCAGGCTAGATCTACACATCGACTTGAAGACGTGAGCAAAGGCGCGAAATATGTTAGAAACATTTTACTCCAAAGGTTCGTCTATGTACAGAAAATCTAGTTTTTATAGTATTTTAGATGCTAGTAAACATAGTAGCAGTGTAAGTAATCATCCAATCAGAAGCTCGATATGTGACTTTTCACTTTCTAGATGTTTCTGGCAAAACTTCTAGTGAACGCTGATTGAATAAGATGCTTCTTAGTGTTTTCTGAGCCTTTTTTGGCTTTTGCGAGAAGTTTTCTGGATCTCCCCAGCAACTTCTAACTATCTACCACTTTCATAAATTTATACAATAATATTTAATAATAAACTAATAAATGATTCACTGTGATTTATAGAGGCCTAACCACTTGTGAAAGTGATTTGTTTGCAGAAATCAATCATATAATCCGGTACAGTTTTATTTCAAACATACTTTGCTCATCAATGAACCTAACCGTGATAATTAGGAGTATTTGAATTATAGTACAAACTAAGAATCCCAGGAATAACACAATTGGATCAAGAAGTAGTAGATAAGCACGAACGAATGTACTGTATTTGGAATTCGAAACCAAGCATTCGACAAGTACAAAAGGATCGTTAGTTCATACAAACACCACATCCGCCACAGATTAAATGAGAATCCAAATTTCTGCAATCAGTTGTGTCCCTTCTTCGTAGGTTCATCGTGTCTGTCCAACCGTGCATTGCATGTAGACTCTGTATGACCTAGAATGTGCTCATTAGTATTAGAATTAACAACCGAAATCGGAACAGACCCGCCTGGGTCCTGGAATTGTATGCAATCACCATGTCGGTTGTGTACTGAAATCACTGATAACTAGAATTTGAACCAAAGATTTTCCAACACTATCCTCCACCACAAAATAATGTTGGGTCTTCATATCCCCAAGTTATGAATAATGTGGCTTCATTTAAAACATATTTCTCACATTGATTAGAGTGTACATTGGAAGTGAATTTGTGATAAGGATGAACAGCAGTTGATATGAAATCATCTGAACTGTAATCAGAATCGAGCTCATTTAATACTCGTGCTTCGTATTGCACAAGTTTCCCACAAGAAAAGAATGCATTATGAAAACAAATAATATCTGATGACATCAAGATTTGATTCTTCTGAAATACTTCCCTCAAATTTATTAAGATTGTCACTGCAGAATAAAGGATCATTAGAAAAATCAGCATCTATCAATCTTACATCAGGTTTTCGATCATAACTAGGTTCATTCAACATATTTTCCTCAGATTTGTAAGGAATTTTGTCAGAAATAAGTGAGTCATTAGGAAAAACCATATCTGGTACAATAAAATGAGAAAACTGATAAGTCGATTGATTAGAAACTGTTTTCTCGCAAGGATTCTGAGTCTTATTTAACTCTGAACTGCTATATGACTCTACACTGTCTTTTGAAATCGTTGATAAGAATAAATAATCATTAGGAACACTGAACTTAATAGAATCAGAATTACAGAACCTAATATTCGTTGCAGCAAGATGAACAGTAGTATTACAAACTGACTGAATATGTCCAACATCATCACATTTAAAGCACTTAGAATTACGAAATTTACATGAATTAAAAGAGTGGAACTTGACACAGAACAAACATTGACCAAACTTGTGCCCATCGTTAGTTCACGTAAACACCACACTAACACTTGATGAATTCTACAAATAAACCATTTTGCATTTATGAATATATTCATTTGTTCCCTGTTACATTGTTTTTTTATATATTATCATAGTTATGATGCAGTTTCACGTGGATCATCTCGTGCTAATTCTCGAGCAACAAGTGTTTCAAATGGTCGAACTTCTAAAGAACCATAATATCAATCAATTATAAACAAAGATAAATGTTTACAAGACAATATAAATTACATTAACTATGTGTTCATATAAGATATTTGTTTGTGTATTTTTAGTCATCTAAGATATTTTGACCTATACAAATAATTTTGATCTTGTTTCCATAACAACAGTTTATGTTATCGATGATGATCATGAGAATGACTAGGATTCAACTGCTTCTAGATTTAACCTTTTTTTTCAAAATAAACGATTGTATGTAACATGACAAACAATTATGCAATTAGAAATCTTCAACATTTCGAAAGTTTCGTATTCACATCTATATCGACTTCATGAAGATTATGTACTTGTTTGTCTATATATTAATTTCTGTTAAAACTTGATTAAACTTGATGTATGAAAACTATAATATTCGTTTCTTTTACTTTGTCTAATATAAATCAATTTTTTGTTGCTGTACACATCCCCCTTTAAGTATTAACTATTATGAATACTACTACTGGTACTACTACTACTGCCACTGATACCAATGCTACCCCTATTGCTACCATTTTATCTAATTATCACTTAATGATAAGTTCATTTATTAGTTTACAACAATCTATGTGTAAGAATATCCCTTTTTTGAGTATATCACATTTCATTAAAAATACCCTGATTCCCCTCTTCCACCTCCCCCTCCCCAAAAAAATTTATTTCATTCATCCTTTTATAACTTATTAATTTAGATAATGTTATTTTAAAGAGAGAAACGAATGCAACTCTACCAAAAAAAGGAAAAGATTCTTGTATTTCCAATGAAAAACACATTACGATTAGTTTCATTTATAACTAAGTAACTATAATCAGAATATTTATCAAGTTTATCCATGAATTTGTTTGTTATTCTTTCCTCTTTAACTTTTATTGGTAATTACTACACATCCTTATATACTACTGATTTGAATTATTTAATTAACCAATTAATGAAATGTTTAAATAAATCACTTGATAATTAATTGACTATTTACTTTTTCATTCAGACCAATTTGGTAGACAAAGTAAGTGTTCATGTTTACAGATGATTGTAGTGTTCTCTAAGCTAACTAGTTTAATTGTGATCATTGTAAATCATTTAGTGTTTATCAGTAATCATTCATTGTAACATTTTGTCGTTTCTGCTTTACTCAATTATTTCCCATCCTGTTGGACAGTTGATTCATGAGTTTGTATGTAATACTTGTTAGTAAAATATGCTAAGCGTTTCGTATATCCCGACAGCGGAAAACGTGTTATAGTTGTATGATTCTGAAGAAGCAACTACCTCCCCCCCCCCTCCAAATCCTTATTCTGAGCAACAAATATTCTTAATTATCTCGACATGAAAGCTTGACTGGGTAAATAATTTTCAGAAAGTTACAATCTATTTATGTTATTAAAGTTATTTTAATTGAATTAATCGAAAGCCTATTACTTGTAATGTAAAGGAGTGAATAAATCAAACTCCAAAGTAGTTCACAAATTAATCAAAGATATTTTTAAGTGTATTATTTGAACAATCAATCTACTATAAATAATTTTTGTACTGAAACTATACTGTACTATCATATTCTTCGAGTAGATTCTTAAAATAAATTTACGGAATAATCCCGATTAGAGTTATACATTAGATTAAATACTCATCATGATTAGTCAGGAAAATAGGAAAGTATAAAATTGCAAATCTGTAAGACGAATTTGAAGTGAACGGCACTGGGTTCGAGTCTCAGAGTGAATATCAACTCTGAGATGCAGGTACATCCAGCTGACAAATTCCGAATAGGACGAAACGTGAGTCAAACTGGATTTCACTGCTAGCCACTATACATCAAATTTCAATTATTTAGAAATATTGTCAATTTTTCTATTGGTTTTTATCATTTAAAATAAAAACATGATACATACTACTTATCATTTATGAGATGAAAAGATACTCTTCTTCCTCATTTGATTAAAACTTACAAGGCCTTCACACTTTCAATATATTAGTATATCAGGAATAGGTGCTTCAAAAATGAATTACTTACCTATTCTGGCGTATGGTTATATAGTGTATTCATTTAAATTCTTTAACTAATCATATCAGTCATCTGAAAGCAGAGTAGACTAGCTTGTTTGATGATGTTGAGATTACTAATCAGTGTTCAAAAGAATGATTAGTCGAAATATCCCGTTCTTAAAAATATCCTATGCAATTCTGCCCTATACTGTAGAAGACTTGTCTTTTCGAGGTGAGGATGTCCAGCGAATCTATGTGCCTTATCTGCGTTGCATGGAATTTTGACTTAGTATGACTTTGATCCAGTTACCGATGAATATTGAGCTTGGAGTGAACTTATTACTTTTTTCCTTATAAAGACTTTTAAACTGACCTATTACTCTCTATAATAATCGAATGATCTGATCAGTGCTTTGTCAACAGATTGCTGTAGAGATTCTCAGCCTAAGATTGGTATAGATTACACAAGCTGATGAGTTTACAATGAACACTAGTTCTCAAAACTGACAAAAGTCTAAACTAGACGACACGACACCATATAACACTGGCTTTCATATTATTGCTCAGATATTGAAATGATACCATCTTTAATTAAAGCGTTACATCATGGTTAGTTTAAATCTCCCTACGAGGGTGAACATAAATCTCCGAGTTCGTAGATTAGGAAAAACTTTACTAACTCAAAGCACATCAGACAATATATGGGTATTCAGTGAAACTACCAGTGACGAAATATTTTGTCATTTGCCCTGACATGACGGAGAATTAGGAAAGTCCGGCCATATTCCCATTTTGTGTCCGGTCCTATTCTGCAACTCAGTGGCTTAAATCTGTCTCATTAAAATTTCCAGTTCATTGGATGGTCGGTTTGATGAATGGTGTCATCGAGTACGGAATCTGTCATATCTTTTCAAAAGCCATGACTGGCATCCAAGCTTGCCTCCTCCAGCATTTGAATTTCCATGCAAAACGGACAATACAAAGTTTTGACCGTTTCATGGTACTAATATATACTGTACATTATAGACAGATATCCAAGCACAACTTCGTTCTCCATCTCTCCGTTCAAAGATTATTTCATGTGCGCTGATCCGGAACCATGTAGCACAGACATCCAATTTCTTTAGCGTCGGTGTCTCACTACGGAGCAAAGCATAGGGAGAATTGATTTATCCTTATTAATAGTTTTCCACATACTTTCTCACTAAAACGCACAGCCAGTGATAAGGAACCGGTATGGGGAATGATGTCTTTTTGTAATCTCCAGCAACTCGCGAACAGACTGTAGCACGCATGTAATCAAAGTAGGGTCCTAACATCAAGTCAACAATCTCAATAGATGGTGGTAACCGGTGTGGATGCGCAGATCGAGTGTTTAGGCGCAAAGGAGGATGGCTTGGGTAAAGACATTATGATAGCTCTAGATTTGTCATTTGAAAAATGTATCTAAGTTTACTAACGTCTTTAAGGATGAACTTTGCCATTGATAACATTCTGGAAACAGCTCTGATCGAAATAAGTACTAGTGGTGTGAACCTGCTACGCGGAGAAAGACTTTTCGGTCTCAAATATGCGAATAATATTGTCTTGATGTGCAGTGATACACAAACTATCTAGATCCCACTTATTAAGTTAGGAATGTCTCTAAGTATGGCGTGTTTTGTACCTTCTAGAAATAGAACACTTCCACAAGACTTGGCAGGAAACTGTGCTTGCAATCACTGCTTTCGGTGAGTTATCATTAGTCGAAAAGTTCGTGTCCAGGGAAGCTGAGTTTTGGTGGAGTTACAATCGATAAAATCAATCTACGATTAGCGAAAATCAGAACGACATACACCCAATTGTCCTGTCTTGATATTAGTCTGAATCTATAAGGTCGAGTTTACAATGCGTTGGTGAGAGCGATTCTGCTCTTTGCTTACAAAATATGGCTTTTCAAAGTTGAGAATCTTCAGTGATTGCGTGTTCGACAGTCTTTGTCTCCGAAGGATTGCTGACATTCAGTAGCAACTTTATATTAGTAGTACAGAAGTTCGACAGTGCGTATTCAAGTGTAGTGACGATGATCCGACTAGTCTCATCATCTTGAAACGCCTGCTTCATAGCTTGGACGTATCTTACAAATGTCATCCTGGCAGATCCCACATCGTGAATTAGTTACTAATGCTCAGACAGAATGGATAAATCAGTCATACTCAACATGTGTACATTGATTCAAGTTGTCACACTGCAGTTAGTACAGTGAACTGAAAGCATCAGGAATAATTCAAAAGTAGTAGATATAGCACCAATATTAATGGTAATAGAAAAGACTAAGCATTGAAGATACGATTTGAAAATAAAATCCAAATTAATGAAATAATGAATGCACCTATACCATTGAGGATGATTTTAAGCCATATCACCTAAAGTCTATAATTATTAGTTACGATAATCAAGCGAACATCAACCAGATAGTCTGCAACTATGTACACAGTTCACAATCGAACAATTCGTGTCCTCATGGAATGCTATCACTTTTCGATTTGATGCTCTATTATACCACAATTTACACATTATAAGTAAATAAATAAAATTAACAAATAAATAACTTCAGCCAATCCACGAAATTGCGCCACCGTCAACCATTGTCTTCAGTAAGTCACTATCTCACAACAGACTTAATTAAACTCCACTGGTCATGACTTCTCACTAGAACTCCAGAAAATACCTCTTGAAACCGCGAGGCGGGATTGTGGATGCACACTGCTAAGGAGTCTCATACTAGGACGAAACGACCGTCCAGTACGTCCAGTTTTTCCATAGTGGTCTAGATTTAATTGACTCATGAATTCAACTATTTAATTACTAAAATCTCCATAAAACCCCCTTCTGAAAATAAATAACTCAACTGTTACAAATTGGTATTACAAAAAATATATAACAATATTCTTTAAAATTTCTAAGAAATTATCACTAACTAATTATCCTTTTTTGAGAACTTATTTAAAGAAACCCAAAA